CCTAATTTGTATTAAAACTGTTGTTTTCACTCTTAAAATGAGTGATTATGAAAATGAAAACTCAGTAATGTTAATTACAGTGGCTGTAACAAAGATAAGGATTCAAGGCTGTTGTAAGGATAATTAGACTGAAACAAACCCTGCTAAACTCAAGTGCACAGTATTTTGCTGTGCTTTATTTTGACCTTTTAGACCAGTTTAGCATTTCTATTGATTGTAAGTTGTGCATAGTGCTGTGAGCTAACGCAGCAAGTACAACCTGAAGATATAGGAAGAAGAATGATGTGGCCATAGGGAGCAGCGTGGAAAGACTTGGAAGAAGCAGGGTGAAGATGTCTGCGCTACACCTGGACCAGTACCCAGGTAGAAGAAAACCTCTGAACAGGGTCTGTTTTTTTCTTCTTTTTACATTTGACTTAAATATGATCACACTCCAAAAAAACCCTAATGATAAAATGTTTGTTTTAGTCTGGAGTGACATGAAAACGAAAAACCAGTAATGTTAACTTTGATGCTGTGGCAGTAACAGCTGTCAAAACTGTAAGGATAAATATGCTGAAAATGAACCCAGCTAAACTTGTCAAGTGCACAGTATTCGACTGTGCTTTATTGATTTGTCAAGCTAAACTTCAATTCTTGAATAGTATTAGGATCATGCTAATGTTAAAACTGCAAAAACCTCAAAAGTTAAGACAAGATCCAGAGGAACTACAAGAAGGACAACGAGAACTTCAAGAACTTCAAGAACAGCATGACAACGTTGACATGGCTTTTGCTGTAAGGTTGGTCGTCTTTCTGAGGGTAGGTGAACATCTCCTTGTTTGTGGATGTGATCATCTTGATTTAGAACTAAAAAAAAAAAAGGTTTGAGGGGTGTTTTCCAAAACTTGATCTCAAATCCAGAAACAAGGTTCAAAGGTTGCTTTTCATGACTTGATCCAAACCCAGAAATACGTTCTCAACATGCTTTCAAAGACTTGATTTCAAGCTCTACAAAGATTTGTAAAAGTTGCTTCCAAAGACTTGATCTAAAAAACAAAAAACAAGGTTTAAAAGGTTTCTTTCAAAAGCTGGTTCTTGAACAAGCAAAGACGGTATGTTAAAGGTCTGGTCTCAAAAGTTCTGTCAAAAGCACTTTTAATTTGACAAAAGCACCTTTTTAGTTTGACAAAAGCACCTTTTTAATTTGACAAAAAGCACCTAATCTAACAAGAGCACCTTCAAGCCTAAAAATAAATTGCCTCTACTCAGTCAAAAATGGCATAAGCCAAACAATCAAAGCTTTTTCTCAGCAGCACTATCACGGAGAACAAGAAGACCATTCAGAAGAACCAAAGGAGTAGAAGAAGACCTGATGTGGACCTCGTGTGTCAACGCCCAAACCTCTGAACAGGACTGGGTCTGTTTTTTTTCCTTTTACATTTGACTTCAATATGATGATCACACTCCAAAAAAACCCTAATGATAAAATGTTTGTTTTATTCTGGAGTGACATGAAAACGAAAAACCAGTAATGTTAACTTTGATGATGTGGCAGTAACAGCTGTCAAAACTGTAAGGATAACTATGCTGAAAATGAACCCAGCTAAACTTGTCAAGTGCACAGTATTCGACTGTGCTTTATTGATTTGTCCAGTTAAACTCCTATTCTTTCATAGTATCATGATCATGCTAATGTTAAAACTGCAAAAACCTCAAGAATTAATACCAACAGATCCAGAGGAACTACAAGAAGGACAACGAGAACTTCAAGAACGGCGTGACAACATTGACATGGCCTCTGCTGTAAGGTTGGTCATCTCTCTGAGGGTAGGTGAACACCTTGTTTTTAGATGTGATCATCTTGATTTCAAACTCAGAGGTTTGAGGGGTGTTTTCCAGAACTTGATCTCAAATCCAGAAACATGGTTCAAAGGTTGCTTTTCATGACTTGATCCAAACCCAGAAATAGGTTCTCAAGGTGCTTTTAAAAGACTTGATTTCAAACCAAAAAACAAGGTTCCAAAGTTGCATTCAAAGACTTGATCTCAAAAAAAGGTTTGAAAGGTGCTTTTAAAGACTTGTTCTCAGACAAAAGGGTTTAAAAAAGGTGCTTTTAAAAGTCTTGTTCTTAAACTCAGAAACATGGTTCAGAAGGTGCTTTCCAAGGTGTGATTTCAAAACAAAAAAAATATTCTAAAAAGGTGCTTTTCAAAAACTTGATCTCAAACCAAATACAAGGTCCAAAAGGTGCTTTAAAAAACTTGATCTCAAACCAAAAACAAGGTTCTAGAAAGGTGTTTTAAAGAGACGTGATCTCAAACCTAGAAACATGGTTCCAAAGGTGCTTTCAAAAGACTTGTTCTCAAACAAAAACGGTTCAAAAGGTGCTTTCAAAGACTTGTTCTCAAACAAAAGGGTTTAAAATGTGCTTTCAAAGACTTGTTCTCAGGCAAAAGGGTTTAAAAAAGGTGCTTTCAAAAGACTTGTTCTTAAACTCAGAAACATGGTTCAGAAGGTGCTTTCCAAGGTATGATTTCAAAACAAAAAAAAAATTCTAAAAAGGTGCTTTTCAAAAACTTTATCTCAAATCAAAAAAGGCTTGAAAGGTGCTTTCAAAATCTTTATCTCAAACCAAAAACAAGGTCCAAAAGGTGCTTTAACAGACATGATCTCAAACCCAGAAACATGGTTCAAAAGGTGCTTTCAAAGACTTGTTCTCAAACAAAAAAGGTTCAAAAGGTGCTTTCAAAGACTTGTTCTTAAACAAAAAGGGTTTAAAAGGTGCTTTCAAAGACTTGTTCTCAAACCCAAAAACATGGTTCAGAAGGTGCTTTTCAAGGTATGATTTAAAAAAAAAGGTGCTTTTCAAAAACTTGATCTCAAGCCAAAAAAAGGTTTGAAAGGTGCTTAAAAAATCTTGATCTCAAACCAAAAACCAAAATAGGTTCAAAAGGTGCTTTCAAAAACTTGATCTCAAACCAAATTCAAAGTTCTTAAAAGGTGCTTTCAAAGACTTGTTCTCAAACAAAAAGGGTTTAAAAGGTGCTTTCAAAGACTTGTTCTCAAACAAAAAAGGTTCAAAAGGTGCTTTCAAAGACTTGTTCTCAAACAAAAAGGGTTTAAAAGGTGCTTTCAAAGACTTGTTCTCAAACCCAAAAACAAGGTTCAGAAGGTGCTTTTCAAGGTATGATTTAAAAAAAAAAAGGTTCTTAAAAAAGGTGCTTTTCAAAAACTTGATCTCAAGCCAAAAAAAGGTTTGAAGGGTGCTTAAAAAATCTTTATCTCAAACCAAAAACCAAAATAGGTTTAAAAGGTGCTTTCAAAAACTTGATCTCAAACCAAATTCAAAGTTCTTAAAAGGTGCTTTAAAAGACTTGATCTCAAACCCAGAAACAAGGTTCTAAAAAGGTTCTTTCAAAGACTTGTTCTAAAAAAAAAAGGCTTCAAAAAAGGTGCTTTCAAAGACTTGTACTCAAACAAAAAAGGGCTCAAAAGTTGCTTTTCAAGGATTGATCGCAAACAAACATAAGGTTTGAAAGGTGCTTTCAAAGATTTGATTTTAAACAAAAAAATTTTTAAGGTGTTTTCAAAGCCTTAGTCTCGAACCAAAAAAGCTTCAAAACGGTGCTTTCAAATACTTTACCTCAAACCCCAAAAAAGTTTTAAAAGGTGCTTCCAAGGCCTTGATCTTGAACCCAAAATACAAGGTTTAAAAGGTGCTTAAAAAAACTGGTTCTTAAAACAAGCAAAGACGGTATGTTAAAAGTCTGCTCTCAAAAGGACTGTCAAAGCAACTTCAGCAAAATCACTATCAACCAAAACTAAGTTTCAAAACCACCAACATCGCAACAACCGTCAAAGTGCTTCCAAAGGATCCAACAGAAACAACAAGACAGCAACGTTTGCACATTGTTTCTATCAGATGTAACTGTCCACACTAAACAGAACGAGGACAATAAACAAACTGTGTAGATCCTCCAACTGTTTTTGTTAAAACTGTAGTTTTTCTTTTTTTTTATTTATTCTTTGTATTTTTGTGAACCTTTTGAATCTCTGAAATGGAATCCTGAACTGTGCTTTTCATGATCTGCATGTGTTGTACATTTTTTTATTTATTTATTTTTTTAACTTATTTGCTGTGTGTTTGGCCATGTTTCTTTGGGTGCATTTGTATGTCTCTGCTTTCCTCCGAACATAAGCAGGTCTGACGAGGTGACCACTCTTTTCCTGGAGGAACTGTTGCTGCAGAAACTCAAAGTGCCGCCTTCCTGTTCCATCCGGGAAATCCAAGGGTGGTCATCTTGTTGAAGGTAAGATGAACTTTTCAATGTGGTAACAGTATGTTTTCACCAAAGTAACCACAAGAAAGCATGTAAGAAACCAGGTCCTGCATTCTGATAACTTAATCCATATTCAGTTTCAAACAGATTTTCTAATGCTGCACCTCACCTTCACTGTTTTTAAGTTGAGTATTTTCTCCATTTGTATGTGTGTCTCTCTCCTTTTCCCCAACCATCACAGAAGTGAGCATCTTCAGTGTTGAACCTGGCAACCACCAACATCTTCAGGAAGGATCTAGATCACCTCTAAGAGACGAAGTCAGGCATCCTTGTGCTGCAGGTAAGATGAGACGGGGAACACCACTTAACACACTGTTCTATTGTCACCCAAAAGTCTGAATGCTTCAACTCCAGAAACAACTTTTCTCTGGTTATTAAATCGTTTTCACAAAGGCACAATGCGACGTGGGTGTGCCTCAGCTGTTCTACCAAAGTTAAGGCCCACCTAAGCTCGATCTATGCCTGTTTTTATGTTGATAACATGTAAGGCTGGGTCAGTGTTTCCAATGTTGTGACTATAACCTCTCTTCAAAAACCAGTAGGTGAATGTCTCTATTGAAACACAACAGCTGAAACAGTCACAATACTCTGATGCAAAGATGCAACAACACAAGGTTAAACGATCAAAAACACAACAAACCAAAAACAAGGTTTAAAAGGTGTTTTCAGCTACACAACCACAAACCAACAAGGTTCACAACGATGCGTTCAAAGACAATATGGAAACAGACAACAAGGTTCATGAGGTGCTTTCAGGGACATGATGGTAACACAAACGAGGTTTAAATGGTGCTTTCAAGGACCCAACAACAAGGTTTAAATGGTGCTTTCAATGACAAAAGGGCAAATCAACAAGGTTTAAATGGTGCTTTCAATGACAAAAGGGCAAATCAACAAGGTTTAAATGGTGCCCACAGGGACGCAATGGTAATACAAGGTTTAAATGGTGCTTTCAATGACAAAAGGGAAAACCACTAACAAGGTGCAAAAGGTGGTTTTAACTCAAAAGCTTAACAACAGTCTAAAATCAAGAAATGCTGAAAACACTAAATCAAAATCAAACCAAAAAAAGAAAATTCACAACCAACCGTAGAATGGTTCAGCATCTCTCAAGGTTAAAAGGGTTTTAAGACTTTAAAAAGGTTATTTCTGTTTTTATTAAACTTGGTTGACACGAAAAACTGCAAAAATGTCAGTTGCAAGTTTGACCAAATACTTGCTGAGCCCACAATAAAAAAATTTAAAAAAAATCGCAAAAAGCAAAACAACAACTCTTAAGGAAACAATAAATCAGCAGATTCGCTCAGTTCTCCAAAAGGAAACCAACTCAACAAGGACAACCTCAACATCAACTACAACTTCAGGCCTCACCGTCTCCTCTACAGCTTCAACTAACATGAGGGGGACAATGAACTGTTATCATAAAATGTAATTTTGTTTGTTTTTTTTGAGTTTTTTTGTTTGTGTCTGTCTTTTTGACCCTCCGGTCTCTGTAAAAATTTAAGATGTTTGTTTTCTTTTTTTTTTTCTTTTTTTGTGGGGTTTTCTTTTTTGTTGTTGTTTTGTTTCTTTTTGACCCTCCAGTCTCTGTGAAAATCTGAGATCTGTACTTGTGTGTTTTTTGTGTCCTGTTGTTCTGTACGAGGTTTTTATGCCTCCCTTTGGCTGCACATGTATGTCTCTGCTTTTCCCCTAAACATGACGGAGGTGTCGAGCCATGGCGTTGGATGTCCTGACCACCACAGGGTTCCACCAGGGAGGATCTGACGCTGTCCCACTTCGATGAGCTGCTCCTCCATCCAGACTGGGAAGTTTTTCAGAGTCACCGTCAAACTGAAGGTATCTGAAGTTCTCTTTTAATGATTCTGATATCATATTTTTATCTGAGAGTTCTTGTATTTGTCTTCACCGGAGGTCCAAACACTCCAGCTTTTCTGGGGGTTTGTAGATGCCCAAGAGAAACTTGATTTTAAATCTGTCTGTTGAATCTTTTAAGTCTGTTTCCAATGTAGTGACTCATCTTTCTGCTTCTCCAAAATCTATCTTGTGTTGTTACAGAGTCTACATCCATGAAGACCCTGGCAGACCCCATCACCTGCTGGACTCCGAGCCTCTGCACACTGGGTTACAGGTGAGCATGGCGTACAGATATCACCTCCTACAAAAGGAACCTGGTTTTATCTGATGCATCCAGATTTTCTAATCTCTACCAATTTTAATCTCTCCCAAACACCAGTGCTTTGCCCACTTTGAGGGACGGATCTTCTTCATTCTGGACCCCTTAACTGAAGTCTGCACCAGCACAGAAACCTGCCTCTGGACACCATCAGACTCTACCAGATGCCGTGGGCGCCATCCCCTAGGAACCGGTACATAAAACAGATAATGATTTACTTATAGATTAAAAACTGTGCCGGTCTAAAGACTAAATTTGTCCTTTTGTTTTAGGACTACACCGAGACGTCGATGACCCCCTCTTGCTCCAGGACCCGGCTGAAGAATGAAGACAAAGACTTGGTCCCCTGATTAGAGGTAAGTCAATCTTTGCGAGTGGTCTTGCTTGTTTCAGTCAAAGTTTTATGGTGATAAATTGATGTTAACAGTCCACTAACTGGATCTGATCCCTGTCTGCCTTCTGTAGTCACCACCTTGCAGGCGGACTTCCTGTCTCACTGTGAGCCCGTAGACCTTCAACCTCGTCCAGAAAACCCTTACTCAGGACATGGTGAGTGCGCCTTTCTCTTTCAGGCTCTACTTTGAGGAGCACACATGAGCAGCTTTCTTAAATCCTTCTAACAGATGAGTCCGTTAAGATGATGATAGTTGGATGTTTTTACTCGATGGGCACAGATAAACCTCCACAACCCATGAAGAGTGCAAGCTTTGCTATGTCACTGTCACTTTATAGATCTCCTCCACCTTTATATCGCTGACATTATCAGTATTATTGACATTATAGGATTATCACTGAGACCTTTTCTGACTGATAGAAAACTAAATGAAAACGAGGCAGAATATTCACTCATGACTGTTTTCTTCATTCACAGGAGGATACTCGAGTCTCGACTGAGGACCCAGTGATGAAGATGGATGACCTGTCTGTGACACAAGGGTCATAGAGGATAGTTCTGTACTGATGAATCTATTATAAATTATTCATCTGTTTGACCAGATGATGTGTTGTTAAACTTGCTAACATTTGAGTTTCTTTGGTGCAAACCTGTAAGATCTACAGCTAGTAGAGTCTTCTTACAATTGTAACCAGGTGGTTTTTGTGTTGTACTGAATTTGATTTCATTATATTTGTAAAACTAAATGTTTAATCTGAGCTTCATTTATGGCTTAAACTTTGTTAAATGGAGGCTGAAACTGTGACAGCATGTAGAGAGCTTTTTGTCCACTGGGGGTTTTTTCCTTCAATATTTTTCCCCAGCTGGTTTTTCATCTCTACCTCCACCAAACTCACTCTGTACACAAAGCTTGTCTTAAATGTCATCTTTTTGGATGCACATATTCTATTTTGCTCATATTGCTTTGTCTTTATTTTGTTCATTTTTCTGTCATGCTTTATTCCTCTCTCTGCTCCATGTTTTTTTGCATTTGTATTACACATATAACTAACTTTTCACATATTTTGTCTGAGTTAATAACTCTCTGACAGTGAAATACCGTGATTGTGTTTGGTAAAACTTGTCAACTTGACTCTGTTTTTAAATAAAGTTTTGTTTAAATGGAATCAAAAACTTTTTTCTGGAGGTCAGTTTTTTATTTTGATAACATGCACAGTAGGTTAGAAAGTTTTAAAATCAGACGTGAACACTTTTAAAATCAGTTCTCTGGCAAAATTGAGACGAGCCTTAATGTACTTTTGTTCAGCAGTGGTTTCTGTCTTGTGACTCTGTCATGCAGGCTGCTTTTGCCCAGAGTCTCTTATGGTGGAGTCATCAACACTGACTTTAACTGAGGGAAGTGAGGTCTGCAGGTCTTTGGATGTTTTTGTTGTTGTTTTGTGACCTCTTGGATGAGTAGTTGTTGTGCTTTAGAAATGGCTTTATAACCTTTTCAAGACTGATAGATTTTAATTTCTTTTTCTCTCATTTGTTCCTGAATTTCTTTCGATCTCAGCATGATGTCTAGCTTTTGAGGATCTTTTGGTCTACTTCACTTTGTTGTCAGGCAGGTCCTATTTAATGGATTTCTTGACTGAGAACAGTCGTGGCAGTAATCAGGCCTGGGTGTGGCTACATTGAACTCAGGTGTGATAAACCAGTTATATTTTGACAGGGAAGGAAATATTAGTTCAGATTTTTTTTTGTAACTTGTAACAACAAGAGGTTAGTGGTGTCATGCCTATTCTTTAGTTCATGACATCCTCTTCTCATGCAGGCTGTTGCAGTAACCTGAAAAATTAAATTACCTGGGATTAACACACCAATCACAGAGCATAGTAGATGACCACATGACTGTGAGTGAAGTCATCTCATCCCAATTTATGTTTGAACAGATACAATGAAAAACAAACTGGTACCTTTTAATGTGAGAACATGTCGCCTTTAGCCAAGAGAAAAGGACAACCAGCTACTTAAGATAAGGCACCATCTCCAAATCTGGCAACTGTATAGCTGAGCCCTGCAAAGTGTGAATGTCTGTCACTTCTAGTGCTGTATTTGGCAACCTGGGCCAAAGCTTAACTCCAAACTGTCAGCTGGCATCAACACGAGCTGATCAAATTTGATGTGCTTATTTGTTTCACTGGGATCTTAAAGGCACAGATTTGAGAAACAGCCTCATTGTGACTCCACAGTGGAGTAACCTGCATTCAAGTCAGTACTTCGATAATTTGACAATGAAATTGGAAGATGCCCAGTGATCAGAGTGCAGTAAAAATTGAATTCAAACACATATCTATCAGTATCTACTGATTACTTCAAATCTACAAAGGTCTCAAGTTCTCTCTCAAGTTGTTTGTGATCCTTTAGAGCAGAGTTTAAATCCTTTATCCTCCTCAGGTAAGACACCTCAGTTTAAATGTTCCTCATGATGAGAATTCAGGCTCTTTCTAGTGGCTCAGACCATTCTGCTCTGTGAGAACTAGGTCTTTAGCTCCCAAATGGGCTAAGGGCAGGTTTTAGAGCTGAGTCCCACATGGCCAACACACAGGCTAATCCTGATGTTAGCTTACTGTCTGCTGTCAATGCATTAAGTAATGCAATAATAAGGTTGTAGAAAACTGTAATGGGTTTAAAAGGTGTAATAATCATCATTTAAAGTAATCTCCGACCTCAGTTGACTGAGCTCTCAGTACTTTTCCCCCTCTTACTTTACTTTGTGGTATTATTATCACCACTATAATTACTACTATCATTATCATAATTATTATTATATACATTTTTTTCCCTTTGCTTTATCAAATCTGTTTTCAATTCCTCTCCCCCCAAGGGCGGGCGGTCGGGTGGGTGGGTGGGTGGATCGATTGATTTTGAGTAGGGATGCACGATATTTATCGGACCGATAAAATACCGGCCGATTTGGGGAGAAATTACGTCATTTTTTATCGGTCCGATAGGTGCATTTTTCCGATAGAAAGATCCGATATATTAATGAAATTACGAGTAACGTTTGCAGGCGGAGTAGCCGCCCGTCCGAGACGCGCTGGTTAAGTCATCTATCGCGCCTTACTCGCAGGTCCCAAGCCTGACCCCGTCACTACCTGACAGATAATAAAATGTCTTCACCAGCATGGTCTTTTCTCTCAGTGGCAGAAGATGACAACAGCATTGCTATATGCAAAACCTGTTCAGCGAGGATTCCGAGAGGAGGAAAGAAGACGTCAAGTTTTAATACAACGAATCTGATAGCTCATCTGAAAAGTCGCCATCGCGGCAAAGCGGTAGTAAAAGAATATGAGACAGCCACCGAAGCTGCTAGCGGTACTAAAGCTAAGACAACAACACTACGGAGGATCGATGTCCCCATTCAGCAGGCGTTTAAAAACTGCAAAAGCTTCTCAAGAGACAGCGAAAAGGCTAAAGGCATTAACGACAAAGTGATGGAGTTCATAGCGGTCGACGACCAGCCTTTTTCCGTCGTTGAGAACCCGGGTTTTCGTAAGTTATTAGCACACTTGGAGCCACGTTACACTCTCCCAAGCCGCCGTTTCTTCTCGGATGTGTCTCTTCCTGCACTCTATGATATTGTCGCCACATACATTCACAACCTGATCGACAAGAACGGACTACACGTGAGTTTTACCACAGACATATGGACGTCAGATGTTAGTCCGGTCAGCATGCTAAGCCTAACGTCTCATAATAGCTCCTTTACAGTTTACAGTTCTGTTGAACAGTTCAGGGGATCAAATGAAGTTCTGCTTTTTGCTTTGTTATTGTTATTTATAGCAAATGACCACATTTGAAGAGCCAAAAACTTTTGTTTGTTGTTCTAGATAGGCCAGAGCAACAAAAATATCAGTTTTCAATCGCTGCATCCTGCACAAACTGCAGATTATATGAAGATTATAATAAACGTAAAAATATGAATTTATCGGTTATCGGTATCGGTATCGGCCATGAGAAGAAGAAAATTATCGGTTATCGGTATCGGTTGAAATTTTTCATATCGTGCATCACTAATTTTGAGGTTTGTACAGTCTTGTCCCGTTTCCCGCACAGTATTGCACTGTGTAGTATGTGTCTTGTGTGTTATGTGTTTTGTATGTTAAAAACTGAAAATCCAATAAAAAAAATAAAATAAAGTAATCTCCATGTGAATAGTAAACAACAAAGTCACTGCCAACAATTAACCACTGACTAATAACAGGACCTGTGCAATAATACTAGATACACACACTGAATCACAGCAGAGGGAGTTCCTCAATGCGACAGCCCAACCTCACAATTAGATTTATTAGGTAGCAGTCTTTTTATTTCTCAGTGTTCACAAACTGTTTTAAGAGTTGAGCATATTTGGAAAAATGTTTACTGTCTTTCCTGTTGAGTATGTTGAGATTTGAGCACTGTCAGGATAAGAGTGAACAGTGCAGATCTGCAAAGCAGGAATAGGGGGTGCTGGTGAGTTCCATTAAACCGAAGAAAAATGCATAACCTAATGAAAATTTGTCGCCCTTTGGCATCATTTAGGTCATGGGCTTTGTGAACTGAACCTGTGCACAGTCTACACTTCTCAACCCTATTGGAGGTAGCAGTCCATCGTTTGTATATTTCCTCCAAGAAGGAAGCTTAATAAGTAGGTACAGCACAGAGAAAGAGCTGGTCCTGGTCACAGCTTGATTCAGTTTAGTTTGAAGATTTCATCATCATCCAAACCCATCTTTGTCATCCAAGACTAATTTGACCCAGTTTTTAAAGATGAATTTTTAATTTTAAGTGATAGTCCCATGGAGCCAAAACCACAATCCCCTTTTGTCTCTCCAGCAATTTAATTTTGCATCACCTGCTCACCTGTAATCAAAGCAACAAGACTTAATATCCATTCTGAAGTACAGTGTAATCATTATATATAAATGTTTCTCCTAACAAATTAATATGATTACAGAGCATTGGTGCAGATCATTTCAGGACAGTGAAACACACATCTGACCAAATGCAGGATACAAAAAAGGAAAGGACAAAACCCTATGCTATATTGTGACCACACACCAAAGGGGATCCCAGGGCAGTTGAATCTAATGAAAACCTTTAAATTTGTCTCTAGCTGAGATCATTTGTCCCAATGCTGGCTGTTTGAAGACCTTAAGAGAGCAAAACGAATCTTCTCTGCATATGTTGTCCAGGATTTAGCCATCTTTGGCAACGATTGTGTCCTTAGATAGGTAAACTACCCAGTATACCATGTTGAAAGCCCCAAAGGACACTGGAAACAGGATCCGAGCATACTTGTCAATTTTGCTTGTTTCGCCCATCCCAGCAGTGGTGGGCTGGGAACAAGGTGTCTGCTTAAGCTCCAGTTTGTTCCCTATCATCTGGATACGCTCCAGCTTTGGCCCAAGAAGCTGCTGCAAAGAGCAGGAATGTGTGTTCTGCATGCACGGTGTCCCAGCCATCATTTCATTTGTGGAAGTTGCACTTGGGGGCGCGCTCTTTACCATCTGGGCGGAGAGAGAGGCCAGACTGAGCAGGCTCTCTGATTTAGGGCTGGAGCAGAAGAGGGTGTACGTTCTGCCGTTGTCTCCACTGGCTAAAGGTCGCAGAAGTCGTGTTCTTTCAATTCCAGAGATGTTGGTGGTGGACTGAGCCTTCTGCTGACTGCTGGGGTCTTGGCAATTATAATTCAGCCGCTTTCTCAGATTACTGTTGGCGTCAGAGTTTTGCTGTGAGGAAAAAGAAAATGCTTCATCATTTTCTGTTTTTGGAAATACATAATAATTCCAGTGGCTGACAATAACTTGCAACAGAGAAAATGAAACCCCAGATTGTTCAGCTCTAGAATGAACATTGTGTAAGGCTGCGATCTGTGGAGGTTATATTGGTTGCTTAAGAATAAAAGCCACATGATATTGTATGAAGGGTGATAAGTAGGTAACAAGTAATAATTAATACTGGTTTATCTTTATTTAACTTAACCAGGCAGTTTGATTAACTACCTGTTTGCAGAGGTGGTAGTAATGGGTGATGTGTAGTTGAGCAGTGTCGTCTAAAAATTTTACTTATAAGAGTTATTGTTTGCAGAATATCCATTGGTCCTTTACTTTCTTTCATTTTTAAAGGGAAAAAGTACTCTTACTTTGCTGCAATGGGATTAACACCTGTTACAAGTGTTAATTTGTTTTTAGTTTATTTCAATTTAGACATTTTGATACACTTGTCTAAGCTCTCACTCAACAGGATCCTGACTAAAAGAGTGCATCCTAAAAAGGTTGGAGTGTCTTATTCGAGGATGATCAACAAGTGCGGTCAAAGCTATTGTACCCTCACAAAATGTTAAGAGGGGAGACAAGCTAACAAATAGTCAGTAGTACGCTGCCACAGACAAATCTTCTTAAATCACAACTTTCTGTGTGCTGGTGCCCCTTAGAATACAACAGGTGCTGTTTTTCCTTTTTTTAGCCCCTGTCCCCAAACAGCTGGAGTACACCACTGGTTAGCAGCTCTCTTCTAATCCAACTGGACTTGTAATTTCAAAAACACTCATGGAATTTCCCACCATTGTTCTGTAAGAAATTTAAGGCCCTGATAGGATACCAATAGTGACTGAAGGTGAGACAGCTAATCGTTTAAGAACCAATCCTGTTTTATTGTTGAAATATTTCAAGGTAATTCCTGTTTGTGTCTAAAAATTAATCCACAAAAAAGTAATGCTTTTTTCTTTTTCTTCTTTTTTTTTATAAAAGTGTTAAAATATTTTCCCCAATTATTCTACAAACTGAGAAAACATCAGTACATATGTTAGCCATGCATATAATAAAGAGATATTTATCTGCTGAGCAAGTTCAAGTCCTGATCGAAATGAGTCAAAAAAGGCAGTTTTGTTAAAATGATGATCCGTCTATGAGAGGAAGCAACACGATGATCAGTGAGGGAAGGATCCAAATGTTATGATGAATTAAACAGGGTAAAAGTCACTTTTCTTCTCTAAAGCTTGGGTCAGCTACATGCACTGTGCCACATTGATCTGTTTAAGTCACTCTGACACAGATGGCCTTCCACTGAAGGCAGACTGTGTGCAGTACAGATGTCACTAGTCAAGGATTTTACTCATTTCACATAAGCCTAAGACAGAAAGTAGGTAGCACTTCATCAGGGCGGTAATTCTGTGAAGCATCAGGGGAGCTTATCCTTTGAGAGTTGATGTTTCTAGGCAGAGAGAGTGTGATGTTGGCACTAAGGCATTTGCAGGAATAATCCCCACTCTGAAACTTAAAGGACACACTGTTTGTGTCTCGTGTGTAGCAGAGAAAGAGTGTGTGTGGATAGTTCAGCTTGTCTTTTCTCTCTAAAGAGGAACTGGGCTCTGGCACAGGGACCGTCTAAACACACCTCACCAAGCCCTTTGGAACGCTAATAGGGCCAGTTCTTGAGGAAAATAAGTATTAATTCCTGTCCAGAGCCTTCCTGGAGCCTCTTCAAATGTGGACTGGTTGCTGTGGCAACCTACTAATCCAGTGAAGTGAAGTTGTCACTATGCTGCATTCAGGCATGATTACATCACACTGGGATTTGGACTAGACTGGGAAACTCGAAGTGGTTAGTGTAACTACAACTCTGACTCATGCATTGGTAGGAAAAGTCTTCTCCCCTGATAAGATGATCAGAGATAAGTCATCTGATCTGGAGAACTTAAAGTCTAATTAGCTTCTTTTCTTCATTTCACCTCCTTCCTTTCTGTGAGTGTTCATAAAGCACCATGAAGACACTGCTGCAGTTACATGAATCATGTATGTACAAAAGAGGCAGCTTCAACTTGTGGATTAAATTCTCAGTTAATCCAAGTGTCAGCTATCCTGTTGTCAAAGTAAGTCTTTTAAAGTAGCATGACAGTAAAAATGAGATTTTGTGAAATCATCTGAAATTTTAGGTGAAGGTTGTTTTAAAGTGCAAACATCATCAGTGAGGAACCCCAATGTGATTATCCAGAAACAAGAAGTGTTTCAAAGCTCTTAAAAACACCGCTTTTTTTTCTCTCTCCCTCACTCTCTCTCTCTCCTTTTTTGGATCTGACAAGACTGAGAAAATTAGAAAAAAACAACCAATTTAGTATGTTTTGACGTGTAAGTCTTAGAAACCTGCAAAGTTCAGGTTTTAATTATGTTTGAGGGACACTGTCCATCCATGAGGAATTCTTTACGTAATCAATTATTGTTTGTGGGTGTCAATGATGTCCCACTTTATGAAAACCTACATACTACTGCAGTTAACTTTAACACTGAGATGATCGGGCTCTTAGTGACACATTTAAGTCCTAGCCCACCCCTGAGGATCACTTTCTAAATGATGTCACTGCTTTGTGGATCCTTCCAGCCCTCATAAGTATGAGTGCAGCCTAAAACCCTCATGTGTACCCACTTCAGGCCTATCTGGTTTTAGGATGAGAGTACAGTAAGCACATAATAAGGGACACGCTGTCCTCTTGAAATTAAGTGCTAAGAGTGTATGCCACAGCCACTCTGAGAGAAACAAAAATTACCTGCAGCAGTTCCTCCATGTCCTTGACCTTGACAGGCGTCGAGTGGGGCACCGGGGGACAGTTGGCTAGCTTTTTTTTCGTCCACTCAATCTGTGCATTGGTGAAGTAGTTAACAGCTGCAAACTCAATGAGGGCAGAGAAGACAAAGGCAAAACAGACGGCAATGAACCAGTCCATGGCTGTGGCATATGAAACCTTGGGAAGAGAGTGGCGAGCACTGATGCTGAGCGTCGTCATGGTCAGGACGGTTGTGATGCCTTAAGTGGATCAAACACAGAGAAAGATTAAACCCGTAAGCTTGAGCCTAGAAGACGAGACAGGAATTTTTGAACATGTTTTACCTGAGCTGTTAAAAAATTTATCTTAATTTGTTACGAAAGGATTCACTGAAAAATACTGTCACATCTGTCACTAAGCAATTTGGGTCATGTCATCGCTGGATAAATGATGATGATAGAGATCATTTGCATCGTTAAATAACCTATCAATATTATGCAGCGCTACATAACACAATCTTAACCAGCTTGATGTATCAATATAACAAACCACACATTGTTGTCTCTGCTAAATAAACAAAAGCAGCAGTAGAACAGGTTCCGAAATAGGATACTGTAAGTTTTTATAGAGCCAAGTTACATTATTCAAAAAGGAAACTTTTGAAAAGAAATTACTAAGTTTATTCTGGAGCCAATACATAAAAAAGGATATTGTACAAAACTGAAGGACAGTGGACTTCCTCTCATAGACTCACACACAGTACCCACATACCGGGCTGTGTAGCTTGTCCATCACTTTGTACCATAAAGATATGATACATAAAAGCCACTGATCTGGCCACCATTCAAGGTCCCTTGTGACATCCAGAACAATAGAAAGTCACATGAGCCTGTAGCTCATCACTTGTCCTTGGTGTTTTTAGCCAATAGCATTAATGTGATGGGGAGAAAATCCCTTTAACATTGGAGGTCTGGAACATCAGTGCTCAGAGTCCTGGACCTATACACAGTAAAAGCATTCCTCAGACCTCGACATGACCACCATTTTACTGCCATCAGTGAAAAGCAGCTGAGTGACTGGCTTTTCAACACATATGGATAACAAGCCTGTTGGTCCATCTCCTCATGAAGGTAGTGGATTCATGGTTTTAAATAAGAAAAATGACATTTTAATTCATCAGAAGTTTAAAAGAAGTGTCCACTGAATTTCACTATTGATACAATTAGTCAAATGAACACATCATAAAATATGAAATGTTGGGACCAGCTGTTCAACATTTAGGCATCTTGAATTAGATAGAACACCTATCATTGGAGTTTGCTCCTGAGACCACAGCGCAAGGACCAACTGTCCATGCCTGAGGACAACAAGTAGGGGCTTAGCTAGAATGTCATTTTCATATAAGAATGCAGGGTCTCAGGGGGCTAAATAGTCTTGGACTCTCAGCATTTCTGAATCATGCTTATACATGATTTCCTCTTTGCATGGTACAGTTTTAACCTGCTCCAGGGATGGAGTTACAGGCAGTGGTATTTGGAAGTGATTTTGAGCCCACACAGTCTCTCACAGAGTGGTGCTCCTCTTCCACCCTCTGAGAGACTCAGCTTTTCTGGAGTGCCATTTTTGTACCCCGTCTGGCTTGTTGTAAATTAAACTGATCAGTTTTGAGAGGCTCTCTCAGTTTTTTTCTCTTGAAATGTGTTACTTGCATCAAATTTAAACTAGGTTCTGTTTATGAGCATGAACTTGACATAAAACTTAATTTATGCTTCAACGTTAGATGTGTTATCTTTACAGTATTTGTGGTTGAATATTAAGCTTTGACTACTTGCACAGTGTCCCAACATGTATGGGTTTATGTGACATCCCCTTTATGTGAGCAGGTATCCTGACGGACAACTGTAACAGGATTGGAGTCAAAAACCTGAGCTCTATGGGGTCTTTTAAAAACTTGTTATATGGGATAAGTGAACCATAGAGAAAATTCTTGATTTTTTTTTAGCCAAAACTGACCACGGCTATCATTTATATTTCTGTAAATAATGACATCAAATCCCAACAAATATCATGAATTCACATCACAATGAGAGTAGTTCAAAATGACATTATTAAATTACATCTAAAGATATAGAGAGTGAAACCACTTTAGGGCAGCAGCAGATTAAAATGTTACTCTGGAGAGAAATTCTCACTAACTGTGCTGTTACATCCTGTTATCAAGACTGCAAAATAAACATGTTTGTGCTAATGACATATTTGGATGTTTACATTATGTCTAATATCAGGTGATGCTGAGACCTCTGCATAACTTTTAAATCAAACAAACAGAATTGAAATTATTCTGCTACATGAAATCAGCTTATCATTTTTGATATTTAAAGTAAACAAAGAACAGAAAAGTGAAATGATGAAAATAAGTGAACTTCCTTAAATTAATTAAAGCCATGAAAACAACACTTAATTAGACATTTATAGTGTAAAATAACCGGTTTACAGCTAAAAATTATACATAATCTGAAACAACCTTGATATAAACAGCAGAAGCTCTCTGTTCAGTAGTCCTAATCTAGTGGCTTTCACTGTAGCTTCATCTGTTTCCTGGAGTCCAGATTGACACATAAGCTGTACTTGCTCTGCTGGCATGCAATGAAGAAATAAAATCAAAGGAGAGCAGAGAGGCTGTGCAGGATGAGGGAAGTGTGGGGTCTACATACCAAAGACCGTGCGTGCCGGGACTGATTCTTTGTTTATCCAGAAGGACACTTGGGAGAGGATGACTGTCATTATGCAGGGGATATAGGTCTGAATCATGAAGTAGCCCATTTTACGTTTCAAGTGGAAGAAGACGGTCATCACCACATATTCGCCTAAAGAACCAACAGAAAGGATTAATTTTGATAAGAAATGCACAGATAATTTTTTAAAAGGCTTGACTCCAACAATAAAAGCTTGTTAAATCATATATCATATTTGATTTTACCTTTTTAGACTCCATACTTTATAGATTTAACCCAATTTCTTATATCCACACAAGATTTATGTGACATAACTCTGAGATGCTTCAAATCATGAAGATCAGCAATTCTGATTGAAGCTTCAAATCCATCTTATATTACCACCTTTCAGTATTTGTGCAGTGCTCATCCTGCTTTTAAAACAGCAAACCAAGGGGAAAACTGGAGAGTATCAGACAGACAGCTGTGCAGCTTTACTGTCAGTGAAAGAAAAGATATTACGCTCTCACCAGCTCATTCTGTAAAAATCTAAGAACTATGACTTTATTGTAAAGGTCCTTAAAATAAATGGATCAGCGCAGCCCTTCAACACTCCCAGTCTGCCTTATTTCTATAAGACAAGGCAGCTTTGAGCAGCTTTCAGATCAGCGTTTAAGCTCATCTGACAGCAGCTGGAGTTGTTAATATCTTTTAAAATGTGCATAAAACCTAACTCTTCACCCTGGATTTACATCAAAACATATTTATTTATGTTTAATGCTCTTCTGTTCTCTAAACTGCAGCTCTGGAGAAGTCTGGCACCAGGATGTGCTCAGGTGTCTCCTACCCTCCCTCCTAATGACCAAAAATAACATCCATCCTTAGTATATTTTCAGTCAACACTTCGCTTCATGAGCGTGGTCTAGACCTGCTCTTTTTTTTTGGAAAGTGTCTAGGGATAATTACTGTTGTGATATGGCTCTGTATAAATAATATTTGATTTGATTTGATACGATTCACTGCACCATGTTTTCATGGAGCTATCAGTAATAATGATTTTAGAGGCGTCATGAATAATAAAATGCTGAAGATTACGAACAAAATTTAAAACCTTTTTGATGTTACATTGTAGTTAAAACATGGACACAGCTCTTAAACCCGATGTTAACCTTCAACATTTGTCTCAGATTGACCAAACTAAATCCAATTTTTTTTTTTTGCCTGTCCGTCCATCACTCAAAATCAGCTGCAGAATGAAATCTTCTTGACTGAATGTATCAAATGTATAGAAGTCTTGTTCGGTTATCTAGCAGAGTCATTTACAATAGCTGTGTTTAAACTTCCTAAAAACTTGACCCAGGCACCAAAGCTAACTATAGACCTCTCTGTTTTTCAAATCTTACCTTTATCACAAAAATCTGTAAAGAGCTGGTAGCATGACAGTTTATTTTAGGATTTTTAGTTCCTACAGAGCAAGACCATACTCAGTACGTTTACAAGTTGTCAAAAAGTCAATCTATTGTCTTAAGTCAGACTGGAACTGGACTTTTAAAAAATGTCAGCACATTTGTGCAATTTAAAACACACTAAAACAAACTTCTCTTCTTCTGGCTAAGCAGGTTAAGGCGTGCCCTATGTTGGTTCCCACAGGGGTCGCAAGTTATATTCCAGCCCCAACCCTGTGCTGCAAAGTCTGTTTTTTGTCAGACAAATGCCATAAATTGTTGACATACTGATTGTTACCACTGGAGCTTGGGGCGTCACTTGGTGTCTCCTTGTTGTTGTCAAGTTGTTTTTCTTTGGTTTTTTTTTTTTACAGAACCACAATCTGACCTCCATTCAGCCCTATTCCTCAATGGGTTTCTGCCAGCAAACAAACAATTAAAAAAATCTAAATTTTTGCAAGCTACCTTCAGTGATGATAACATGATCTTCCTGAATCATGTCTTGTGCAGTCAGAACAAAATCAATTTTAACATCAGTACAGAGCTGTGCCATGTTCTTGTAGTACTGTTGATCATGTTATTAAGTTGTTTGTGGGCTTGTTCCTGCCTGTGAATTTTGCCTTCATAAATTAACTCCCACCTTTCATTTATAGTCAGTTTTGTATCATCTCCTGCACAATAAGTGTTGCTTATTGCTCCTGTTTACTTATCAGCTGTGCTAGGTCTTTAGCTTGTCTTGCCATCTGCAAAGAGTGAAGTAATTGCCTCCCAGGCTTCTTTCAGTGGATGCCAGTCTGTCTCTGCAGTGCTCCCAGTTCTCACTCAGATCATAGAGTGTTCTGTAGACAGACTGGGCCATCCTCCTGGCTTTTGTGCTTGCTATTGGAGGCACACTCATCCATCTATCTTGTTATTCTTTGGGACAAAATATCTTATTTATTACTGTCCTCAGGTGAACGACTTAAAAATACTGTCAGCTTCAGAGTCTTACGCCTGTATAAGTGTATAAACCATGACTTATTAACCCAACTTTGCAGCTTACCTGAACCATGTGACTCTCTGTTGCTAGACAGGCCAGTCTCTGAGCTGCTTGAAGTTGAAGTTTTCCAGCTGACTAAACTTTGCCATGAGACTATTGGCCAGTACAGCTAACTTGTCCTCAAAATGAGCTGTTTATTAATCTCATTACACTAGCTTAACATGTGCAGTACATATGGTGCCTCAACTCAACTTCACAATCACATAAAGTTTGGCACAGCCCAATAGACCCCTTCAGTTTTAGTAAATAGCACCTTTCAGAGGGTTGATCTTAGCTGGGCAAAACAATACCCTAAACATGTTAATGTGCACTAGCAAGCATAAAAAAGACCAGGTAACTAAAAATGAGATGTTGTTATAGAAAACAGCTGCTCTGTCAACAGTATTATCATCTAATTTGCTGTATAAGATGGGCTAGTGTTTGTTAAACCATCTTCCTTAGAAATAAGCTACTTCACATGATGGACTGAAGCTGACAGTGATCCGTTTCTCAGTTAATAACTCTTTCATCAAAAAAAAGCTGCAAATACAGTTTAAATGGTGGTTGATAAGAAAGTCTCACCTGTGATGGATTTAATGGTTTCACTGGAGACAGTCTGACCTGTGAGGTCATACTGAACAAGGCTGGAGGACTCAGGGGGGATCTCCACTGAATGTTTAGGCCCTTTAGTCCAAGTGTAGATCATCTCTGTTATGGGATAGGCATCTGGAGGCAGAAAGCAAAACAAACTCTTGAAGTCACTGACTATAAGTTGAAAAAGTTTTATGTGCAGTACCAGTCAGATTTGAGGAAATTAAAGTATGCTGACTTGAACGATTGTATGAAAGTTGTATACACTGCTATGACATTTTTTGAGTATTTGTTCTTTGCATTAGTATTATTTTTTGAGAAAACCTGCGCTGTTGACTCAACTTTATTTCAATGAATTCTCTTCACTTATGCTGTGAAGTCCAGTGATGAATTTTCTTTATTTAAAAATCTGATCTCTGGGACAGTTAGTGTGTTCATGTAGTTTTTTAAACCATGCATGTGATGATTGAAGACAAATTCAAAGCTATAACTCTCAGATTAGGCAGTGATAGTGGTCACAGCTACAGCTTTGAGGGATAATGAGTCTTTACCTGAGTACTAACTTTTGCTGATCAAGCTATCCAGTCCATTCGTCTTATCCCCCAATTAAACTTGTCTCTGTTTTTGTTGACAGACAGCTGCTGTGGTATACGGGAGAGTGGGGTAAGTTGAGCCACCCCCTGTTGCTTGGAAATGGTAAAAGAAATTGATCATGTGACCAAATATTTGGGAGATGGGCATCAATTCATGGAGTCTGTGAAGGTTAGAAGCACATGGGTGAAGGGGTTAGACATTTATTTTCCAAAAAAAAAAACATTTTTCACTCTTGAAAGTGAATTTAGTCTGTCCTCAGTTTTATTAGAATTGTGTTCAGACCAAAAAAGGTCATTCTAAATTTGTTTTATACATCAATTGTGGTATCTATGAGCTACAACATGAGGTCGAAACCTAGAATAAAAATCCACCATTTTAGCTTAGATGACCAATGAAGTCATAATAGTAGTTCAGGGGTAAGTTGAGCCAGTGGCTCAACTGAGAAAGTAAATAAGTCTGATGAGAGGATCAGAGTTTCAGTTCAGATTGTTGAAATGTGTTACTTTTTCTTTTCAAAAATACAGCTGTGAATGTTCTCAATCACTTAAAGGCATTCTCATGTTAAAATGGCTTTTTAAAAACAGCTTTTTAGCAGTTATTTAATAATAATAAGTTTTATTATTGTTATTATAAAAAGTTATTATTGTACCAGTTGAATAGTGTATAATAGATAAAAAATACACATGAATGTGAATAAGTGACTGTTATTTAGGGAGAGAGAAGGTGAGGGAGGGCTGGGATGGGGGGGTAGTAGGGATACGGCTCAACTTACCCCACTCCTATGGTCAACTTACCCCATACACGGAGACCACTTTTTTTGGTATGCTATTTTATCAAGACAATATTATTCAATAATTAAATATTCTATATTATTCAAGATAGTTCTGTTTACACTCATTCTGTTGGTTTGCAGAGATGTACAACATCTCAAAATATATGCAGATACACTAGTTAGAGACAAAACTATGATTGCCTTGATGTAGTGATCTGAAATGTGAAAAATGGCTCATCTTACCCCACTCTCCCCAACAGCAGATTTTAGTTTTGAGATTTATCCTGGTACCAACAACGCTTAAAGATGACATTTTAGGACTTCTTTGTCACCTTCTACCTTGTGGTGCCATTGTTGTTTGCCTGCAGGTTGACTTTTCTTTTCCTCCAGCCGATACTGCCCTGATAGGTTAAGGTCACCATTTAAATGGCCAAAAAAGAAGATTTGAAGCAGACTGAGTAATAACCACCAAACAAAAGATGAGCAAAATCTTCAGAAATACAAACAAGTCAAAACAAAAAGAACTGAAACTATCTACGAGACCAAAACATCGAGGCAACACAGCTCCTGCTTTGACTCTCCGTTCTGAATTAGCACAACTAATTCAGAAGGGGTGCCCATGCCGTGTCCTCCTTTCCTGCAGCCTGCAAGTTACAGTGACCAAACTAGGCCATTGTGTGATCATCCTGTGTGCCCACACACACACCGTACTCTCTACTTCATGCAGTAGCCTACAACACCAGTGTCACAAGCAGGCTGAGGCTAAATTTGGCTATCTTGAGTCTTGCATGAAACACAGCTCAATGTTATCTCCCACTGGCCGTAACACAGCAGGGAAAGCAGGGCATCACTCATACCCTGGCTCTCCTTAATGGGCTACGGTCTGGGGTTAGCTGGTGCTTGTTTAGTTCCTCATCTACATGACTGAGTGGGGTAGAACTCCTGGGATGAGGCTCATTACACTATAATGGGCTTTAACACATTGTTTTTATACTCGGACAGAGACATAAATCTCTGAGTCAACCACTGTCAACCACTCCAACGGACTTTACTGTGATACATGTTTTTCCAGACCAGGAATTCTGGGAACCACGTCCACAGGAAACACAGAACTTCTCTGAATAGGTGTGCTTTTTAGAGCTGCTAACCCAATATTACTCTCAAAACTCCCAAAAGTACAGCTCTATTATCCTGAGAGCTGAGTGTCATCTGAATAGCAATTAAAGTCTAAGTGGTGCCTGCACAGGAATGGCCACAGAGAAAGCATATAGGGGACCCACAATAGACCCCCGCAGGTCTGCACAAGAGAGCAGAGTACAGGAGGATATGGGATTTCCAACATAATAAAAAAAAGTCCTCTGACAGAAATGAATCAGTCCAGTGCCACAGAACTCCAACAAACTATTTCAGATGGCTAATGAAGACATTGAGGCTCACTGTATCTCAAACAGAGGTCAAGCAGAATTAAAATGAAGCCAGAATCAGCTGCAAGCAATAAATCACAGAAGGTCGTGACCAAAGCTGTCTTAATGCCATGTTTGGAGCAGTAGTAAGGTTGAAATTTTCTCAAGACTTGATTGTAGTTCACCAAAGACATCAGCTGAGTGGACACAACTTTTCCTAAGACTCCAGATAAATAAAGCAGCTTACATCTGGCTTTAGTGCCTCAAACATCCAGCACGACTCCTTTTTATCTGTTATTGCCACTGCTTTCTTCACAGCCTGAGTACAGCACTTGGCTCAGGGATAAAGGCCTTACTCTTGAATTTTGTTGATCTGAACTAGTTCTGTTTATTGCTTTATTTCTACATTGTGTGTCTTGTTTCTGTAGAAAGTGAGCAAAATTCAAAAAGTTGTATTAAAAAAAAACTGAACACAAACCAATCTTGAGTTTAACCTCACTACAGGAAGCACTGGGCTTTTCTGGGTTTCACCAGCATCAGGAGCCAGTCGAACATGTTAAAAACCATCTGCATACCTGAGGAATAATTGGGACTCTTATCACACAACTACACAAGTGTTTTTCTTTTTTCTTCCATTCACCTGCTGCTATCTTCATGGAAACTAGTATAAAGCTAGTGAGTGTTCAGCGTTTTTGACACTTTACCAGGGCAGCACTCCCAAGTATAGTCATTTATTTCTTCTAACTTCCCGCTCACTCTGCTCCTCACTGTGATAGACACACCCTGTGCTGTGGAGCATACTCATTATGTCCTTCCTAAAAGAAAAAAAAACTTTTTTGTCATGTTCTGCTGTTGTTGTAGTTCATAGCAGATGTTTGTCATTTAGTCACAGTTCCATGTCAGCATTGACCTAATGAACAAAAAGTTTTCTCTTCACACAACTTATCTGAATCGTGATCAGATCAGAGTTAAAAATGTTAAAAATTTCAGCAGATTCACCATTGTGTTTTAAGAAAACTCAAAAATGGATAAGATAATGATTTGGGATCAAGATTACATAAATATACTGTGTGATATCTTTAACCCACACACCCAAATGTAACACTAAAACCTTTAATTTCACACAGCTGATCATCCTTACGATAACATAACCATGTTTAATGGTTTAAAAGACCTGTTCTTACTCTTGACTGGTGGGAGTGAATCAAGTTGCCGTGTACCTGCAGTGATCATTGTATTCACCTTGATCTTTGTTTAAGTGTACTAGCATCCTCTTGTGTCTATTTTTGACTTTGCTTCTGCCTTTATATACCTCTATCTGTGTCACTGCCTGTTGGTATATTAAACTTTTTGGTGATTTGTTTTATATTGATCCAGTTTCAGAGTCAGTTCAGATTCTTCACCTAGAGTTAAGTTTACACTAACTTTCTGTATAATAGGGGCATAAAAAGATGGTGTATGGTGTACATGTGTTCCCAAACTCAGTGCCTGCAGAACAAAAAGTTAATGTAATGCAAGTTCCCTCACGGCCTGAAGAAGGAAGTAGTCTGCACACAGAACATGCTTTTGCCGTCATGACAGCCGGCTCAACAAACAACAAGCAAAAATTAGAAGATTCTCCACTGACATTAAGGTCTCCTGTGTGAGAACACTACAGTTTTGCATACTAATCCCACTCTTCAGCAGCAGTCGGGTACGGTACTTGAAACACTTCCAACTTGTTAACACATTTGAGGCAGCACCACACAGACATGAAGACACAGTTGTTCAGGCACAGCTGCCTCTGGTGTTTTAACAGCCTTTAGTTGGAAAATCAGAGCGGACTACACTGATATCAAACGCTTCAGGTATTTTATGGCAGCGGCTCTAGTACTGTATTCTGTGATTGAGAACACAGGACTTAAATACACGATAAAGCCTCCATATAAAATTCCCTCTGGTCTACATTTCAATCAGTCACACCAGCTTTTTATGAACAAACAAACAAAAGCTGCTGTTGTGCATAACTTGTCCGACGCATCTGCTGTAGCTCCAACATGGACGAATGGATTTCCTTACTGTATTGAAAATTCACCAAACTGTGACACCAAAAACCAAGTCAGTACTGAACTGTGACTTTAGTGTGCTGTTACACCCCTACTAAATAAAATGTACAATCCTACTATGATCCAGTCCATCTATTAACAACATCTCTTTAATCAGAGTGTATTGTTCCATGTACTGTAGTCAGCTTGACCAGTGTTGGGAGGCACATGTCAGTTGCCTGAGTTTACTATTTCTCTATAGAGCTCCACATGAGCAGGATACCAACTGTGCAGGCAGAATGAAATGACTCTGGTGTCATGGAGTGGAACACAATGCCTTTACGCACAAGTCCAGATGGAGAAACAGAAAAGGAGAAGGGGAAAGGGGAGGAGAAGGAGAGATGAAAAAGAAGGCAGGGGAGATCTACAGAAACTTAGCACACGCACAGACACGAGCTATGGAAAATAGCTGCATAGGTCTGTGCTATCCTGAGGGAGAGGAAGGAATTCTGACCTGTCCTTTACTTCAGGCACCAGATCCATGGTTGCATTTTCCTGACTGGAGGCAGGCTACAGCAGAGCGGGGTTGTTTAAGGAAGAGGGTGGGTAAGGGGAGAAGGACAATAACTAAGAGATGTGAATTTGTCCTCTACAGTGTCACCAATGTTCAGTGTTATTGAAGGCAATATGCATGTGAATAAGGACAAACACGTCATCATTGTCTTGTCTTTCTCCCACAGATGCACTCTTCAAATTTGCTGCTTATCTCTGATCAGACAAAGCTCTGCCACTTGAGACCCTCCTTTATTTAGACTGTTAATTTCTACCGACAGTAGGCTAAATATATACACTGATGTCGTGCTAGGCTTCACTGTTCACAATAAAGTATAAATTCCTTCATAATAGGACCTCAGCATACAAGCCAGTGTGAGGACCTTGTAGGAAACCGGAAAATTATTAGACCTAAGCACTGAAACGGTGCAGGAACGTTTCTGTAATTCCACAGATTATTATTATGTGTACCAAGTATGACTTTTATAACCTTAAGTATGCCCATAACATGCTCAAACAGTCATGAGACTTTACATGTGCACCAAACCTGGTAAGACAAAAATATAAATATATATACTTTGATGGCTTGGCCATGGGCCTAGAAAATGGCTGCGCCCCCTATAAATTAGGAAAAAAAATATGCCCCAAAGCACAGAGAAAGATGATCTTTAAACATAACCAGCTCATCAAGAATTATTACATTTTAACCAATATAGTGGTGAAAAGTTAATAGACAGCCTGGCATTTTCACATTACCAGGGGTCCTTAAAACTTTATCACTTCCTAGTCTACTTCAAACAAGAGTTTTAGCCAGAGGAGACCTGATCAATAAAACGTAAGCTCCTGCACAGGAGTCAAATGGTGGGGCCACATAGCAACACCTCAACATTGGGTGTTTTTCGCATTGAATAGGATGTAGTTTTTTTCTCAGCTCTGCACATTCTAATCCGACCCCTACATTCAACAGGGGTCATGGCCCAAACAAGTTCATATGGCAATATGAGACTACAGCCCTAGCATCCCCTGGAGACAGCAGGAAATGTTCCTCCATGTGCTGAAGCTCTGAGACCATTTCAGATATCTCCACCATCTTTGGTCAGGATGTCCTTGAGAAGCTCTAATCCGACCCATGCTTACAATGCGAGCCTGAACACATTTAAATGGTCATATTTAATCCCAGTCACACACCCCTAGTGGTGGTAAAAATGTCATGCTGCTACTCTATGGGTCAAACCTTTGAGATCATTGAACAAATCTGCATCATCTTTGTTTAAAATATCTCTCAGATGTTGTTTTATAATGCACTCTGAAAAACGTGCATTTTTCCCAGAAGGCAAAGTCAGGACAGTGTGGCAAAATCTGACTTCGGCATGACATCCTGACATAAAAGTTTGAGTTGTTCTAGCAAGCCCTAAATCAATGTAATGACACGACAAATCTTGTGCTAATGAGGGATCCCTACTTGAACACTGCCAAAACACAACACAATCTGTCAGAAACAGGAACTTACTGCTGCCACAAAACAAACACCCAATCCTATCATAAACCTCCTCAACATGCTTACACCCTAACTTCCCCCCACTCTCACAAAATCACAATTAAGTCTACATTTAATTCCATAGCCATGGTAATGAATTGTTTGCCATCAAACAGGAAGTAGTTCTTTTGAGGGGATTTAAATACCTGTAGAGCCACCAAACGTGGTACACAGGGGCAAAGTGGATGAATAAGACATTTGTTATAGATGTGGTCATTGGTTAGCTTTAATGACATAATTACACACGCACATAATTGTCAAGCCAGTTACACTCACACATGAGGGGTTCAAACCATCTCAAACTTTACATCTAATCATACAGCCCCTACCTGAAAAAAAAAAAAAAACACCTTTGAAACTGCTACACTTTGTCAAGGTCCCACCAGCTTCTACAAGGCACAAAGTTTTGACTACTGACTACTGTGTTTTTTGAAGATTTTCAGCAATGTAATGACATTAAGTAATGTGCTGAGTAATACAATTTAATAATAATAACACATTTTAGTTGAGACTCGTTTTGAAATTAAAGCCAATCTCACAGAACTTCTCATTTTGTTTGTTTCCTTCTGCTATGAGTTCACGTTGTATGATTTCATTGCATCTCTCTCCACCAGCTTTATGTATGTATTTTCTCTCAGATGCAGACATTTCTCTCTCTCTCCTTCTCTCACACACAGGACTTACAGCTTCCAAACTTGAGAGGGCACGCATGTCCGTCCATTGGGAAGTCCACAAGCTTCATTGGGCATTCAGCACTTATAGTCAACCTGTTGCAGTATAATAAAAAGTTGCTTATAAAAAGACCACTAAACGAGTCAAACACACATGCTTATGTGTCAAAAGTTCATGCTATAGCCAGGAAAAACAACATCTAACTTTGAGTTCACTCTCGTTTAACATTGTTCTACAAAGTAAAATAATAACAAGACTAGATTGAGTGCACTCCAGTAACAACTAACAGTGATGTGAAACAAGAACATCTGAAAAATTAGGAACCAATTCAGCCATTCCTTTCACCATGAGCCATTACTTTAATTTTACCGCAAATCATCTCAATTATCTTGTCTGTCATAATTATAAAAGATTTTTTAACTTAAGAGACCATTCATATCAAGAAACATTGATATATAACAAAAAAACATTGGGTCAAACTTTGGGTTTAAATATTATTAAAACCCAAAGTTTTAGTAAACCCCTTTTCAACAAAAAGATGATCAATACTGACGTGGTTACCTCATTGTGTAAAGAATAGTGCCATTCTTCATGATGCGAAAAAGCTTGTTCGGAGCAGTCATATTGTGAGCGACTGACTTCTTGCCGTTCCTGAAGAAGGTGTCTGGCGTCCACACTTTGGTCACCATCAGGTTGTTCAGTCTCAGAATTTCTATCGGCCCCTCATACATCAACCGCCGGTCCACCCACGTCTGTCGAAAGAACACGTCCATTGTGTATTCCTAGGTCAAAAAAGGAAATACAAGGTTGGTACATTGGTAGTTCATGTGTAATTGTTTCAGTAAATATGTTTAAATAACAAAATAATAAAGGAAACAGAACAGATGACGTAAGAATATTGAATGAAAACAAAATCAGAAACTAATTGAGGACTGGATTCAGAATCATACTCAAAATCACAGTGGCACACACTCACACTCACAGGCTGATCCAACTCCTGAATTTTCCTGCCTACAACACCTGAGTATGCTCCTGATGATCAGGACCTGGGTTAGGGCGTCAGTCAGTCAGTCTGGACAGTCCGCGGTGCAACGTGGGGGCAGTGGATGTAACGATACATGATGTCTCAGAGGTACTGAACTGGACTCAGGTCTGAGGAACAAGTGGGAACTTCTGCCCTTCAGCACCAGCACATGATCTGGCAATGTGTCTGAGGATCTCATTCTGGTACTTATAGTCTGGTGTTCACTGGCAAATGCCGATCAGGCTGTCCTGTGCCAGGCTGTGAACACAAACCTCACTTATGGATGTTGGGCCCTGATGCCACCCTCATGGAGTCTTTTTCTGACAGTCTGGTCAGACACATGCACAAGTGACCTGCTGGAGGTCATCCTAGCAGTGCTCCTCCTGTTCCCCTTGCCTAAAAGAGTAGACAGTGGTCCTGCTGCTGGGTTGTTGCCCGCCTACAGCCCCCTCAACTTCTCCTGTCTTCTAGTACCTTATTCACTGTGCTGACATGAATTGGTTTGACATCCTGGAGAAGTCTTGCTATTTGCCTCACCTACTCACCTGTTGTCCGTCTCATGTGCACAACAGCAGGTGAAAATGATTCACAATCATCATTGGTCCCTAGCTACAACGGTTCGATATCCTGGAAGTGTGACTGACTTGGAGTGACACTACGATGATCATATGTTCCCTTTATTGTTTTGTGTCATGTATTTTGCTCCCAATTCAAATATTAAGTCCAGATTTCTTAATGGTTGGAACACACATGTTCTGGTGTGATGCCCCAACAAAGTTGAGTGAGTATCAGATCATAAAAATTAACAGTATAAATATGGCAAAGACATGGTACTTACCATTTCAACGTCTGAGACAGGCCCAAAACTGGTCACATAAATGTCAGTCTTCACCTCAGTCACAGGACCTGTTGAATTATTGTAACAAAGACTCTTACTTTGTTAAATCCCGACTGAAAGAGAAACCAGACTCTTCTCACACCTAAAAATTAGCATACACGTTTGTATATAACCTTCTATTTTTGTATACATTGTATATTTTTATCAGCCTTGCTTTATTACTGTGATATCTTTGTAACTGTACTGTGTTTCCTTGTTTTTTTTTCTTTTCTTACTTTTACTAATAAGGTGTTTGAAATTAGCATCTTCCAAAACACACTAAGTGCAGTGTATCTTGGAGTCGTGCATGGTTAAATACGGCAGCACTGATGTTACTGTTGGTCCACAACAAATAAACAAGTAAATATTAAGTGCTTGGTTTCCGTTTTAGATCCCTCAATCATCACAGTCTTGTCCACACTGAAACACATTTTTCAGGCGTGTAGCCCATTGTGACAGAAAGGAATGGATATTGGGGAGACTGCTGGTTTGAAAGAGTTATCTTCTTTGTCCAAGGGACTTCAGATTTAGATACAACAATGGAAACAACTCTTTCATACTAAATCACAGGCTTATACATCATGCAAGACTCTCAGGTGACCCAGTTGTGAACTACTCTCAGTTGATCACCCACCACAGCTGGAGGACCAACAGAGGCTATAAATGTCCAACTTTGGCTCCATTCACGTTTGAACTGAAAAAGCCTTTTGAGAGAGAGAGGCGAAACCTCTACAAGAGCCTCAAACAAGTCCAGTAGCCCTTTCAACAAAGAATTGGATAACCATGACCTAGATGAATGAGAATCTACACAGACAGCTCTGTCAGACATGACATACTATGAACCCCTCAAACTTTTAACACTTAAACTATGTTTTTAAGTGCCTGCCTTCACTAATGTGTGCGGTGAAGCTCATGTAGCCTACAGTGCAACTTACAAAGAAAACATCTTGAAACATCAACGTTCAGATTCATTTTACTAATCAACATTTTATGAGGATGAAACAAAACCAGCAACAATGTAAGAGCTACCACTTTGTCCACAGGGGGTGCCAAAGTCAATAGAGAGAGAAAGTTCCTAATAGGAGCATTAAATGGTCAAATTTGAGCAAAGTTTGCTCTTAAACTTTGTTTTGAAGGAGCAAGTAAAGGTGAAATCTAATCATCATGGAGACAATTAGCTTTTTGGCTTCAGGGAGAATTTGGTGCTTGACGGTGACTTCACAGTCAAAGCAGTCATAAGTGTCTTTTTGCTGGCAGTGTCAGATAAGGTACAATAAAGATCGATAGTTATTTTACTTTCTTACTTTATTTGAAGAAATAATGTTTAACATCCAGTTTGTGTTTCCTGTTTGTAGGTTTACATGAAAATGCTGAATATTCAATCAAAACACATTTTTTCCCAACAGCCTACATACCGCCAAATCCAGGTCGCAGCCTGTTGTCATACCCGTCAAGAAGTCGGTCTAAAATGCAAGTAAAATTCTCAGGATAGATCCTCTCATCCTTTCTTGCCTGTCCAGAGATTTTCTTTGCACTAAAAAACAAAACAAAACATAAAATTACTGTAACTATCGAGCTAAAAGAAATTAACCTGCCATGGTGAGCAAGAGGTTTAAACATAAAGGAAAGCAACATTGTAGGACTCACCAAGTCGTGAGACAGAAAAAGTAGAAAAAGGTCAGAATGAACATCGGCCGCATCGCTGTCACCGTCTCCTTCTGCTTGTAGGAAAACATCTTTGCATGCCATACTTTAAGCCTCTTCACATGTCACCACGCCAGATGCCTGTGTCCCAGGTGAAGGGAGTACAGTGAGGCAGAGGGCAAAGTGGCGCAGAGAGGGAGCGAGTTCACTCTCGTTGTTTCTGCAGTCTCTCTGCCAAACGCACAACGTGCACAGACGTGCGTGTAGTTACGCTGACACGCGCACACATACAAACTCACACTCAACCTCCGCCTGGGTCACTTCTCATATGAATTGGGGTAGTTTTTTGGTGATGGAGTATCCACTATCCAGGGAAAGAAGCAAACCTCTTACCCTAGCCCGGTACGTCTCTCTCAGCCTGCCAGGTCCCTCCCCCTACTTTCAGTCCCTTTTCCTCTCTCTACCTCTCCTGTCACACTCTCTCTCACAAGCGCGCACACACCTGACTTCGTAAGGACACGTGCACAGCTTCGTAATGCCTCAAAAAAGTAGCATATTGATTTCCCCCCTCTGTCAAGACTGGTGGAAGGAGCGCGCAAAATGAGTAACCCCATTTCTCCTTTCAGCAAATATGATCATTCAGCATTCCCTGACTACATGACCTCCCTCTGTCTTTCAAATTCAGGCACCAAGACCCACTTTGCATCCAGTATTACTCCACTCATAAGGCCTGTTTTCCTATACTATATGCTCTCTGTACGTCATTTGTGATTTGACCTTTATTCCTAATGCTTCACAAAAATCCAACTCAACAACTTTTAATGTCGAACTGGTTTTAGAAATTAATAAATGTCTGCATTAACATCAAAATGGGTCACTCTTGTCGCAATATGCAATCACACACATACACACAAAGGCACTCAGGTACTGAGGAACTAGGACAAGCCACATGCTGCTTTACAGATTTCTCTGCACCTGGTAAAGGCACAAGACCTTCAGCGAGAAGGGACAAGTAACTCTGAAGCTGAATGCTGATGGTGAATTTTACATAATAATCAAGATCCTCAGCTTCTATCCTGACCGTGGCTCTCAGGGTGATAGTGGGCTGTCTGAAAATGAAACCAAACCTGAGGCTATAGGCCTTGTCCATCACAAGAGTCTCTGTCCAAAATAGCTGGGGGGTATGGGAGACAGGAGAAAGGAAGTGGGTGAAAACAGAGAGGATTCTCCTACCTTGTGCATCAACATGTGGTTACAGCGATTGGATCACAGGTGGACAGCTGTAGGTATGAGTGCTCTTCAACTAAAGCTCACTAAAAACAACTTATTTTACTTTTCTGCTTCAGATGCCTAACACAGGGCTCCATTCACCTTCATTAGATTTTACAGCCATTAAAAGATGATAACAAACTGTTTTGCATTTAGAGGTTGAAAGCTTTACTCTCTTAGTTCAGAGATGAAATAAGGGCAATAAAAGAGCCTTCGATCCTGGCCAAGTGCAGCCCACAAACAGCTAAAATAAATCAGACTGCCCCCCAAAAAATCATTTTTCCCTTAGTTCAAAAACTTTGTGTGTGATGAATCTTGAATATATGGAAGTTTCCCTTTTTGAAATAAGTTATAGGGGTAGGCAGTGAACATTTTCTGCTGCTGCTGCCTCTTGTGCTGTGTGTGTAGAGTCCCATTTTCTCACTCTAGCTGGATTTTAGTTGCAGAGCACCAAATCTTTGCTCTCTGACAGCGACATCTCTGCCCTGACCTTTGCACACAGGAACTCCTCTGCTACACTGCTATTAATGAGCAAAAATGATGTAGTTTATTGTAAGAACACAGGTCCCAATCTCCTGCACAGCCTCCCACAATCCACAAGAGCAAAGCTGCTCTGTGGAGGATGAGTAATATGCATGCTTTTCTTAGGGGATGGATTTCTTTCATTTTTTTTCTACCCCTTGGAAAGCACTTTGGAAAAACTTTACCAAATTGATTGTAATAGCAGGGCAGTTAAATGCCTCAAAATGTCAGAAGTGCGGTTTTAAGAAAAAGTCCTGTAGGCCTTATTATGCCACACTGACCTTCTCTTAGAGTCTGCTCTTTTTTTAGCACATACAACATTATGTAAAAATTTAAAAAATGCATCAATAAGATGTCCCCTGTGCATGGAGGACTAAAGATTTTCATTGTAATTTGATTTTTAATTGAAATCATGTAGTTTCATTCTTTTGTGGGTGTGACAGTCTCTCATACAGTTTGTCCCAAGATACCTCAAAACTGGTTCTTCTGCCATGTTAGCTGTGTGCCCTGCAGCAGCAGCAGGAAAAATGCTACAATAACCTAGTTCTTAGTGTAAATGCAGAAGAGTGTGCAGAGAGATTCACTTTTTAAATTTTCAAAGCATCAGGAGATTTTTTCAAATTATTCATACTTTTGTGTTCCATTCACAACTCAACCACATTTTTGATTCCTGATTAATTTGGGGATAAAACTCTTGGTTTGAGTCATCTCCAGACCTCCGCCAGAGGGAGTTGGCCTATTGCAAGCTTGATCCTCAAAATCATAAAATAAAAGTAAAACGACAAATGAAATCCTTCAATTGTTCAGCTGTCAGTCATCAATTTTGATTTTGTTTCAGCTGGTTGAATTATTGATTAATCCTGCTTCCATTTCCCTGCTGTCCAAATGGGATTATCCTGAAAGCATGTGATAAGGAGGTTTTTATTCTATTATTAACAGTAGTATTAGAGTGTGTCACGACATGGCTGAATATCTGGGAATTAAAAATGTAAAATCCTTGCTCCCTCCTTTAGTTCAAAATCCTGACTCCTTGCAGGTATCAGCTCATTCTGTTATTTGGGTTCATATACTGGGCGACTTACCTGATTTATCCTCTTCTTTGTACCTCCATTTCATATGAATTGCCAAATATTTCTTATAAATGGGAAAAGGATTTAGAAACTGCATATTTGGAAGATGACTGGCTCAGTCTTCCTTACATAGGCAGATCAAGGCCCCCCTTAAAGAGTGGCCTGGCTGGGGATATATTTCACACTATACTTCCTGGCCCGCTCCCAGTCTGGCCTTGGATGGAGGAATTGTTGCAAGGCTTTTTTTGTGGCAATCTTCCAAGCTGACATCCTGCTGACAAGTAAAAACAACCAGAAATACCTGCAGACACGTGGTGCTGATGAGGCTACAGGATGCTGGTCTCAGTTTGAAGACAACCAAGTGTGCATTTTTTAGTGAGGTAATGATGATCAGGTGGATGCAACAACACAGCGTCTATTTGACAAGAAGGTGCAATTAGCAGCTCAACCTTCAAATGTGACAGAGCTTTTGTTAAACCTGTCAACTGTTCTTGCTCCAGCGCAGAAAACAGCTACAGAAAGACACTTCGGTAGCAGTGAGTGGAGGTACAACAAGCAGCTTTTGACAGTCAGAAGAAATGATGCAGACTGCTGACTATAAAGGGTCTTTGGTTTTTGTAAGTGTTGTCAACAGCGAAGAGTTCATAAATGATTCCACTGAACCAAACTGCAGAGTGTTTGCAGGTGGTCCAGTTTGTTCGGTCAAAGGCTCTTTCTGCACCTACTGTAGCTTTAATGGATTCCTGGTGTTGCACTGTTGACTATAAGTAAACACCCTGTGTGTCATTGGATGAGTTTCTACGTTTAACAAATTCTGTTTGGTCTGCGTAAACTATGATTTAGTTTTATAAATGAACTAGCGCTTCAGTGATGATTTTTATGTCTCAAATGAGAGGTGATAATAGAAGGTAGCTTGACAGTACAGTCCTTCGTTTCTCTAAATAGAAGCAAGACTGAGACTGTATTCATGAGTGATGGAAATCTTGAGTTGTAGTTTACTTTTCTTGTCATTTCATGAAAACAGTAACAAAGGAAAAAGCACGTTCATAAAATCCAGAAGGCCATCAGGACTTGGTGTAGGTTAATGGCCATTCAATAAAAGGCGTCCTACAGCTCTTTGGAAGTTTGGGGAGAGTCCACCTTATTTGTTCAGTACTGATCAGCACTAAGTTGATGCTGTTGAGAAATGATGTAGTAAATTCTTCATTTGGGTTCTTAAACATGTGAATCAGCACTGAAGTCCTTGGGGGTGTTGTAATGATGAGTTCTGGTCTTTTTTGTGTGTACTCTTCCTTCTCCTCTATTTTCTTTCTTTTTTTTCTTTTTGTTGGGAATAGGAAGGTAGATGACTATTCTCTTAAAACCAGCATTGCTTGTTTCCCATTGAAGAGTAGGAGATGATTTTGGGGGATTCATCTAATTCTTAGGAAAAATTGCCACTCTTTTTTTGATGGACATTCTGGGTCCATCACAAGGGATGTATTATAGTGCCATCTAGTGGTGACTTTTTGTATCATGGATGTATTTAATCTGAAACATAAAGTGTGATGGCTGAAAAAATAATCAATTCTTGAGTTTGAGACATTTGATGCAATTGAAATACTAGTGAAAAAGACGTAAATATGGCAGCATGAGAGCTGGATCAGTAAGAAAAATGAATAATCTCTTAAAGTTGGATGTCAGAATATAAAAACTGGCGAGTCCAAAATAAGAAAATGAGTGCATGTAATTGTGTGTGTGTGTGTGTGTGTGTGTGTGTGTGTGTGTGTGTGTGTGTGTGTGTGTGTGTGTGTGTGTGTGTGTGTGTGTGTGTGTGTGTGTGTGTGTGTGTGTGTGTGTGTGTGTGTGTGTGTGTGTTAAAGTCCTGAGAATACAACATACAAAACAGAGAAAAACAAACAAATATGAACACAAGAAAACAAGCAAGAGATTTTACAAAGACAATGTAAGAGAGAGCAACACAAGCCAAAGGTCATAGATGTCAGTGCAATCGCTCATGAAAAATAGAGTATTTCTAAATTATTTCTTTTTATAAAAATAATAACAATAATAATGAGGTGTAAAACACTTGCTCACACCAGGGGTCTGAATGGCCTTTTGATGTGCATACTGGAATAAAAATGAACCCATTTGCAGCTGTTGTGCAGCCAGCATGCTCTGTGCGTGAGGCTGGCATTAGGCTAAAAGCTGCAGAGTTTGGAAGTTATGTGATTACTGCACATCTTAAAAGTTCTGCCACTCTGTCACTCGAGGGGAATTAGTCAATGGTGCAGTGCCTTACAAACGACAAATATAGTTTGGTTTTTTGATCTCCTATTGTGTCATTCACTGAAACAGCACAGAGCATCAAAACAAATCATAAACCTTGATGGTATGAAGCATAACAGAGACTTTCTTTAGGCAGCATTTTCAACTGTAAGGCCCTAATTAACTTTGTTCTTGTAAGTTCAAAATGAGCCCTGCGATATTGGGCAAGCAATACAGCATGTAGGCTATCTTGAGATGTACCATGTACAACTGTCCCCATTTTTTGTCCCCATGTTTGAGCAAGATCCCCTTTTGCATGTTGATTTGCTGCAGGTCAGAATCGAAGAGCTTGTGGTGGACAGCAATAAGGATTGGACTGTGGAAAAACTGACCTGGCTCTACAATGCTATCAGCAGCAGTGGTGCCAATAACATCATGAGTGTGTGGGATGTTTCCTTAAAACTGTGAGGTTTTGATACAGTCAATGACTTGTCATATAATCTTTTTAGGGTTTACATCTTTACTAGAAAAGACACCTCTGAAAACATTGTAACTTTGATAACATTTAAATCCAGATGTCAAGACAGGAATTTGGCACAAACTTTTGTTTCTATACCGAACTTGCAATGTTGCATTGGTTATCTTAATTCTCAAAATGGTTGAAAAGGTTAAATACATTCATGTCCAAATTAAATAACTTGCTGTTGATCCACTAAATCTCATAGTTTTCTTGTCCTGATTACTGGGTTTTCCTTCATTTTGCCTGTCATCTAAAGCAGGCAATGTATAAATAGTTACACTAGAAATAGACATGCACTCAGATGAGGCTCTCAAGAGAGGGCATGGACCAAAAGCCAGATTGCTTTCACAGAATATAGGCCACAGCATTATAGACATCTACATCTTTAATGAAATGTATTAATAAAATCACTTGATGTTTTAAGGGAAAAAATATGACAAACAGTGGGTTACATATTTCTTAAGTGGGAAGATTAATAGAAAAATCAGGTCTTCTTTAAAGGGAATTTTGATGCACTATTGAAAAAAAACATTCATGCCTCTTCACCTGAATGCCATGAAATCTGATTGTCACAAAGAATAAGAAGATTCATTGTTGGACTCCAGAAGTATGTCTGTTACAGTTTATGAAATTCAGTTTTTAAACAAAGTTTTTTGGAAAGAAAATAGCCTACAGGATGTATGAAAAAACCCCTTATGGACGCCTTAGTGGCAGCAGTTGCCATGACAACGGAACGCTTACGGCGGGGCTAAGCTTAAAGAGCAAACTAAACACTGCTGACTTTTCTCATTAAAAAAGTCAGCTGTCGTCCTGTTTGGTACCGAAGCCGACATTTTCAGACGGTAGGTCAAGTCCTGTTATCAAACATAAGAAAACATTTGGCTGAACGCGATTACAAATGCTATGGGCACTAGTTTGTTTGGCATGAAGCGAATCAGGAGTTAGCGAGTGCAAGCTAACAGTTTACCTCAATTCCTAGATAAAACAGTTCACCCAGTAAATTGGTTAAGTAATACCAAGCTGTTTAAACTTGTCAAATGCCATGCACCATGTTGCCTTCAAAAACCAAACGTCGTGCTCATAGCATCTCAGTTCCCTATCGCATTATCTTAACCCTTAAGTCTGGAGCCTGTAGTCCTGTAATATGGGCCGAACTAACCTATAGAAAACCACAATCACAGGACAAGTAATGACAAAGGCGAGTTGATATTTAATAAAACAAGATTCCCTCTGTAGGCTGTGTGTGTGACCAAGAACTGGGACAACTATCATCATACAAACAGTGGAGGTTGTTGTAAGGCTTTGTTTTATGAGTCTGTAAGATCATAAAGTTGGTTCTGGGCATGACATAGTTCTGCCCAACAAATTCTAAAGACATGGTAAAATGCATGTAATGATTGGTTGTTAGTTAGTCTATGTAACAGTAGTTATTAGAAATGGAGAAACTTATACTATATTGGTCTGTTTCCAAGACATTTTTCGTGAAATTCTTGTAAAGACCAAGTCCTGTTTTTATAAAGAAAACACGTTGAATTTGTGTTAATTTTAAACCAAACACAGGAAATATGAAATAAGTACAATGAACTCAAATAAAACGTGATCACAGGTGTAAATGAGTTATCCTTCATACCTGCTGTGACGTGAGCAATGTAAAAGTAATATTCAGCCTGTTTATGTAACGATAAATGGGCTGTCCACTAGAGGGAGGTGTTGTTTAAAATATAGTTTTTTTTTCTGGGCTTTTTTAGTGGCGAAAGGTTTGCCATTACTCAGCCCTTATTATATTCCATACTTCATTTTTCCCAATTTCCCAAAATTTGAATCAAAAGTCAAACTTTCATACAATCTAGATTAATCACAAACAAAGTGGTCTCAAATGTATTTAATCACTACCAGGATTATTTTTGGCAGCAGTAGTTAGTACTTTTAAATAAAATATATTTATTCATCTAATATGTACTTTGATTTGTGATAACCAGGGTAAGGGTCACCCTGTAAAAGCCAAGCGCAGTAGTCTTTACCTTCATAACACATTTTCATGTTTGAAAATGAGTAGGAGGGCAACGAAGACTCAGCAGACCCCCTTCAAAGTGCCAGACCCTGACAGTATTTTTCAATTAAGTATGAATAGAAGAGGACACCAAAAAGAGGTTAGTGTGCATCTCTTTATTCAACTATCTAAAAACATATGTTCGAACATATATTAATCCACACATACTTGGCATGAAAAAAGATGAAGTGTATCAATCTCCTCTTTGCACAGAGCGTGGGAAGGGTCCTGGCTTTGCCAACTGATGAGATGACAACCAAATTGAAAATGGAAGTGAAGACAGGCCCAGTAGAACAAAGAAAGGAGGAAAAGGGAGAAATAAAAAAGCTCAAGGGAATAAGTCAAACAAAGACGAGAACAGTTTTCCATAAACAAACAACTAGAAGAGAGGAACTCAAGACAGCCATGATGAGAAAAGGTGAGTGGAGTTGTTTATTTTGAGATTTTCTTTAACCACGTGTTTGACTTGCTTGTGTAAATGCTGTTGCCCTGGTGACTCATTCAGTAGAGTGTGCCGATGCTCAGTCTCTTACACAGCACTCAAGACCCTTTGCTACATGTCATCTTTTCTCTGGCTGTCATCTTTATCATTCTCTACTTGCTAAATGTAGAAATGCCAAAAGTATTTTTATCTCTCTGTTTGTAGACGCCCCAATGAAAGACAGCAAATATGAATTCATCACCATGGAACGGCAGAAAGCTATTTTGGAGGTAAAGTATATTATGTTTGGTAAGAGCTTTAAAAACTGGTGGAACTTTCCTTTACAAAATATGTAAGCGCTGTGGTTTGAACAACAATTTGCAACCAAGGAGTCGTTTTCAACTCTGACCTGTGAATCTGACTGCTTCCTGAGAGCTTCTAGTGAGGTGACCAAGCATTTGCAGTTTGTGCTCAACAGCTGTTGAACTCTCTGAGGACACCAGGAAAGCAAATTCAGTCCCCTCTTTAAATCTCTCCTCTGTTGTCTGGCTTTCTCTCTACTGCTGTTATACTTGTCTCTTTCCTCATGCATTATTTAAGTATGGGATCCTTCTCTCCTCCTCAGTTTTCTTTGATGATGAAAAAATCTGCAATTTTGGAGATGGACAATGCCATTGCAAAAGAGGAGAGACAACTGAAAGAGCTTGAGACAATTATTGAGAAAGACAACCTCAAATTTGAAGCGGTCCTCAGGGAGAATGAGAAGAAGTCGGTGGAGGCCAGGACTTTGTAGGTGTTGACTGCTTTGTTAAGTCCAGAAATGTAAATTTTGCTTTTGGCACATTTGTAACTTTGTCTCTGTTTTCAGTTTTGAACTGGAGGCCAAATCCAAACAGGAGAAGAATGTTAAAATCAAGAAGCTGATGGCAAAAATAGGGTCCATAATAAGGTAGCGCTCTGATGTACATGTCTCATGTTTTAGTGCAGTTATATACCAACCAAAAGTTGCAGTATGAAACACTAGTATAGCCCAATACTCTTTATTATGCCAAGTGCATTGAACCCTAATGCTTCTAACAGGGGTACCCACATTTAGCAGAAATGTAGTTGTTACTGCTGAGATACTTTATTTCATCGTTCATGCTTTCTTTTTTATGTGAAACGTTTGAAGGACAAGGGTCAAAGCTGTTATGTTTGTTCCACAGTGAACTCACTAAGTTTGAAGAGACCCTGATAGACTACAAGAGATACAAAGAACTTCTGTTCAAGTTGTCTCCTCCAGAGTGGCAGCAGGCTCAGAGGACTGAAGCTTTGAAAGCCCTGTCTCAGGACAAGGGGGCCAGGGATGAATCAGCCATTTGCAGTGGTAAACCTGGAGTGAATTTTAATCTTTTTTTCATTTTAACTCATTTTGTTGAAGTAGAGATAAACAGTGCTGACAGAATGATCTGAATGAATGGTAAAATCGACACAGATTTGGAGCCCAAGGATTCCACTCCTGGCAAAGAGCTGCCGTCCATCGAGGAGATCCAGCTGTCCCCAGCTGACAGTGACACACTGTAAGAAAACACACGCTTTGATTGAGGAGTTTATCTTTTACCTTTGCAGTGATGATAAATAACATGGGAAATACAAAATTCACTGACATATTCATCAAACTGAAAAAAAAATCTTTTGATAAACCATGTAACTTAAAGTAATATTTTCACCCATTGAGGGTCATGGGTTCAAATGAATGTTGTCATTTAAACATGGAGAACTTTCAGAAAAAAATCTCTGTTATGATGCTTGATCATTTTTTAAAACATGTTGGACATTCATCAAAATTGTGTTTGCATGATTCAGAAAGTATTTCTTATAGAGCCTTAACCTTGACTTTGGTCTTTCAGTGCGATAAGTTCCACACTGGAGAGGGACAGCTCTGAATTTGACGTAGGTATTTTTCAAACAGAAAATCTACTTGACCACATGTCTTTTTTCTTCCTTGTATTTATTGGCATTATGCTGACTTTGTATATCTCCTTTACTTGTGTCCTTGTTAATACTCTCTTTAGAATGAGCCGGTGCTGTACTTCACTGATCCTCAGCAGCTGCTGGACCTGATTAAAGAGCTGACAGAGCAAAACTTATCCCTCATTCAGAACTCTTCAAGGTTGGTGGAGACTCTGGAGGAGTCCCGTCGGTCGATGGACACGACCAGGAAGAAAATGTAGGCATCACAGGTTATTGAAGGGGGTTTAAGATTTTGCTACTTGGCCAAATTCTTTCTAATGACACCAAATTATTCCCATTAACTTAAATGAAGATCTCAATGTTGATTTTCTTTTTTCATGCATTTGGAGACACTCTTGGGATAAGCTTGTGCTACATTAAACTGTATAGTGAAAAATCTAATACAGAAGCGCCATCTTTCTTAAGCCTCTTTTGATGAAATAGTCAAATTTCATTTAGTTCATTTTCTGCATTTGTTAAAATATATTTACTTGCTATTTCAGATCTTTTTCAGCTTTGCTTTTTTCATGTTTTACTTAATTCTCAAACTTTTTGCACATCTGTCTTTTTCTTTTGTTATAAAGTGAAAAGGAGGAAGACCAACTAACATTGCAGATAAACAAAATGATCCAGAAAATTGATCAGGAGAAAGCAAAAGGCACCAAGCTCAAACAGAGGGTTGAGCTCCATGTCTCATTGAACACAGAAGATCAGGTTAGGAGCAGAATACGTATGATGCCATATACTAATGACTCTCTATTTTTAATATAAAAATATGGAAGATCAACTACGTGTTTGGCTGTACACTTCCTTTTCCAACTGACAGGACATAATGCGGGACACCCTGGATGAGAAGGTAGCAGAGGTCCATCGCTGCTGTGTGGAGGACAGGATAACTAACCTCAGTACCCTGGAGAAGTTGACAAATATTGAAAAACACATGTTTTCCCTGCTTCAAAGCATTGAGAGCATCCCCGAAGAAAGCTTAAGGATGATGAAAAAGATCAAAGACAGTGAAAGGAGGAGCAGGTATGTCTTTAATAGGTTTTCTGAAGAATGCAATTCAAGTTTCGTAAATTCACAGACAAGTTGCTTCTGTCCCATTCAGGTGTGTACAAAAAGCTTTATTAAAAGATAACAATTAATCATGTAGAATTACAACAGCAGCATTGAGTTGTGCACCGACTATAGTATACATATTTAATGTAGTGGTACTGGATGAGGTTCTCTGTTTGTAAGCAAATGGCAGTGGAAGTACAGCTCAAATCTTAAATCAGAAATTGCACTCAAACTGGACTATGTTTGAATCTACACACAGCTGGTGCAACCCAGTGCTTTGATGTTCATCAATTAACCAAGTAAACAATTTTTTTATGTTGTTTATTTTGTATTTCTTTATCTTCAGTCACGTTTGCAACATTATTTTTTCATCCAACAACCCCAGAATGCCCTTATTGAGGAAAGAAAGTACTTCAGACCTACCACTTTGTTATGTAGAGTTAATTGCATCAGTATATACAGGAAGAAACTGCTCTGCATAGGGGATGCGTGATACAGGAAACCCACACACTATGCTTTCCAGACAGTTTCAGGTCATTCAGTTGTTGAGAATTTTGTTTCCTTTCACAATTATACCTCACAGCAGGAGACTGTACATGATAAATGTCCTCTTACAGCTGCTAATACTTTGTGTGTCTGGGGTTTTCTGGTGAGAGGTTGCAGGTGGAGGAGCAGTCTTTTTTGATTGATGTATTTTTTTCTTGAAGTGAAGATCTCCCCCTTATCAAGTGTCCATGACATTGCAAGTTTCTCCATCCAGGACAGTGTCATTAATGCTGAACGATTTTTCAGGTTTTGGAGCAACATATGCTGCGGTTCAGGATACATGCCCCTGTCCCAACTGTTTAAATTGTGTTGTTGGCATAACATTTAAACTGAGCATATAGTATTTCATCAAATATTCATGAATTCTACTCTTTCCCATCATCACGTTGCAGGCACCGTGAGCAAAGGCTGAAGGAGCAGAGAGAAAAACAGCAAGAAAGGATGAAAAGATACTTGGAAAAATCCTTGGCTGACTCCAAGAGAACAGTAAGTAATTCCCTCAAATAGTGCTTCATACAGCCTGTTATGATACATAATTTTAGTTTTGCCGATGTTTAACATCAAAACTTTATCTTAGTACAAAATCCACTTGCTTTGTCGTCTAAAGTGGATGTTGAACCTAAACAGGAGAAGTTTAGCTCTCTAACAGAAGAGTAGCAACCAACACTACTCTGCCCTGATTTTTTAGCATGTCTGTGCTAACTGCTAACTATGATGTGGACAGCATTTTAACTCACACACATTCACAAACTTATTTTATGGAAGTAACTGGTGCCAGGCCAGAAAAAGAATAAAGAGAGGCACAGCTGTCTTGATGGACAGGCGAGCACATTGTAGCTGTTTACAAGGAGGCTAAAGGCTTGCATCTGGTAGGCTGAGCAAATGTTAGGTTAAGTGAGCATTTCCATTTGGCAACTGACGCCATAGCCCTCAAAATTCTATCACAAACAAATGGGAAGCTCTTACCCACACTATATCCATGCGTAATACAGACTATAGCCAAAAACTACAATCTGAGATTGCCTGCGAGCTTTCCATCATGCACTCTCACTTTGATACTCTCACACGTATGCAAATGCAACACAGGGTATTTATGATTTATGAATTACTGATGATCAAAAACTAGAAATAAAAAAGTAAAAGAACACCTTTCAAACCTCTGAGTAATATGAACTTCTTTTATTTCAGAGTACAAGAAAGCTCATGCCCAGATGCTTTCCTGTTGCCCAGAAACCAAAAGTGAGCCATGGTGACAACACCTCTGCTGAAAGAGACATCCATGCATTTCTTTTAACACCTGAGGACATACACTAAAGAGGTGTCCTTAAGAAAATATTGCAGTCTGGTAGCAGTGAAAATCATTTATTGGCTTGCTTTCTCTGTGCTTTTAATAAAATATGTGTGTGACAGAATCTCAAGGCAACAATCACTTCAGGGTGTAGGGTTAGAACTCTACAGTATTTATGATGTTCATGTGTGAATGTGGAATAAAACATGCCAAGACTGGTTTAGACACAACTGGGATAAAATGAAAGGGAAAAAATTTTTTTACCACTGTAAATTTAAAAGTAGTCTTCACCAGCAGAGCTGCTCGTACAAGTGCATCCCCATTTATAATAAGTGAGCAGCTCCACCTCTGCTATACAGGAGGGGTTTTGAAGGGTGAAGGTTTATAGAAAATTAACTCATTTGCATTGAAAAAGACTCTCACACACAGTGAAAGGACAGGAGGAATGAATAAAGATCATTCATGGTTATTTTCTCTGTAACTTCAATAATTGGATCAGCAAAATAATATTAATAAAAACAATAATAATCATAATAAAAACCATATTGAAAATGAGAATAATACATTTTATTTGAAGACGCCTTTCAAAACAACCAAGGACACTGTACGAGACACAGATGTGCTTATAGTCCTGGATAATGACTCTGTGACTTATGTGCTTTTTTTATATGAGGGGTCTTATATGGCTTTGGAGGGTTGTCATCAGCATCTATGCTTTATGGTGTCAAAGTCATTAACTGACTTTACTATATAACTTATTAAATGTCACGAAACATGTCAAAGATTTATAGCTCTATAACTGTGCAGGGATTTGCCATTAACCTCTTTTGATAACACTTTTTACTGCTCTCACTCCCTCTCCATTTGGCTCCTAGCTCCAAAACATTACCCTCAGATGCACACTGCTCAAATAACATGGGATAAGTCATGGGGTGAGGAACCCACCTACCCTCCCCTGAATATATAATGCCTGAGATGGCTCTAACAGAGGGGAAAATACAGGGAAACAACTGTAGGAGGAGAGACATGAGCCAAGTTAGGAATAAGATTAACAAGATGACTGGGAAAAGAGAAACCAGGAAAGCTTGTGTTCGCTGTGGGCAATGGGAAGGGCATCAGAGGGCAGCAGATAGTCTGCTCAAAACAAAGTTAACTACATTGGGCTCTATTTTCGTTCCTCACCGGCGGCGTGGCATAGGTGTGGCGTAAGTCAGGTCTGCCGCACCGACAAGGCATGCCCAAGCACATTTTGGTTATTTGGTGAGTGGCGCAGCCCGGTGTAAGTATCCCCCCTCCCTGAAATGTGCCTGACACTGTGGAAACCTGTCGGTGAGGCATCAGTGACGTATGCCACAAGTATAACCAAAATACCACTAGACCAGCTGCGCTCCACCTGCCTTCAAAGCTGACCAGATGTGAATCGTCAAACTTACAGTGCACTTTCCACAGCACTGGCGAGCACGAAAATGTCACTGCGTCAGCTGATTCTGTCCACACCTCCCCCTACCACGCCACCACGCCCAGCTTGGCGGACCTCGGTGCTCTTTAGTCCATGAAAATAGCAAACTGGCTGTACACCAGGCTCTGCCAGATGAAAATACCACTGCGCGGGGTCCGCCACTCTCCGCCACCCCGCCGGCCGGCACGAAAATAGAGCCCATTATCCTTTTCATATTCAGAAGTAGCTTTGACAGAAAAGCAAAGCAGATGGTATATTTAAAATAGTATCGTTTGTCATCCCTATGTGTTTCAACCCAAATGGTCAGGAAAAAAAGTCATGATCTTATTTTTTCAATGAAAAAAAAATCAAGAAGAAGAAGAGCAGGAGAAAGAAGAAGATGGTAGTGGTGGTCTATGATGGCAGTATTGCGCCTACAACCTGTTAGCCAACCTCTAAATAAAGAAAGAAGAAGAAAAAAAGAGGCGGAGCTTAAGGAGGAAGAAGAAGAAGGCAGTGGCTAAGACAGGACCTAAGTGGGAGATGTGGGGTATCTATCAGCACCTATCATGCACCTGCAGCTGCTCCAAGATGACTAACTTTTTAGTGTTATAGCAGGAGAAGTTGACAATGCGATGGGTAACTGCCTGGGTCAGTGTATTGGGCTCTTCAGGAGAGAGGCGAACAGGATCCAAAGAGGAGGCGGGTGAGTGGAGCAGGTCCATAAACACAGCTAGGTCAGCTAGCTTAACTAGCATCAAACATCATCAGAAACAGCCGATATGGTCACAGCAAAGTGAAGTAGGGGACGAGTAATCGATTACTTGTTCGTTCCTTTGTCTGTCGAGTCTTGATTCGGTCTGCCTTATTGTCTATGTAATGACGATTAACCGATAGAAGAGGCTTGTAGATGAGCCTGTGGCTTTTCTGTCAGGTCTCCTCTGCATCTTTGTGCTGTATGCCAACAGTAAGACCCCACCCTGAATGTCAACATCACATGAGTTTGAGCCATGTCTGTTTAATGAGAGCGTTTACATGAACGACAACCCCTGATCAAGGAGCCATAAAAGAATGACAGAGAGAGAGAGAGCATCACTATCTGAACCTTACTCCATCAAAGTGTCTCTTCCCCTAATTTATGGGGGATTTAACAGTATGTGACAAATCAAGTGACAATTAATGTTTTTGTTATTTTTATAATTTACTTTGCACCATGACGGTTCTGCTGTCAGCTGAGGCAACTGCAGTTTTCTCATATCATTCAAGATATAGATTGTCAATCTGGTTAAAAAGTATAAGTTCTTTAGCTGGGAAAGCGCCGACAAGACAAGACAAGAAATATTATAATAGAAGTGTAGAACAAAAATTGCAATGATTTAGATAGAAAATATGAATATTTCACAAAAATGTACATTGAAAATATGAACATATATATGAATATCAGGCAGGGTGGTTGAAATATCCAATCTCGGCCTACATTTATATTAAATCTCTTCTGGATTAGTGTGGCATGTTAGGAGTGTGTTTTTTTTATTACATATAACTCTATTAGAATATAATGTTCACTATTAGCAGGTCACTATAAGCGCAACCACATAACTTCTATTTTAGTGACCCTTCACTGGCTCCTTGTTTTTAAAGTCCTCAATGGTCTTGCCCCTCCTTACCTGTCTGAGCTCCTGTATCACCACTTCCCAGCCAGAGCCTTAAGGTCCTCTGGCCAGCATCCCGAAAACCAGACTCAAGTCTGGAGGTGACAGGGCCTTTTCAGCGGTTGCCACTAGACTGTGGAACAGTTTACCTGGCCATATTAGAGCCTATTAGGGTCTTTTAAAACATCTTTAAAGACCCACCTTTTCTCCTGTGCTTTTAATAAATGAGCACACAGGAGTCAGAGGCACTGTAGCTTTTATTCTTTTACTGTCTGTATTTTATTCTACTGTTTTTAATTTTATGTTTTATTGTTATCTATATATTTATTTACTTCTTTTATTTATCCCATGTACAGCACTTTGTTTGACTGCTGTCTTTTAAAGGTGCTCTATAAGTAAACATTGATTTGACTTGACTTGACACATGATGAAGAAACACCACCTCCAGCACAGCATATCACAAACTGAGCCTCTTGTCATTCCAGCTACTCCCTCATACAACCACAGATCAAGATCCAGCTTAGCCTGGCTGGGCCATCCTGTTGTGTGAATCACTTGCCGTTCTTTCACACAACAGTCTGGACTTCAGCCCATCGGGAGCGTGTATTAGCGATCAGAAAATAACTGGGTCAATCAGTGACTGTATTTCCACTGTTCCCCGGACAACAGGGAAAGGCAGCCCCTGATTGGTCCATGTGTAGATGGTGACGTCTAACACATGCTGCGGGACTTTTCAAAGCCCCGTTCATTCAGAACGCCGTTAATTCTGCAGTTGACTTTGCAAAGTCGGCAGAAATCGTTTAGATCCGCAGAAGACGTCGGATGTAAACGATTTCTGCCGACTTTGCAAAGTCAGCTTCTGGATGAACGGCACTTTGAAAATCCAGAATCTGCGTGTCCTGACTGATTAAAACAAAACAAACAAACAAAAAAACAGCTTAATTTTAAGGTTCCCTTGGCTTCAATCACTTGGTTCTGCTGAGCAGTTATTTTCAGATCCCAAATGTAGCCATGGCTTGTAACTGTAGCAGCCAAATGATAACCAATCACAAGTCAGTGATAATATATACAACCACAAACCTGGCTGAGCTTTTTAGAACGGTCACAGAGAAGCGACATGGTTATTAACCCTGTCAAACTTTAAAAAGTTTGCTGTTTAATCACTGTCTTAAAAAAAGAAGGAAGACATAATAATGATTTTTCTGTGTCTGTCAAAACCCACTAATTTAGAAGAGATAAATGGGTCATCTGAGTATCAGGGCTCTGTCTTTAATATCAATATTTAACTATGATGAGCAGTAAGTGGTGTTTTTTTATCTGATACTAGAGGCTCAGGGTTAATTTTGAATTCCAGTTGTATACAGAGCTATAAATTTAAAACTCTTCCTTAAAAATCTGAATAAATGGGGTCATGTTTAATAAGAAATCAATCATTTTTTTTCCAGCTGACTTCTTTGCATGCACGCAAAGGTTTCTTGAATATTCATATTCTCTCTCATTCATCCAGGTCAAAATACTTTGGACGCAGTAGCACAGGGGAACATTTTACGATAGAGGTACAACTCCTGAATTTACCAGCATCATTATGTCTTTTCATGATGGATATTCTGTTTAGGATTTTATGTCTGACTGTGACTTCTCATTTTGCAGTTTGAAAATCTTGTGGAGAGTGATGAGGTATGTCTAATCACCCTGCATAATCTTTTTTTACATGAATAGATTTCAGTGTAATTATGCCAGTACCCCTAGGATACTGTTGACTTTGAGACTCCCCTGAGAAATATCTCTGTTTGCCATCCTCTAATGAGAGACAGACTGTACACCTGTCAGCATGGTACAGCAGACTCAAATCAGTCTGGACTAATTAAATTAGACTGTGCAGTTTGGAAGATGCATTTCTGTTTCTGTTTGGTAAGATTTGGTTTGTTCACTTGCAGGCTGAAAGTCCACAGCCATGCCCAAGGTAATGGATTTGGTTTAATTGAAAAATAAATCCCATAAATGTTTCTGAGAGCAGCTGATACTCATGATTTTTGTGTGTTGTTTTATTAGGCCAATCAACGAAGATGAGATCAAGCACCTTAATGAACACTGCTATGCTGCAATCGAAGACAAGCAGATCCAGATAGATCACAGGCTTCAGCTGGAAGTAAGAAACTGATTTAAAAGATCATCGTCAAAGTCATGTGTCTTCCATAGATTTAATGCACTTGATATGTCTTCATTTGGTTTGAAACCCTTTATTTCTTATTTTGATTTTCTGCATTGTCTTGTTTTACCATTTTATAATTTCCTGTTCTGTTTTTTTGTGCTTTGTTTATTTTGATTTCTCTGCTTCAGTTAGAGGCAGAAGAGGAGAAGTTAAGGCTAGAAGAGGAGGCTAGAAATGCTGCTCAACGTGAGGCTGCCAGGTTGGCACGTGAACGCAGACTGAAGGAGGTGAGGCAGCACTGAGCGCTCCCTTCGACCAGTTTGACTTACTTTTTGGAAAAAGCAGCTGTTCTTCTAACATGCTGGTCCTGTGACAAGACCCCCAACATACAGGTCCTCAGCCTTTGATATCTTAAAGAGACACTATTAAGTTTTTCTCTGTTCACTCTTCCTCTATGTTCTGATTCAGTGGTTTTCCTATTGAAGCTCAGAGAAAAAAAATCCCTTTCAGCTCATTTATTGTAGTGAGACACATCAGAAGACAGTAGCTGCTGGTAGATGATACAACAAGTACTTGGACTTTCATTAAAAATAGAATCAAAACTCCATAATATGTTGGTGTAGCAGCCAATCTTTACAGTCCAATAACAGAAACATTTTTTATTTACATTGATATGATTAAATCATAAGTCTAATGTAATATTACACTGCTGCTTTTATTGTTACTTTGTATTTTTTTGTTTTTTATGTGTTTGTTTGTTTGTTTTTTACCTGTGACGGGCTGCATGTAGGCCCTGGGTATCAAAACTGGTTCCAATTTGAGACTGGTTTTAAATTGCAGAGATTCATGGATTTGCACAGGCATGTGAATTTTGGTTCTGCTTTTCGGTTCCTAACAGTCACTTAAATCTATTATGACTGAACCTCAGTGAGAATACTGCAGTCCTGCTAAAGTTTACTTACCTGCCAGGACCTGCTGTGTCAGCAGAGTATTATCTCACTTGTGGTGCAGTACGTAAACAAAGATGAGCGGAGTATTACGACAGACTAGAGCAAGCAGTTGAAGGATTGGCTAAGGACACGGCAAAAGAGGGAGCATGTTCAATTAAAGAACAATAAGCAGAACCAGAATCTGAACTGTAATGGATAAAATTGAAACGGTACCCTTACTGCAGAGTGATGCAGTGACCTAGAGTGCATGTTTTCCTATGTGGGAGTCCCTCTGAGCACCCCAGTTCCACCTCACAGTCCATATATAAGCTAATTTGTTTAATCTGTGTCTTTAAATTGCCTTTAGGTAGGAGTGTGAGTAAGCCTAATGATCTGTATCCGTGTCTTAGCCCTGTGATAGTCCGCTGTCCTCTACAGGTTGTTCCCTGCATTTAACCCCATGGTGGCTACAGCCCCCAAGGGACAGGTGGATAACTGGATGTGTCTTATCTGACAACATCTAATCAATGTTTGTAAACTGTAAAATAATTTAGTCAGACAACTGAAGCTGAAAATGTTTACTCATTGAGATAGTACCTTCAAACAGCTAGTCTGAGCCTGCAGGTGGATGCCTGAGTGTGGAGGCGGGGGTTAGCTGAGGTTTAAACTAGCTCATAGGTGTGTGGTATATTTGTGTATTTGAATAATAATGATGATTTAATCTTTGTTTGTTGACAGCTGTCAGCCCAGAAGAATTTAGGGAAAGCAGATGGCTCCACTCATGATCCTCAGCAAAGACAGTAAGTCCATCAAGTTCATCAAACAACAACAGAGTTACAAAGCTGAAGACATGATGTATTCTGCGTACATCTGGGCAACTGCATAGATTGGTGCTTCTTTTCTAAGTCTGTTCAGAACCTCATAGAAGTTCACATGTACATGAAAATATTACACACAACAATGTGAACTCATGACAGACGTATCCAGATTCATACACACATATCCACTCTAGAGTGGTCATTCAGTTCTTTTAAAGTGGGGTTTTATGTGAGTTACTTAGCCATAGAAATTGTGTTAGCCACAGGGGATGCCAGTCAGCTCTGCCCCTTAGTAGAGAAACCCTAATGTCAGTGTAAGTCTACACTCTGTGTGAAAAAATTTCAGCACTTTACTGTGACATCAGATATCCTTATCGATTTGCGGTAGAGCAATTATTCTATCAGCTGGAAAATAGACAGCACTTGTTGCTAAAAATTATGTCAAACTTAGAGGCAAAAAAAAATCAATGCATTGCAGGCAGAGGAGCACGTTTGTGCTGTGCTCAAGTGCAAAATTGAAGAGACTTTTTTTTTGGAGATCTAATAAAGAACTGAATAATAATAGCTGAAAACATAAACAGACATCAGTGCTCAGATCAGAGTTACTTAAAATTTGCTAAATTTTATAGTAGGGCTGATTACTTCTGTAGCAGTCGCCCTAAGATTAACAATTCTACACCAAACAATGAAGCAAAAACTGGACACACAAGTACTTTCACCACAGGCATGCAAAGGTTGACAAAAGTATAATATAGCTTCACTGGATGCTTTTTAAGACTAATAGAATGATGTAAGCACAAAGCATTTGAAAGTGTTGGCCACTAAAGACTTATGTGGGTATCACTCAAGAATAGATATAAGCCACCGAGTTCAGAGCTTTCCTTCCATGCTGTTACAGTTGTGTTTTTCCGATTTTCACTTTCAGAAAAACCTCTGGAGAGGACTTTGATGTCTACCTCCGCACTGTAAAAGCCCAGTCTGAAGCCTTCAGAAGCAACAGTAAGTGGGTCACCTTCTCTTCATCATTATGTCAACTTAACTTGCAGGTGTACATAAAGGTCCGTTAATCTCTGCACACATTTAAAAGGATTCAAATTTTTCATAAGAGCTGTTTCTTCACAGGGTTACCCTCTGACACAAACCTGGTGACACCCAACACAGAGTGCAGCTGGGACTTCACCACTAAGACTCGCTCCACAAATGATGATGGGACTTCACTGGACTTGGAGTGGGAAGATGAGGAAGGTAATGTCGGCTGAAATTGTAAACGCTTTCTCATCCGGTTGAAATTAGGCTCTGTCCAAAACTGCTGCTGGATTGCAGACGGGCGATTTTAAGAGACTGATCAAGCATTCAACCCAACTGCTTTACCACTCTTGTGCAGGATTTACTATTATAACAGGTTAATAGGATTATTATTCTTGCAGGTAAGAGGAGGTTTGGTTGAATCTACATTTAATAACAGTGCATCAGAAAGGACAACACTATCAACTTTGCCTTGTACTGTATTCTTCTCCCCTCATGTGTTGACACTGTGGAAATGTTCACTCACTCATTGCATGATAAAAGGGTAAAAACTGTTGTCAGTTTAATTGCTCTCGACTTCAGCGGCTCATGCTGTCAGACTCAAAGCATGTGTCCTTGTGTGTTGAAGGAATTGTTCGTACGCTTCCAGTCTGGGAGAGGTCTCGTACAGAGGAGGACATCCTGCGTGCAGCCCTGAGGCCCAGCAGCAAGCAGATTAACAGCGGCGTAACATCAGCCTCTGAGGATTCAAATGCACTGGAGTGGGAAAATGATTTTGTGAGGACTCATCCAGAGGACAGCGCAGACACTGAATTTGAGGGGTTTGTCAATCCTGTACTGAACACTCAGTCTGAGGATGCCTTGCACTGTGGCGTCAGGGCGGACGACCAGGAAAGATAATGTCCAGCACCAAAAGAAATGTTTGTTATAATCCTCATGTTAGCGATCACCAGCTTTTTCTTCATGAAGTGGAAATGAACTTACTTGCTCTTCATTTTCTGTAATGAGACTCAGATGTCGTGAATCGCCACACAAGGATGTTTTTTTTGGGGTTTTTTTGTATCAAATTCAAATTCCAGTGCCTTTGTTTGCCATACTAGGGGACCATTTTATGCACTGGGACTTGACCTCATCAGTTAACCTCAAACTTAGACACATTCTTCAGTCGTACAGAAGGTACAAATCTAACGTGAATGTAGCTCTTCTTTAGGAGCAGCATGTTTTATTCACAGTTTATTGAGATATTTCAATATTTGTCAATGATCTTGATTTTATGGAGTCCCATCTATGATGCTCCATTGTACTTTTTTAAACACCACAGAAAGATTGTCCCCTGCATTTGACCTATCTTAACCCCAAGCAACAATAAATAGCTACTCTGCAGTGTATGAGTATCAAGCTTCACGGTCAAGAGTCTTTTGGTGTGTGTAAAGAAGAAAAACATCAACAGTTGTCACTCAGCTCTCTGTACTCCCCACCACCCATTTGTTGTTTAAAGTTTATGCATGTGAATTGAAAACAAACAGAGTAACACCAAAAGTTTGCTGATCTAAGAAGTCATTTTATTAGAAAAAAAACACTGTGTCTATATTTAATACTCAGGCTCTGGATCTGAGTGATTACACTGGAGCATGAGTTAGTAACTCCTCATTTTCACTGATCATACATTTACCAGTAGAGTCCATTTTTGTGGAGAACGTAAAGCACTGCTATAAAAACTTAGAGGCTGGACTGCAGAAACTCCCCCCTTAATATATGACATTTTAATCCAACAACAGTACTTTTTTTTTATCCTATTTTAAGGTTTTTGGGGGTGGGGGCCTTTTTGATTTTGTGAGAAGCCAACCAAAAAAAACAGGGAATATGGGGAGTAGAGAGTGGGGGGTGATATGCAGCAAAGGATCATAGCCAGTAGTTGAACCAGGGATCACTGTAACAAAGACGAGAAGATACGGGCCTCACATTTTAAGCTTACGTGACTGGATAGTGGGGTGTTGTGCCTCATTTGTTATAGCTCTCAAAAACAGAGGATATAGTGGTGGACAAACAAGCAAGAAGCCTCAATGTATGATGAATATAGTTGTGTTTCTTAAGGCAGACTACAATCAAACTGCAGGTTTGAAAGTTCAGAGGACTTTCCATTATTTTTGATAAATCAAAAAAGGAAAGAGCAGGTGCACCTTAGGTAGAACTGTAAAAGGTGGCAGACAAGATAGACACATGAGAGTTAACTCAAGAAATTGGCTTGTTTCTAAATAATTAAAAAGCCGGGTTTCTAGAGACCATGTTCATTTTCAAGTTGTCTATTAAACTAGTCATACAAAACTAGGAGCCAGCAACACCAAAACTGTTTCTTACATTGTAAACACACCAGTCCTCCACAATGATTTCGGATTTTGAAGAATCACTTTCTCAGTTAGTGCAAGTTGTTGTAATAGATAATCTTACCTTTCACAAAAGTGTACATTCCCTTCCACTAGTTCACGAAAGTGTCACTCATGAGTCAGTCAAGCACTTTGTACACACAGGAAGACTCCTTAGTAAACAGGCAGTGATTGACACCAAATCAGACCGTAAAGCTTTACTTTTCGCTTCATTTCCAGTTTGTACTTCTCTATAAATAAAAGTTATGTTTGCATATTCACATTGTCATGACATTTTTATATTACCACCATAGCCAAGGAAGTAGGAACAGGTTAATCTTTTTAAGTAATATGATACCAAAGCTGAGATTACACAGTTTATTGCTATTCTGGTGCAAGCTGTGAGCTGCAATGCCAGACCCTTATGTTGTCAAAGTCTTTGGAAATATAGAATTCATGCACTGACCTTTTTCACTGGGACTATGATGATGATGAAGATGGCGCCAAGGAGGCACAGGAATTTGAAACTGACAAGGATGCCAGCCATCCCACGACAGTAAAGCCGAAAGAAGGGATGACCTCCCCACAGATGACTTTGACCTCACCCTGAACCTTGCTGGAGGCCCGACCAATAACCCCACAACAAGCCAAGGAAAAGCATGTATAATCTCCACCTAGCAACCTCTTTTTGGAGCCAGTACAGTGGTGGTGATGGCGCTGACTTTTAAGAGAGACCCGCTCACTGGCTCACTGGCTATAACATTATGAGCAACATTAAGAGCAATCTAATAGAATATAATACAGCTTTACCACAAATCTTACTGTTGGGACTGATGAATTTATTTTGTTGACATGGTCAGACAGATAACTGTTGTACATAATCTTTTGAGGATAAAATAGTGGGTGAGTGTGGTCATGGTGATATAATGAAGTGGATTGGTGTTCCTTGTGTATTGTCTACAGGGGGGAATAGTTACCAAAATTCAAATGAGAAAGCAAAGTTAAAAATTAAAATGTATTCACTTAAATGTTTTTTTTTTTTTCATTTTAAGAATAATAATTCGAGTCAAAATTCGAGTTAATAATTGATTTATATTTCATCTTTCAGAAAGCCCATTATAATGAAAATTTAACTTTCAGAATAAAAGCCCCGACAATTAGTTTTCATATTTTAAAACGTTATTTGACATATTTGAAATAAGAATTAGCAGTACATTTATTTATTTATTGTTTGTTTGTTTGTTTGTAAATCTACCCTGCTAAAAAGGTTACAAATTTCAATGTACCCAGACTTTGCAGACGTGCGTGGGACACTTGGACTATCTGCTTCCGGCCGCCGGGTGAGTAAACCGTGGGATAATACGGTATTCTCTCACAACCGGCCTCTACACTTAAATAATTATGTCTAAAATTTCAAAAAGAAGCATCCTCTTCGCCAAAAAAACGTTAGAAATACAAGCAATCTGTCTAACAACAATCCAAAACCATAAACTGAATACGTGCAAAACTTATCCCTGTTTGATGCATTTCCGGGCACCCACTGTCTGTACGGTCATGCGACGTCATCCCGTCCGTCTGGCGTTGCGAGTTTACGTCATTCTCGTTGGTAGAAAACGGATTTGCAAATGGAGGCTGCTGAAACGACCATAATCTGAACAACAAAAGGTAGGAGTTGTATACAGTTAGCTCATCAGTGATCCCTCTGACGGGTTTCTTTGTCGTTTATGTTAAAAATGTGATACAAATATCAGTTCAGTGTCGTTCTCTAGTTGGTGAAACACGACGTGGACAGTTGGAGCTTTAGCATCGAGCTAACTTCAGCGATAGTCAGTGACAGGGTGCTCGACCAGCGACTCATTAAATGTTTTTCTAAAGAAAATCTGCTGTCATGTTAAGTTATTACTAGATCAACACGTTTCTTTTAAACAGTATTTTGCACAGTAGTATACCCATAATCGAGTTTCTCAGTTAGTCGTCGTGACTAAACAAAGTGGGATATTTGTCTCCATGATGATAATGTTTTTGTTTACCTATGAGTGAGGATGGTGGTTTCCCAAATATTAAACATAATCTCATTTTTACCAGCGTGTTCTCGTTTGAACTGGCCTTTTTGTAATAGTCTGATTAAAATAATGAAGTGCACTATACTGTTATTATATACCATACTTCAATCATATTGGACTGCAGTTCTTCAGATAAAAACTTTACACCTTACCACCTTGACATCTCTTTCATTCATCTAAGGTCTTCAGATAGCACCTCGAACAGAAAATGTGTATTGTTTTCTTCATTGAAACTTTATAAATCCCGGGAATATCGAATAGAACCACCCATGGAAAAGGAAAATATGTTTTTTCCCCCACAAATGCAAAGATTAAGAATACACAGTCTTCGATTAAAATAATAATAGTTCACATCAATAGACAAGATTAACAGAAAAATTACAGTTCTGACTTTTTCTTGACTGTCTAGTGTGTTTGTGTGTCTGCAAACATTGGCAAAAGCCTTACAACCATAGACTGTATACAGCCCAGTCACATCAACAAAATACCAGAATCTATTTATTTCGTTTTGTTTTATTCTACTTTGCTCTATCACCAGTATTGTTGTAAAAACATAAAGCACACAGTGCTTCATACAGAGTCGCTCACAGAATATTCTGGTGTAAGAAACATCACACTGTACATCAAGTGATTGTAAATTACACCAAGGTTTTGTGTCACAATAAAACTGACTAATTTAGCAGATTGGTGATGTGATTATTATGTGTTGCTTAAATTGAAGTTTCTCTGTAGCAGTTTTTTATTAGTATTATTACTTTTTTTTTATCTTCAAATATAGCCCTGGTTATGACTATCTGTTGTTAATGACTACTTCGTAATAGAGGGGCCATGAACTAATTGAATATTGAGATTTAGACAACAGACATCCGAGCTGGAACACAGAAGTAATTTTTATAATAATACAAGTTTCCCAACCAGAGTGAGTTGACATAAGATAGCTGTCATGGGAATATGCTCTGTTTTTGAAAGTTTTCCCTGTGTTTGAGATGTGTTTTTATGTGATTTAGATACATCAAAAAGGGGATAAAAGATTATTTAATGGCATGATTATAACAACTGAAAGAAAGGAAATAAACCTTCACAACCTTGTTGGTGTATCACTGAGTAATGCATGGTCCTTCCTGTCATAATTTAGTTTGAGGAGGATGTCCACTTTTCATCCTCCAAAGATTAGCGTGGCAAAAAAAAGTTTACAAACTACTGGTCTAAAAAAAACATGCAGTATGATTAAGGCTTTTTCTCTTTTTGGTTAAATTTCTTGTTCTACCCTCTAAGATAAAGCCACTGCCAAAGAAGCAGCTGTCACTCAGGTGGTTTACATCTGTAAAATGACATGTGTCCTGTCTTTACTTCTGTTTTGTATCATGTAGTTGTGGCCATGTCTGAATCCCTGTATGAGAAATTCCTGGCCCCAGAGGAGCCTTTCCCTCTCCTCTCCCAGCGAGCCAACCTTAGTGATGTGGGGAATCTGGATGTAAGTGACTTCAGCTGTCAGCTCTCCTCATGTCACAGAACGGATCCTCTACACCGCTTCCATAGTAACAGGCAAGTACTTAGTGTTCGAGCATATCACCAAGTGCATGTTTCCTGTCTGATAGTTACACAAATTTTCCCAGTGTGTTTTCACTTATCACTTGTAAAACTGCTGTTATTTTTGATTGGTTTGGGGAGCAGAGATCAACTTTTGTGGAAGTGTTTCTTTAGACCAGGGGTGGGCAATCATGTTTCATGGAGGGCCGAGAGGCTGCAGGTTTTCTTGTATTTTCTTATATTTGTTAGGGCAGTGGTTCTTAAGTCCAGTCCTTGAGGCCCACTGTCCTGCATGTTTTTGATGTTTCCCTGCTCCAACACACCTGATTCAAATGATCAGCTCGTTATCAAGCTCTGTAATGGCTTAATAACGAGCTGATCATTTGAATCAGGTGTGTTGGAGCTAGGCATGTGCTGATATGACAAATTTGATATCATGATATTGGTGGCCCAAAATATCACGATTCACAATATTATCACGATACTAGCGCATTGCTTTTAATGTTATTAAAAATGGCAAAAAAAACTGCGAAATCACTTCTCTGTGCACAGCATGACACGCACAAACAATATGAGCAAGAGGCAGCTAACGCGATGTTGGGAGCATAAGCTTTTTGGAGCTAAAGTTAGCAGAAACGTCACTAACGTTGTCAATATTAAGCAGTAGAGTAGACCAAACTTGTTGCAGTCATGTTGTTTTTACCTTTTTAATAGGAGGATTCAGCCAATAAAATGCTCTCTACCTTGACAGATTACTGTACAGTTTATGTTACCAAGTGCATCTCCATATGTGCATTTTTGGGACACATAAAAACAGAACGTAAGTTTGCTGCTCCATTTGACATGTTGTCATGATCTAATACTCGTGTTTTTTAAAACATCAGATCATATCTCCTCCACTTTAAGAAGCTAATGAGCAGATGGAATGCATTGTGGACACGCTCCAACAGTGCTTTGAGTGGCTGCAATGCATTATGGGTGGCCATGCATTTTGTTGTAAAATTTCTTCATTTTCTCTTTTAATGTTCCAGTTTTTGTAAGGCTGGAATTAATGTACTTAATTCGAATGTTCTTTTGGATTTGGGACTACTTTTGTGGTGGTTTGTTTGTACATTTTGCGACTGAGGCTTTGACACTGTGGGTAAGACTACAAGCGGGTTAGGTTGGTAAGCACTCAGCTTCGCTTGCTTCCACTGAGTTTCACTGCCACTCATCTTTACATTATAATTGTGGAAAAATTTTTACAGTACCTTACGATTTCCTAATCGCGGCCGTTTAATATCGCATATCGCGATCATATCGTATATCGGCACATCCCTAGTTGGAGCAGGGAAACATCCAAAACATGCAGGACAGTGGGCTTAGAGGACTGGACCTGAGAACCACTGTGTTAGGGGAATGCCAAGACTCTCAGCTAGTGAGACTAGATGAGACCAGGCTCAAGATTGGGTTCGCAATTTCAAGCTGAGATGAGAAATGAGGACTGATTTTCGAGACAGCCTCAGTGATGAAATATATGCCCAGAAAAAGGTTTCTGACTCAAATAGAAATCTCGATATTTATAACATTTCAGGTTCATTTTGAAACGTTTCAACGACACACAAACTTGTAATAAATGTCAAGTCAGTCTTTATTTCTGAGTATGAATTACCCAATGTGGTAAACACTGTAGAAGTGTCGTCATTCTCAGGTTAGCCTGATGCTGCTTGAGAAAGGCAGAGAGAAGTTTACTTGTTCACCCAAGCAGTCCTCCCATCATACAGAATCATGGGTAATCAGAGTTAGAAATAGGGTTATTTGCATCTAGTTATTCATATTTCCTCTAAAGATGGGCTTTTATGCTTTTTTCACTGTCATTTGATCCATTAGGCTATTTACGTGACAAGAATATAGGCATACATTTTCTCTCATCTATGTCTCCCTCTGCCTTAGTGACTGCATGTAGCACAAAAAACTCTGTTTTTATCCTTAAATGTCAGTTTATGCTCTTTTACAATGCTGGGTACACAGAGCTTGTAATTACACACTACCATGCTGTAGTTAAAACAGCATGCTAAACCAGTGGTCAACCAATATTGTTGGTAATTAGAGAGGACGGGTGCGTTTCAGAAAGCAGGTTTAGTGCAAACTCAGAGTCTGTTAACCCTGAAATGAGGGAGGCTGGTTTTACTGTTTGAGAGAAGGATGTAACTCAAACTCAAGAAGGAGGGACAAACCAGAAAGAGAACCAACTGAAGCTCGCAGTCAGTTACTGTGGCAACTGAGTCTGTGAACCTGGTGAGGAACAGGTTTTCTTTAATCAACTCCAAGTTCCCAACCCCATGCTGAAGAGGGGCAGTTTGGAGTGGTATTTTAGACTGTGCTGAGATGCCATGGGACTGATTTTCATGCTTAAAGATTATCCGTACATGTTGTTCCTAAATTAGTAGCCTTGGGTTTCACAGAATTTCACAACTTAGCACCCAATTACACCTTAATTTCAAAGGTTCAACAATTTTCAGAGATGATCAACAACAACTCCTTGTCCCTCTAGGTGGAACCTTACCTCTTGTGGGACCAGTGTTGCCAGTTCAGAGTGCAGTGAGGAGCTCTTTTCCTCTGTGTCTGTGGGAGACCAGGACGACTGCTACTCCCTCCTGGATGACCAAGAACTCACCTCCCTTGACTTCTTTCCAGAGGGCAGTGTTTGCAGTGATGTCTCCTCTTCTATTAGCACTTACTGGGACTGGTCAGACAGCGAGTTTGAGTGGCAGGTTGGTAACCAGACGGCATTTTTTTCTACACCACAAAGATGAATGACTTTGCAGTTGTGCTCAATCATGTGAATCTCATTGCAGTCTTATGTTTGGATCAGAGTGGGTGTAGGTTTTAAAGTGATAAGTTGGCAGCTGTGTCCGTTCTGCTATATGTATCTTTATTGCTTATTCTGCATCTTGTTTTTTGTATGTTTGCCTCCCAGTTGCCAGGAAGTGACATCGCCAGTGGCAGTGATGTCCTCTCTGACATAATTCCAAGTGTTCCAAGTTCACCCTGTCTGTTTTCTAAGAGGAGGCCGAAGACTCATCCACATCGCAACTTGGATGAGTTGCCATGGAGTGCCATGACTAACGACGAGCAGGTAAACAAGAAGTGATTTATAAAAGCTAACTATCTACACTGGTGATGAGCAACATGGCTTCAAACTTATATCACTTCAAGGAAATGAGGTGTAACAATATTTATTTGGCACTAGAGAAACAGTACTAAACAAAGTTTGAACAGGGATTGCAGTTTGCTGGAAGCAGTATTTAATAGTGCAAACAGAATGAAAGGGCATTTTCTATCATAGCTGAACTGACCCCAGAAAACAGAGCAAGTGCAAAAAAGTGAATCAGCAATATTCACCACCGTCTATATTCAACATAATTCTTTGCTGCAATAAGCATTAAAAACACTTCAATTACCAAGTACTTGCTGTCTACCTTTCTATTTAGTTTTCAGTACGGGAAGTGACATCTAGTCAAAACTAACAAAATCTGACATGTGCCTCTGTTTCCCTCAACCAGGTGGAGTACATTGAGTACCTCAGTCGGAAGGTGAGCACAGAGATGGGCCTGAGAGAGCAGCTGGACATAATCAAGATTATTGATCCCAATGCTCAGATCTCCCCGACTGACAGTGAGTTCATCATAGAGCTCAACTGTCTGACCGATGACAAACTCAAGCAGGTGAGTGGTAACACGGTCTCTGATGTCAATTGTTCTTTGTCAACTTTGTAATGAGCACCTACGTGAAAGTCACATCAAAGAACTGACAACATCCATTAACGCGTGTTAACAGTTAACCAACTCTTCCTGTTAAGTTTTAAAGCTTGTATGGCTCTCAGTTTACATAAATGGTCCGTATGAAAAGTCATAGAGGAAGAGAGAGAGCTGTAATGGCCAAGTAAATCAAGAAAACCCTGGGACATTTCATTAGACAAGATATTATAAGTTTGTCAAAGTAGTTTTTTCAAACTTTTTAACAATGTGGAGGTATAAACCAGAGTACAGTGAGAGCACAATCATTTTTATTAAACCGCACATCTTGGTACTTGATTTGATTTGTGTGGTGTCCTCAGGTGCGTAACTACATCAGAGAGCACAGCCCAAGGCAGCGGGCAGGCAGCACCAGAGAGGGCTGGAAAAGGAGCAGTCAAAGCAGTGCAAGCACTGGAGGTGTAAGTGGGGCTAGCAGCAGTAATGCCAGCATGGTCAGCTCTGCCAGCTCCTCCACTGGCTCTACAGCTTCTAACTCTGTAGCAGGTAAGCCGGTTTGTAGGCCATGGGGCAATGGGAAATCTCTTGTCTTAAATGAATAGTGATGGGAATGTGCATTTGTTGTTCAAACATTTAGCACTTTTGACTCAAGGTTAAATGTTCATCTTGGTGTTAATCTGTCAGTTCTTCCTGGTCTAAAAAAATGCTCCAAACTTTGCATTCGAAGGTGGGACAGCATCAGCCTGTAGTGGAAGCAGCGTTGCCAACATCAGCAGAGCTCACAGTGATGGCAACCTGTCCAGTGCTGCAGAGCGCATTCGGGACTCTAAAGTGAGTGAGCTGAACATATTTGTGTAGACTTCTTTACGGGTATTATTAGAAAAATACCAGAACTTTTGACCCAGTGAGTGTGCATTTGCCTTCAGACCAAGGTTGGAAATTAGCTTAATTGTACATGTGGCTGGAAAAAAAAAAAATCCAAGTTAGTAATTTTAATTGGCCTTTTTGTTTTACCTAACAGTATCTTATAGTGCAGTATGGCGTTAATCTAGCAACTAGTTTAGATTCAGTTTTAGCTGTGGTCTTCTGGTTTTTGTTTTGTGTTTTGAATATATTCTGTATGATTTTCCGTATGTTACACACACACTGAAATCATTAGGACACATCAGTAAAGTGTCCCAAACTTATTATAAATCAATATTATATCACACTTATATAGCATCAGATATTTTCACTAACTTTAGTCCTCTTCATTAGTTTAAAAGTGACTTATTTTTAGAATTCTATCATCCCTGCTTCATAACCTTTTTTCAATAAAGTGTGAGTAATTGTTGCTTCATTGTGTAAACATTATTAATTCTTCTATATGCCACACTATTTTCCAGAAACGTTCAAAGCAACGCAAACTTCAGCAGAAAGCGCTTCGTAAACGGCAACTAAAAGAACAGCGTCAGGCCCGCAAGGAGCGTCTGAGTGGACTGTTTCTAAATGAGGAGGTGCTGTCCCTGCGAGTAACAGAGGAGGATGACCATGCCGATGACCTTGACATACTGATGTGACACCAGTGAATAAGTCAGTGCTCCCTCTATGCCTGCTCTCTCAGTTCCTGGCCGCTACCATGAGAGCATAGACCATGTTTAATGCAAATCTCTTTATCCATTAGCTTTTAATGGGCTCACATGTTTTTGTAACTTTTTTTTAGAGGGATGTCTGAAAGGCAGTTGTTGCTTGTTGTAAACTTCTGTTGGCGCATTACTTGCTTCCTCTCTTGTAGTACCATTGGTGCAAAACTGACAAAAATGCAGTCGCTATATAGGTAGTTCTGACAAAAATGTAAAAAAAAAAAACTTATTTTCACCATTTTTTTCCCATTGTGATTATTTAAAGGCTGAGATACAGTATTTCACAGCTTTTACAGTTTGACAAATGTATTAAGATCTCTAAATAATTGACAGCACTTAAGCTGATTTAAGTTTTCACAAATACTGAATTTACAGCCACAATTTTCAGGGCTATTTCTATACAGCTCATCTTGTCAGTCATGGCCATAATCTAAAATGCTGCAGGCAGTATTGTTGCAAAAAACATATTCAACCAAAGTGGCTGATCAGTACAAATTATCAGTAGAAATTAGACAGCAAAGTAGATTGATCAGACTAAAGGTTTCTGAATAGAGACATCTATTCATCAAATGTTTACCTCATACTGTGTGTAAATATTAAGCCTAATTCAGAGTTTAGGAATAATATAATCACCGTATATAATCACACTACAAACAGCACAGATCAGGGAAAACATCCGTGTTTAAGGGGTTTCTAACGTTTTGACTTGAGTTTAAAGAAATGATCTGGTCTGTGTCTCCATGTCCTGAGTGTTCCTGCATCATTTCACCCTGAAGGCTTAGAGGGAGCACTGAAACAGCCCGTGTTTAAATCGTCTCCCACACAAGTCCCTGTGTTGTCCAATAAATAACAGCTTGCATTAATATTTAAAAACACCTGTTGAAATCTAGTGTATGTATTGTAGAAAAATGAGAAAATTCTACTGTTACTAATTGCTTTAGGGTTTCCTAGTGCTAAAGGTGTTATTCTGTATATTTTCCCCTCTATGTTTGTGTATCTTAATGCGTTTTTTTTTCCTCCTCTCTTAATTATTTTGCTGCTTTATTGGAATTTTGGTTTGAAGCTTTTTGCAGATTTTTTTCGAAGTACTTGAGGTGGTAGTTCTCTGAGACATATTTTAAACTGACTCTGGAATGATCTCCAATCTTGTTTTCTAGCATTACTCTTTGTTTCTAACAAAGGCCTAAATAAACTCAGACTATTCATTCATTCAGTTTGTGTGACTGTTTCTGTGGCTAGTTTGTCTTTGAATTACACTTTGGGCAGATGTGCATTGAACATAAAGTGATTAACATAGACTTGAATTTCTTGTTGACAAATTAAAAAAAAATCAACATCCAGGTTCTGACTAAACACTAATGCAGCAGGAGCAGCTTATAATCAGTTTAAGCTGCTTCATGTTTCACATTCACTGTAGATGCTTGTGTTGTTGTGTCTAATTCATATTAGAAGCACTTTGCCTCTCCCTGGTAATGTGATCAACCATGTCTAACCCTTAATGTGTGCCGAGCTCTGACATTACAGCCATTAATCATATCATCATGTAGAGTGGTGCTGTATTGATCCTGAAGTTTTGAATTAGTAAAACTACAAAAGCAGATATTTGCAACTCAGGAGTTACTTTGACAATTTAACAACAGGCAGTGTAAATATGGTCAGAATAAAAGATCTAGAGCTGTGTTTTGCTGTTTACAATTTTAAGTGATGTAAAGCAACATCTTAAATCATTCACCGGGGGGAAAAAAAGAAGAAATGGGGAAAAAGATTCAGGTTAAAATATTTGGAGGATGACCAGTTGGTTCTTGATCCTTGAATTACCTCTTAAAGAGCAGTAATGCAATTTGGTTTCTGGTTTTAGTTTTTACCACCACTCAGCCTAGAAAGCGTAGATCAACAATGTATTTTATCACATAATAATGTGATGAGTTTATTGATCTAACAATAGAAGTTTTACCTTATAATTGATACTGATCAGTAATCTGGATTTTTTTAAGATAAGATAAGAAAGATAAGGAAAGAAGAACTTTATTAATTCCCGAAGGAAAATTTAATTGTCTGTTTTCTCACATAATGTGTCTATAAAAGTTATCTACTATTTACATAAGAGTTATAAAGTCTAATGGCTGTTGGTACAAAAGATCTTCTGAATCTTTCTGTCCTGCAGCGAAGTGTGAGAAGCCATCCACCACCATTGGTCCTTTGGTCCATCAAGGTGTTGTGAAGTGGGTGATCCATGTTCTTGAGAATAGTCTCCACTTTCCTCAGTGTAGATCTCGCTCCACCACATCCTCCACTGAGTCCAGTTTGAGTCCAACCACAGAACCAGCCTTTTTCACCAGTTTTTTAAGACGTCTTGCATCATTTTATTGGATCCACTGAGATGTTTTTCACCTTATTTATACACTTACTTAATTTCAGTTTTTTTTGCCATGTAGAGAGTCAAGCCATTCAGGTGTTGGGAACATGACTCAGATCCTTTTTTAGTGACTCAGACTTGACTCATACTTAAACTCCTGGGACTGGAGACTCATCTTCGACTCAAGGTTTACTGCAGTGAACAGCTTCGAGCACTTCAGAGCTCCATCCTGGTTATAGCAGCTCTTACCTCAGTGTCTTCTGAGATTAGCTCAGAGAGCAAACATCGACATTGTAAAACCAACAGTATGCAGCTTTCACCTTTGTGACAGAAAAGGGAATTGTAAGTTGCTGCCCCAACAACTTGTCACTCATCCTGATTCGCTGCCTTGAAACAGCGTATTCTGGAGATGAGTGAAATCCCTGCACTGCAGCTGAGAGGCGGATGCCGAACCAAGAAAAACAAAAGACTGATGGAGCTGGTTCAAGAGCAAAATAAGCCTCTCATTTCTAACCTTGAGAGACACAACCTCAACACCAATCATGCTCACAGTAAGCGCCATCTGCATTGCCTAAACATCATCGAAGGAGCCCCAAAATCAGGAGAAATAAGTCTTGACACTGGAAGCGCATGCTTGCTTCATGTGGATCTATATAATTCAGTGGCTTGTATCAGAAACAGAACACAGACTCACCAGACATCAGTCTGAAGAGTCAGTGTTGATATCAGACATTTGTGTTTGTCACAGTACCGTCTCTTACATTGCATTATTTTGACACTTTGGTGGTTTTGTAAAAGGTTTTCTCTAACCATCCCAGTGGCTCCAGGGTGACCCATCATGTAGCCACAATAACACAAAACTCAATATAGAAAATTTGGTAAAGTAATGATTTCCCTTTCATCAGCTGCCATCATTATTCATTAGATGTCATTTCTTTCCAGAAATGTGTGAATTGATTGTTTGTTTAAATACTGTACCCTTAAGCACTCTGGTGTAATAAGTTCAGCTGAAACCGAGTTAGATTAAGTCAGTTGTTGAGGCTGAAAGAACAAGGTATACAAATATCACAAACACAGAAAAAATGTTGGTATTGACAGTGGATTTTCCTCTGAACAAATCTGAGATAGTTAAATGCAAGTTCTCCTATTTTTTGTCTGTCCTTTTAAAGCTCCTGGTCTGTTGATCTGCAATAAACCTTAACTTTAAACATACTTAGGAGACAAAGATGTCTAGATCAACACGTGTAATTCAACAGATATGGTCATAATATGTAAGGATATTTTTGTGATCACACAAACTCTGTACTGTTCCTTTAAACATGGTTGTAGCTGAGTGTAACAGTCTGGTTCTACAGACAGTGGAAAGTGACTGCACCAGCACTAGAGAAAGCCTCGAAGCAGCATCTTATACTTTGAGGTTTTCTGAACCATACAAACAGTACCTCCATTTGAAACATGAAATTTCATCATGTGCTCCTCCATACTGCTGGGAGACAGAGTGATTTTTCTTTTTTGTCTGTGTCGATGTTGTCTGTTCCCCCTCTCTCTGGAATTAACTCCCACAATCCATCAGGTCTGCTGAATTTTTAATATGTTCTAAGAAACTTTGAAAAACTTTCCGGCACACTTTATTCCAGCGTTGTATTTGCTTGTATTCTTTGACTTTAATTTGTGTTTGTTTTTTATTCCATTTCTGCACTTGTAAAGCACTTTGTTACTGACTTATTTCTTTAATCGACTTCTTATTTTAGTGTCCCCTGTGGGGCGAGCTCTGCAGCAAGTAAATAAAAGTAACAGATGGATAACTGCCTGAATCAACTGGCTTCTTTTTTTTAACCTAAGAGCCAAGAGAAAATACTGAGAGTCTAATTTTTAAACATGAAGATGCTTCTTATCTCACTTTCTGAGACATCTAGGTGCTATTTTTAGAGAGAATCTTCACTTAGAAAAAGCTCCCCTCAGCTCAACACCATTTTTAACTCTTAGTTTTACAATCATTTTGAAGCATCTATTCACTCTTTTGTTTCTGTTGCATCTCTCTCATCCTTGATTATCCTCAGGCTTGAGAAATTTTCAGTACTGGACCAGCTCAGGGCCAAATGGACAAGGTTAGCTAAAAGGAGAATTACTGTTGATGTCCGACTTTCCATGCAGATGAAACTTGAGACATTTTTCCTTTATAATATTTATGCCTATGGGATATCTGAAGAACCTTTTAAAGAACTAATCGTTTCCAGCCAGCCAAGTCAACACAAAACAACACAACACAGAGTTCACAAAAAGATAAAGCAGCTGCGTTGGAAACTGTGAAGTGTTTGGATCTTTCCCACTGAAGGAAACCTTGCCTCAGTGGCACCACTTAGCTCTGTTGATGCCCCCCTGAGTTGTCTGCTAAGTGGCAAATGGCAGCGAGCCAAAAAGGTTATTGGAAATTTAGATCTAGCTCCTCCTGAAAACAGCCTCTGCAGGAGCCACTGATTGATGTATGACTCACTCTGGCTGCAGAGGATGCCAGGATTTCCTTTTTCCATTCGCTGACTCTCTTCCACACTCTCTGTTCCAAGTTACTAAGAGGATCTTCAACTGTACTCTCTGTTAGAAGACCTGAAAGGAAACACTTGCTGTTTGCAAAACATTGCAACTGGCCTGACAGCAGAAAAGCTGCTTTTCTTATCTGTCGTGAGCTTCATTTTACCCTCTATTTTGAGATCATTTCATTTCAAAGAGTAAAGTATATGAGGATTTTTTATTTTAAAATAAAGTAACCTGTGTTTTTTTACTGTACCTTGAATCAAATGTGTTGGAAAAATGTGACTTGTATTTTGATTCAATACTGAGAGATAAACAGCAATTGTGGTCAGTGTGAGGTCAGTACACAAACTAAAAACTCAAGTTAGATGTCATAAAAATAAATTTTCTGCAAGTTTTTCTGTCATATTTTTTTAAATATAGGCATGTCACTAATACAAACCATGACGTCTTTCAAACTGATTGTTTCTTAGCTGGGTTTCTCCCAATGAAAAATAGAGATGAATAATGGTGGATATCAATGTATCGGAATTCAGTGGCTAAATCTTTATCAATGATCTCAGTCAGAGTCTTGCCCTGTTTTCTTATATTCTTATATCTTCATCCTTTGTATCTGAGCTGTACTCAAAAACAGCTCAGATGCAGTATATCATAAAAATCCCACTGGCTCAGGCCAAAGCACCAGCCTCAGTGGCCTCCCATCCACCTGGAGGGCTTCCAATATACTTGCAGAAACCCTTCATCCATTTTACAACTGCAGCCTGCAAGAAGACTCAGAGAGTAACATGTTGGTTTTTGTGCTGAGCTGTGGGTCCAGAATGAAACCTCCTGTAACCTCCTTATAAAAAAGATTTTTATGTTGTGAATTAATGTGATTTCAGATGCAACCATGAACATGATTGGTGGATGGAGTTTTCCCACTTCTCACTGAAATAAACGTGTCCTTGACTGACTCGCTCTCCTCTCATATTGTTAGACAGCAAATCAAGACACTTTAAAATGCTTTTAAATGTTTGCTTACATGCTGTTAAATAAACTTCATGGTGAATGCGATTGAGGCATCCAAATCTGCGTCATGTATTTCCTCTGAGTATGCATGATTACATCTTCTGCACCCTCTGCACTGCCTCAAGTGGTTATCTGCAAAGTACGTCACTGAGGTTGTCTGCAAAAAGTGTCGACATATGGAAAAAAAACAAAGTTTACTTAAGGGTTACGGTATGTTTTCATAACAATACTGCATTCACCAAGAATAAAAGCTCAAACGTTGTTCCCTCAGCAGCGGTCAAATTGATCAGAAAATTGAAGACGGTATGAGAAATAACCCGTTTTTGAGTGATAGTAAAGCACTTTTTGCTTGGAAAAGGTCAGTGCTGTTTATTTTAAGCCATTTTAGCTTTTCAACCATCAAGCACACAGAAAAATGGATAAACAGATGATGACAGGCTTTTAGGGTTGTCCTTGACTTTCAGACAGGTGTGCAGATGGAGGAGATATTTGTTCAGTGTGCATTTGTGTGAGTCGATTTGTCTGATTCTATATCATCTGAACAATTCAATCTTCATTTATACCGCGCCAATTCACAACAAATGTCAACTCAGGACATGACAAAGAACATCTAAGAGGAGCATCATTTTTTTCCCTCTTTTTTTGCTTTTATTGGACAGGACAACTAAAGAGACAGGAAACATGGGGGGGGTGGGGGGGTGGGGGAGGACATGTGGCAAAGGGTCGATTGTCAAAACCAGCAACTGCTGCGGCAACAACTGCAGTCTCTCTATTGGGGCTGTCATCAATACCAATATACTGGTATTGATAATACAGAACATTGATATTGTGCTAAAAAAAATAAGCACACAGTAACACCATGACTTCATAGTAAAGGTCATTTACGCTGATTGCTACACATCTTAAAATGTAGAATAGACACAGAAGAAGAAGACAGCTGCGAGTTAGCTGAGGCAGCTCTCTAAAAAGTTATCACGCACTTTTAAAACTGACGCTTCAGCTTTATTATGAACCCAAAAACAACAGCTGACTTGTGCTATTTTGGTTTTCTACTCAGCTGCACAGTTATACTTTCTAGCCGTTTTCATTCAGTTCTGTAACTCACAGTCTACACAGAGGTAGTACACTTCAAAATAAAGCATAGTTTTATGACGCAGTAAACAAAGAAACCCTAACTCAAGAGAGAAAAACATCCAAGTAAAAACATGGCCGACGGTCGCTTTATGAGGCAATGTCCTTACCAAAGAAGCTTCAGTCACAAGTTTCCCATAAACATCATGACAATATTGTTATTTAGATATTTAATGGCCACAATAAGTGTGAGTTGATCGTATATTGTGACAGCCTGCTGAGTCTGTATATGAAGCACACTTAAATCATCAGCGCCCCTTCATATAGATCTTTATTTTGCCGACGATCAGCAGCCTGCACCCAGGAGTGACTGATAGTCTGACATATCAGACAGATTTGGTATTCTCTGCGGAGCTAATGCATTTTTCACTTCCTTTTCCTAATGAAAGATTTTTGTCTTAACTCCAGCGCATACGGCAGCCTCAGCAGCAGCCTACTTGTGCATTTGTATAATGACAAGAACTGCCATCATGTCTCTGTGGGGGCTTCCTCACTTTGTTCCCTCCTCCTCTCACGTCACAGTACTTTCTGTTGCTTTGATTATTTTGGGTCTTTTGTGTTCGTGCTCTGTTGCTTTGTTCTAATAAAGGCGTTTGCTTGTACACCTTATTAACCTTTGATGGTTCATGTGTCACTGTGCACAACCATCAGCAGAGCAGTGGTTTTAGGGAGCAGCTGCTTGGTTGTGTTTGAATATTTGTGAGGGGGAATAGTACGGGCCAAAAAATTTCTCAGCCAATCCTGGCCACTGTCCAGGCATATCATTCATCCAGATATCTGCAGCACAATCACTTGTGCAAAGACTCCTTATTATCATCAGTGGGAGGAATTTCAAGATGCAAGTCAGCATTTTTGTCATTTTTGTGACCGGGGCTGTCATTAGACTAATGGAGCACAGCTATCAATCATCGGGTCTTTTTTCAGGAGAAAAATTAAATATAAGTTACTGAGACTCTGAGATCAATTCATCAATCAGCTAATGAATTATTAAGTCAATCAATCAATCGGCTACTTTTATACAGTGCCAAATCATATCAAAAGTCAACTGAGGACACTTTACAACAAAAGGAGGAGGAGGAGGTCTAGTCTGCACTTTTTGTCACAATCCTCCGACCCGAAAGCCTCAGGGAAAGAGGAAGTCTTTTTTAGAGGGAGCAGAACAGTTGCATTGACTTCATATGAGGTCAGTGAAGGATACTGGCTGAAGTCCAGTGACAGACACCACAGTTTGCACCATATCAGTAACCCTGTCAGAGTGTAAATATTAGGATGTGAGGGAAATGGGATGGATTTCTTCGGTAAGCACTTATCCTCACCCACAGGTGCCTGGGTGCTTATTTGAAATTCATTTCCAGTGACTGCTGTGAAAAAGGCATTTATGGACCAGAGAAAGTCAATGTGTTGGCTCAGAAAGAAAGCTGACAGGAAGGAAAAAGACCCCACCAGTGCTGGCATGGGTTAGCACCCCATGATGATAGTTTTACTACAACCAACAGGAAGCTACAATTATTGTAGGGAAGGTACCCTGAGAATCTGCAGAAGCCGGGAAGAGAGAGGACTCCTGGGCTGACTACATGGTTACAGACGATTGAACAGACAAGACTATGAGTTAGATGAGTGATTCAGTTGTACACGGGGGCACAGACCTGTCCTCTAACACGAGTAGGCCTGCTGTGGGCAACAGCAGTATGAGCAGGTTGAATGTGTGAGTGGAGGACAGGGGTGAAATGAGGTAAGGGGGCTCAAGGCTATCTTTCAAGTGAGAATGTGATAATGAGAATGCAGAGTCTTCACATCAACCAGTCCATCAGTCTTGGTCCTGAAGGCAGACTACCCCTCTAAAAGTAGGCTCATAACTTTCCTTTTTGATCCAGCTTATATTAGAGCTGGTTCGGACTTGGGTCAGCTCTTAGTTATGTTGCTGTACGTTTAGACTGCCAGGAGTACTGACACCTTTCTCTCTTTCTCCATCCTCTTTCTGACTGTGTCATTCACGTTGATTCATCACATCCCTTTGAGTCACTAACCAGTTTTTGCAGGGAGTCCCTGAGCTCCCTCATTCTGTAGGTCACTCTGGACCGCTGCTGGACATGCATCAGCCTCACCATTTTAAACACTGTTACAAAGCTAATGTTTATTTATTAACCTCAGCCTTTCTACTTTTATTATTGCTACAAAGCTAACAAAGCTAACATCAGCTCTTAATAATGCTAAGATTGTGTGATTAAGTTACCTTCATCAGCAGCTGTGTAACACTCCTTATCCAGCAATTCATCCTGCTGTCATAGTCAGTAGGCAGCACCAGACGCTTAATCCACCGCAGTAATGAGCACTACACATAAGATGGCTATAGGGCAGTGAACAGATAAAACTGCTCAAAAAGATCCTGCAGAGGGAATATTGAGGGTGGAGAAGACAGGGCTCCCAAGCTAATGGAAATGGTGTTTGCAGTCTGTGCTGTAGCTTATGTGTCCACTGTCGTTGATAAAAAATCTCATTATTAAAGGCGGAAAGGCGAGAGAGGTTGGTTTTACAAATAACCAGCCTCTCTGGTCCTTTATTATTGTGCAGTAAGAAATGCTTGGGAGTTTCATGGTGTGACATTATCTGTGCAGGGTAACCTATTCCCCAGTTACCAATACAGCTTTTTCCCAAGATTTAATTCAAACAGTGAAACTTCCATATATTAGATATTGATCAAACACAGAGTGAAAATTTTCAAGACTTTTTTTGTCAAGATTTTGAGAATTACGGCTTACAGCTAAAGAAAATGAAAGATCCGCTGTCTCAGAATATTCGAATATTGAGGAAAAGTCTGGTTTCTTGTCAGGTATTTCAGTCCTGAAAAAAAGCTCTAATCAGCTGATTGACTCTGAGGAGTCTTTATTCTCTCACTCTGGCTTAGTTCACAAAACTACAATCATGGTTCAGACTGCTGACCTGACAGTTGTCTGGAAGACCATCACTGACCTCCTCCACAAGGACATTCAGCCACAGAAGGTAATTCCTGAAAAGTCTGTTCACAGAGTCTGTGTGGAAACAGATTCATGGGAAGTTGACTGAAGGGAAAAGTGAGGAAGGAAAAGGTGACCAAGCAACAACGAAGACCACAGCCCAGAGAGGATCGTCAAACAAAGCAAGGACTTGAGGGTGCTTTACAAGGACTGAGACTTAAGGCAGAACATCAAGAGCCTCTACACACAGACGAGTCCAGGAAATGGACTGCAAGTGTTATGGTCCTGCTGTTAAGACACTCCTGAACCAGAGACAACACCATAAGAGTCTCATCTGGACTAAGACGAAAAAGAAGTGGACTATTGCTCAGTCGTCTAAAGTCCTGTTTTCAGATAAGAGTCAATTCGTGTTTCATTTGGAAATAGAGGTCCCAAAGTCTGGAGGAAGATTGAAGAAATCAAACTGGCGGGATGTAATAAAATGAAAGTAGATAGACATTCAGTGGTGGTAGGTAATGTGCAGCAGGGACGGGGTCTTGAGGCTTAAATCAGGCAAACCTGGGTGGAACAAAACAGGCCTTAAAGACAAAAGGACAGTAAAAGTAAAACTATTGGTTGTACAAAGGCTGTGGCCCAGGCTGAACAGGGTTATGATAGCAGTTAAACTGTCAAAAAGCAGAATAGAGAAAGCTTGACGATCATTGGATCCTATAAGGCCTGATAACCGCTGAGGTCGACCAGACCAGCAGAAAGTTTATTTTATCAAAACTGACAGTGTCCTAGGAGGACTCAGAGGAGGAGGTGTACAAAAGTAAAGAGCCGAGTTGGCAGCAAAAGCCGAAGAGTAAAGACTGATATTAAGTAGAGGTAGGCTGAAGGAGGTTCATAAATATTTTGTTACTGAGAGACTATGAAGTGCTTGGACAGATTTATGATAGTAGTTTAATGAAAGATAGAGAAGGAAATTTCATACAGCTTGAAAAAAAAGGTTGTGGATCTGAATGAGGAGAAATCATGTCAGTTGAGGGTCGGAACATAAGTGAGAAAAACCTGTTTTTCTCACTTTTCTCTTTCTTAAGTGGGAGAAGTAAGTGATGGAGCACTCAGCCAAACCTGGTGGGGATGAGCTCCAACCCAAACAGGCTTCTTGCCCAGGCTCAGCCTTCCTGAAACTTCCCCACATACTTGTCTCGCCCTCTGTTTTATTGTTTTCCTGGTTTGGTGAGTAGATAGGATGTTAGAGCTAGCATGGAGAGGTGCACTTCCAAGACACATACCCCGAACAGAACACCTGCGAAGTTTAAAGTTCATTTTTCTACTATTTCTAAAGGTGCAACCACCAACCATTACTTATTTGAAGAATATATATTATATCCCGCAGTAGAACAAATTTTTGTAAAGAAAAACGATAGTCTTTATCCAGAACTGGTGATAAAGTTCTCTCATAACTTTTTTGTTCTTTTACAGCTAAAGAGAAAGATCACAGTAAAATGTTACCAGACTGCAAAGTACTTCACCCGTCTACTCTCATGCAGCAGCTTGATATAGCTGCTATTAATAACTAAGGACAAAAGGAAAAGGCTGTCATAAAATCTTAGCGTTAATTTGTAAAATAAACTTGAATGTAGATAGTTGGAGAGCAGGATCCAGTTTAGACAACATAAATTCAGGTTTATGTAATTTGATCCATGCAGATTACATTTATCATTTTATTGTAGGATATTCACTACTGCAGCTGCTGTCAGCTTCAGGAACTAAATCACTCACAAGGGTGAGTGCAGTATGAGATTTTATCACTTCTGGTGGAGCTGATGTTTTTACAGCCTTGTTGTCAACAACGTTAGATAATATGAGTTTTTTAGACATTTCAAGCACAGAAAATAATGCAAACAAACAAATGAATGAATAAATTGATGACAAAATAACTCAATGCCTAAACTTCATCATTACAGATGCTATTACTGCTGTGCTCTTACTATAGACCTGTTGACTTTAATTTTCCATAAATCAAACAAAGAGCAGCCTATGATCATTAACATGCTGTTCCTGTAAGTCGTACACATACTCGTTCTTACTTGTCTCTCCGCACATCTCCCTCTATCCTCTCTCTAACCCCAACGCAGTCTCAGGAGATGACTAGTTCACATGAGTTCTGTTTGAGGTGTTACATCATGGTAGTTTAAGGTGGATCAGAGTGTGTCTGATCTTACAAGACAGGACTCAATCTGATCTCATCTTTATGTTGGGTCTCCCTCTTAATATCAAGAATAGTACTTTCTATACCAGCTCTTTTCTGAAGCATCTCCAGATGATATTTGTTGTAAATCAGCGCTTTTAAAAATAACTTTTATTTTCATATGCCGCATTAATTCTTCCATACTAATCTCTGGCAAATGCATTTGCAGTTGCTATAGCTTGCACCAACATTCATTTCACGACTGCCCCACTACATGACGTATTTAAGTGTGTCCCAAATACAGGAATACAAAGTATTACCTTTAGTGTAATTCTTCGCTGTTTTGTCTTCACTTATTTGTTTATAACCCATTTCCGGGAGGAAAATAATGATACAGTAACTAGCTTGAGAAAAGACAATATAAGTCACACAAAATAGTATCTGATGATGTCATATAGATTGTTTTTTTTTTTCTTTGCTGAAATGTTATTATTTTAAGTTTGATTTTCCTTCAAAACACTGTTTACATGCTTGATACACTCAGGGACATCAACTTGGCCTCATGATGACCCAATGAAAATAAACAATTTTATCAGTGCAAAAATACCATCAGCAATATATTCACTTGTAAACTTTGTGATAACTTCCTGTTCAGTTTGAACCTATGACCCCTCTTGTGTACTGAGTGTGCTAAATTTATTTTGCAAGACAAAACAAACACACTTAAACTAGAAAATATCTGAAATATAAAAATTGAATCATCTTTAGTCATTTAACACTGAATATGAACCACACTGTGACGCACTAGGGATAAAACAGGGGTTCTCAGTACCACCTGCAGTTTAAAGTTAATACCATGTCTCATTTTAAGTTTGTTAACACCTCATTATGTCTCCAAGAGTTGTATTGATAAGCAGCTCAATAAAACCAAATTAGGCCTGTCTTAAAGCCATTTATTGTCTCACAATATTTTACTTTGGTTTACTATCTACATTTTTTAAAGTGGGACAAGCTCTGTGCATTATCAGTATGAATAGAAGCAGCACTTTTTTGTTCCCTGAGTGATTCTATCTGGTGATTTGGGATAGACTAACTTTATGTAGCTGATCTATCTTCAATTGTACGCAGATTAAGAATAAAATCCCCCAAACAGACGCAACATTAATGCAAAAAGCTCACTGAAGCTGATACTGCAGTCTACCTTCACTTTTTCCACTCCTCCATTTTTCCATTTGTATAGCAGATTTATAGATCATACATTATCCCCAAGCATGTTAATCTGTCATGGTAAAGTCGTGAAGTAATCAGGTTAATTGTCCCCCGTCCATTAAAGCTGTGACACCAAAGCAAAGAAAAAAAACACTATGTTACCACAGTCAGGTCAAACCTTATATAGGAGGTTAAGAAATTGCATGGTTTTATATTACCAGCAGGCTAAATAGGCCTATTATGACGCAGGCTTAATGTATTATGGGAATAATTGTCTCCTTGACTTTGGAGCTTACCTTTAAACTGCAGACCAAAGGCGTTTTTGAGGGGGATGGACTGGAAAATAACCGCTTATATTGCCAACTCAGAACGATATATATAAAGTGAAGGGTAATGTCGACGTACCAGCAGCAACACAATATTTACAAGAGGTTGAAATGGTAGTTTGAACTGACCACAGCAGGCCCCAGAAAGCTCCGGCAGACTATAGCAGTGTGACATGTGATGAGGATAAATACGCTTTTTATTAACCAGTAAAAATGTTGACAGCAAACATTCAAGTCACAAGCTCTACCTGTGTTTGGCTATACCCAGAAAGCTGCTGCTTAGCCTTATATATAGCCTACCTGTCTGCACTGTATTGAACAGTAGGCTGCCTTTAATCTGTCCATATATGAGTCTGACTAGAGATGAGATATGTGAAGCCACTACAGGTGCGACATAACCTAGCAGAGTGAGGAAGGATGGGATCATTTCAGATAGCTCCACTGCTGTCATCCTTAAATCAACTTGGGCTACTGGTTTGGATCGGGTTGTGAAAGACGAGCAGAGTAAAAGTAATTGATTGTCGGGGCTGGGGTGTTGCTGCCAGAGGCTGCTCCAGGGGGGATATGTGTTGCATGCCTCAGCGGGAAAATGTCATCATATGCGGGCGGCAGTTCTGTAGGGAGCGGGTAAGAGAAAGGGAAGCTGTGATTGAGTTGTGGGTCCGTGGGTGAGTATCCAGGCAGCTCGCTTGACGGGTGCCCCCCACACTGCACCTCTGCCCCTGTCTCGTCAAACACACCAAAGACACCCAAATTGATGTAAGACACAGGCTGGAAATCCACGGTGGAGCAGTCCCGCTCCTCACTGAAAATGATCGCGCCAGCGCGCTGCCTCTGAGACTGTAGGCTCCTTAACTGCGCCCGTTTGTACCTTTTGATGACCACGAGGTTGATGAGCCCGAGGACGCACTCTAAGGTGCTAAGAACAGTGGAGATGACCAAAGTCCGCTGGTAATCCAATAGTTTCTCGCAGGCTGGGTTTACAACAACTGTGTGGAAGCAGTAATGGGAGTATTTCCTCCCGACCAGAGAAGCCGTGTCCCCGTCCACAACCGCACCAGAGAAGGCGGTGAGCACCCCCAACAAGAAGACGACAACACCGAGGAGAAAGAAATTCCTGCTGCCGGGCTTCTCCCTGCAACAGACCAGTGCGGACCCCAACAAGACCTGCCCGATTCCCACAAGTAGCCCGGAGTAGAAAGCCCCGGCCACGGTGCCGAGGTGGAAATGCGCTTTCATCGCAGATCCCAGTGAGATACACCTTAATCCAACGACAACTTCGCACAGGGCGCACACGAAGAGGATGGTGCCGGAGAAGACGGTGCACAGACCTTTCCCACTCAACTTCATTATATCCCCCCTCTACCGCGCACGATTCCTCTCCCCGAGTCCTCATCCTCCCTCGTCTCTAGTGGAGGCTCTCTCACATCGGGGCATCGTTTGCCGATGACTCCTCCGGTTCAGGGCAAGAGATGTTTGCCGCTGCAGCGTCTCCCCTGCATCCCCGCCGCTCTATAGGAATGTATAAATGTCTAATGCCAGGTACATATTTCTTTAGTGGCTTCTTATCAATGATCCCTGCGTAAACAATGATCACATAATCCAAGCGGGTGCTCTCCCGACGCTCCCAACCCTAAGTTTTCTGTCGTTTCCCCTGAAGAGGAAGACTCATCTGCAGTCAACACACTGTAGGAACAAACAGTGTGTGGCGTTTGTGGCAGAGAAAGGGGCGGCTGCTTCAGCTGGAGAAGGCTGATGATCCTCTGAGCCAAAACCTCTACAACACCTCAACATCACCTCACACAGACTTTAAATATGTCTCTAGGAGCCTATCAGTGATGAGCTTATAAATAGGGAGAAAAGACCCTTGGCTGGTGGTCTTAAAAAAGGAAATAAAAGGCTCTTAAAGTTTGTTTTAAAGCCTTACAGGTGCATTTATATGACTTTATAAATGTGCTAGATGCTTTATAAGTGATGGGTTCATGCATGGTGTTACCATTGTTCTCCAGCTTTTTAAAACCACTCATTTTAAAAACAGATCAACTATGTCAACATCACGTCGCATACTTTCTGATAAGGGGGGCTGTTTGTAATGTAGATCTTTCTGGAAATCATAAAACATCGATAAAGGAGCAGCTGAGGACAGGCTGAGGCTGTGCGCTGTCCGTGGTGCTGAACATGCAGCCTAGGCCAAACAGCAGCTGACTGGGCTCCTCCACAGCTTTCCCTCTCAGCTAACAAGGTTTAAATCTAACGTAGGAGTTAGTGAACTTCATGTGACACGTTTTACAAGGCGGATTTTTGATAACGTGATGTGTAGGTGGGGGCACAACTGCAGCCTGTATTGTTTATCTGCCTAGTTTGGTAGCTTAACGGACTCAGCGTGATAGAGATTGAGATGACACTTTTATATTAAGACCCATACACTTCACTCAGTGTGTGATTCTGTGTTCAGAATAATTCACAATTTGGCTTGAATGAAAGCCAAGAGGTTCTCCTTTAAAAGAACCACTTAAATATTTTATTTTATTTTTTTGCAGCAAGACTTTTTGACTTTGTCAGGAACCTCTATTTCAACAAAATGAAAATTCAAAAAAAATAAATTGACTAACCTATAAAATGCTCTTATTAAAACTATGTCACTTGTCATGTTAGGGTCGCTGTTGACCCGGTTAGATCAATATCTAATAATCAGAGCAAAAACTGAAACTGTAAGTGCACTGTCAGAAGAACTGCCTCAGGTATGTCCAGACATGTGAGATCAATTCAGTATGCATGTCTGTATGAGGGGTATACTGACAAAGAAAGGTCCAGAAACCCACTACAAAAACTAGTATAAGCAATATTTTCATGGATAATGAAGCCTAACAAGTTAACCTAGAGATGAGAACCAAACTGGATGATAGAGAACTGTTTTTAATGTAATTTACAGCTGATTTAAGACACGGGTCAAAACCGACCCTTAACATGGTGGGTGTGTAGTAAAAGCTAACACAGGAGGAAGGTTAAACTAATACCAAACACAGTCTTGTAAAACACTAAACAATCCTAAACATGAGCCTAAACCTGGATATACAATAGCGTCTGAACTGTAGTTTCCATCGGGGGGGTTAACTTCATGAACTGTGACACAGCTGCCATTCAGGAGGGTCTGTCATATCAAAATGTAGAGAGAAAGAAAGAAAGAAAGAAAGAAAGAAAGAATTATTTTTGTTCACAAGCTGATGGAGAAAGATGTAGACCGTGAATCATCTAATGTCAGTTGCTGTAATGAATAACAGAATTTTTCCATCCCACAGTCTAAGCAAATATGATTGAGTGGGCTGATCTAAATCCAATATGCTCTAACAGATCGGATTCAGAGGCAGATAAAGATTCAGTCCTGTGGGGTGTTCACTATACTTGAGGCAGAAAAGTGGCTACGATAAAACAGAGCAGGGGGCAGCTGGAATTGGGTGCAGTCCTGGTTTTCAGAGGTCTGATCTTGGCCGTGTGTTTGGCATTGGTGTTGAAGATGTTCAGAGGCTCTTGAGGGCCATATTAAGCAACATCAAGCTGAGGCATTTAGCTTTGATGTGAAGATGAAGATTTAAGGAGGCACAACTGAGACAGTTTTTATGAAGTTGAGAGTAAAATCCATATAGTATCAAATATTTCACCAAGCCTGATGGGGGCATAGGCAGCCAAGTATATGATTCATTTTTACAAAGGAAGGAAGGAAGTCAGGAGAGAAAGGGCTTGATGCCCTCCAGTGCTTGGGTCCAAGACTGAAAATGAAAAATTCTGTGGCTGTATTGTAGGTCATTTTGTCTTTGGTGCTGTATTTTTCTGATGGTGGAGTGATGAAGGACTCTTTGACCAGAGGGGGGTCTGTTTTGCAGAGGGGTTTCAAAGCCTTCTCCAGGAAAGGATCAATCACTACGGTCTCTTAGAGTGAGGGCGACCCACAGAAGTCTGCAGAGAATAGATGACGTCCAGCAAAGACTTGTTTTTTTGGTTCTCTGGCCATCATTTACGGTCCGAAATCTTGGGAAATGAAAATGTTAAAGTAGGGCTGGGCGATATGGCCTCAATTCAATATCACGATATATTGGCAGTCACATTGATAGTATGACTCCCCTGGACCCATTTATTGCAATTATTTTCCCTCACTTAAGGACTGTTGTTACGAACTGGATGGGGTGGAGTCACATCTCCGACGTAGGACAGCGTCTTAAAGGGACATGAGACCATAGCCTACCTACACACATCCAAAACAAACTTCTTTTTTTGACACGGAATATGCCAACATGGACAAAATGACTCGGTTATTGTTGTAAATTTCGGTATTGGTAAATTTTCGGTTTATCGCACAGCCCTATGTTTAAGTCTAAATACCATCTCTGAGGATGAATTTCATGATGCACATATATGTAGATATCTGTTCATCATGTATTTCCTGCACAGAGCTGCTGAAATGTTGCAGGACAATCCTGTGACGGTCCTCTCTTTCGTTAGTTCAGTTTTATTTTCTAGTGCAACACTTTCTGTTCACCCAACAAATCAGGGGATTTTTGGAAACACCAGAAAAGATGGAGGCTGTCAGTCAGACAGCTGGTGGAGAGGATTACTCAGTCACTCACCTAAGTCTTTTATGAGTGATGGTGTTACGCTGAGAAGACATGCAGGCAACAAAAAAAGTTGCTGAGTGTCATACTGCTTTTTCTAAAAAAAAAAAATAACCCTTTTGCATTTTTCATACACATTTGATCACAGAGCTTTATGCAAACACTGTACAAGTCCCATCACCGAAGTTTTGGGAATGCTTCATTTATTATCAACACATTTGTGTTTAAGAAAGTCTGTACCTGCTGTAAATGAAGAGGATGAAAAATCCACACCAAAACTTACAGTCATCCCAGAACCAAGCTGAATCTTCTCTGGGATTATTATTATTATATTTCCTCTCTTTTATATCCATCTTTCCTTTAAAGTCATTGTAAAAACTCCTACTGGCATCATGACAAGCACTCACAGCCTCAGGTGAAAGATGTCAAATTCTAGTACCACACAGAGGACAAGCTTCAGCTGCAGTCTGTTCTCTTCTTTCACTCAATAACTCTCACAGCCTGCAGACTTACAGGGGCACCTTGACAGATGTTTGGACTTGAGCTGTGGGATCTATCATCAGAAAACAAAGCATGAAGTGATGAAGCAGGTACCTGATCTGTTTTGTTTCCATGCTCAAACGTCACAGTCTGGGAGGTGTTGTGATCATAATTTGATTTGAAGACATAAACTACCATCTTCTTTTTCAGACTGAACTCATATACCCTGTTTAATCACTTCAACCTAATGACTGTCATGCTCAGTCATAACTGCAGAGGACCTGCACTCAGAGGATCTTCCATAGCACGCAGTAGAAGCAAAGTCTTTTCACTTTACTTTGAAGAGTTTAGGGGAGCCTAGTATCACACACTGCCAACAAACCAGCTGCCCTGTTAGAGTCCGGGGGTATGGATCGTGCTGTCGTGTCAGCAGGAGCGGAAACAGCTGCATCAAGCGAGGAAAGCTTTCTCCAGACTCCAGGGGAGTTCAGAACACCAGACTGTGAACATCAATACATCAATACACGGACACTGCTGTGCTGCTGAGATCAAGTTTTCTCTTGGCTGCACAACTCAGGGGACCAAACTCTGCTCAAAAGTAAGACGCGGCCTCAACATAACACCATCAGAAAACTTAGCAGTTCATCTTTTATCACAGCTGTAGAAATGAAAAAATGAAGATATGAGCTTTGATTTTTACTTTTTATGAAGCTTCATATTTGTGACATTTTGACAAAACCAACAAACTACTGAGTAAAGATAAAATATTATTAAGACAAGCTCAGTTTGAAAACCGTCAAATACAAAAAAAAAAAAGTATTATGTAATTTCATTTGATCTTAAACTGTCCGAATAACTTAGTCCAGATCCTCTTCCTGTAGGAGGTTTTCTTCAAACTTCAGGGTGTATTTGCAAACACCAAGACATGTTCACTCAAGGGAGGCCTCTCAAAAACAGATCTTCTAGGGTTTATAACACAACAAAACATTTATTCTTCACCAAACTAAGGACAAATGCTCAAATGGTAAAGCAGATATTAGATGAAAAAAGGTGTCACATGTCATTGTTACAGGTGAGAGAAGATGAGAAAATAGACCTACAGTTTAATGCACATCTCTATTCTGTCTCGAAATGGCACCTAGCTTTTCTATTTCATGTGTTATCATACTCTGTTAAAGGTACATTTCCACATTTTTTTTTCATCTGTTTGAGTCAGCAGTGTAAAATATGAAACAAAGGAGTGGATTCTTCTGACAGTAGTTCTGAAGCAGGGCAGGGGTGTAAATAGAGTGAGGCTTGTGCAGGTCTAGTTCGCTGCTGGTGTCCCAGATGCTGGGACTGGTTCAGGATTATCTGGCAGAGGCTCATCAGAGGGACTATTGCATCCAAATCTGCTCTTTAAAGAACGTCCCAAAAACAGCCAATACTCCCTGCGGATGGTATCCTTTTTATGTGCCAGAAGTTCACAAATCTTCAAAAAGATGAAACAAACAGAAGAGAAGTTAGAGAGAATTCACTGCAATTAAACAAAAAGTATTTTTTCTTCTGTGTCCAGGTTCTGTTTGGCTTTAAATATGCACTGACCTCAAGAGCCCTTTTTAAAGTTTCCTTTTGCTCCTCTTCTGTCATATTTTCTTTTTGCTGGCTGCTCTCCAAAGCGTCCTCATAGCAATCAAACAGAAACGCTAGCAGATAAGTTGAACAATGTGTCTCCTTCAGCTCAAGGATCCTTTCCAGCAAACCTGGTTGTGATGACAGACCTCTGTCCTGCAGCATCCTTGATCATAAATCAAGAGGGAATAATTTGGTGAGTTTACACTCATCGCTTGTCCTGAACTTGAGGTTTCTTCTTAGCACTTAAAACCAGGTGAATGTTAAATTTTAGCTTTCAGTCAGCTAAACAGGAAAAGTTTATCAATACACCAGAGAAAGTACAAAAACATGTTGTATAAACCATGTTGAAAATATATCACATAATTAACATCTTACCCTTTCAAATAGTTCCATGCACTTTCATTGTGGGGAGCCTTTCGGACCTGGTTCAGACAATACCTTACACAAAGACACAAAAAACAGTGCAGTTAGAAAACCAATTCACCTGCATACACTTAAGAAGTCATTAAACAACTATTGCTCATCACTCAAGAAACTATTCCTCTGAATTTCTTTTATCGTGTGTGATGTTAACAGACAGAGCCGGAATCTTTACAGATAATCCACAGTTAGAGATCGTGACTTTAAAAATCTGCTATCACACTCTGTTCAGCTTCAGAGGTACAAAACTCACTGACCTTCTTATAGTCCGAACGTACAGAAAAAGTACTCACTCGATCTCCCTCTCGATGATGGCAGGGTCAGAGAAGCCTGTTGTGTGAGAAATAACGAAATGTCTCTGGTTCCATGCAGAGTTATTTCTCACGTCTTCCTCCAGGAGATTCTCCACAAACTCCAGCTCGTTTTCCCACAGTTTGTACTCCTGGAGATTGAGCGAGAGATTTATTGGCAACAATCTTGTTATCACACTGTGTTGGTTGAAGCCCCACCATGCATCAGACAAATATTGATCACAGAAAAACTCAACCCCCACGTCAACAAAAACTTTATAGATCATGGCTACATGTTATCTTACAGAAACCATTAAAAAATCATTAGACGATGCTACAATTGTTGGAGCTGCATTTCTGAACCTAAAAAAGGCCTTTGATAGTGTAAACCATGGCTCACTTTTTAACTTTGTAAACTTCTCCAAACAAACTCACAGCTGGTGTCATATCTGAAATCAAGTCTCGGCGGCAATGTGTTAAAATAAAAAACCCTGTACCTTCCCTTTAAACTGTAATATTGGTGTGCCACAAGGCTCCATTCTGGAGCCACTGCTTTTTTTCTATGCATTAATGAGCTGTAAAGATGTTGACTGTCAGATGTGTGCTGATGATGCAGCTATTTATGTATCATTAAACACCTCACCGATGGCTGCAGACTTTATAAATAGGGACTTGTCAGGGGCCTAAAGAAGGAGCTGAAAAACCACTTCTCAACATTGAACTGTAATAACTTTGTTGACTATTGATCAGGAGTAAACACAGAAAGTCAATGAGTCTAAATATCCAGGTGTTGTCTTGGATCCCCACTTAAAATTTGAATCACATTTCAAAAAAGTATCAAAAAACATCAAGACTAATCTGATTTACTTTCTGTTTATAAGATCCTTCAACCAATTAAGGCTGCCCAGTAGTACATGCACTCTATGGTTTTCCCACACTTCTCCTATTGTGACTACCAACCGGTAGTCTAGCATATGCTGTCATTATACAAACCAACCCTAAAAACATTGGACCAAAAGCCAGTGAAATGGCACTATTGCAAAATTCTACAAAACTATCATTTACTGTGTGTGAATGCTCCAGATCTGGACCGACATGATTCAAAAATACTAAAATAAAAAGGAGCTACCACAAGTGGTACAGTTAGTGGGGGCTGTAAACCAGCAAAGTACAATAGAGGATTTGGCCAGTCCTCTGTCTCAGTTTAAGGTCTACAGATTTGGATCATCCTACCATCAGAGGAGTTTCCAACATTAAAACACAACTATGGCTTCAACAAAAACAACAACTCTGTGAACAGTAACTTATGTATTGGCTTCACTGTTAGCTCTCACACATGTATGTAGCCATCAATGCTCTCGTCAATTGATAGTTTTTAATGCATCTGAATGGTTGCTATTTTTAGTGTCTGCTTTGTTTTTAGTTTTTATGAAAATGTGTGATTTCTTGTCTAGTCTGCTATGATTCTAATTTTTTAAGTTTGTTTCACAGTTTTGTATCATGAGTCCCGTTTCCAGCTGCCGGACCAGGGACGTGAAATATAAATCAGCAATGGCCAAAAGTCCTTATACACGAGATTGGTTGCTCTTCATTTATTTGGAACAGAGATGAGATGGACATGTATCGTCCCAATCAAATAAATAGGTAAATAAACGAAAGCATGAAGGATTTATTGGGGCTATGATTTATGGATCAATCTGTCATCACAGTTCTGAATCCAGATAAGAGCGAGATCAAAATTTATGTCAGTGTGTTAGAATTACCTGAATGACCCATTGTCTGTGCTGCCAGGCGTGGTAGTTCTTTGCATCCTGGCTGAGAATGTCTGCAATGAACTCCAATTCCTCTGAAGGGTCATTCAACCACTCGACCACCATACGTCGGTGATGCCTGGGAGTTTTCACAGTTAGGTTTTTTTTTTAATTGTAACCACCCACAAAGCATTTCATATATTTAGTAACATTTAACAAATAAAACCCAAGTGACATTAAAACCTTCTACACTTTACATAATTTCCAATTCCAAGTATTGTCTCATTTTCCAATAACTTCAGATAAACAGAGTTTAAACTTGATTTTACCAGCACCCACCAGACTTGGTAGTTTTTGGGTTGCTCCTCTATGATGGCAGTAATGTACTCCATCTCCTTCCTCAGGTCCTTTGATAGTGCTTGTAGCAGCACTCGCCTGTAGTGCCTGCACATATCCAAACCACAGAACTCTTCAAATGGATTTTACCAGTGGACAAGATCATTTTATCCTGAAGATCAAACGTATTTAAAGGGGAGGAATGACTGAAAAATTGCACGACTGTTATTTTGCAGTGTATCAGGGGCCTTCTATTCAATTACAGTTTGGGATCAAAGACATTTTGAAGAAAGTTTCTTTAATATTTCAAAACATACTTTCCCAAAATCAGTTCTATTTTTAATAAAGACTATTTTAAACGAGAAGTGGTCCTTCCAACTTAAGTAGCCTCCCCTTATATATGAATAAAACAAAACATTCCCTGCTTACCAAACTGTGTAATTGGCAGCATTCAGCTCGATTGCTTCTGCTGTCAGGGCGAAAGCTCGCTCGCTTCTTTCATCGTTCTTCAGGAGTGCACGGAAGTAGTCGTAAACATCTGCGACTGTTGGAGAGCAAGGCAAGGCAGTTTATATACAGTAGTGAGAAAACGCATTTGACCCCTTGAATAAAAAAAAACAGATTTCTTCTGTTTTTGTCACACTGACATGTTTCAGAGCATCGACGAAATCTGAATATCAGACAAAGATAACCTGATTAATTACAAAATGCAGTTTTTAAATGTTGATTTATCCAATTAAGGGGAAAATGTTATCCAAACCATCTTGACCCTATGTGAAAACTAAATTGGGTTGGGTTATGCAACCGGACAATGATCCAAAACGCTGCCAAAAGTCCGCCTCTATTAGTAAAAAAAAAAAAAAAAAAAAAAAAAAAAGACACAAAAAACAAAAACAAAGGTTTAGGAGTGGCCCAGTCACAGTCCAGACTTTAAGCTGTTTAAGATGTCGTGGCATGACCCTCAACAGGCCGGTCATGCTTGTTCAAAACGCTGCAGCTCGTGTTTTATCTGCTCGCTGTAAATATGACCACATCTCCCCAATTTTAGCCTCTCTTCACTGGCTTCCTGTGCGTTTTAGGATTGATTTTAAAATTTTGTTATTAGCTCATAAATCTTTAAACAGGATTGCTCCTTTTTATCTCTCTGACCTTTTAAAACCCTATACTTCATCTCAGACTCTCAGATCCTCTGACCGGTGCCTTCTGACTGTCCCTAGGTCAAGATTGAAGTTCAGGGGTGACCGGGCCTTTTCCATCACTGTGCCTAAGCTCTGGATTGCTCCTTCTCCTCATGTCTGACTGTCCCCCTCACTGCCTGTTTTTAAGTCAAATTTGAAAACACACTTTTACTCCCTGGCTTTTAACTCCTGAGAACTTGGCCTTTTAATCACGTTTTTACCGAACCATCTATGTCCCCCTGTTTTTAATGTGTTCATGTGTCTTTGTTTTATTGTTCGTGTTACTTGTCTGTTTTTATTGTTTTTAATTTTTACTGTACAGCACTTTGGTCAGAATTTTGTTGCTTTTAAATGTGCTTTATAATTAAATCTGGATTGGATTGGACCCTCCAATATGGCTGAATGAAAACAGTTCTGCAAAGAAGAGTGGGTCAAAGTTCCTCCACAGTGACGTGATGTGAAAGATTCATTTCTAATTATTGCAAATGCTTGACTGCAGTTCTTGCTGCCAGGGGTGGATCTGCCAGCTAATAGGTTTCAGAGGCAATGACTTTTAATAAATGAAATCATCATTGAAAAACTACATTTTGTGTTTACTCGGGTAATCTTTGTCTCATATTTTAATTTTTTTTCTTGACTTGACATTTTCTTGTTGTTTAGTGATATTTGGAGCTCAAACACTGAACGCTGCCTCTCCAGGTTTGGGTCTGACTCCGAGGATAGACAGCAGACCTGAACCAGATGACCTGAGCAGTCTGGATGATCCATACCGCATGACAAGAACCCTTAAGCACATAAGACCTAAACCTGACAGTGCTTTCTAATCCAGCAGGAGTATTTTCATCTACTCTCTGATAAGAAAACATGAGGAGATATAAAATGAGGAGATATTAAAACTGTGAATAACAAAAAATGATTATTAATATGTGTTTGCTCATCCTTTTTGCAGACAATCCAAACAATCTTACATTTTTCAGAGTAGGCGATCTTCACAACGGGATTTGGTCCATCATCCTGGGGTACTGGATCCAGATCAGCCCACTCCTTTCTGTCTCTAAAACACATGACATGAGAGTGGATGTTATTAACCATAAAACCACTATACAGCAGGAAATAAACACTGATTTATAGCGTGGAAAACAGACCAATAATTAACCATCATTGTCTTCGTTTAATGTGTAATGTTTTATATTAGCCACCCTTAGCGAGAGCAGCTAGTAAGCTAGGCACCAAAACATGAATGAAAAGTACAAAAACCACTACCTGTAAAATATATATCGAGTCGGGTCGTTAAAAAAATCATCCTCCAGGTGGTCTTCGGCCTTTTCATCAAATTCTCGGTCCTCTTTCGCATCCACAGGATCATCTAAAGTTTCCAAGACACCTGACATGGCTAACTCAGTTACCGCTAGCTTGATCACGCCAGTCTGTAGCGAGGAAGAAGAAGAAGAAGACAACTTCCGATCCAGCGGTGCCTTCAGGGACTGTGGGAAGTTTCACTTTCGTAGCAGAAGTGCCTCAGTTTGAAACGGACGTTCAAATCCTGTCCAGACTTCACCGACAGAGCACGGACTGTTGAATACTTTGTGTGATTTTAACGAGCGTTTTACTTGGTGTTACTTTTCCCCTCTCCTTTACGGTTATGTAAACAGAATTTATACCGGTGGCTAAATAAGTTTTGCATCTGATTTTGTGTATTTTCTCTTTTATGTCTGCCTGACTGTTTGTAGTTTTTAATCTTTTTTTTTTCTTTTTTAATTTAAATTCTTTTAGACTGCGGTGGCCGAGAACCGCCGCTGCTGCATATAAAAAAAAAGAAAAAAAGAATTTAAAAAAAGCAACAAAAAAAAAGTCAGAATGAAAGTTACTGATGCAAAAACAAACACACAAACAAACAAACAAACAAATAAAAAAGAAAGAAAGAAAAACGAAGCCTACTGCAAATAAAAAATAAACGGTGCAGATAAAAAAAAAAAAAGCCACAACAGATGCTAATAACGCAAAAAAAAAGGGGCAAGAAGCCAAACATAGAAGTTGAACTGAAGCTAACACTACACCGGCTGACTAAATGACACATTGAAAAGCACATGAAGCAAAATTAAACAATAACCTTTCCACTTAGTGCTTTCTAATCCAGCAGGAGTATTCCAATAAACTTTCCACTTCTTCTGTGCCTAGATCATAAAACATCAGTGCATTATCATTATTGGTCCCCAGCAGCGCACTTGCGTTGTGGCTTTTATTTGCATCCTTTTTTTTTCGCAGTAAGTAGATTTTTTTTTTCTTATTTTTTGCATCCCCACTTTTCTTTCGTTGTTAACTTCCATTGCGGGTTTTTTTTTCCTGCACCTTTTATTTTTTTCTTTGCAGCGGTCCTCGCTTTTTTCTTTCTTTGCATCGGTAACTCCTGTTGTTGCATCTTCTTTTTTTATTTGCAGCAGTGGAGGTTCTCGGCCACTGTACTTTTAAATTGCCTCTCATCATCTTCCACAATTTTACATATTCAATACCCATCAAGTATATAGGCTGGAGTAGGTGTATAGTTTTATAGTGAAAAATAAAGCAGTATATTTTCCATTATTTATCATCATTGTGTCTGTGAATATTTACTCTGACAACAGTATAAAACCTAAAACCACTGACACACTCAGAGTTACATCCTGGCTCCCTCTTATGGCACACACTGGTCACTGTGTTTTTTTTTTGTTGGATTTTTTCAGTGAAATGCTGTTTCCTGTGAATCTCTACATTTAAAGTTATTTTTCATTGACATGTTATTTCTTTTTAATAAAATGCATTTACCAGCAGAAACAATGTTCTAGTAGCACTGTGTAACAGTATTACCCACATATATTACGGTCAAACTGAACTTTATTTTCATTGACATCTCTGGACATTATAAAAATAAATACATGATTCACAGTCAGTGGATCATAATACAAATTGATATCAAAATTATGTATCGGTCAGAATGACGAATCAAACACGTGCAGAATTACCATTCCATCAATGTATGGTCTGAATACTTGTCTTCTTTTTTCGCATCAAACAAAAGTTGTCTTTTATCCAAACCTGTTGACAGAATATATTCATATATATAAAAACCACCATTCAAATGAGAAAGCAATGCAGGTTTATTATGCTTCTCTCTGACATGTTGATGGCTTGACCCGAAGTGCGCTCAGTCTTCTTGATCCAATCCATGTTTTTCAATATAGCGCCTACAGGTGGAAAAAAGCAAAACCGGTGATTAGTATTTCCTTCAAAGACTAATTAACCTGTGTTACATTGTTAACATGGACCAAGCACACGTGGTGCATTTAATGAGCCTCAAAGTATCCGAGTTTAGATCCAAACAATCACATTTTTCCTGTGAAGCATAACCCCTATTGTTGCTGCAACCTGCTTCTTTTGATTAAAATCTGTCTTGAAATTACAGCCAAGAGCAACTTTACCTTCTTGCAAAATTATACAGTGCCTCTTTTCTCTCTTGGAGAGACAGATGCCGATCAACTGGTGATTTCCCGAAAGATTTGGCAGCAGGCTGTGAATTGAAAACAGTTTAATTAGTGTTACATCCAGTAGCTTAACTCAAACTTTACATATTTAACGACTTATGTGAAAATGATCATACCCTCCAAAATTGCGAGAAAAATTAATTTTGTATTGACTATAAATGTGCAGTTTATTCCCCAGTTAGGGAGCTGCAGTTACGAAAATAATCAAACCTTGATGGTGGGAGCAGAACCAGAAGAAAAGGAGCTGTTCTTCGACGACTCTGTTGAAGTCTCAGTCGCCTCCATTTGGGTCTCGTCCTTGTTCTCAAGTAAATTCGTTATGGTTGCATCAACACAATTTGTTTTTGCTGCACACAACCAAGAGACAATTGTCAATGCATGACAGCTTGTAGAGCATTCATGTTATAACAGTGGCTAAATTAAGTATCTTGCTTAAGCAGAGTAAAAAGTAGACAATAAGAGAATCAGAGAAAATGAATTTAAAGGCAGGGTTGTGGGACAAATTGACATATTTGAAACCGGGCCTTACCTAAGTCCTTGGTGATTACATTCAATGGGACATGAGGTAGCACGTCCTTCACCTGTTGGGCCATTCTGACGATCTGGTGATCATCAGTGCCCAAACTCTGGACCATGAAACCAAGGCCAATGGACGCAGGCCTGACATCTGGAGTAAGCAAAAACATCAGCTGACATCAATCCAAATCTTCAAAGCGTATTAACTGAATCTTGACTTCATTTAGAGCTGCTACATTAATTCTGACTTCATCTTATTTACTCACGTGCTGATGTTTGTGGTGCGGTATGTCTTTTCCTTTTAATGTGCTCTGCTTTGTCTGCTTTTGTGATCTTGGTGGACACCACACCAAGTTCACTGGCAAGTAGCTGAAATTAAAGTCATACATCAGAAACACCTCAAGTGTTTAATCACAGAGGAAGGAACAGACAAGGCCATTTGTCTTATAGATATAAAACCTGTACAGAGGATATGAAGATATAATTCAGTTTCTGACTGGTAAAAATATCAAGATTAGCAAGTTCCAGGTACTTTGCATGACAGAAATCTGTGCTGGGACCAGGGGAACCAAGTTGCTCTGGCTTCTAACACTTTATGTATTCTCTGATCAGATCTAATGCCTGAACAAAACAGATTTTTACCTCTTGGACTTTCTTGGCAAACTCCTGCATCGACTCACCATCTTGTCTTGATATGGAGGGGAGCCAACTGAGATACAAATGAAAAATAAACAAGGAGTTACTCTGGCAGCTAAACCTGATATCAGCATCCATCCTGGGTGATTGGATCACAAGTGGAAAGCCTCAATCACAGTTACGACCACACCTCAACGGGATGGGTTCTGATCACTTAGACCAGGTACAGGGTGGTCTACAGTACATTTATATCTAAATTGGTTTAGTGTTGTGTACCGTAATGTTTCCTGGGCAACATTAAATACATTCATTAGCAATTATATGGAGCAACAGACCGCCTGCTGCTCATGTCTGGTAAAAATCTTGTAAATTTACTCATGTTGTCGCAGGAATGTGAGTACACAATGAAGCATGCTCAATATTCAAGCTGCATGATGTCTGTACTTCTTTGTTTAGTTCATTTCAATATATGAATATGTGACCATCTTATATTGGAGACAAAGACAGTGAGACAGTGCGGGTTAGAGATATTATCAAAGAAAAGCTGGCTGGTGTTAATAATAGATAGGTGATTCAGATAACTAATACAAGAGAAGAGCAGGTATGACATGTCATGTAGTTGCTTTGTGTCGATGATAATCCACATCAGACATGATTAAACAAAGTTCTTTATCCAGTCACGCCATGATAAGAGCAGCAGGTGATCGTGGGGCGATGCTACAAGCGTCACTTTATTATCTGATACTGAAGGCTAATAAAGTTGAATGGAGCTCCCAGTTTAATTACATTCACAGTTGAAAGATGAGATCCAATCATAAGTGGTCTCTGGAAACACCTTTACAGATCCATGACAGTGCATATTGTGAACTCTCCACTTCTGATCCAGTTACCCAGGAGGCAGGTTAATACCAGGTCTGAATGAAACCTCTGATGAAAAATGTTGATATTGCAACAAGAGACTATCTTTTTTTCAAATCATGTCTATCAATCAACAGTATTGGTACGACACAGCATAACTAATAGGTTTTTACACCACAGTTGATGTAGTTTTCATACTCACATTAACAAAAGAAAAACTCTCATTTTAAGGAAATTACTGCAGCTGCTGCATGTCTGTGATTTATCTTTAGAGAATCAGGATTCGGCTGGTGGATGAAAATAATGATACAAATTATTTAGTACCTTACATGATACACTGTACATGGAGCAAAAAAAGTCCACAAGAGCTCCATCAGCCAACTTGACTCTGGTGTATTCTGTGGACAGACGAAACAAAGTTAAGTCAATCAGTGTGGTTCTAATTCAGTATGAGATGCTTTTCTCATTAATCTATGTGTAAGCAGACAACAAAGGAGACTGTATGGACATGTACGTAAATAATCTGCCAATCAATTAAAAATATCCGCAGTGATTGTAAAAGCCTCTCTTTAGCTGGAGCTGCACACAGCAACACAAAACAGTTATTTCTGGTCCTGAGATGACCGGCTTACATTTAAGAAGCAGCACTAATCATCGTGCTTTAAGGCAAATTGAAAAATCAGAAATCCATTGTCTGCTGCAGAGGTTTTATTTTTCTCTCTGCATGTTTCAACATTTCAGAGTTTCCTTTATTTTTGTACCATTTACAAAACACTCGACATATACTGTGCGGGAATTAAATCTTAAAACAACATGTTTTTCATTAACAATAATCCTATTTTAATTATGTACCACTCTGCTCTACAGTTTACAGTGGAAATGTAATTAATATTACCAAAGCAACCAGTGGCCTGGTCACTCGTAAGGCCACAGGTTGAATGGAGTCAGTCAGAGAGAAGGGCCAGGAGCTGAAATTGGAAAGAGAGAAAAGCAGGTTAGATTGATTTATTTGAAGTGAACTTTAAAAGTCAGGGGGAAAACAGATAGTGGCAGCAGAGTGCTTCATTTAAGGGTTTTGCTCGGGTCTGCTCATTAAAATGTCTGGTGAACTATTACAAATTGAAGTACACTGCAAGCAAGCGTCAGAATATCCTGTTATTAGGGGTCTCTACACAGTAAACTACATTTTACTGTTTGATCCTCAAAGTTGTTGTTGTTGAAGTTAATCCATTTTGCTGCTGTTGTTCTTTCCACAAATCTTCAATAGATCCTTATTTTCATCTTATTTTCAGACCTTCAGACTTGTCAAACTGTCTGAATTTTAATGATCATCCCTGACAGAGCTGTCAGCAGGTTAGCTGCTTTGAAAATACTTCTCAGCTGGTATCCTTGTAAATGTCTGTAAATGTATGAATGTCATCGAGAAGACTGGTCCTGCGGCTGAGGTTTTCTCAAGCATTAAAACTTGGATCTTGATTTAAAAAAAAAAGGACTCTTGAAATGCTCAGTCAAAAAAAGGCTGTCCTGAAGATCTGCAGTAGCTGCTCAAGTAAAAGCTCATTTTCACCATGAAGTTGACATATTTAACCCTCTTACATCTCGAGCTTCTAAGCAATACATTAATTTCACTGTAGGATTGATAAAAACACTTAACACACAAACGATGAAGTCTTGAAAACCTTACATTAAATTTAAAATAGTGAAATGTCAAATGCTGACACTGGAAATGTGACTGTTTTGGGAAAATAAATGCTCATCATCCTAGCTTGTTGAACCAGTTTCAAAAAGGTCTGGACAGAAGTATGTTTGTTCGTCACTGTGTGGTATCACCTTTTCTTTTTGAACCTCTGTGTAAATGTTTGGGGACCGAGGAGTCCTGAATGGTACGTCAACCAATTCCAGTCTTTCAACCACTAAAGCAGAAACCGATTTCTGACGCCAATATCATACTGTTGTTTTTGATGCAAAGGATAAATAAGACAATATAATAATACAACCAAGTGAGAAACAAGGTAGCTATACTTGAGTGAATATTTTATTAAAGAAATGTTTAAAGAAAAAGATTTTTCTCAGTAAAACACTGCCATGAAGGAAGCCTGGGTTTTTATCTTAAATTATAAAGCTGTAAGGTTCATACTGTGGTTAAAATAAAGCAGACTTGTATCAGAGGCAATAATAAATATTATTGACAGAATTGATATTGAACACAAGCAGGTAACTGTTGCAGATTTGACCTGCTGTCATTGGGGATGTAAAAACGTGTTTTCATTTGGAAAGATAACAGTGATGTCAGCCTTGTGAGGGTCAATGCTGATATGATGCTGAGTACTTCCTGATTGGTCATTTTGTTTCCAAAGGGACATTTTTCCCCACTCTTTTCTGATTAAGGATTTCAGCTGCCCAATAATTTGGGGTTTCCATCTTTTGTCATATTTTTTATTTCATTGACGACTAAAAGTTCTCAGTTGGTGACAAGTCTGGACTGCTGACAGATCCGTTTTGCACCCAGACTCTTCTACTTCAGAGCTGCTGATATAAACAAGATGACAGATGAGTAAACAACACTTGCATCTGCTGTAGTTGTAGAGTTTATTTCGAGCCCATGCCTTCGTTTACAAATCTATTTTTAAGGCAGTGCAGCCAGAGGGCCCAGATATCATGGTCATGGTGTATGTCTTTCAGCCTCACCTCTTTGGTGTGGAGATTTCCTCTGATTCTGTGAATCTTTTAACGATATCGTGTAGCTGACAAAGTATCCACATTTTTACCATCTCATACTGGGAACTATTAACCTGAAATTGTTGAATGACTCACTCACACAGTCCCTCAGCTTTAATCTTGAGAGAGTCAGTCTCTCTGAAATCCTGTTATACCATCATGTAACTAACCTGTTTCAGACTAATCTCATTTGTTTTTTCTTAAGCATTACCATTTCAGGGTTTTGTTGTGCTTGTTCCAATTTATTTCTGGCATCAAGTGAAACTGGAGCATTAATTTTGTTTATGAAAATAATGTTTTGAGTTATAACATTTAAAATATGTGGCTTTATGGCTGTTCACAATGAACAAAATATAAGTTTTAGATGATTTGGAATAGAATAAAATAGAATGTTCTTTATTGTCTTTATACAGTTGTACAGCGAAATTGTAGAGCTTCTCCCATTTCCAGTGCCCACAATAGAATAATACAAAAAACTCTTAACATGTAATAACAAAAGTGTGGACATCAGTGCAAAATGTTGAGATGTAATTGCAAAAATAAATCAATATGCTCACTGCCATCTACAGGCAGCTGTATTATTATTGAAGGGGATCAGCAGATAACTTGAGAAGAAACACTGTGAGCAGCACCATTAAACAGGCAATGCCGGTCAAGTAAACTAGTCGACAACTTCCTCCATATTTTCGGTACACTAAGATCTCCCATCAGAAATGTTGACACTAACCTGAACTTGAGCAGGCCAGCACGACCATTTGTGGTGTCCTCTTCAGGAAACAGCAGCAAAGGCGGGATGCCGTCACTGGAGCAGTATCTCTGCAGAGACTCTGTCATCGTTCCTTGGACTGATGCTGAATGTATTTCCATGAAGCCTCTAGCCCAGCACACAAAGCCTGTCGAGCCCTCTAACTGGGGCTGGTGAGAAGAGGAGCAAACTTGATTAACTGTATCAACACAGTCATAGCATGATCTCGTAAAATACAATGCCTAAGATCGGACAAAAAATTGTTCTGGGGTCTTATTTCTAAAGCAGAGTGCAGAATCCATTCTTGAGCAAAAATGCCAACAAAAAAAAACAAAACTGATGTGCAAAAAAAAAACTCCTATCAAGCCTCTTATTTTACCTTCTTACACCAATTCAGTGCACACTCTGAATAAGACGCACATAGATAAGCAAATCCTGGTCGTAATCGAAAGAAAAACAAGGAAAACAAAGGAAAAAAGTGTAACATCTTGTTGCTGCTACATTTACTGTCCTCCAGCAGTGTCAGAGTATCCATAATGCAGCATTTTTCAAGAGTGTCACTGCACTATTATAATTGTCACTGACTCTCCGCATACGGTAAAGATGTTATTGTTAATCAAGCAGACTTCCCTGCTTTACAGTTGTAGGTTAAAGTATCTTGTGTTTACTTCATTTTAAAGGAGGTCTGATCAGTGAAATTTGAGCTTTTGATGAAGGTGTGAGAATTATAGCAAACTTGATGTGTAATGACTGTGTGACAAATGCAAATGACTTTCCTTTGGGACAAAATCAGTTTGTTAAATATGTGCTGATAGTGAAGTACATGAGGTGGCTGATGATGAGAGCACAGTAAGGAGCCCTGTGTGTGTCTGACAAACAAAAACATAAAAAACAACTAAAAATTAGATCTTTGTTCGCCGGTTAAGGGGAGGTCCTCTTCTCTGCTTCACATGAGATTTTTTATTTTTTATTCATTGGCTTTTAACCCTGCATGAGACTCGGCTCCTCTTTTAGTGTTTTATGGTTTGTTTTTAGTTATTTGTTTCTGTTTTTAAAAATATTGAAACTATATTTTACTTTTTAATTCTGCTTTTATTTTATCCATTGTTTTAATTGTTTTTTACATCTGCGTTGTTTTGTCTATTTATGTACAGCACTTTGTTCAGCCGTGGTTGTTTTAAAGTGCTTTACAAATTAAGTTGAGTTGAGATACTTTGGTAGATTCAGTTTGTGTGAAACATCCCTCTACACTTCATTTCACCACTGCACTATGTGTAATCATTTCCTGCACCTCCTAACTGCTAATACTCAGGTCAGTGTGGTAACTGGTGCACACATTCTCCTATCAGCTTTAACTTCATGTATCACGACTAGTAGCTTTTTCGGTCTTTCTATGTGAGGGAAACAATCGTAAATGGGACCTCTGGACTCTAAACATGACAAATTTTAAGTTCTTCACGCACCACTGCGCACCAGTTATTCACACAAATAAAAACGCAAAAAGAAAGACACACTTAACATTTATTTCATAGGTCTGCACCGGTGGGTAGGGTTGGGTATCGTTTGATTTTGAACGATTCCGATTCCGATTTCGATTCCTCATTTCGATTTCGATTCCTATCGATTCTTTATTTCGATTCTTTTAAAAGGCAGGATATCATTAAAAAAAAGCATGGTTTGAATGAGGGCGCTAACCGGAGCTCTTCTTTTTGGATGTAATTTCTGAACTTCTCCATGAATTTTTAAATCATATTAACTTTTTAGGAACTTTACTATGAATTTCTCACATTTTCAACCAGTATATAAATATCATTTTTTGTTGTCAGGTCGTTTGTCTATGAAAAAGCACAAGGGCTAACGTTAGTTGGATATTTAAGTTGACCCACCGTACTCAGTGCAATTTGTTTACCGCTTCAAAGTTAGCAGAGGACAGAAGTAATTTATTGTTTCACTTATCTGATCCTGACTGGTTAGCGGAAGACAGGTGTTGTGCTGTAGAATGCACCCCTGCCGTAGAATGCCTCCCCTCCACTGATTAGCTTCTTAAAGTGGAAGACAATGATCTCATATTTAAAAAAACACGAGTATTAGATCATGACAACATGTCAAATGGAGCAGTAAACTTTCGTTTCGTTTTTCTGTGTCTCAGAAACGCACACATAGAGGTGTACTTGGGTATATAAACTGTACAGTAAGCTGTTAATGTAGAGAACATTATATTTTCCGGACAGTAAATATTCAGAATCAGAGGGCTATTGTTTTCGGCATATCTGAATAGCCTGAATGAAATCATTAAAGGCACACGCTTTAGATTCCGTTCAACGGTAAGGAAAACTTGGATTGTTTCGCCTTGTTGTGTACTTTCAACCGCGCTCCCGTCAGGGGTGCATTCAACAGCAGGGGTGCATTCTATGGCATAACACCGGCGAAGCGCGTCAAAGACGAGCACTCGGGTATTTCTCCTCCATGAATCCTGAGGTGTTTAATCATGTTTGTCGTTTACCCTCCTTTGCATGATATAACTGTATTGCTAATGTTGCATTGAGATAAGAGCTCATTCTTCCTGCTAAAGTTAGCCAAACTTTTGACCAACGAAGAAGAAGCTGCCGAACACCAACGAGGACGGAGCGTATGAGACGAAGTCACACAGAGAGAGGAGAGAGACAGAGAGAGATTACATTGTAACCCACAGCGGCTGCATTGCTGTGGGTTGCAATGTACTTTCTCTCTCTGTCTCTATTCACTTTCTGTGTGGCTTCGTCTCATACGCTCCGTCCTCGTTGGTGTTAAGCGGCTTCTTCTTCGTTGATTTTCGGCGGCTATTTCTTCCGGTCGGCAGACTCCGGCATCGAAACTTGGAATCGAAATTTTTATATTTGAACGATACCAAAAGAATCGAAGTTTTAGTCTCGATTCCCATCGATTCTCGATTCTCGATACCCAACCCTACCGGTGGGTGGCTTAAAACCATTGATAGTTCAAATTAAACACTGTAGCTAGGGTGCAGACATTTACACTCCTATGTGAAATGTCCATTTAACAACAACATAACTGCAGTATAGTAGTAATCTGACAAAGTCAAGAGCCAATATCATTTGATTATGATACTTATCATTGATTAACACAAAAGTCAAACACTCACAGTGTTGCAAGGGGTCAAAAGGTTGATGATGTTGTGGTCAAAGTCTGTCACGTGATTGCATATATACAGCTTAGTGTTCTTGTCCCTGGAGCGCTGGTTTCTTTGCCTCACATGCATCCCCAGGACTGAGCACATTATCCTGACGATGAATCTGAAAACATGAAAAGAGATATGGACAGGTGTGATCAGGGGCTGTCTTTCTCCTGTAGCTAATACACTCAATACAAACAGTTAACAAATACACTTGGAGAGGGATTTCTCTTTGATTGTTTTTCCTTATATCCACTATTACACTTCTGTGTAATAATACCATCATAACAAATATATAAATACCAAAACAGCTTTGCTAAAATTTGTTCATATAGATTTAATAAAATACTTGCCGTCTGATGAAGCTTTCAGGAAGTGCACAGCTGACCAAAAACACATGGACACCAATAAAGATCCGTATGAACATCAAACAAATGCCAACAGGGAAGTAGACCAGCAACAGCAAAAAGATGACTGTATCTCTGGGTAACCTGTGTAAAGAAAGAGAGAGAGAAAAGTGCAATCAGTGAAAGTTAAAAATGTTCAATCTCAGTACTGTGGGACTCTAGAGAAAGAAAAGCGCCTACAGCAATAAATTCAGTTTAATAAGAAAGAAACAACAGGACAACTTCCATGCAAAATCCTGCTGAACTGCATCAGGTTAATATTTCATGCAGTCGGATTACATCACTAAATTAACCACCGGCTGCTATTTTTCATTTCAGAGTCTGTTACATATTATAAAACAGCAAACAGTGACATGTGTGAGATACTTTGTTAACCCTCAACAGAAAGACATAAAGATTTTTAATGGATAAGACATCTAACCTGACAAAATTCACGTATTTATACACGAACATGATTTTGGACGTAAAAAAAAATAGTCATGAAAAGTTGTCAATTACCAACAGTTATCATGACAACGGTTTTGCTGAGACATGAAATGTTTTAAACTATAATGTGATAACATAATATCATGATGACAGCCAAAAACACCATCAAATCTCAAACTAATATTCATGTTTGGCTGAGGATGCAGAGAACAGGTAAACAGAGAAATACTGTTTGTTTCCAATGCAAGACTTGAGTGGGCTCTACTTCTTATTTGTGCTGAGAGATGACAAGATGTTGCTGTTAATGCGAATAGGTGATTAAAAGTGCAAAAATATGAAAACACACAAACACTGCTATATTTGTTTTCACAGAGACAGGAAACTAGAGATTACATTCTCGTCGTTTTGAAGTGTTCGTGTAAATGTCAAATTGTGGTGCACCAAGATTCTTCTAAATTGACCCTAAAATAATAATTTGTGCTCTGTTAAAAGAGTTTTGTGTATTATTGTGACTTATGAGTCTTTCTTTAAATTGAGTGTTAGACACACGGTCACGGTGACTTTAACACTCAATGTCAGTCAGGCAGATCATCAACATCCGCAGCTCCGCTTTCAGATCGTTATTACACGTGTCACTACTTATTGTTAGACAGGTGCTGGACAGCACAGCAACTAACTGGCATAAAATCTCTATTTCTCTATTTTTAAATCCTACTACATAGTCAGTCCTGCGGCCCCTGGAGGCCCCACACCACCTTGTATGTTATGAATTATGAACTAAGTTTAATAGAGATCCACCGCTGAGCTGGCTAGTTGATACGATATGTACTCTGATACTGCGCAGTCTCATGATACATTTTTACAAATACAAATACATCACACTTTACAGTTATTTTCACCAATATAAAGCCAAACTGGGTTAATAAGGCTCCTGTTTTTAGAAAAAAACGTAGAAATCTCGTCGTTGGCTTTGACTAGGCCAGTTAGCTCCACAGTGGACGTCCCCGAAATCTCAGTACAGGACTTCTTGATCCATCAGGAAAACCCTGACTCGTACTACAGCACATACTACCTGGTGTAAACTGAAACGTACTTTTAAAAAGCCTGCTGTCCTTTACTGACTTACCGATGGAAATCAAACATGTCTTCAATACCCCGAGTCTCCATGTCTGACAGTCAGACCTTTCCTCAGAGGCTAATGCTAAGAATAAAACTTCACCTTAAACAATACATAAGGCATAACGTTCGCCACAAGAAAGTGACTTACGTTACCCTAAATTACGAGAGAGAGTGGATTGAGATATTCTCGTGTATTAAATTTAAGCTATTTTGTCAATATATGGTCCGTAATCGTTGATAGTGTCCGCGATGCTAGCGGCGCTAGCGCCTGTTTTCCAGCTTGCTACTAGCGACAGTAATTCCACTTCCGGAGAGACTCTTTCAAATTAAAAGCTTCATGTAAGCGATTCAAAACTTTAGCCAAAGAAAACAAACGTAATTAGGCAAATTGACATAATAATAAACGAATACTAGTGGTATGTAGAAAATATCATCAGTGCCTGTAAAGACTTTAGACATTCTAATATCGTATGTGAATATTGAGGACATAAAATGTAGTTGAGAAACTGATTGTTAGTTAAACTGATACAAAAATATAAGCAGCACCACAGCTCACCCAAACTGAAGCCAAAATTTTAGGTTCACCCTTGTCTGTCTGTACGAAAGGTATAAAAGACCAGTTCCTCCATTATGACTGAAGAGGCATGGATCAAGCCATCAGAAAAAAAAACCCTGTCAGTTAAAATTTTCTCAAACATGTTTTCCATCGTTGCAATCAGTTCTTATTTTTAATGGTTTATGTTAGAGTGTTTGTTTTTGGATAAGTCTGGTTTTAATTAGTCATTTGATGCCTTAAAGAGGGAATGTAAAGGCATGATTGTGGGGCGGCAGTAGCTCAGGAGGTAGAGTAGTCGTCCAATAACTGGAAGGTTGGCGATTCGACTCCCCCCTATCCAGAGCCTGTCTATTGTGTCCTTGGGCACGACACTTGACCCACCTTGCTCCCAGTGTGTGTCCTCCACTGGTGTATAATTGTGTGTTGTGTGGTGGTGGTTGAAGAGGCGGGAGGCACAAACTGGCAGCCACGTCTCCGTCAGACTACCTGAGGGCAGCTGTGACTACCAATGTAGTTTACCACCACCAAGGTGTGACTGTGTGAGCAAATGAATAATATATCCTATGTAAAGCGCTTTGAGGGTCTCTGATAAAGCGCTATATGAAATCTGAAGCATAATTATCATTATGATCGACAGCTCTATTGACAAATGGCTGCTCCTGCTGCATCTTTGCCAAATCAGCAGTATACAAAAAGAGTAGACAGAGAAAACACAACAAACTCTGACACAACTGGCATCAAACTCTCTGAGAGTCTGCTTCAAAACAACACAAAAAGATTTTGGGTTTTCATCCCATTTATGAATTTACCAGTACTTGACCAACTTCATAGATATAGCTATAAGTCATAACTTTGGTCAGTTATGGAAGTTTGCAGCACTAGGTTAGCTCTGACTATCAAGCCAAGCTCCTTTAACAGAGGCATTAATTACATGTCTGAATCAGTCTTGCACCATTCATTGCTGCTGCTGGCTTGATCAGTAAACCCCCCCCAACTTTGTACTGGGTGTAGAAAAATGAGCAGGAGGCTTGTTCATCTTTTTATGTTGTCATTTGATCCCTGCCCTGTAACAGAAAAAGTCCAGGTTGGAAAAGTTAACTTATTGCAGCAGAAAATTTATCGGAACTAAAGCTAATTAATGTATGTTGTCATTATATATAAACTTAAGCATTACAATAACTCAGCTGGACTAATCTAAATAACAGTTACACAAACCACAGTGTTGTACATAAACAAATGTATACTAGGAGCTGCCGCATCATTGCTTGATATTCATAAGGCCCTCATTAGAGTCATGCAAAACTACATACCTGTATATGTTTCACCTGGAGAGATTAGATTCGGGGCAGATGCAGGGAATGAGACAATAAAGGGAAGTGTTTTGAACATACATGTAGAAACAGAGGGAATACCATTATAAGGAGAAAAATATGGTGCCAGACTGAGTTCAGGAGCAGGGCCATAGAAGTTCACATCTGCACAGGGCTGCTGGGGGCAAAGGAATATAATGCCTGAGCTAACCTGTTCTGGTAAGATGATTTGTGAGGCCAGCTATGCAGCAGCTACACCCAATAGGATAAGCATTTGGACACATTGAGTAGAAATTTAGACACTGGCTGTGTTTACAGATGGTTCAAAAGACCCAGACACAGATTCTAGACTCACATGAGACAGTCTGTGGTCACCTGTTTTAGGGGGCTATACATTCAAAACTTTGGATAAACTCTTTATATGTCCAGCAGATCTTGCAGCTTTTCTGATGCTTAGGTTTGTAGAGAATAAACACACAAATAAAAATTGGGTAAGAGACTCTATTTATAAGTTACTTTCAGGGTTTGAAACAATTATTAAAACTGAGTCAATTCAGCATGAATAGGAAATCATAGAAAGAGAAATTTTTAAAGCAACATAATTTAATTTTTAAAGAAAACAGAACGAATTGGGAGGACTTTATTTTGTGTGCTTTTTTATGTCTGTCAAGCTTCAGCTCCACACTCAGTCCGGTAGGTGGCGATAGAGTGAGTCTAAACTGGCCAGTGAACGGCCAATCAAAACAAATGAAGAAGGGAAGTCCCTCCCACAGACTCACAAAGTCCTGCAGCCTTGTTTATCAACAACACCCACCCGCTGCGGTACAACTTGTTCAACTACAGCTGACGCGATTTTTATCTTGGTCAAACAAACATCTCACCTTTATAACCGATAACAGACCGTATAACGGTCTTTTTTGTCGGTGACTCGGTGTTTTAATCATGTCTACCGGAGTCCCCTCTCTGTTAATCTCCTGGCTGGCTTTGGCCGCTGTGCTCGGTTCGGTGCTCGGGCTTAGTGAGGACCTCGACCGGCCTCTGTTCGGGCCTCCAGGGTCTCCCATCCGACTTCATGAGTCCGACCCGGGACTGAAGAAGGCTCTGGGTTTCGCCGAGGAGCGCTATAACCGGGGCTCCAACGCCATGCATCTCCGCAAAGTCAGCCGCTTCATCTCGGCCACCAAGCAGGTAACAATAACATCAGCTTCTGAGGATATCTTTGATCAAATTCATTCACAACATCGAACATCACATGAAACATTGCAACAGCAGACTGGTAAAAGTCAAGGATTTTAGTAGTCCAACGCTGTGTTACATACAGCCGTAGCTGTGCGCACTAAGATAATCACAACATGGTTCCCAAAAGCTCCTTAAAGCTGCGTCACACGAACCAGATTTAACTCAACAAAGGAGGTGACCTGTATCACGTTATCTGTTCATACATTAGATTAAAATATCATTCTTTTTGAAAGAACTTCTGTGATTTGACTTTATCTGAAAATTCATCTTCTTATTCCACTTAAACAATTTTGAAATCCTTTAGAAAAACACGAAGTGAGCATATGTAACATGTTATAAGCTCCTATCTTACAACAGCATTGTTAGCTGGCCTCCTCACAGTTGCATTGCGCACCCATCTGTCCAGAAAGGTCTAGTGCCACCAGGCTGTCAGTGTAGCAAACTGAGAGTCAAGACAGAACAACAAAGTCAGCATTCACATAGAGCCAAAGCAGAGGCTTGTGTGAGACACACATATACTACATGAAAACCCTGACACAATGCTCATGCCCTGTTAAATGCTTCATGTATTAAAAAACGGCACTACTTCATGTTTGTTTTTCAGCTGGTGAAGGGTATCCGCTACACTATAACAGTGGAACTGAGTAACACTCAATGTAAGAAATCCTCCATGCTCAGGACATGTGACTTCTATCCCGAGTCACAGAAACTTAAGGTATGTTGTTTACATCTGTATGTGTGAGTGGGGATGTGTGAATTAAAGTGATCTCACAGAAAAAGAGGGTGGAACATCCTCGTAGCTTTGGAACAGCATATTTTTATTAAAGTTGTATATTAAACTTCCCATAATGGGAATGCTGCTGCGTGAGAATCTAATAAGTGTGGCTGCACAGTTGTGTGCATTTAGCAGAGGTATGACCTATAACTGGATCTTATGACTTCAGTCTGACTCGGAATAACCACAAGCAGGCTTATTCTGCTGCTCTACATCCATGCTTGCACGACATGGACAAATGGGCTTTTTGTTAGTTCCTTTTGTTCCACTATCCTCTTACTCAATAAACACCCTCTCTTGGCCAAAGGACAAAGTAAGTAAATGGAGCTATTTCACTCTTATAAATGTAAAGACATACAGAAGACAAACATTGTTTTTTTGTGTGATTAGCTTGAGCTACATAGTGTTAAGCAATATTAATTAACAGTTCACTCTTTTAATGTACAATATCTGTGTCTTATTTGTTTTTTGTTCATATCAGACAGAGGTGTGTGTGTTCGAAGTGTGGGACATTCCCTGGCAGGGCACCTCAACTCTGCTCAAACAGAAATGCCAGCTCAAAGGTAAGACATCAGCAAAAAATGTGACCCTCAACCATCTCAGTCACAAATAATACAACCAAAAACACAATTTAAGTTTGCTGTGAATGACTGTGAACTCTCAGATGTCATTTACTCTTACATTCAAAGGTTTGAGATATGCTTTAATACAACTAACTTGCTTTGGTTATGATGTTATCCTCATTGCTTAAATCCTGCCCTCAAGGTTGGCAATCGCTCCTTTTAGTCATATAAGTGCTGTTTCACACCACATAGTAAAGAACATTTGCAGTAATCCTGCAGGTTTACTTGTCTCATCTTGTCTCATCTGCCTGAACCATCCAGTCAGTGCAAGTATTTGTCCTTGTGGAAAGGCTTGATGCAAATGTTCTCTGAACTTTGATCAGATTTTGTTTTGTTTGGCTAAAAAACATTGACCACAAATAGACTGATCTGACCTTCAATGCTTGATTATTATGTAATGTCACTGTTAGATAACCTCACTGTTGAGGAATACGTAATACCCAAATGATAAAGGACAAGACCAGGTTCAAATGTCGTCTTGTAATGTCGAGATCTTTTTTCCTCTCAATGGTTATGATGGAGCCCAGTTTTTAGTTGGCCTCATTTACTTAACTCACTAATTTGAAGTTGTTGAAAATCAATAAAGTTTTAAAGGGATGTTACATCTGTGTATGCTAACATGTGCTTTTAAATGTCTCTGATTAGCTGACTCTGAACAAGAAGAGACCACCAAAGTCGTGGATGCATCGACTAGCCCACTTTCGGAGGTAAAAACACAAAGCCGGATCAATAACAGGACCACCAACAATCTTGATCTTCCCTCTCTTTATCAGCCCTTCAAGCTGGTGTCAAATGTTCCACTTCTATCAGCTGAATCAGTCAATCAATCAATCAACTTTATTTCTACAGCACATTTAAAAGAACCACGGGGGTAGCCAAAGTGCTTGTACACTGAACTGAGTGCTGAAATTTGTAATTTAAGTAGGTCTTCGTTGCTCATTTTGTTTGTCTGCCGTTTTTCCAGCAGGAGTCTGTGGAGCTGTTGGGGAAGTTCAAAGAGTTCATGGTTAAATACAAGAAAGACTACAACACTCAGGAGGGTGAGTGACTGATACCTGTATTCTTAAATGTGCTGTGAGGAGTTTCTAATTGGTTGAGAAACAGTCTAAAACCTTACACCAAGGCCTCTTTATGACCTTTAAAAGCCAATGGGACCATCAGCAACAGCAATGAATATTTCTCAGCTGAAGGATTTTAAAGCCTGACACTGCTATAAAGTGAGTAGGTGTCAGACCAGATGAACCAGATCTTTTACCCTGGCATCTGCTCACGGTGGGTGGTATGATTGACATTTAAAGGACAAAAGAAAGAGGCTTTGGTCTGAAAACACTTTGTGCACATGTACAGGACAAGATAAGACTTTGTCAAAACAGACCAAAAAATTCCTCACAGCAGCTCTATCATACAAAACATACATGGGTGCATTGTGTTAAAGTCCTGCCTCTTTGTCTGCTTATAGCAACAATGAATTCCTTAGGTCCCATACAGAAACCCAAACATGTGCATAATATCAGACTCTTCAATGCTGTGCAAATTCTGAATGATTAATTATCAATCACTTACTAAAAGAAAATCTTAATTTTTCCCCAGTATAATAACAATACTTCTTCCTAAATCATATTGCTTTATTTTGCACAACTTCATGACACGTTCCTGAACATAAAGGGAATTATAATTGTTTAACTCGCTGAATATCTTAATGTTGAGTAGGATTATAAAAATAAAAATCTCCACAGAGATGAAGTCGTGTAGAGCGAGGCTCAAACTACTAAATGTGAAACTGCTCCAACAACAGATCACAGTGTTAATTTTCTTTCTACTACCAGTCCAGCAGCAGCAAACATGCCCAGAAGGCGAATATGTTAGTGATACGCAGAGACAACTGTGCGCCACCTTTTCCAGTCAGTGAAATCTCTGCGTGCTGACTTTCTATCAGTTTGCCGGCTTTGCGTTGCAGGATGGAGTGATTTCTTGTAACAAAGTGTCAACTTCCATGTCCCTGCTGTCAGTGGCTGGGGCAGTTGTTTCTTGCTTTCGCAAAAAAGAGGAGCCTTCTTAGAGACTGGAACAAGGCTTTTCTGATGGGGGGTGACATGTTTTGAGCTTCAAACACACCATGGTAACCATGGTATAAGAGACCTCATGTTGATAAAAAAAAAGACAAAAACAGAAGGAAAAGTGTCGTCCTAAAATAAAAACAGTTCCTACAAGAGAAGCTGTCATGGGGAACTTAAAAGTCATGGGTTGGTTTGCCATCAGACTCATTTGTTGTTTCAAAACTTGGTCAAAGGGCAAGTGTCTGAAATGGAACTCTTGCAATTCCTTAACTCGTGTTCTTAGTCTGTGTTTGTTTGTGTGTTTGTCCTGCAGAGACAGAGCGTCGTTTGCAAATCTTCCATGAGAACTTGAAAACAGCAGAGAAGCTTCAGTCATTGGATCAAGGGTCAGCCGAGTATGGAGTCACCAAGTTCAGCGACCTAACCGGTACGTGCATCTGTATGGGTTTTGCCTGTGTGCTCACACACTTTCTGGTACTTCTCCAAAGTTGCAGATGAGGACATACATCCTCCTGCTTCATGTGGGTTGCATCAGCCTCAGTGGACAGTTTACTGAGTAATGAAAACCTTCAGCTGCTCTCTTTCTTTTTAAATCCTGTTTCTGTAGAGGAAGAGTTTCGTTCTGTGTACCTGAACCCACTGCTGAGTCAGTGGACACTTCACCGACAAATGAAACTGGCCGCTCCTGCCAAAAGCCCCGCCCCTGCCAGTTGGGATTGGAGGGATCATGGAGCTGTTAGTCCTGTTAAGAACCAGGTACCAGCCAGCAGACCTAATTACAGAGGATTAACTTTAAATAGAGCGTATGAATTAATGATCATCTTTTCCTGTGTGTGTCTGCGCGTGTGTGTGTCTTTCATAAAGGGCATGTGTGGGTCTTGCTGGGCATTTTCTGTCACAGGCAACATCGAAGGCCAGTGGTTCCTGAAAAATGGGTCCTTACTGTCTCTTTCTGAGCAAGGTAAAAAAGCAGATTTTCACAAACCCACGGTCACCAAAAAAAGCAGAGATACGAAGAAAAATCAATATCTGCCTTCTGCAGAATGAGTCCACTTTACCTTTGCAGATAAAACCCATGGTTTGAGTGCTTTATTGATTTGTTTCCCTCAGAACTGGTTGACTGTGATGGGCTGGACCAGGCATGCAGAGGGGGGTTGCCATCAAATGCTTACGAAGCAATTGAGAAGCTGGGTAAGACAGACATGGGCATAACTCATGAGTGCAGCACTTTATTTCTCTCACCCCCTTTTATTGTCATGAAATTCAAGTGGTTTTCTAACTTCTTTGCACCCATTACATTTCATTTGTGCCAGAATTGATTGTCCGAGCTAACGCAAATCTTCTTTTTTTATATGTTGTCAAGGTGGCCTTGAGACTGAGTCTGACTATTCCTACACTGGACACAAACAAAAGTGTGACTTTACCAACAGGAAAGTGGCAGCCTACATCAATAGCTCTGTGGAGCTGTCCAAAGATGAAGAGGGTAAGTGAGCTCGATGAAGAAGAACAGATAAATGTGTTGAAAGAAGTTCCCTCTACATTAGACACATGGAACCTTTTTTAATCTGTAGTTGACAAAAACAGTATTTCAACTGAATGATCAAACAGTAACGTCACATTAAAGTAGTAGAGATTTGTCGGTGTTGACTTTACAGGTGTAATACAGAAATATCTCTCATGCTGCTTTCTCTCCAGAAATTGCTGCTTGGCTGGCTGAGAATGGACCCATCTCTGTTGCTCTGAATGCCTTCGCCATGCAGGTTTGCAGATTTGTTGTGTCTATACTTATCCATGACAGTAACAGACATATCAACGAAATCTGCTTCACTTAACTCACCCCATGTTAGATACACATTGATACACGATATACTTTCAAGGTTTTAATGAGAAAATGTCACTCTTTTTAATTTTCTTTGAACTTTTCTAGTTTTACAGGAAAGGTGTATCTCACCCTTTGAAGATTTTCTGCAACCCCTGGATGATTGACCATGCTGTCCTGATGGTGGGATACGGGGAACGTGAGTATTTTCATTATTCTTTGTTTGTCCATGTTCATGTGACAGACACATTTGTTTTTCTCAGTAGCCACACTTTTTCGTAAATCTGGGTAGACTCATGTTCACTGTATGGATGCTTCTTTGCTAACAGGTAAAGGCACTCCATTCTGGGCCATCAAAAACAGCTGGGGCGAAGATTACGGAGAGCAGGTGAGACAACCTTTTCTGGAAACAATGTTTGTCAGTCAGAGATAAAAATCACATAAAGTGTGAAATTAAACACAGTGTAATATTTTATATTCTAATTATTCTTTAAATTTTGTTACTGCTGGGATAAAGTTGTAAGAGTCTTTGTGTTTTTTCTTGTCTCCTCTTTCTTGCACAGGGTTACTACTACTTGTACAGGGGGTCCAATGCGTGCGGGATCAACAAGATGTGCTCATCTGCTGTCGTCAACTAAACACAAGAGCCAACATATTGACTCGCACAGACACAATCAAGCTGCCACACTAAAAGCTGATTCCATTACTGATACTGCACAAAGTTATTTGATCCAAACTGCATGATGGTCATGATCAAACACAGATAAAGTCCTGTTGCTGTAACTTAAACCAGACTAGTTCTCATACCCTCGTACCTCACACCTCGTGTCAGTTTACTGAAACTTTAATTTATTGAAAATGGACCATTTCAAATAAAATTAGAGCCGCTGACAAATTGTAAATAGACTTATATTCATACTGATTTTACCTCTGCATTTTATTCTACTAACTTGGCAGGTCAATGTAGAGGGAGTGTTTTAGGGGTTTTTGGTTTTACCTCATCTTTCCCTGACAGTAGCTTAGCCAGAGTTTGAAGCTTCTGTGAGGACTTTGTGTCGATGTTGGCGCCCCCTGTTGTTTCAGTGGTACTTTTATCCCTTGTACCTTGTCCTGTTGTGTAATCTTGACATATAGTCTCATCCTGCTGTCTTTAGCTGTAAGTGTTTTTAACCTTTTAATGAACGTTCATTTTTGCTTAGAAATAAGTGGAAATAAAAAAAAGTCTGATTTTTCAGGATGAAGTCATTTGACACTTACTCCCTCTTCAGGTAGGGTTTTGGGCATGACAAAATTATACTACTGAAACTGTCTGTTGCTGATGGTCTCATTGTCACAGGTCGTAAAGACACACAGCTGTTCATTTCCGTGTGTTTTTACTACTAGGTAACATCTCCTCACAGGAGCCTTGATTAAGACAGCACTAACCATGTTTAGACACCTTTGCTGCAAGTTTTCTTATATATTCCATTAATGCTATGAAGTGTGAGTATTCTTGAATGATTGAAGTTCAAACTTTTTTTTTGCACTACTACATAATGAAAATGCAATTGTAAAGACTGCTGTAAAACCATGAGGAACAGATGTAAGGTTGAATAAAAACATTGGCAATTTTAGTCTTGATTTAGTTTCTATTTTATTCAAACCCCACAGCAATGACAGGAAATTGTATTCATCAAACAATAAAAGGGGACACTGAATTTTGCTTAAATTCATTCTGTAAAAATTGATTTTAGCTTCAGTCAGTTAAAGGTCACTTTAACACAAATGAATGATAATTTCAAACAGTGGCATCACTATTTTCATCAAATAGATTAAATATGGTTTAACTGACCTGACTTTAAGAAAGTCCCCTGATTATTTCCCCTAGTGCTTCAACACTGTATAAATATTTCAATAATTCAAATGTATTTCTTATCCAAACCCCTTTATGCTTTTATCTATCTAAATGCAAACACTGCCCCCAGTTATATCAACACAATGGAAACTACACTTGTATGCAAGACTAGGGGTCACACAGTAGTCATATTTGCTTAAGATTGTGCTCTCATTTCATCCAGGGCAAGAAAAATAGCCAACAGAAGTTCATGATTCTACTTTACATATCTGAGCATGGCTTTGGCGATGCAAAGGAGGGTCAGGGTCAGGTCATGGAAAATGATGGTGCATTGCAGCATGAAAAACGCCCAGTATTGATAATGATCTGTTGCTTGATTCATGTCAACAAGGTAAACATGCTGGGAAGGTTAAAATGTGTAGTGTTTGCAAAATAATTTTTGGTGAGTTCTTGTAGAAAAAAAAAAAAAACTTTTAGTATGACATACAAACATAAAACGATATCATATCAATACAGTTTATCTGGAACATTATTTTTGGACAAAGAGCCAAACTGACGTGACTTAATGTGACGAAGTGTGAAGAAATATCGGATATTAAAGAACTGGCAGTATGTGTAAACTCAAGTCAACTATTATTTTTATCGTGATCTTGAATGTTGCTTCCGTTTTTTTTTTTTAAATACTTCATTTCCCAGAATGCATAGGGCTTGACATGGAAGAAGAAAACACGAGACCTCGGGAGGGAAAATCCCTTTTGAGCATCTAAACTTTTCATACTTGGACAACCAACGACACTTTTACTCAAGCCAAGTTCACAAATTATTTTATCATTCACTATCTTAAAAATTTAACCTTTTATTTTGGCTCATTTTGATAAATAAATGTGGATCTGGCGCGCTTACGTCACACCGGAAGTGTATAATCCGGTGTTGTCAGTAAAGAGCAACGTGTGTTTGGTTTGGCATGAAGATAGGATTAGGATTTTCTTTTTATTAAGAGTGGGTTTTTAATCGCTGTTAGCTGCTTGATTATAATGTCCCAGGCTACCAAACGTAAACACGTCGTCAAGGAAGTTCTTGGAGACTTCGTCACGCCGACAGAAACCCAGCAAATTGTAAAGGCAAGTAGACCACGATATGGATTTAATGTCGACATTTCTCTGAGTAATGATAACGAGCATTTGCTCACATTACAACCTTCCTTTTCCATTTTGTGTGATCTCTATTTGTGCGCTGATAGATCACCGGTAGCCGTGGTAACAACCTCCATGAAACTGTCACGGCCCAGGGGGAGACCTTCCTGGTCAGCATGCCCACCAAATTTCGCAAGAACATCTGGATCAAGAGAGGTACATCCTAGAGTGGGTGGGGTGAGATTAGAGATTAGATTTTGAAGTTTAAATGAGGTGTGTTTGACTCATGTCATCTACACTGAACCTGATGAGTCTGTTATTGATGGCATCATCATCTCACTTGTCAAGCTTTCATTTATCTGAGCAACACACCACCACAGCAGAAACATCTGAACGATCCAAAAATGTTCTTAAAATTTTCTAGATTGTCATCAGGTCACCGGGTTTACTCTGAATGCTTTTACAAGTAGGACAGATCCTCTTGTAGAATATCTGTTTAGGCAGCATAACTTTATAGCCCAGCATTTAATTGTTCATATGTGAAGATGTGAAACGCTTATGTGTTTATTTTACCTGAGATGTATTACGCAGGAGAACAGGATCCTTCATTTCTCTCTGTGTCTAACTGGTCAGCTGCAGTAATTGTTTATCATCGCCTGTCTAGAGTTGGAGCTCTTAAAGCCGGGGTTCTTAAGGACACACAGAAGCAGCACTTTGATGATGTTTGTTACAGCAATCAATTGTTAATATTGAGGTGTGATCTGATTGGCAAAATCATACCCCTCAGTCCTACAAAGAATACACAAATGTATGAGTTTCTGCCTGCTGAGAGGGGGATTTTCCTTTCCTCTTCTGTAGGCTGTTGCCTCATGGTGAAATTTTGTCACCTCTGTATAGTTGATATCATAATGGACTGGTTATATTAATAAAATGACCTGAAATTGCAGTTACTTCTACGCTTGTGATATAATCTACTTTACGTGACACAAAGGCACTGTGACTCAATGTAAAAAAATATAACTCTGTAAACTTGAACTGGCATGAAAAAATCTTCTTTCCGTCTCTTAAATATATATAACCATAATATTTTACTTCTGCAAGAACGACCACAACAGCTGTACATATAGAATTTTTCTCTAGTTGTTTTATGAGTTTGGTATATCGAGCTTTTTAACAGCACTATATAATAACATGAAACTAGTTGAAATTTGTTCATTAAACTAATGACTGACAAATCTGCCGTGTACTGATATCTCAATAAAATCTATCTGCTCTCTGACCTCTAAGGTGACTTTGTGATCGTTGATCCCATCGAAGAAGGAGAGAAAGTGAAAGCAGAAATCAGTTTCATTCTCTACAAAGATCACATTCAGTATCTGCAGCAAGAGCAACTCTGGTAAGTTTGAACAGACTGGACAGCGGTAATTTTACATGTTATCATGTATGTTTGTTATGTTTCATCTTCGACTCTCTCCACAGGCCAGAGGGATTTATGGAGGGGCTGTCCGAACAGGATAGGACACACAAAGAGCAGGGAAAAGAAGAGGACACAGTACAGGAAGAGGAAGTGAGCGACTCTGAAGATGATGAGAGCGACCTTTTTGTGAACACCAACCGCTGTAACTATCAGTACAGCGAGAGTGAAGATGAGGAAAGTGAGGAGGAGGAGGAAGAGGAGGAGAAGAAAAAAGAGAGGACAGAAAATGCATCTTAGTGGTTTGCTAAAGACAAGGACAATCTAAATGAAGAGGTGTGGTGATCGTGGGACATCGTGCTCAGCTGTCCTGCTGTTGTCACTGACTGACCTGATGATGTTTTGTACAGATGGTCCTTGTGCAGCAGCTTCCTCTGCATTTCATGTATAAAACCCCGACATGTTTCTCAAATGCTCTTGGCCTAAGAACAAAACAAGTCTCGCTCCTGACAACAAAAGATAAGTGTTGTAATCAGTCAGTCATACAGCGTTACTTTTGCAAATTGCAGGTTAAAGTCATTGGAAAGGATTCTATCTGTTTATCACTTAAGTCACTACAGGAGTTTTGACAGCTCACAAAAACTGAATGAAAAGTGTTTGTTCTCGTAAATGACTGAAGACGTTTCTGTTATTCCGGAACTCAGGGGTGTGGTCAGAATTTGAACACCTTTCTAGTTTTACCAGTCCTGACTAAGGAATCTTGTTTGAGCATGCCGGATCCTTGTTGCCCTTATCTTGAGCCTTTTGTAGTTTGGATTTATTTGTGAATGATTTGCAGCCACCATGTTGTACTTAACAGCTGGCCTTTGGGACTACTTGGTGCGTCACCCTTCACTGACATTCCTTACCAAGATCCTGGTTGAGTGATAATAGAGATATTTCAAGATTACTTCTTGAACTATGTTATCATCACCCTGGAGTTCTGCTGTCTGTCTATCTCTCTCTCTCTCTCTCTCTCTTCAAGCACTCAACATTTTTTCATCTTTCAGAATGGCTCTCTCTTTGTCTTTATTTAAAGAGGTATTCCTCCAAAAAAGTTGTACAAAAGTGAGCAAGCATGGAAAATGGAAATAAATATTTTTCTCATGTGCTGCCTGTGAATTCCTAGAGTACTTGCTCACAATGTGGCTTACTGCCCATGGCGTACATCTGTGAGTAGTTCACTGCCACTGCCCGTGGAACCAGTTTTTTGGGATCTCGGAGGTTGGAACACAATTTACCCTGAGGAGAGGGGAACTACAAGTTTCTCAGATAACGTAATCTAAATTCGGGACAAGCCTGATAGTTAAACTTGGTTACTGTTGAAGCAGAGTTTACATCTTCAGGAAGCCTGGAGTGCTGATTAAAAGGTTTCACTCCAAATACTGATGCTTTACCTTTGAAATTACTGTCATTTTAGGGGTGCACAGAAAGCCTGGTGATTTAGTGCATCCAACATATTAGGACCGCAGTTGCTGGTTCAAGTGTGGTCCCAACCATGTGCTGCACGTCCCTCATTTTTCATCTTAGCCTTTTTAATAAAGATGAAAAATGCCCAAAAAAGTAGCTTTAAAAATTACTATCATTTTGCAACAGACGTCGGCATAAACGGCTCCTACTTCATTTGTAAAGTGTGCTGAGACTTTGTCGTGTATCAAGTTCATCCAGAAGCTGTGAGGCCAAATATACTGATTTGGTTTCAGGGCATTGACAGATACTATTTACCTTTTAAGAAAACCAAAAAAAACGTCAGATACAGATGCTATCTATCACAACAACTCTGTGACTATTACAAATATTATATCATTTGAATGAAGAGATTAAAAGAACCAGATGATGAAACACGTTATTGTGCACTCCATGAACATGAAATCAGAGAACAGCTTTATTGTAATCATTATTATTCACAGACAATGTCACATTCACAGCCTTTGTATAGAGAGAAATGTCTTTTGAGAGCCAAGAAAAATGTAGAAACAGACACTGATTCAATGTCTATTTACTCCTCTTTTTCCTTTTTTGTGTTGTTTTCAGTAGTACGGCTCTTTACTTCACATACTTGGATTATTTATTTCATGTAATATGTTTCAGTTATTTTTTGTCACACCAGCACATCCATGTATCACAATATAAATATTTGCATTTGTGTCTAAAGAGAGGGTTTTGAGTACTTGTTAGGGTTTAAACTAATAAATCACACATTTAGAGACCTTAATCACACTGGCTTCGGCCCCTTTTTTCTGACAGCTCAACTGAAATTAAGACTTTTCTCCCTAAAGTGAAGTATAAGTGGACAGAAACCAGCATCTTTTCTGGGTGAGGTTAGGTAAGAAGTGCAAACTTTCCCAGCATCAGTACTGTTAAACTGGTTCAACCACCACGAACCTGAACACACTTATATTGATAACATAAACACAAAGGCCTCAATGGTACACTTGAAGTTCACAAAGAGGTTTATGATTACACCCATCTGTACTTTGAAGTCAATTTCTGGTTTTCCCTATGTGGACAAAGCAGTCTTTGCTTTTCTTGTCCTTCACAGGCTCAAGTAAAGACTTTAGACATTAAACCTCACCCTGTTGACATTTGGTAGTCAAATTTATTATTTATTACAAATATTTCATTTGTAAAAATCTAAAAACAGAGCTGTTTCTTCAGCTGCTCAACTGACACCTACCCTCTCACAGCATTTTCAGGCTGTAAAATTTAATACAATATGATTAGTCTTTTACATGGCATAAAAGGGTATCGATAAGAGTTTAGGTCTATTTCAGTGGTTTTGAAAAACTCCTCATAGGAGCTTGAAACAGAAAAAAAAATGACAGAAATATAAAACAACATAAAAAAGAATGATATAAAAATACAAAATTATACTGAACTATTTAAAACTTATAAATAAATATAATGTGCTTTACCATATTGATGGACTTCGTTGTTTTTCATTGTTTAAACTTAAATGTCTAAAGCAAAGCAAATTACAAAGACATTTTGCCACTGTGTCATTATAACTCTGAGAGAAGAGGGTCATAAAAAACATCATCATAGAGCCACTGCAGAAGAATTCTTTGCCTAGTATCACTACTGAGGGACTGTTGGTTTGGGTTTGCTTTTCTGTCTGTTTCCATCTCTGAGGGGCACGCTCCAGCACTGTGTTTGTGTGTTTTTCACAGTGGCCCAAAGACTGACTACCTGTTTGGGGCTTCGTTTGTGGACCAGTAGGATCCGGTGGTATGCACATGTCTCCCGTTCTTCCTTACCTGGAAAGTCGAAGGTGAGAAAGGCTGGGTGGTGGACAGGGTAGGCGTTAAGCCGAACCATACACATCCCGACATACACGTCATCAATAGGAAACAGGTGAACCCTTTTAGAGATGATATGTAATCTTTTGGCTAACAGACCTGAGTAAACAACCCCTCCCCCACCTGCATACATAGGATAGAGGCCTTTGTAGAAGCTGTCAGGGATGAAGTACTTGGACTGGTTGGCTCGGCTGGGTATTGCTGCTCCTATGACTTCTCCAACCATGAACTCTTTCATGGTCTTATTTGCTTGTGGCATCTTCAGCTGGTCTTCAAGGAAGGTTATCATATTCGGGATGTTGACAAAAACATCATCATCTCCCTTAAAGACAAACTGGGTTTGGTGACAGAAGCGGGAGAACCAGCTCCAGAACAGTACATCTTTCAGGGTGAGGTTAAAAAATGTGTCCTTGAAATCCCATTGTAGAATATCTCCATACTGTTCACTCTCCATCTGTATTAGCTTTGAAACATCCACACCCAGCTCCTCGGGGTCTTCTTTGCCTAACAGGAAAACCCTGCGAACATATCCTCCACTTTCTTCTGCACTGCTGCTGTTCCTCTTCCGTCCTGCTATCCATCCCGCCTGGCCCCAGGTCTTTCGAATGGCCTGCCGGTTTTTAAAATTCAACTCAGTTGTCTTAATGGCCAGAAGAAGCAAAGGGGGCTTCTTCTCAACTTTGGCCCCAGCTCCACAAACTCCGACTGGCTGATGGAGGATTGGATAGTCCCTCTTGTGCATGTGGTTCACAAAATCTTGAATTTGCTGTGGCAAGTTTTTAAACTTTTTGCTTGTGCTGTTCATATCTTTAACTTCAGAGAAACTTTGCCTCAGTAGGGACCCATAAAAGGTACTCGTTTCATGTCCCCTCTTAAAGCTTTTTGGACGCAGGATGGGGTTGAAGCTACGATCTATTGACAGCTGGAGCTGATTCCAAAAGGCATCCTTATGTGTGTGGAACCCCCAGAAGGTTTTAGGGTATGGGGCAAAACTTTCATTATTGCAAGTTCCTGGGGCCACAAAGTGAGCAGTGTCTCTGGTATAAACTTGACCCCCAGCCCCTGGAGTTGCGGTGTTGTTCAAAGTCGTAAATACCATGACAGTAACGTAGACGCATAACAGCGCTAGGATGATGCACGGGGTACACACACAGATCAAGACTCTGCGCAGACGACAGTGGCAACGCGCCATCTACCTGCAAATGCATTAACAAAATATTAGTTACACAAAACTTTTGCATTTGTAAAAAGATGCTTTTTAGGGGGTGGGAGGTAAACAAAAACATGTAAATCAAAAGTTTGTGTGAACAAGGTCTACAGTAATACAGGTTTAAGAGACGATAAGAGAAAAAATAACAGGAACGAAAGTGCATTTAAACACTGACAGAACAATCCCAACAACGGCACTCAGCTGCTCTTTTCATTGTACCACATGAAATTCATGATCCAATTTATGTGGTAAGTATTCAGATGTAATTTTTTTCAGAGGGCCTTTGCTCCCCCAAAACCATGAAAAACTTTGCTAATATCTGCCCTGAACGCATTTTAAGACCCTTTTATGGATTTTGAGGCTTTCTTAATTTAGCGTCCCTGAATACATGTATACATCATACATCATTCCTGAAGCTCATTCACTTTTTCTGTTGTAACAAAAAAAAAAAAACCTTATATGTTGGGAAGTTGTTCTTGTTGTTTGGTGAAAAAGAAAAAGACACTTGCAAGACACTCTGCGTATCAAAGTCTCACTCACATCTCACAAGGAGCTTAGATTCCCCCAACAGTCTGACCTTATTAGACAGAATGGTTGATTAGACTAGAACTCTTTGAATTAGCTGTGAGGCAGACCTATAAGGGGGATTGTTTTGTCAAAAGCTGAAAGAACCATCAGGCTCAGCTATACTTAAAATGATGTAAAGATGGTTTCTGAGAGCCAATCTTGAAAATAAAGTCAGATACAGATGTATTCATAGACAGCTAAAGCAGAAACCACAGCCAACAGCATACATATGATACAAATAAAAACCTGACCTGATAATATTCCGATAGTACAACTCGTTTTCATTACCAAACAAGCTTATCTTTTCTTACCTGCCGTCTGATAAGACTGCTGTATTTCCGGGAGATCTGTGTCAACGATGATCCACGGTTTCACTAAGCAGAGTATTAAAAGACTCAGGTGCGCCCAAAAGGTCTACACCCATTGAGCAATGACAGCAAACAGGAAAGACATGTTTTTCCTCACTGAGGGAATGTAGAATCAGTCAGGGAGCTGGAAAAATGCAACAAACTGAAAAAGAAAGGTCCCAATGTACAGTTAACTAACTTTTACAGATTGTGACTCCTGATGTCACTATTTTCAGCTGCTCTCTACAAGAGGGGAGAGCCTGACATGAAAGTGAAAGTCCTTACATAGAGCAGGACAGTATACAATAGTACTATAGTATAGTAATAAGTTAATATAAATAATAATAATAATAATAATAATATAGTCTTCATTATTGTTTCTTAATTGATAAAAACTTATTATTCTTGTTATACTTATTATATTATTATTCATAAAACCTAAAGGGAATAGGATTTTTTAGGAAACAGTTGTCACACAGTTGTCGCATGTAAATGGTGCCATCTAGAGGACCAACCTGTTCATCTCCGCTCTTCACCTCTGACCTGTCAATTATTGATTACCTCCGCCAAGGAGGTTATGTTTTCGGTAGCGTTGGTTTGTTTGTTTGTTTGTCTGTGAACAACTTTACGGAGAAAGTAACTGACGGATTGACCTGAAATTTTCACCAGAGGTGCGTCTCAGCCCCAGCAGGATCCCATTACATTTTGGTGGTGATCCGGATCGCCTTCTGGATCCAGGAATTTTTTGAAGGATTCTTTATCATTGTGAGATAGGGCAAATTTTGGAATTTTTGCATTTAACTCTATAAAAATGGCCTGAGTCTTAAAATTACACAAAAGGATCTCAATGAGTTTTATGAGATGTCAAAGGTTGATCCTGATCCAGACAAAATTCCGGATACTGTGATCCAGAACACACAAAAATAAGGGTGTTGTTGGAATTTTCAATGCTGAAAGATAACCAATGAAGATACAAGGAAGTGTACGCTTACAAATATTGCATAATAAATCATGCATATATGTATCTAATATGAGCTTTGTTGTTTTAGGAACATTATGAACAGTGAACATACCTGTTTAAACACAAATAAACGTTAATAAAAGACACGTAACAGTTAAAGTTTTGGTGTGAATCACAATATAAGGGGGGACATGAGCTGCTTGGCGGAGGTCTGCGCTCTCCGAGTGCTTTTCTAGTTTAACTTGTTTTTGTAATGAACCATAAAGAGTTCGTTCTTTATTAGGTGCATGTGCATCAAAAACAACAAACAACAGTGTTGTTACAAAGATGACAGTATTGTACCGAAATGGTAGGAATAAAGTTTTATTTTTTCATATGAAGAGGTGGTTTAGGATTTTTCTTCTTTAACAAGTAGTATGTATTTGATAAAACTTGCAAAAAATCCTCTAGCATATTCCAAGAATGATGGACATGAAGAGAAGGGGATTTATTGCTGGATGTTAAAATGAAGACACATTTTTATTTTTTCACCGAGTGGAAAAACAATTTTTCTTGCTGCTTTTTCCATGCACCCAACTACCAGTACCACTAGGACATGCAAAGGAGATGATGTGAGAGGAGAGGAAGAGGAAGAGGAAGAGGAAGGGGGATGAAGAGGGTTGATAGGTAAAAAAGACAGAGGTAAACTTAGACTAACACAAACATGATAGGGCTGTGTGTGTGTGTGTGTGTGTGTGTGTGTGTGTGTGTGTGTGCGTGTGTGTGTGTGTGTGCATGTCTCCATGTGTGTTTAATTTGACATGTATGTTTTTAGTCGTTAAGGGCAACAGGGGAGTGCAGGGCAAGGACAAAGAAGGCAGGGTGTTAATAATTCAACTAGCTCTAAAAGCACACTACCCTCACTTGCAGTATTTCCACATTGTAAATCCCAGATTGTTTACAGTGATATAAGACAAAACTAGCCCGACTGTTGGGGAAAAAACCCAAATAATGTCATTTAATTTTTTTTTTTTGCATGATTCCCCTGAATCTGAGGGGTTACTTGCAGTTGCCATTGTTAGGATACTTTCTATGTCTGTGATCCATGCGTCTTCTGTGTGAAAAAACAATAAGCTCTACTCATTGGAAATAAATTCTGACAGAAACAGATATTGTACCTGATATAGTATCAGTTTTCCTTTGAGCTTTTAAGGGTGTCTAAACTCCCCGTCTTATCTGAAGTGGAAAAGTTTCTAATAGGATCAGCTGACTGACAGTGTGCTGTTCACTATACTTATCTGGAGATGGGGCCTATGATCATCTGCTAGTTGCTTCTTAAGGGGTAAGAAATATGTTTGATCTAAGTGGTGATGTGAAGAGGAGGGGGCGAACAAAGACAGACATCATTCAGTCAATATGACCAGGCAGAGAAATGTTCAATCAATAAATGTAAAGGAACGTAAATCAAGGATCAATCAGAGTGATCATACTCCACAGTTTTGGCTGTGAAGAAAAGAAAAGCAGAACAAACTCAGAGACTCACTCTGAAGCAGCGTGACAAAGTGACCAACAAGAAACTTTTCAGTCAGAGGTGTTTAAGGTTCCAGGGACCCAAAGGTGGTGAGGACCTGTAAAGTTTCCATTGGTATCATTGACTTAAAGGAAAAAGAGAGAATTGGGGAAGCTGAGGGGTAGATTATCTTCTCAGGGGGGCCAGTATTACAAGCTACACCCCTGCAATATAGTGAATAGTTGTGTAGTTTTAGCAAATGTCATTTCATCAACACCATTATGACTCACACACAGCGACACACTGATAACACACATACCATACACACAACGTTTTAAAGTGAAGAAGAAAACAACAACTGGATCTCCTCTCTGATTCTAAGAGTTTTGCCCATGACTCCCCACAAGTGAAAACACAAACAAACCCAGAGGACTGACGGGAAAGAGAGTTAGGATGTAGACCTGGATGCGGACACAACTGTGACTGAGATGACGTGCGCTCACTGCTTTGAGTCTTTTGGCTGTGATGTGATGGGAAAGTCCTGAGACACAGTGCGGCTCTAAGCTGCTGGCATAGGAAAGGAGTGGGCTGGGCAGCCCACGGGAGGCCAGAGTCAGGCTGGATTACAACGGTATTATGTTCAGTTTGGATCGGCAGCTCCCTGTCCAATGACTGCTCACGGAGGGAGGTTCTAACAGTGCAATGGAGCTTTTGGCAGCGTGAGGATTGGTGGTAGGAGTATGTCAGTCAAAGAAGAGACCACACCCTCCAAAGTAAACACACACCAAAACCAAATGAGGCTGTATGAGGTGTGCAAACACACACGCACGCACACACACGCACGCACACACTGCAACCACCATCGATGTCATGTTATCACCCTGAACACCTACACAGAAAACTGGAATCACTTTCCTTCGGCAACTCCTGACACTCTTGTTTAGAAAGGAATAACGACAGATGACTGAGAGGCAGCAAATGAGGACATAAACAACAAATGTGACTCATCCAAAATGATCAAAACTACCCTACACATCCGGTTGCGTCAGTGACTGATGTTCCTGTGAAAGGAGCGCATTGCATGGATCATACTCATGTAAACAGACACCTTTTACACAGAAGGAATTAATATTGCATGATGACGTAATCAGATCACAGTTCAAAAAGATCCCAAATAACAGAAAAAAAAACAAAGTAATAGGAAGGAAGAGGGTTTGTCTCTATAAAAATGAGGAGTCTTTATAAGAAAGGCTACAAAAACTCAATGGGACCTCCGACTTCAGCATACAGCAAAAGGCACCACAATATTATTCTATTAATCTAACTTGTGAAAAAATTGGCACATAATTCTCTCATTTTTCATCTCTCGTAATGCTGTAAATCAAAAAACTTTACATATAAATATCCCCCCCATTATAAAAAGTCTTTGCTGTTAGCCAGTAGACAATTTTTGCTGAAATGAAAATAAATATTTCATTTGTTTAGAATATCTGTCTGTTATACAAAATAAAAATATTTCTCCTAGGTGCAGGTCCCAAGTCCACTGGTTGTGTGTAGGAGCCAGGGGAGTGTGTGAGGTGGAGAGGATAGGTGAGCTGTGGAGGAAAGGTTCGGTCTTAAAGGGGCATGTTGTCAGCCTTGGAGCGCTGTGACTGGGAGCCACGACTCTGCCCGTTGTTGCGCGTCCCCACCCGGTTTAGGCCACGGTGAGTCCGTGTGTCCACGCCAGATGACGCGCGGTAACCGGGTACAGTTAAAGGCGGGTCCATGTTCATGTTCTGCATACTTAGGAAAGGCGTGCTCTCCCCATGAGCATCCTCTTCCTCCTCCTCTTCCTCCTCCTCTTCTGACTGGCTGAAGCTCTGTGAGCTGTAGTCCCGTAGGCCTGCTGAACGCTGGGATATGTGTCCATTGAGACGGTTGCGTCTTGGGCGACGCCGGCTTCGGATGGGCTCCCTTGAGGAGGCATACTCCTGCGTGGTCTCGTAGGCTTCATCGTCAGGGAGACGGTAAGGGCTAGATGGTAGACTTCCTGTGCTCTCCGTCAGGTATGGACGCCGGGGACGCCGGGGCTGCCTGTACAGACTGCCGTCCTGAAATGTAAAACAGATCAGAGGTATTGATCAAAACTGGACACTGTGCATTTATTTATTTAGATGTTTGAACCATAAAATGAAATAGTATGTCTGGTGATATACTAAGGGGGGGCATATTCTGACTTCCCGAAAGCCATACAAGCCCGGACAGCCCCCCAAAAAGAGGACATGTCCGGGTAAAAGAGGACCAATGGTCACCCTTTGATATACTGTACATCTCTTGGTTAAAAACTGTCTCCCCGACCTTTTATACTGATGCTTTGAATCCTACATTGAACACAAACTGCTACAGACACTCTGATTAGTCACCCGGTTGCACTACTTGGTCTTTTATTTTAGGTTACAAAAAAGCTTGGATATCAATAATACCCAAACAGGAGTAAAAAGTACTTGTGCAAGGACATTGAAACCAGGGATTAAAAAGCTCAGTGTGTTTTCAGGGACTGTCCAGGTCAATCCCTCAAAAGTTCAGATATCTGTGATGATTTGCATGTTACATGTTACTAAGTAAACTAGTGCACATCTCGTTCATCAGTTGATGATGCTAAAACAGAGGCAGCCATCTTTGTTTTGGTCAGAGGCTGTATCTATGATCAGCTGACCTGAAAACGTCCAATCAGAAGCCAGTCTTCCTGTGTTAGACGGTTAGAGAGGATAAAACTGAGGTCTATTGTTTTATGTTGAGCTGCATTCAAAAACGGTTATTCAGTTCACATTTACAACTGTACATTTGCTGCTTAGGCTTGACTTGGTCATATTTAGCTCTATGTATATTTTTGGAGCATGAAGTATCTTTGAAGGTTATTCTGAAGAAATTCTCTGGACAGACGGTGTCATTTTTGGGTGGTCCGATGGAAATAATAATGATAATAACGATTATAATAATAATGTGATAAAAATACACTAAGTATGCATATTTGTTCATTCCCATTTTGATCAGAGTATTAAAAACTCCACGAACATCCTTTTGTGTTACATGCAAAATAGATTTTAAAAATGTGCTATTAATTTGCAGCGAATTGCAAGTTAAGTATAGACTATCAAGTGATTAACCACATCTATAGAAAATCCATTGTTTGACTTCCAGTATACAGTATCCTCTTAAGTATTCACTTGGTACAAATCAGTACCAAAGAGGAAAGAGGAATACTAAACACTGAGAGAAAGATTAGTAATGCTCTCTTATTTCTAAAACATGAACAATATGACTGCAAAGTTTATATCTATTGAATCGCGGCAAATTTCACCAGTGCCGGGCAAATTGAATTAGCGTGCGGTCAAGTTTGCCTGCGTACATCAGGGCATCGTAGCAGTGGTTGGTCATCATCTCTGCTGTAGGCTGCAGCGGCAGGAGGCAGGGAGAGAGCGTGGCTTGTATTTGGTGAGGTGATCTGGAAGGTGGGTACCTGGGGTGGTAAGGGAGGGTAATGGAACTCCACAGGAGACAGGCGAGCTGGTGTAGTCAGCGCCGACACGTACCTGGAGGCAAACATGCCAGCAAGTTAAAATCATGTGTGAATCACACCTGGAACTCCTCTCCACATGCACATGTAAATGATAGACAATTACGGCTTGTTGACTGAAGATGCTAATTTTACAAGCTGTGATCAAAGCTGAAAGTGATATAAAGCTGTTAGAAACACATCAGTGTCTGCCATTCTTTCTTCTGAGCTGCTTAGTACCAAAGACAACAACAGGATCCCTCTAACAATGAGTTCTAGTGTAATTTTGTACAAAAGGATCACAGCTTGATTGCTAGTAACACTGTTCAGCTTAATGATGACCTTGGTCCTCACTTTGTCTGTATGAAGATGTAAAAAACACTTCTTAAAATGTGCTATCACAGCTACCCGGGGTAGATGGATTCTGCTTTAGTTAACTGAAACTGTACTGTATTTTTGGCCTTAAGATCCCAAATCCCAACAGTTCTGTTCACCGTGGATCAAATCTACATCAAAACAGATTAACACTGTGTTTTAATGGGGAAACATTACATCGAACAGATCATAGGATTCACAGATAAGTCATTTTCTAAATTCAGCTGCTCTTTTCTATCACTGCAATTACAACATTTATTGGACACTGAAATAACTTTGTGTCTGGATGGCAAACTGTACACGTTTTTACACTACATGTTACGTTCACTTCCTCACACATTCACACATCGATAGCAGAGGATGAAACACTTAGTGTCAATCAGTACCAACTAAACCCGTTCACCTGTTTATACCCTGCTGGTTATGGCAGTGGGAGCAGCTGGGGTCAGTGCTTTCTGAAAGGACACTAACAAGCTTAGTAGCAACACAGAAAAGGAAGAAAAAGGCCGTTAGTGATGGACTCTACTCCACATCACTCTTGTGGCTCCACCTTGTACAAAAACCAATTCCACTGAAGTTGGGAAATTGTGATAAACGTAAATAAAAACAGACTACAATGATTTGCAAATCATAAATATTAAATCTTTGAGAAATGTTGTTCTTAAACTGTGCAACTATTTGCTCACGCAGTTGTTCACAAAGTGGTGAATCTCGCCCCATCCTTGATTGTGAATGACTGAGAATTTTTGGGGAATTAACATTAAATATCTTGTCTTTGTAGTGTATTCAATTGAATATAGGTTGAAAAGGATTTGCAAATCATTGTATTCTGTTTTTATTATGTTTATCACAATTTCCCAATTTTAATTGAATTGGGTTTTGTACTATGAGTTCATGTGCTTGAGGGAGTAAGTTTGACTTTGGCTGGATACACACAAAAGTTTGTTACATTTGGAAGTTTTACCACCAAGCTCAGTGCTGAAGTGCTTATATCATAGTGTCTTAAAACTATTGAAATAAATCATAAATATTAAATCTTAAAAAAAAATAGTGTTGGCAAATAGTGGTGGATTATTCCTTTATAGAAAACCAGTGCCATATCATTAATGAGTGCACTGCTTTGACAAAGACCTTACCAAAGACACATGCAATAGAGCTTCTGGAGGTTTCAGGAAGACACTGGTTTAAAAAGTCAAATGAGAGTTTCAGTATCTTTTAATGGAGTTCTTGCACCACTTGGGGTCACTGAAGAGCAAGGTGCTGGTGTGACAGCAGATTAAAACACACACACAGGCACACGCACGCACACACACACACACTAAACAGTAACCTCATAGATTCCCACTGTCCCACCTGTCACTGTGAGGTGAGTCTCTTAGGGAATCGTAGGAATCCCCGTACTGCATTCCTGGAGTGGACACATCTGTGCAGCCCCAGTGGGCGGCCCTCCTTGCCATGCACGCTGGGCTGCTGCATTTACTGGTTCCCACTGAGCTGGATAGTCCACCTGACTGGCACTCTGAGTTCAAACTCTCTGTTCGCTCTATGCTCCACGTCTGCTCCTCATGTCTGTAGGTGTACATGTGAGCCAAACAATAAAAATGACAGGAGCAGTGATGAGGCAGAAGGATACAGAGGAGGAAATTTGTAGGAAACAAGGGACTAAACTTATAAAATCATAACTCAATATAAAGTAATAGTGAGCACAATTACTTTTTGTCTGAAACCTTCCTTCCTTCCTTCCTTCGCAGCATTTTAGTATCAATCTAAACCAGTGGTTCTCAAGTCCAGTCCTCGAGGCCCACCATCCTGCATGTTTTGGTTGTTTCCCTGCTCCAACACACCTGATTCAAATGATCAGCTCGTTATTAAGCTCTGTAATGGTTTAATAACGAGCTGATCATTTGAATCAGGTGTGGGCCTCGAGGACTGGACTTGAGAACCACTGATCTAGACAATAAACATTAGCTTTACAACTCTACCCAACACTGCTCACTAAAACCAAGACAAAGTTAAAAAAAAAGACTCTAAAAGAAAGTGTTGCATCAACAAACCACTGTCACATATTTGCCTATAAGTATATTAGACAAAAGAATTTACTGCAGTGCATGCTATCTGCACAGGAGTAATGTGTAGTAACACGTGTCTGCCCTGCAGGAGGCTTGTGGAGCATCATCATGTCAATCTCACCAGCCCTACAGGTGATTTTATAGCGAAAAATGTACTGTTTGATGCTAAATATGTTTACACACGTCAATGACGATCCATGAATTCATTCAGTCAAGTACTCACCTGCAGCTAAATGAGCTATTGCTGCATTTGCTTGCTGGTTTGATTAGCTATTTTCCACAAATGAAAAAGTCCCTATCAAAATCAGTTAGCTTCACTTAAAGTTTGTTTCATAAAACTTAAATGATTAAAAAGAATTAAAGAGATAGAGTAAGTGAACAGATTATACTTCCAGTATTTGCATGTTGCTACTTCTCAAATGTCTGTGAGGTCTACCTGGAAGCATGTGAGGCAGTCGTAGAGTGATGGGAGCGAGTAGACATCCGGCTGCCTGTGTAGTTGTCTGCACCCTCAGCTCCATGGCTGACCACACACCGTGTTATTGGGACGTTCTTTGAGATTTACAGCAAGAACACACAAAACAAGAGTTGATATGCTTGATCAATGCCCCAAAAAAACATGAGACATAATGCACTGTAAATATTGATGCTCTGTACAAAAACAACCCTCACCCTAACCAACTCTCTTTTAGAGGGTAAATCAGGTAGAACTGGTCTCTAAGATCCCAAACCCTCTTAGTAGAGCTTAATCAAAGTTAAATAAATCCAATAAGTAATTCCATCTGAAGGTGCATAAGCTAGCAGAGGCATTTACACCAAAAACTTTTAACTGCTCTGTTAGGATAAATGAAAAGCTCTGAATCATAACTAGACTCGTTTCACTACTGACTTACAGGACAGTAAAAAGTCTGAAAATTTCATAATATGCTCTCTGTTAGCTATGAGCTGCTGCTATAAAACACTGTTAACAAAATTGCCTCGGTTGTTCTTCATTGCTTTAATTGCGTCTGTGAAAAATGAGACAAAAATAAACAAAAAAAGTCTCGATACAAAATCTATAAATGCTGAGGTAGAGGTTCAGGCTTTTTAGGAGATGACACTGATTCTCACTGTCTTCCCAACGTTAGCATCATCTTTCATTGTCTCAGATAGTTTATTTTTTCTTCACTTTGGACTCACATCAATCATGGGAATATCCTCCGGACCAGGTCCAGGGTGGGTGGGCCCATTTGGCAGCATGCGTTGGGGCGGCTCCACACACTGATTCTGATTCTGGTGTAGGTGACTGTGCATCTTCTTTCTCTGCTTCCTAAAGACAAGTTGACAAAGCCACGATGAAAGATGTGGTAAAAGCGATGGTCACTGCCACTTGATAATGTTTCTACTCAATAAAACTGCTCTTCAGAAGTCTCTTTGTTATCTCTACCTAGCTTTCATTACCACGTATGTACACATCATTCATCATCCCTTTATTCATGGTGGAAAATAATGCCAAACCAGCGCAGCTTCTTCTCTCTAACTTTAATCTTTCTTTGCTCTTCTGTTGTAATCATTTATTCAAACTCAGAAGAGAGGAAAAAAAATTCAAAATTACAGATTTTTTTTTTTTAAAGCTTAAACCATTTTTACTTTTCCACAGAAAAAAAAACATGATTATCTAAGCAATTACAACAGCTAAGGCAACACTTAGACTCTGTTACTCTGCAAGCACAAATGCTATCATAATACTGATACCACTCTCAAGACGTTGTTTTAGGAGTTGACGTTCCCATGCGTCAAATGTTTAAACATCAGGGCCTGTTGTACCAGCTATACATAAATGGTGTCTGAAACAAGTTAAGTTGTATTTTAACTTGTTCCTTTGCTTGGCTGCACCATGTGAATGAAAAGTTCATTTTTACTAGAAAACAGTAATGTCTAAACTAACACAAACTGCTCATTCTGTAAAAACTATTCAAAGATTGTATCCCTTTTTTTTTTGGCATGGTCCACACATGAATAAATTCTGGAGAGATTATAATAGCCCGTGTTTTTAGAGACTTTCTTTTATTATGGAAGAACGTTTCATTTTGTTTATAACAGAATTCAAAGAAATAGTGAGAACATCCCCTGTATCATAAATCTGTTTAATTCAAATGCAGAAATCCTTTACTCATAAATGTAAATTTAGTAACAAAAACCTTATTTTATATTTTTTCTTAAAGATTCTGAACATTACGTGAAACTATTTCATACATCAGATCAAAGAAGGCTTAAAATGTGTACAGAATCAAATATTCTTAGTTAATATTTTGAAGATTTCTTTCTTTTTAAAGCCTAATTTTTGAGGTTTCAGTCTTAGTTGGATAGCTACAGGTTTGCTTGAGAGAAAAGCAGGAAATGTGGAGAGACAGAGTGAGGGATGATGTGCACAAAATCCTGCCAGGACCAGGAACTGTTGGTATGACCAGTGAAACAAGAACTATTGCCTCTGTTCATGAGTGCCTGCTCTCCCTCTTGAGATAAACGGGCACCCCTTTGACTGGGAACTTTTAGAGTGGTCTGTGACACGGGTAAACGGACAGCACTTGAATATATATGGTGTAAGTCATTAATCCTTCCTTCAAAAACACATACTTGGTTTTGCAGTAAGCCACCACACAAACGATGCCGATCACCAGTAACGCCACACAGATGCCTGTGATCGTCAGCACACGCCTTTGGTAAAGCTCCTCAGCTTCTGTGGAAGGAAACACACACATGCAGGCGCACACGGTCACATGCATGCCCAGGATTGTGTTTTGCATACAGCAAACAATAAAACAGACAAGAGTACATGTACCCACAATCACACAGACACACATAGACAGACACAAACACACACGCATACATGGAATGAGCACTATTCCATTGATGGCTACTATCTTATATATTTCTAAATCATGACTGCTGCTGTCCTATCCCCTGTAATGTGAATAAAGCAACACCTACCCTTTCATTTTACATGACTTACAGTTTTAAATGTACCTCACTTTAACAGTGCTAGGAGTAACATTACAATCTGTGACCCTATATCCTGACAAAGACTTTCTATTGTTCTCACATGGATGTACAATGAAAGGATGTGATGCTACGGATGGTGCTGGAAGGCATCTGTCAGCATGCACGCAACAAACCTTTTCTGTTCAAAGTGTTACCACCACAACAGCCGAGGAGTTAGGTCAAAAAAAGTCTGGAATCACTAAGCTCACCACTACACTAACTATACCAAAAGTTTAAAAAGAAAAATTCCTTTTTGTTTTGTCCTTTTTCAGAAAATGAATAATGAGGATCTTTTAATTATCACCATTTAGTCTTATATGCACAAACCAGTGCAGCTGTGCTAAACTATCAAGTTCAGTTTAAAGAAGTCTGTGTGAGGCACACACTGAAGATCTTGTAATTGTGATTTGAAAAAAGACAGGACAGTGTTTTTATATTTCTGTCTTTGACCTTGATTGGAGTTTACCTTACCTTTTTATTTTTGCTTGAAAACACACAGAAATGGTCCTTTATTGTGTGGACTTATATTTTAATTCTGATATTAACATCAGTTGTTTGGAAATAAGTACTGTGTAATTGACTTTTAAGGCTTTAGATCCTATCACTGTCACACCTGGAAAAATAATAATAAGCTTCCACTGAGGAAAAACATGATCTAACCACAAATTTCAGGTTTTGGTCACTCACTGCCTGAAAGAACATCCAGACAAAATTTTGGATTACGTTACATTGAAACTCGTCATGAAAGTTTTTTCACTGTGCTGTGTATCAAATCCAACAAACCTTGAAGGCCTATAACAATTATCTGGACATAGACTGGTAGTGGTTTGAATTTGTTTTTAAAAGATATATAATTACAGCAATGTAATTTTATATAATGTTTTAAATATATCTCACATTTATCTAACAATCAAATTGAACAAACTAATGATTTGTTTTTGACCACCCAGATATGAAATTCAGTTTGGCATTGTGAGATACATAATCTTACACAATGTTATATCCACTTAATTGACAGTGTCCGTCATAAATATTGGCCCCTGTGAGAATTAAATTGAAGATATCAACAATAACAACTCATGGAGTCCAAATCAATAAGCTTAATTCTATTCTGGGCCTGCTGTGGTGTAACACTCTGTGTCAGAACAGCAAGTGCAACAATGCAATGGCAAGGGAGCAACAAACACAACAAAACAGGAGGGAGAGGGAGGGCATAAAAGGACCAGAAGGAAATACAAGGACAGAGGGGCTGGGGGGAGGGTGGGGGTGCTGAGAGGGCAGCAGGGCCAAGACCAGAAAAGAGAGACCTTGGGAAAAAACTGTCCCCAAACACCGACCTGACTTTGTCATTGAGGCCCTTGGTCATTGTTAGTCATGGACAAATGAAACTCTCTAATGACTGAATTTCATTCTACTAAATCATTAACCTTCTGAAATGACATGTTTGCCATTTCATTGTTTACTCTAAAACTTATGCTAAAAAAAATCTATGAGCTATGGACAGCTGAGGGCTGTTGGTCAGAATATTTATCTGCCTTTTACTGTAAAAACGTAGTTAAAGCTAAGATGAGATACATCAGTTATTCATATTTATGACTTTCTACAATAAGTTTATGACACTTAAGGTCATCATCTACTGTTCTCCCAAAAAAGCTGGACACCCAAAAGAAGGTAATATTTATGTAATGATTGTATAGTCCACATTAAATATTTATATTTATATCCGTGTGCGTGCGTGCGTGTGTGTATGTGTGTGTCTGGGTGAGCGGGGTATCTAAATAGAGAGCCTCTGTTGGGGTTGATAAATCCTGTAAGAGCCTTGGCCTGGCATTGTGCGTGTGTCACAGGGAGCTGATAAAGAAAGGTTTGGGGAAATGGGATGTGAGCTGGCCGGCACAGTAGAACCAATAACAATCTCGATAGGAGACAGGTGAGCTCTTGACTCTGACATCTGGTCAGAATAATAAGGACTGACTATCTGGTCACGTCTTTTCAATGTGCAGATTACTTAAGCACAGAGGATGAGGTAGATACTTGCGTTCATCAACAATGTGCACAATCTCGGAGAAGGTAGCTTTCGACTCACAGCTTGTTTTCTTTTTTTTTTTTTTAATGCTAAGCCCAATGCACTGTGTTTTAAATCACCCATGCACCCTCTTTCTGTGCTACATGATTTGTCTTCTCCCCTTGTTGGACTATACAAAGATTGCATGCAAAAGAAGGGATGTTACATGTCAGGTTAGTGGGCAGGAGGGGAAAGGGGACAGGTTGCGGGGGGACCTATCAGTTGGTTTTGGTAAAAGGATGGCACATTAATGTGTGACTGTGAGAGGTTCTTGGCAAACCCTTTAAGCACAGCAAAATGAATAACAATGATCCATACCTATAAATTTAAGTCTGAGAAGCTCTGCCAGCGCATAAGTTGTCGCGATAAGAGGAAAGAGACAGATAGGGTCAGGAGTAATGTTCACTTTGGAGCAGATAGATTATTTCATGTACTGTACACACTGAACCAGGATAGAAGTTAGTTTGTGCTGTCAGCCATAGCAATTGACATGTGTACCGCAAATTAACAGGCAGATAACTCAGACAGCCTCAGCTCTGTAACCCCCACAAATGACAGAAAAAAAAAAAACCAACCAAACAAAATATAAAGTAAAGGGAGGGAATGAAATATAAGCAGGAAAAAAAAGAGAAGCCAACAGGCAGGAAAAGGCATGCAGAGAGACAACGACAGCAAGACAAAAAGCCACGTCACTTACTGCTATATTTACTAGACCTCATGTCTGGAGTAAACAACATTGAAATAAATGAAAAAAAAAAAAAAACAAAAGAAGACGAGGGAAAAAGCACAAGAAAACAAAAGATAAAAGCAGTGGGTTACTCTTCAACATAAAACACGGTGTAGTCAATGAGGCTGGGACGAGGTTGGGTGCTGTACCTCATTTAACTAATGGAAATTGTGTGCCACAGGATTGATTATAGCGTAACTCTTGTTGCACTTTTCCCCACTACCGTTTAATATTACATCTATAACCTTTCATATAATTTGCAAACAAATCATCTTAGCATGCAATGTTTCTTTGGCACCGCATGCATTACTACCCATTTAGAGATATGCCAATATGAAAAGTGAATCCACTGCCCACACTAACCTTATCTAATCTACATTTTAAAACTGAGGAAAAACAGGCAGGACAAAGAAAACATGGAATTTAAACAGCAGAAAGGGTTCCTTCAACAAACTGAAGGAGCTTCACAATGCAAAATAAAAGTACATCGTCACACAGACATAATTAAGCATGTATACATGGCTGGGAGATGGGGTCAAAATAAGCAGACATTACAAGGAGCATGACGCCTTTCTGTCCTCAGTAAACATTTGACATTATTTAGTTTGGTAAGTTCAAAAACAGACAAACAACAAAGCAAGACAATGTGGCATGGTGCAGACGAGTTGAACCCTTGGACAATATGAAGAAGACATTTGATGGCTAAAGAGTAAAGAGTGCCAAACTGCTGGTGGAGGCAAGAGACCTTTCTGTTATGTCTGGAGGTAGTGTGCCCAAAGCTAGAGGAACCTTTTAAACACAGCAACATTTACAGACATCTCTGGTTATCATTTGATTTTTCAAAAGCTGCAAAACAGGCTTGGAAATATGTAACAATCAAACCAAACAAAGTAAATATAGGTCAGAGAGTTTTGTAGTTGCTGGTTGGTCCATATTTTTACCTTTGGGCAAACTAAGTTTTTGTGGTCCTTCAGCCCGTTAAGCTAAAGTATCTGTTTCCTGGTCTTTGTTTCATCCTAAGCATAAAAAAAAGTTTTGAAAAAGTGTCAGACTGTTCCTGAAAATAGACTAAACTGTTTGGAGGAGGAGCAAAACATGTGACACCATTTTGACAGCATTACAAGTCAACTTTTAATCATGCTATGAAGACAGATTTTAACAAATGATCCATGGATGCGCAGAGTGAACAACAATAATCACTGCTGTGTGTCTTATCTGGATCTATTGATAAAGGAAACATTTCATAAACCTCACATGAATAAACTGCTTCTTAAAAATGTTTGTTGGGCTACTTATCAAAAAGGAAACCAAAAACACAAACAAAAAGTATTTTCTCCTTTCTTCAAATGAGTCCGACAGAGTTCAAGAGCCGCCATTACTGAGGTAGCATCTCCCTGCAACATCAGCACATCCTAATACACGCTGTCACAGACCGTGATGTTTTTTACTTTGATCATAAATTTGTCTGTAATTGTTCTCCTGACAGTGATGTAAACGTCATCAGGAAAAATCTGTAGACTTTCTTGCTGTTTTAACAGGAGTAACAAACAGAATTTTTTAAACTTTGCACAAATCACAAACAATTACTTCTGACTGGAGTGCAGAAGACTAGGATATTTCTAAGAAGATTATTTCAATTATAAGTCATTTTTCTCTTTCCTGACAACTTGTAGATGGCTTTTCTCTCAATGATGAGTACATTTATAACATCCCATTACTAACAATCAAATCAATCAAGGAAGCAACACGACTTATTATTCCAGTCCTGTGATATTACCAAATCATTGAAATATGAACTAAAATCTGGATAAAAATATGAGTTAGCCAATGCAACTTGTCTACAATCAGTATGTTTACATGCAGTTCAAAAAAATCATTTTATTGTTTTAGTCTGACTGAAACTGGACTAGGCTCCAGTGTTCATATGTTGGGCTTTAAATCATTGCTAGTGAGCCAGGTAGTAAATACAACCTCAACAGACAAAAACAGACATGAAAAAAGACTCAAATTTCCCATTTTATAAACACTACAGAACTGTAAAAGTGACAGTGCTTTCATAGCTCAATGTACATCCTGTTAGCCTCTAGCTAAAGTGCTTTGTCAACTGTTTTCAACGTAATATGTCAGCCTAAAGAAGACCTGATAGAACGAGCTGAAAAAGGGGGCGTGTTCCCACCTCCTGCAGAAGAGGCGGACGTGCTTCTGTCAATGATTTCGCTTGGTGAATGTAAACCGGGATTAAAAACAATAGTCCAGTCAAATCACCTTATCCAGGTACAACAGTGGCTCGACTGAACTGTGCATGTAAACATACTGAATGATGGACTTTAACTGTTCATTCATATGTAATCTACACTTTGGTGTCACAGCACTTTATCACAAATATTTGCTAAATAGCCCATTTTTTCCAGGATGTTTCTGTTATTCATGATCATTTAAAGTCTAAATCATGTTCAGATCTCCTGATCAAAATACCCTCATCAATTTCAAATGTCTTTAATCCAGCTCTTGATGATGCTACTATCAAAAGCCCAAAACCCACAGGATGCGTATTTGTCGGGTCCCGTTAACATCATAGGTTCTGATTTCCAGTCAGTGCTCTATGTTACACAGGAAGCGCCTCAGCACCTCTCAGCTCTGACCCAGAATCATCTTTACACACTGCTCCGCTAGAGACACACAGCAAGTCTTGTTTTGATGGAGCATATGTCTCACATGCATCAAGAAAAGATTGACCTACACTGGATGTCAAGCCTGGGACCGGCACATGGTCCAAAAGAAAACACCATATGCCAACTCCCGACTGTTTATCAGATAATATGATGAGAAATACTCCTTGGCTATGGATTTAATACAGAACAGCCTTGTGGCCTATCCTTTATCCATGTTGACCACAACAGGACTTTTAGCTACTAACTTTGTAAGTAGCAGCACAATAAAGTGGAATATAGTTAACTTTACTCAACATGAGTAAAACTGCAAAAATCCAAACTTTTAAAATCACATTGTTTGTTGGCAGAATAACATCCAAATTAGCAGGAAATTGACCACAGAAAGGCAAAACCACCTGATGTGAGTATGTTGTTTTCTGTATACTGAGTCCAGCTGCTCCAGACTGCGCTACGCTGCTGCTACGCCCCACACAGGCTTCCAGTGGGCCAGTGATCACGACACTGACAGTACGCGACAAACACGCATCCTGTGGGTTTTGTATCACAATCAGTAGGCAGTAACAAACACAGAGGTGTCACCATAGTAATGGCAGCTGTACAAGATAGCACAATACACAAACTGTTTGCTGGATTTATCTATAAAACAGGCACAGCTTGGAGCTCACAACATGTCCTTCCAGAAATCTAAGAAGCACCGATGGACCATCATTGAGGAAAGGAGCGCTAATTAAACAAGTAACTTTAACCTTTGTTTGCCTGGTGTGTTGATTCTCTGTCTCCTCTGTTTCTTTTGTGCAGTTCTCTGGATTTGACCTCAAGGATTCTTCAGCAGAGGAATATGAAACTTCTTCTTTATCAACTAAATTATGTTGTTAATTGATGAGTGGTAAATTTGGGGCCTTTTAGGCTTTAGAGCAGCTTTTCAAGTTAAACTCTTCTGTAGTGAAAAATACCCCTTATAAGTTTTAACATCCTGTGATTGTTTGTTTCTCATGACCAGAGGAGCACCACAGAGGAACCAGGAGAGACAGTGAGAGGAAGGGGTGGACACAGAGGCATGCAAACCTAAACTCACATTACTCAACTTTGCATGAAATACGTCAGCAGGTTTGTAAACATACAGACACGCACACAGAACACACCGTCCATCCAACCCCTCCAGTGTAGCATGCATCATCTCAGTGCGAAGGAGACAGACGAGAGCAAATGGACATACCGTAGAAACCGGCCATGACAGAGTTTTGACAGCGGTCCCCGGTATAGTCATTGGGACACCTGATGAAGGGAAAACAAGACACAAATAGGGGAAAGGTAGGGAGGGAGGGAGGTTAAAGGTACAGTTGGAGGGAAAGAGGAGAAGAACTCAAAGACAGATAGAAAATGGGGAGGAGGGGGGGAGGGAGGAAGAAGGGGAGACATAAGAGAGCAGAGAGATGAGGGATTAGAAACAGCACAATCCACCAGCTACAGAGAGATATGACCTGCATACTGTGACATCACTGCCATCAATATGATATCACTGCAGTTAGGACATCATTAGGAGTCAGGGGAGTCATATGATGGTGGGGTAGGGATGAGGAGGGATTACAAATATAGTCTCTTACCTCCGACCCCTCTCACACACAAACAGATACACACAGGCACACACAAAAAAACCAACAACACTCCCTCATTATTGTCTGGACTATTGATTATGGCGTGTAATTGATGGATTTTTTAAAGCCTGACTTAAAACACATTGACAGAGAAAGGCAAAACAAAGGGAAACCAGTAAAAATATAACATTTTCTAGAGGAAGGTCCATTAAAAAAAATATATGTCTGTAAAACAGCCACTAAGTTAACACCATAGACTGCATATAGAATGGATGCCATCGGATGCCTCGCTGAGTGAAGCCACTCCGAGAACAGCACCCTCTGTTGACGGGCTGCAGTATAGGTCATAAATCCCGCCTCCTCCATCAAAGCTTATGGGGCTGTGAACAAACTTACACACAGAACATAATTTTTTTTCCCCCCCATTTACGATGTTGACATGTAGTTACTGTCAGACTGGTTTGTGCTCAAGTCCTCTTTTTTCTGTGAAGCTCCATTTTTAAAAGTTATTAGGGGGTTCATGTTTTCTATGATTGACACTTGATACAGCCTATGGGCGTTCAGGGATTGCATAGCTCACCCGGGAGAGTCGCTGTTTGAGCCGAGCGTCATCACAGCGACTCTCCCGCCGAATGCGTACAATGCTACTACGTAAGTGGTGGAGTGCGTACAACGCTACTGCGCAATGTTGGTTTCAGGAAATGGAGAGAAATTTTACACGTCAGTAAAGCCCTTTGAATTGAAACAGAATTTAATTAAAATAGAGAGAGAAAAAAATTGTGAGAGGAGGAGGAGGAGCAGTCACTGAGGTCAGATTCATGCTTAACACAGATGATCTCTTTCTTTTACCAAACTCAAGGAAAACACTAAATATTATCTTCTAGAAAAAAACAAAAAAACAAAAAAACAAGCACATCTTAAAAAGCAAGTGCCAGTTAGCTTTAAATAACACCCTCATCAATCACTCAAGGTCCTACACTTACCTTGGTCTAACTATGTCAGCATCAATAAGTTACCATTACGTGAGGTGTTTGGACCACTCAGTGGACCAAAAACACCCAAAAGAAACTCCCTATACTGAGTTCTGTAAAAGAGTTCTCAGTGCTTAAAGGAAAACACCAAATAATGCCTGTTAAGCAGAACAGAGGAATTTCCCAACACTTTAATATGCTCAAAAACAGGCATTCACTGTCTGGCTGCACCTGAACCAGAGTCCCGCAAACTCACTCCAAAGCACTAAGATCCCAAGAGCTGAACCCTGAAAACAGCCCCCTCAGTCAGCTGATGATGAAATTAACCACCCAGGCTTCCATCAACACTGACCCAAAATAACAGAACAGAGTCAAACACATTATGAACAAATCAGAAGAATTAAATTTAGATCACTGTACAAAAGAAACCAAATCTAAAAGTCAACTAAACCGTTATTTATCCATTAAGAAAGAGAAAAAGGTGTCTGAATATCTCCACTCTGTCAGAGACAGGAAACAGAGACTAATACTGACCAAATACAGACTCAGTGATCACAAACTGACCATAGAAAGATGATGATTCAAACAAACATGGCTGCCACCAGAAGAACAGATCTGTGCTCATAGTTCATCAGGGGAAGGAGAAACAGAGATGCACTTTCTCCTTCACTTCCTTGTTATTCAAACCAACAGTACAGAGCTGAAAAAGTGACAGTTTTTTCATTGTTGGACTAACATCCCATCAGCCTCTTGCTAATACGTTTTGCCGACTGTATTGATGTATAGTACAGCGACTGGGAGATGACCTGAAAGTAACAAGCTGAAAGGGAGCGGGCATCTGTCAATGACTAAACTGTTGCCCAGCATGTAAACTGGGACAAGGTCAGAAGTCCAGTCAAATAACTTTAGCTCAATGTAACTGTGCGTTTAAATGTATTGACTGTGTTAGCTGAAGAGAGTCAAATAAACCACTGTCATGGCTGCATCAGCTTTATGTTGCTTATTTGTTGCCCAAAATTTTGTCAAAGTTAAGTGCAAAGCCATCCAAGTTCACAATATACAATACAATAAGTTCATTGATCCCCAAAGTGATCAATAAAGATATTGTCATCTTATCTACTATCTATAGCAGAGTTAGGAAGTCTGATGACTGTGGGTACAAAAGATCATCCTGCAGTGAAGAGAGAGGAGCCATCCACCACTGTTGTATTTGGTCCATCAAGGTGTTATGAAGTGGATGATCCAAGTTTTTTAGAGTGGCCTCTATCTTCCTCAGTGTACGTCTCTCCACCACATCCTCCAGTGAGTCCAACGTGATTCCAATCACATTCTAGGATGTTGAGTCTGTATCCTAGCAACAGTATCATGGAGAACATCTGTTGAAACTTAAGCCGTTGCCTTGGATGGGATGTAAACAAGTATTAGTATATGATTGAACTCCCTTGGGACATAATATGGCCGAAGAGCAACTGCCACAGTTCAATATCTGGACAACACAACTTCTCCTTGACAGTTCTGTGTGAAGAGTTTCACCATCTCTGGTTAACAAATAAAGCCAGACCTCCTTCTTTCTTCTTGCCACTAGCTTGAGCATCTCTGTCTGATCTATGAGAGTGAATCCAGGTAAATCCACACTGGAGTCTGAGTTGTTTTGTGATTCAACAAGGTTTCAGTGAATCACAGGAGACTGCCCTCACGGTAAGCTTTCTCAATCTTCACCACTATATCCAGCATGTCACTTTTGTTGGGCAGAGAGTTGATGTTTCCCATGATGACTGATGGAAGAAAGAGTGTATGTCTCCATTTCCTAGCCTTCCAGTCTGCACTTCACCTCCACACCAACATGGCAACCACGAAAAATACCTTTAGATGTCGGCTGGAACCGGATGTTGTCATCTAGACCCGCTCTACCTCATTGAAAGAAGCTCTGCACCTGAACAAACTCATCTCCCTCAAAAACATCAATCAGCAGTTGACAAAAAAAAATGATACAAATGTCAAAAATTGCCGAGTTTACTCATATGCTGATCAGTGAGCTTCAGATGGAGGGACACCTGTCTCTCTCCTCTAGTGTAAAACCAAACAGCTTTCTGAAGGCAGTAAAGTAAAGCACTCAGGTTTTCTTAACAAAGAGTGTACTTAGTCTGACATAAGTGATTGGGTTGGAGTTTCATAGAGTCAGCTTAAGTGTACATGGTAAAATTGAACCCCAACTGCAGTAGTTGACAACCCATCTTTGGTTCTCCGCTAAGGGGCCAGGATGACCAGCATGCCCCTTTGGAAGATAAACCTTCTGTTAACAAGTACGTTATACAACCTGACAAAAGAAGCACTTGAAACAACGGCAAAGAATGAAACACTGAAGGACCTCATCTCAACTGTTATCCTTGAAAAACAAGATCTCCCTTTAAGAAACTGCCCCAGACTGTTAAATGTCTTGAAGTCATTGTTATAATGGGCTTGATGGCTTATTGAGACGGAAATGAATGATGTGATATTTTTATAGCTGTAAGTGACAGTAAATCAGCTTAATCTGCAGTCTAATGAAAAATGGACATGTAACAGAAAATCTTAATCTACTGCAGAGCATATTGCTCTGAGCATGAATTACAACAATTGACAACGACAGCGCTATGATGTTATGGGTGTGGTCCCATTACATTCAGTAGATGAGAAGCTTTCTGGATCTCATAACCCTGCTGTGCTTGTTATAGGGGTTCAGAGTTAAAACAACACATTTATCCAGAGCAAAATAAAGGATCTTTGTATACCCTCTCCTTACCAAGACTGTCCATCTAACTGCCTGGGCATCCTGCATTTTACCACTAAAGAGACAACTTGCATTTTGAATCAATTACAGCAAAACCCCTCAGAAAAGCCCACTCAGCATTTTCCCATAGAGTTATAAATAGAGCGAGGAAGGAGAGGTGGGAGACACATGGAGCAGAAGCAGCCCTTATGCCAGCAAAGTGTTCTGTGTATACCAGTCCTCCTTTTCTCCCACCTTTTCTCACCTCTTCCTGCCAACCTTTCTTAATATGCAGTCCTTTCTTTACCAAAAATGGAGTTGAAAAAATCAAGCTTTTATCCCTCTAAAAAAGTCAAAATAAAAATGACTCCTGTGGTTAAAACTGTTCATTTCACTTCACAAAGACAGCCACAGACATTATAATCATCATCATATTAACCTAACCTGTAGCATTAGTAATATCATTTCAGTAAGATGAAGTTATTGATCTAAAAAGTTTGAGCAGTAACTTTGAGTATAAAGGCTAATATTATTTATTTATTTTGACCAACAAAGCACAAAGAAAGAATTAGTCCCAGCGTATGAGAGCAAGTGAGGGTCTACATATCTCCTTAGTGAGCACGCTTATCAGGCCGTCTACAGACAGCAGTATTTTTTACAACCTCTTATCAGACCAAGATGACATAGCTGAGAAGCTACAGCAGCGACATTCTGAAAAATGCTGGCTAATGTGCTGCTGTCTTGCTAGCTTTTATGCTGCGTTCATGTGATGTTTGTGTAGCACGATCATGCTCAGTAAGCTGTACGAGCCTACACATGTCTAATACCTAAATTTCTAAATGTGATTTCTCTCTCAGAAAGAGGGATGGAGAGAATGAGCACATTTGTGAATCAGACAGCAAAAGATCGAGGGATACATCTGGGTTTGTGTTGGAACTAAAACATCACAACCTCCATTTTAAAGAGTTTACATTCCTCAAGGTGCAAAACACAGATTATGTTAAGCAGCTTACTCAATAAAAAGCTCAGGTTGCATTAAATTTTCAAACACTGCTGTGGCATTACAGTATATCTATGTTAACTTATCAAAAATGTTCTTATCCTATAGAAAGGTGAAATCTTATCAAGTATCATTTGTTTTTGTGTTCAAGCCAAGACTGAACTATTAAAACACCTTTTTAAGATGCACCTCGTTGCCTCCTCATTCAAATGTAGCTGTAATTCATCTGGTTTCCAGTCCATAAATAGTTTTGCTTTTACTGTTGTAAACACTGCAAGTCTGCAAACTCTCTCCTGAGAAAAATAATCCAACTCACAGGAAGTGACGCATTTTAGTTAAGAGGTTAGGAGAACTTGATATTTATCTTACACTGACTGAACCCTCCTCGCACCCCTTAGTCTACAATAATTATGGTATCACAGTGACTATACTTCAGATGCAGTTTGCCTTGACTGGCCATCAGCTTTTCGAGTGACTCTTCTCATCTTTTACTTTAACAAAAAACACGGTGATACAAACAGTCATAGGGCAAAGGCCTGAGGACCAATGTTTATAACGGCTGAGCTGTTAATGTTGAACTCTTCATATGAAACCCATCTCCTACAATGGATCATCAGCACATTTATAAAGCCTCATCTATGAGAGATCATAAGCATTCTTAACAAATACAGGTGTGGTTTAGAATTGTGTAGAAGGTTAATTCATATAAAGTGTTTACAAATCTAGAAACTAAATCTAACGAGACCAATTAATCCACTTGCACAAGTATTTGAAGTGTAAAGTTCACAAAGTATGGGAACACAGTACAGCGTCTAAAACTGTCAGCCAATCGTTGATCAGCCAGCTGTAGAAGAAGAAGAACTTTATTGATCCCCGAAGGAATTAATGTAAATAATGTTGCTTTGGGGCACGGTGTTTTAAGAAAAGTTACAAGAAAGAATGAAAAGCTTGTTGTCACATGTTCAGCAGCTCCAGGAGCAGAAGTAAACATAAATAGAGAACAGGGGGCTTCTTCTGCAACTATGCACAAGTCATGTTTCAAATTAGAGTGCAAAGTCTACAAACACTGAATCTAATGAAGTTGTCACTTGAGTTGTACTTTTGTTTGGTTGCACCATGTAGACTTAAGGCTCATCTTAACTAGTAGATTGCAGCTTCCAAACTAACCAAATTATTGTTGCAGGTTTGACATATATTTACACAATCTAGGGCCACTCCATGAAGATCTATGCTTGTGGAAAACCGTGTATATATTTCTAAAAATAAATAATTACTAACTATGAAATAGTAATGTTTTTTTTTTTTTTTTAAAGTTAAATGTTGCTGTAAAGTGTGAATTGTTGAGGGGAGTATGTAGAAAAGAGTCGAGGTCAGACTCAAACCCATGACCTCTGCAGTGAGGACTACAGCTTCTGGATATGAGGCCCATGCTATAACTACAGAGCTAAACCAATACCCCTGATAGAGAGGTATCTATCCTTAGAATTAATTCACAGTAACATTATCGGATGGCCAACATTTTTACTCTACGCAATACTACGTCAGATTGGCAGTTTTGTTATTTTGTTTTTTTTAGATAGATGTTGAGTAGAACCCTAACAAACGTAAGTACTGACAAACAAAGACCTGTTTTTGCTGTCTTGAACTTTACTGGACTTGAACTTGGTCTTTTTAATCCTGACTCTCCTTTTAAACTTTGCAGTTGCTGTTGGCATGCAAATCCCAGTATTGTAGGGTAGCATGCAAACAGTGACCAGCCAAAGAGAAAACAGCCACTTTGTTGGCAGGTCATCTAATTTGATGCACAAAAGTAGGATCAGCAGCCATTTTCCATAAACTTCTTACTTTTGCAAAAGCACAATTTCTTCTATTATTGATCAATACACTTGATAGCATATCATCAGCACTCTGTGTACTGACTTACAAAGGAAAACTGTTTTCTTTTTTTCCCTGCTGATAAAAATTTGATCATTCTCTTTTGTTTACTATGATTGTTATAGTCACAGGTAGAGCTCCTGCTGACAGTTTTTAGCAGCGGTGACTTCTCCTACCAGGACACATTATTTTTGTTGTTTAAAAGAAATGCATTTCATTAAGTCTCTTCTTCATGAGTCACTTCTACCCATCATAAAAAACATCTCCTGTGGTGTTTCTGTTAAAAGCATTCCTCACTCACAGTAAAGTACAGTTACACATCATAGCAAGACAGCACATTTGTAATGCATTAGAGTCAGATCTCTTTTAGCCATCGGCTTAAATTAAACCGGTTTTGAAAGTGGTTGAAACTGTTTCAGCCTTAAAGGCGGTGCAGGGTGAATGACTGTGGGCTGCAGGTGCATGTACTGTATGTGAGGAGGCTACAATCAGGGAAAAGAAGACAAGGTGGTGCAGTGCCTGAGACTGAAAAAGAGAGAGCGAGAGAGAGAGGGAGGGAGGAGGAGGAGACAGAGGGAGCAACTACACTGTGATGACTGAGGGGGGAAAAAGCAACTGAGCTACCAACTTACTTGCAGGACAGCTGGTTAAAACCATGTATGAAGTAACAGTCTCCTCCATTCGCACAGTAGGCCTTTTCTGAGTTGTTGCAGCGCCGCGCATGACTCATACCTGGAGACGGGGTGGTGGTGGTCACTACAGGAAGAACAGCCAGAACGGGAACATATACAAAAACTGTTAGTTATATGTTACAATAACATGGTGATTGCATTTTATAGCAACTGTAAAACTATACATCATACTACACTACGTCACTTTATACATAAGTGAGGCTTACTGTGACAAATGTTTCTATTTTTGGCCAGGATTCAGTCACTTCTCCTGCTAGCTGCAGCCCCCGATCTTGCACAGCTGCAGGGTTTTAAGGATGTACAGTGCCCAGCTGTACAGTCAGATACACCTCCTCTGACTCAAATGCATTTTATCGTCTTGAATTTCAGGATAAAATTTAAAATCTTGCAGGTATGTTTAGACTGAATCTAGTTAAATTTAGACAAGACAGAAGTTGAAAGCCTTACAATGATGCAAGCGCTCAACAAACATAACAAACTGAGATTGGGTCCTCTAATAACTCGCTGTATTATTACACTGCACAAAGTGACTCGTTTTACCCAGTCAACAAAGAGGGTGCTCTCAGTTGCTTTGGCACATTTCTTGAAACATTTTTTTTTTCAGAAGGTGCATGTCTCACTAGAGCTCATAATAAACTAGAGCAAATAAAGAGTTATGCTGCACACACTGCAAAAGATCCAATTTAAGAAAGTAATCTTACAGTAATATATGCCACATTCACCAAACAAGCACAGATAAGCAAGCCAAAAATAAAAGCCTGAGTTGATGCTATTTGTAAAAGAAAAAAACTTTGGTTAATCAAAAGTACTTGGTGAAGCTCCTGTGAAAAGTTCTTGATAATTTATGAGGAAGAATGAACAGTTGAGCATTTCTATAATGTACTAAAGTAAATTAGACCTATTAGCAATTTCTTTATTTGCATTTTCCTGCCTGTAACTGCTGTGGGGGTATAGATATGCTGAAGAAACAGTTATTGTTACTACCCCCACAGCAAATATTCGAATGGGTTATACCTTTGTCCACAGGGGGCGCCAAAATCAACACAAACAGAAAACTCCTCACAGAAGCTTTAAGTTTCTTAAGGTAACACAATAATGTCACATCCCCATGGTAGTTTTTTGAGTAATCTTTACCTGCTTGAAGGCCTTCAAAATTTACTTATACTGCAGATTTCAGCAGTCTAAGGTTTCATATCCAAGCAAAGTTGTGTGTAAGAAATTTACTTTCTGTTATAAGAAAAAGTTATACAGTCCATACTGTGAAGTTTAAGAAAGGAAAGCCTGAATAAGCGTAACAGCAAATCCACATCAGTGTTTCAGTCTTTACAAATTTGGACTACCAGATGGACAATATGTGAATGTGAGTAAAAAGCTGGGCTGAACCTGTTTTAATCAGGTAGTGGACTTAAAGCTTTTGTGTTGTGCTCTAATAAAAGGTGATGAAGTTTTACAGAAACTGAAAGTTTTCAGTGAGACAGACAAAAGAATACACAGAGAAAATCCAAGAGGGATAGATAGATAGATAGATAGATAGATAGATAGATAGATAGATAGATAGATAGATAGATAGATAGATAGATAGATAGATAGATAGATAGATAGATAGATAGATAGATAGATAGATAGATAGATAGATAGATAGATAGATAGATAGATAGATAGATAGATAGATAGATAGATAGATGTGTCACTGCTTACAGATATGTACGCTGATTATACTTGTAGCATTTTCTTGTCCTAATGAGTTTTCAGCCACACAGGTGTAGTTCCCAGAGTCCTCTACTCGTACACTATTAATCTGAACCTTTGAGTTTTTTCTACAGGGAGGGAAAGAGAAGCAGAGACAGGACAGAGAGGGAGAAAGAGTGATTAAACAACACAAACACAATGTCAGTCACATTCTTTCATTTAGCTGACCCTCCCAAAGACTCAATCCAGTGATTTGGATGCAGAACTAATAAAAAATCTTGAGTTTTACTTCAAAAGCTGGACCCAACTTTGTCAGAAGAAATAAAAAATAGTATACTCACTCTCTAACTCTGTCATTCAACAGCAGTGTGTATGTGCTCACACACAGAAATGATAGTTTCACTGTCTACAGAACAGTAAATACTGCACTGTATGTTTCATTCGTTTTGACTAATAACATGATTGTTGATTATTACTTTGTTAATGTAATTGCTGAATAATTTGAGTGTAATGATATCTAGATATAACCCAACAGTGTTGCCATTTCATATAATTACACACTGCAGGATTGGGTCACTGAGGGTTTCTCTCTGAAGCCACAGAGAGAAAAAATGAAGAGTGAAATATCAAGTTCAGTAGGAGCCAGCGTGACTTTTTTGGGTAACGCTCCCACAAATGTTGACACACTTGTGAAACACCCACTTAACAGGTCTAACTTCCACTTCTTTGGAATGAGCTTTGACTGAACTTCACATTTTATTTTTAACATGGCTGAAGATGACTCTTTTGAAGAATGGATAACAGCCCTTATCATCCAAAAAGAGTAGGTGTTAGGTGTTGATGTATAATTTCACAACTAGTACAGGGAAGAGGAATAATAACAGACTATTGACTTTTTAATATCCATATGAGCATGTGGGAGTTGTATTAGACTTGACCTGAAAAACTCTGACCTTCAATGCAGACATTTACTCTAATCTAGACCTTTCCTTGTTCAACTGCCAGAGTTTCTCTTAACATATCAATATTTTTCTTCTTATCAAAGATGGCCTCACGGGAGGGTGATTTGGTGTGTTGGTGCATGATGTCTTGTCTTCACCTGATTAACAGTCCCCCAAACTCCTAACAGCTTGGAACTGTTTCAACCTTTTTGTCTTTTTCTATTAAAAGTTTCTCACCAGTTGTAAAAAAAAAGCCTTTCTCTTATTTATATATGTAAATCTAAATATTTCTGCATTTCTATGTCATTGTGGGGCTTTTATGTTGTTATTAGATAGGACATCTGAAGAGAGACAGGGAATGTAAGAAGTGACAAGAGGCATAAGAATTGTGGCAAAGGGTTGTGGCTGGGAACCAAACCAGCAATCACTGCAACATGACTAAAGCCTCAATATTTGGGGTGCTTAGATTGCTAGGCCATTGGTACCCCATTTTTATGTATTTCTATTTTGTTCCTATTTTTACCCTGTGTTCACTGTTTCAGCACCAACACACTGAGACAGTTTCCTGGTATGATTAAAACCTTCTTGGCAGTGAACTTGATTCTGATTCGGATGTCTCTTACTCATAAGCCAACAAATTTAACCATACCAAGACATCTCCTGTCTGAAATACTCACTTATTGGTCTTTATCTTAAGGTCTGTGCCTTTTTGAAGCTCGTGCCCATCTTTGTACCAGCGGAAGGAAGGACTGGGGTTTCCTGACGACTCACACTTCAAGAACAGCTTGTCCCCTTCCATTAGAGACTGTCCTCGCATCAGTCGGAGCTTCGGGGCAGAGGCTGGACAGACAGAGGGAAAGGAAAGAATGGAGGGAGTTGAAAGAGTGAATCAAAGTTTCCATTATCAAAATTAAGTTCAACTGATTTTAAGTGTTTACATATGGGCTGCACAATCAATTGCGAAAACATGATCATGGTATGGAATTTGCACAGATATGAACAGACAAATGTCTCAAAAACTGTGTTGCACTAATATTTGAAAGTGCTCCAAAGATGTTCTGATGCCCAAATGACAAAATTAAATACGTTTTTATGATACACACACACACACAAAAAAAACTAAAAATACCATGCTGTTCCTGGGTTTATATGCAAAAACAAGCATTTTGACCTTAACTGCTAATTTTATCACCAACACTACATCCGCCAAAATAATTGCAATGTGATCTTTGAACCATATTGCACAGCCCTATCCTGTTCATGGATTCAATATCCCATCATGGATGACTATTTGCTGGATATTTGATTTAATGCAGTTTCAGTTGTGTTAATTCGGTCAGGTTAAGTGTCCAAACATGTGCCAAACGCACTCATCAGATCAGATATAGATCAGAATATATCGATATAGATCTAAATGTATGTGCTGACTCAGATTATTAGTAGTCGATGATTATTTATTGCACTGAATTGTGCCTTACACTGTGGAAACCTGCCAGTGCGGCAGCTCTGCCTGTGCTGAAAGCTGACCAGGTTTTAATCGGCGAGCTTTCAACGCACTTCCCACGCCACCTGCAGGCACGAAAATGTCACTGCGCCAGCTGAATTTGTCAACACCTCCCTCTACTGTGCCACCACGCCCAGCTTGGCGCACCTCGGTGCGCTTCAGTCTACCAAAATACCAAACTGGCTGTGTGCCGGGCTCCGCCAGATGAAAATACCACAGCGCGGGGTGCGCCACCCTCAGCCGCACCGTCGGCAGGCACGTAAATAGAGCCCTAAGTGTGAAAACTACATACAGAGTTGATGCTGAATTTATCGAGCCTCAACTAATCATGTAAATTCTGATGTGAATATTCGTTTTATAAATCCAGTAAATTATATACAGCTTACTTTGCATTCCTCTTAAAACCTAATTCTTTCATTGATTGTTTTAAGTTCATCAGGAAGAATAAAGTTTACTGTACCCTCTGCATAAAAACACTGTTAAGGATTTCATATCACAGAGTGCTAGGTTCAAGTCAGCGCTCTTTAGAAGGAAATGTTATGGTTTATTGAAGTTTTGTGGCAGAGCGACAGGAATCGGGGTTGAAGGTGCAAAAATTGTACTCATATAGCACTTTTATATAGTCTCCTGATGACTCAAAGCACTTTAACGCAACAAATCACATTCACCCATTTACTCACACATTCATATTCTGATGGCAAACGACACTATGTAAAGTGCCCATCAGTACTGACACATCTGCACTCACTGCTGGCTATGCTCCTTGGGAGTAATGTGAGGTTAAGTGACTTGCCCAAGGAACCTTTGGTGTGTGCTCACAACGCAATACTGTATGATGCCAAAACACACAGGGACACACAGGACTGTCTGAGCATCCATACATCACATTCCTCTTTTCACAGTGTATTAGGAAACATGTGCACTCATCAAACTATTGGGATGTTGGATCCAAGACCCCAAACAACATTAGTTTGTGAACTGAACAACAAAATGAGTCACTGGTCACGAGGAGCCATAAAGAAGTATCTCAATGACAGCATACTGGTCAAACATTGGGCATCGCTCCCCAAAATAAAAAGTATACAAACTAATGAGTCAATCCATGAGGGGCTTTCGTCACTCTGCTGAACCACAAACAACAGTATGTAAAGGTACAAGATCAGCACAGTAAGTGGAGGTTCAAGTGATGAAAAGGACAAACGACACACAGAACAAAATTTCTGAAGTCCTCTGGCGGTGTTATAGAGCTGTGCCAATGTGATACTCAATGTTGGTTTCATCCCAGCAGTGGCCGAGCCAATGAACTATTACCAGTATTTGTACATTTACACAAACTCACTGTTTCTAAAGTCCTGTGTTACAAAATTTAATTACTTATTTTACCACCGTGTACAAAGTGAAGCCTGATGTTGCCATTAGATAACTCCCGGTTTCATCCTCAACTTAAAGGACAGATGTTGTTAATTCACCTGTGGTACTGGATCTGATCTGTATCAGTTTTGGCTCATACGAAAAGTATCAGTATGAGTACTTGATATGAAAATGTTGAATTGTTGCATGCCTAGCATAAGCTCTACTTCTGTTGTAGACAGTGTAGGACTTCAGCGTTTATGATCCAGGAGTAAAAGCACCCTGACTTTTTGGATGTTCAGGTAGGTTTAATTAGGACTGATTTCTTCCTTTTCTGGAGCCAGAAAAACAGAAATAAAGCAGCCAAAAATGAGTTTTTTAGGTGACTGCTCCTTCTGTACATTTGCACATTTTGACATGGCAACTGAGAGGTAAATGAGTTGTTTATAATAAATATGACATGAATATTTCTTTTAAGCCAGTAAAGCATAAACTGTTCTGCTGCCCTAAATACTCCAAAGAGAACCAAATTTGTCTGCCTCTATAAATAGTCCCAAACCAATTCCCTCATAACTCCAATTTCTGCAACATTTGGGGTGGCCAGTATTTGCAGGAAAATCATCAAGACATTTAGAAAAAGAAAGATATTCATACACTTTTGGCCCATTTTTACATCTCCATGATGAACAAACGGGTTTTGCAATGAGTGCCACAGAAAGGGTCGGAAAGTTGGAGAGGGTTGGGAGACAGACTAATGCATTGTTAGTTTTGTGTCTTTTTATTGGATTCCACTGCAGCAAGAAAAAATAAATTAATGCCAACCTTAATCCTTAAATTACATGAGAGGAGGTTAATGACGAAAGAAAACAAATTCTGAATACAAAAAGGAGAACCTCTATGAAGTACCATCCAAGCAGCTTGCAGTTATGTAAGAAGGATTTAAGTAGGATTTTTAGGCTCACGGCAGAACAAGCAGCACATCTTAAAATCCAGTTCCCACACTTTGTGAGATTTAGTCTTGTCAAAAACACACACTGTCAGAGTAAAGCACCTCAGCGTCAACAGATACTGTTTCTGGCTGATGATGAGTTGGACTGAGGGATAGCAAAGTAACACAGCCGACAGAATAATTTAGCTGCTAACATGGAACTATCTTGGGAATACCAGAAAAGATGGCTTTGGTACAATATTTTGTTCCATGGGGTTTGAAGTGTAACTGTCCCAGTTTGAATGGGACCAACTGGCTCAGAAAAGGTATTCATTTTTTTACAGTACATATGCAGGTGAGACACAGTGTGAGTAACAGAGGAAAAGCTCTGATAAACTCTCTGCTCTACGTTCCCAGAACCAAAAACAGACTACAGGTGCTTTTCCACCTGAAGTACCCAGAACATTCAGTTCCAGGGTCTTCTCTTCAAGGAGCTCAATGGTTCCTGCGGCCCATTGTTGTCTGCTGGGTCAGGGCAAAACAAAGTTCTCAGAAATCCTGTTGGCAGCGGGTAGGATGCATAAATTATTAAGTAGGATCAGGTGACTGTAGATATTAGCTCTTGAACTTTTGTCCTTTGGTTCCTATACCAGTTAAACCTTTTCTCTGCTCAGCTGGTGTCTGTGTGTGAACTCTATGTCTGCTCATATTGTAAAAAAGTTTCCTGATTATACTAACCCCTGAAACTATTCCTACAAAAGCATCTCTGAGACAGAAAAATGCACATAAACAGTCAAAGTTCATGTATATTCTAGTGTTACTGTTCAGATATCATTAGGTTATGTTGAATGTAAAATCCAGAATATCTGTGTACGTGTCTGTGCTGCCAGTATTTCACATGTAAAATTATGACCTTTTGAAAATGTAAATTAAATCATCAGGCTTTCCCTCCCAAAGTCCCTTGGTCGTTAAAAAGTACTATGCCCTGAGCAGGGGCCTTTTAAGGGGTAAAATTTCTACCCCAGAACTAAATTTAGACCCGAGTTCCTGCAGTTGAAACATTCAGAATTCTGGGGTAAGGTCCATACATCCTGGGGAAAGTTCCTGCAGTCAGAAAGTGCATTAAGTGAGGGAGTATTTAGACAGATGAAGAGGCACTTTCTCAAAAGTTGGTGTTGCCAAAAAATCCGGAAAGATACAAGTATCGGATTTATGTTTATTAATAAGAAATAAAAATGACTTAAAATGACATAAATGATTCTGTGTCTGCTGATTTTAAACATAGACATGGTCAACAGCTTAAAATCAACTTAATCCTGTGAGAATGTGTCACTTAAAGTTCACTGATTGTCACACTGATCTCACTGGCAAAAAAGAAAAAATAATAATAAAAAAATATGAGGTAAAAACAAAAAGCTGCAGCACTTTTTCTTTTCTATAAGTTGAATTGATTATAAATAATAAGAGCTTGATTTCCTCCTCAAAACTGCTCTAAGACAGTTGACTTGCTCCAGCCTCTTCCTCCTCTGGCACTTTTTTCATCCTTATAAGGTGAGCTGGGTCCAACCAACTTCTATAACTTTGTAAAACCAAAAGTTTGACTTGCACGGTTGCCTCATGAGAGGAGAGGTAAGATATGGATCTGCCTTTATACTCATTTTGTTTGTGCATGACAACAGCTAAATACAGATCTATCACTGCCTTTAACAGTTGACTATCAATGACATGCATCCTGCCCCTCTATCCTGACTGGCTTTTCAACCTGCCTCTGAGTTAAACTGTTGAGAAGACCAATGCTTAATCATCCAGTTATATTTTCAGGACATCCAATCCTTTTACTCTTGTTTCACAGTGCTCACTACAGACAAACCATAAAAGAATCACAAGATACAGTATACATACATGCTCTACATGAGAAAAGAGGGGGGTGAATCCAATATGGCATGAATGTTGCATTCAGCCCCTCAGGGTGAGTCTTCTTCAGGAGGAAATATAATTAAATATAAACATTCAGTGTGTCGATAACATATAAAACATGGATGCATTTCCAGAAAGCTCTTTAATTTCTGAAAAATGAATTAAGACATAACTCTTCAGCCCTGCTGTAGTTTTCAAGCATTTAGCTGTGGATATTTTTGCAGGAGATGATGAGGAACCCTGTGCAGCTTAAATCTAATAACAATGTACCATATGTGAAAAACAGATGAGTTTTCATTGCGGGAGGGGGGACTGAAGGGGGACTCTGCACATTTGACATTTAGACTCAAAATGACAAAATACCTCTGAGAAAAATTATCGTTGTTTGCACTTCTCAAGAGCAGCTTATAAAACATGTCAGTAAATACACGAGAAACAGTCAATAAAAAATTAAATAGAAATGCTACAAAATGACAAAAAGGCAAAAATAAATAGATAGATACCTTTATTTCTTAGAAAATACCTCAGCTATTTATTTTAAACACTCAACATTTCAGATTCTGGATGAGCAGAAGTGCTGCACTGGTTATGTTGCATAGATTTGCAGATTTGTTTTTCTTCCATTGTGGCAAAGTTAGACTGGAGCACATAAACCAGGCAACGATGACATTTGTGACTTCTCTGAAGCTAGGGAGTTGATTCAAAATAAATGTGGGACAGAGATAGCTGTTAAAATGACATTTAAGTCTCTGCAGAGTGGGATACATTTTTGGGAAATTAAAGTTAAATAGGAGGAGAATAATGGGATAGTCACTTCAGAGTTAAATAATAGTCAAGCCTTCAGTCCATCTATTAATCCACCCTTCCCAACCACCTTAAGTGGTCCATTCAATGACATCTGCAGGAACACAGCACAGCTTTGCTTTCTCTTTGTTGTTCCCACTTTATGACCAGAGCTCAGAAACATCTCCACACTGTAAACACAACAATAAGAGCAGCAAGAGCAAGGACATTCATCTAATATGACATCACATTCACCTAATGTAGCATAACAGACAAGAGGAAATACTTAAACTGTCTATACTTAGCTTCTATACTTTCTATATAGCTCATAGACTGTATATAGAATCGACGCCGCCTGCCTCCTTGCTGGGTGAAACCACCACGAGAACAGCACCCTCTGGTGACGGGCTGCAGTATAGGTCATAAATCCCATCTCCTCCAGCAATCCCTATGGAGCTGTTGACAAACTTTAAAAAATTAATTATACAGAACATACATTTTCCTCCTCCCTGCTTGCGATGTTGACGTGTAGTTACTGTAGACTGGTTTGTGCTCAAGTCCTTTTTTTTCTGTACAGCTCCGTTTTTAAAAGTTATGAAGGGGTTCATGTTTTGATTGACACTTGATACAGCCTATGGGTGTACAAAGATTGCGTAGCTCACCCGGAGGATACGCTGTTTGAGCAAAGCGTCATCACAGCGACTCTCTGTGACTCTCCCAATGAATGCATACAATGCTACTGCGCAATGTTGGTTTCAGGAAGTGGAGAAAAAAACCTAGAAATACCGAGAGCGTTTTGTCTTCAAATCCTTATACTGACGGAGGCGTAACCAAGTTGTCCATAGTATATACAGTCTATGATGTAGACTCATTGATCAACACCAACTTCAAGAGTCACTTGAATCAAACTGCACTTCCTAATGATCCCCTCAGGCACCAAAATCATACATACTTTACTTGGAAGTAAACTGCTTCCATTGAACCCAGATCACTGGTGATCATGTTACCTTCAGTAAACTCATTCATAAAATAAAATAGTACAAACTCAGGAGAAAGTGTGAGCTGAAGATATTTTTAGTGAAGAGAAATGAAGGGCTTCAATTTTCTTATCGTGTATCCTGCTGTATCCATACGCCTGTTTGACTCTCCAATTTAAGTGAATGTGGAGAGCATATAGAGGACTCAGCATCACCAGTCATTATCTCATGATCAAACAAAGGTCTGTCTTAATAACTGCAACATGTGTATCAAGGCATTTTAAAATTTTACAGACCAAACTCCTTATTTTGAATATGAAGGAAAATATTTTACCTCACTGTCAAATACTTTTACTTGTTTTGTGGAAAATAAACTATCTGGTCCAGGTCTCAGCAGCTCTAATCAACAACCATCAAAATCTGTGGTGATGTCGGGAATTCTGGCCTCTTAAAAGTACATCTTATTGTGGGGAGATGTTACTACAACCTGCAGCATCACCCACTTAACTCTACAGACTGCGGTCAGAATAAGCTGATCAACTGGCATAATTTCCTTTAGAAATTCTGAATATCTGTTTATTCAATCAGACACTCATAGTTCACAAAAGTAGTCAGTCCCACTTTATCCCCACTCTGACGCCCCTGCCGTCACTCCTCACTGGGTGACTCTCAGGTGAGACTCTTAGGTTTTTATGAGGGTGTGACAGAAATAAGGGGGGAACATTTGCCTGAAATCACCACTGAGCTCATCCCTCTGTGGAACAATCCCTTCAGGAAACGCGGACATTTTATCAGCCTGAGACTGTAAGCTGAAAATATGGATGGAAATTACCCTTCATGGATATGACATCTGCATTTCATGGTCGTGACAGTGTCGAACTGATTGAATCACCATTACTTCTCAGTCTAATTAAGTTTATTATTAGTATCTGGCTTATATGAAGTCACTTTAGATTTTCATACTTCCTTCAGACGTTGTATTTTCAAAGTAGAGGGTAATAAGAAATGAATCTCAGCAAAATGTTTGATGAAGAACAAATACATAGTCTCGCTTTTAGCTCTACTTGAAGTTTCAGAACCAAAACAAAACTGCTGATAGAGACAGGGACTGTTTTTGGTTCTTCATTGTGGCCTCGAATCACCCTCTCCATGTTAGAAACACATCACCACTGAGGGTTCAGAAGGACGTTGGATAGATGATATTTTAGATGAGTAATTTTCTTCATATTTTTGCCTCATTATCCAACCTTCTTTTTCACTTTATTAATCAGCATAAGCACTTGTTGGGAAGCACAAGGACCTCTCACTGTTGCACTGCACATAACCCATAATCACACAAACCTTTGTAAAGCTCTACATAATGTCCCTGTGTTAATAAAAGATGTCATCCCTGAGAAAAGGAGACTACTGTACCTACTCAGAGGTATTTTGATAAGGAGGCAATTTAACCTCTGGAGACTTCAAAAAAAACAAAAAAATGATTTAACGAGGTTGTGCTATGCATGACATGAGGGAAAGAGAAAGAAGGAAAGAGAGAGGGAGAACGAGAGACTCAGACGTACATTTGCATGAACACAATTAGAGTAGATTCACACATCCCACACACCACAGGCAGCAAGCAAGCCATAACACGTCTAATTCTGCAGCTGCAATTCACACGTACAGGTTTTCCATGGCACTGTGATGTGAGTGCGCACAAGAGTGTATGACAGAGATTGCAGACATGAGAACATGTGAGATAGTCAGATATGCACGTGACCATTTTATTGTCTGCACTGATAGATTAGTGTGAGTGCCTGTTTGTGTACATGTGTATCAAAGTGCACTGTGTCTATTAGCGTGCCTTTGTGTGTGTGTGTGTGTGTGTGTGTGTGTGTGTGTGTGTGTGTGTGTGTGTGTGTGTGTGTGCACATCTCTGTGTGTGGATGTGTGTGTGTGTACTGTAAGTTGCTGATCCAAGCCTTCTTTATCACTGAGTGATGGGAGAATTCCTCAGTGAGAGCTCAGAGGGGGTGGGGAGGAGGGTGAGTGGTGGGTGGGTGTGGAGCCAAAATGGACATCTGTATCTGACCAATAGGCTGTGACCAGTCTTTCTACTCTAGCCAATCACACATGACCAGCACTCCCATCGGCTGTCCATCAAGAGGTCTTTCTTTCAAGGTCAGCTGATGCTCCCTCTATCCTCACCTCCCCCTTCTCTCTCTCTCTCTCTCTCTTGAGCTAAGCAGCCATCAATTAAATTAATCTAATGACTTGCTTAGCATGATCCAATAACAGACAGTGATATGGAAGTCAAATCAATTGGTTGTGTTCGCAGACAAGTATGGCACCCTAAGACAGCGTGGTGCGCATTCATGGGCTGTGTGTGTCTGCCGGTGTCTGTGAGCGAGCCGACAAAGTAGTTCAGGAGAAGAAGAATAGTACATTCATAAAAGTGTACAAAGGCATGAGAAAAGGAGCCGATGTGCGCATGAAGAGAGAATCTGTACAGCTGTGCATTCCATGTTTGTTGTTGTCGTATTTTTATGTGTGCGTGTGTGCTCATGTATAAAAGAGAGAAGCTCCTTCTATCTCACTCTCTGATCAGTGTGATTTCTGCAGCGCACAGCTGTCACCATGGAAACCAGGGAGGGAGCAGGAGATAGAGCAAGTGAGGAAGCAAGGCAGTAAGAAAGAGGAGAAACAGATTGAGAGAGAGTTGCAGGGAGATACACTAAGACTGAACAAGAGAGGGAGGAGGAGAGGGAGAACGGCAGAGAGATAAGCATTGGTTGTTGAATGATAGCAGCCACCACAGGCCTTCATGCAGTATCACCTCCAAACACCAGCCGAACCAGCAGGCTCCCAGCAACCACTCCATGTGTGTGTGAGTGTGTGTGTTTGAAACACTGAATATTTAGCTGTGCAAGTTTGTGTTTATGAGCTTATCACATCCTCAAAGAAACATCAGTCTGTGTGGATGTCTCATCATGGATGCAATATCAGTTGTCAATAAATATCTTCTTCATCCAATATTCTTTTGTTTGTAGTCACAGGGAGTCGTACCCTGACACACTAAAACACACACAATGACCTGCCCTTGTTTCTCATCACTGGTGTTGAGCACTTTTGAGTTGGCTTCAGTGTCATTTTTTTTTATTTAGATCAGGCATTCATAAAACACAAAAACACACACACACACACACACACAGCTAAGCAAATGCTCACATAGACAGAAATGTTTGCAGTGTAGTGATATTTATGCCAGATAGATAGATAGATAGATAGATAGATAGATAGATAGATAGATAGATAGATAGATAGATAGGATGTGCAGGGTGGATAATGAATAGTTAATGAAGGGCTTGCGGGCAGAACGGTGGGGAAAAGCTATTCTCACAGTCTCCTCCACCTCCTATTCTTCTTTTTCTTTCTGGTGGCTCGAAGTCATGTGCAAGTCATTCCGTGCCCCACCTGTCCTCAATTTATCTTTTTTCGTTCTCTCTTTTTCCTGTCCTGCCTTGCTCACACAACACTATTCTCTTTCTCCTCCCTCGCCTCCCTCATCTTCTTACCGATATATCTTCCCTCCCCTCTCACCTCTACCTCGTGTCTTGTTCTCATCTATCCTGGTCTGGTACCTCCTCTTACCTTCCTCTATTCTACAAACCCCAATTGCAGTAAAGTTGGGACGTTGTGTAAAATGTGAATAAAAACAGAATACAATGATCTGCAAGTCATTTTCCAACTCTGTTCAATTGAATACACAACAAAGACAAGATATTTAATGTTCAAACTCATAAAAAAAGATGTACAAAATTTGGGACTACTTAAAAAACACCTGTTTACACCTGATACAGGTTTATTGGAAAACAGATGTCATGATAAAAGGAGCTTCCCTGAAAGGCTCAGTCCTTCACAAGCAAGGATGGGGCCAGATTCACAACTTTGTCAACAACTGCATGAGCAAAAAGTCTGATGGCTTAAAAACAACATTACTCAATGTACAATTGCAGGAATTCAGTGATTTTATCATACACAGTCCATAAAATCATTAAAAGATTCAGAGTCCAGAGAAACCTCTGCGCGTAAGCAGCAAAACCCCAAACCAACACTAAATGCTCATGACCTTTGACCCCTTAGAAGGTACTGCAGTAAAAACCCACATTATTCTGTAAAGTATGTCACCACGTGGACTTAGGAACACCTCAGAAAACCATTGTCAGTTCATCTCTACATCTACAAATTCAATCTCTACCATGTAAAGACAAAGACAGATATCAACAACAGCCAGAAACAACACCGGCTTCTCTGGACCAGAACTCATCTGAGATGGACTCATGAAAAAGCGTGCTGTGGTCTGACAATTCAGATTGTTTTATAAAATCATAGAGGGGGTGTCTTAAAGGGGAAAATGATCATTCAGGCTGTTATCAGGTCAAAGGTCAAAGCCAGCATCTGTGACGTTCTGGCGTTGTGTTAGTGCTCATGGCTAACTGTCACATCTGTGAAGGCTCCGTGAATACTGAAAGGTACAAACACGTTTGGGAGCAACATATGCTGCCATCAGAGCCACGTCTTTTTCAGGGACATCCCTGTTCATTTCAGCAAGTCAACACCAAGACTTATCCTGTACGTGTTAGAGCAGCTTGGCTTCAGAGTCAAGAGTGACGATACTGGACTAATCTCTCTTCAGTCCAGACCTGTCTGCCAATGAAAGTGTGTGGAGCATAATGAAGCACAAAATACAACAATAGAGATCGTGGACTGTTAAAGATCTGAAGTTTAACATTAAATTTTTTGACATAAAATGTTAACATATTGAATTTATAAATGCATGTATACACAAAATATATTTATGTTGAATTAAAAGTGAGTTTACTTCATTTTTAACTGATATATGAAAAAAATCTTAACATGCATTATTAGAAATGGTTCTCCTTTTTTCTCTCTTCTGAGAGGCAGAATCTTCTCAAAGTAAACTTGACTGAAATCTTGTAAAAATGTTACTGTCTGAAACTTCGAGTCTGTTAGTCTTTTTTTGTTTGCCTGGCACTGCTGCACTGAAGTCCTACTTGTATTTCCATATCCTCTAAAATGCAGACTGCACTGACATTGGTTTATTGAGGATTAAATCTGTACTTGGCAACTTTGTCTATTGGCAGCACCATAAAGCATTGAGAGGGTCCAGTTTTTTTAAACTTGAAGTTGATTTCCCAGAATCCCTGTGTTATAGTAAACTGATCACTGCTCCTTTAACAGCCTGTTATAAAGCAGTATAATGCTTCAAGACAAAGACACAGCAGTAAAGAATATTTACATACAATGAATGAGGCCCACTTCAACTGTGCCAGACTGCTTTTCTAGCTAGTTATTAAGACATAATGTTTGGGACTTGTTCCTTTTTAATAAAAAGTTCATGGACTATATCCTGTACCAAGGGAGACCGGATTGAGGTCATATGGAGGTGTTTAATTTCCACATAAACTAAAATCTAAATCTGGTTTAAAGTGCGCTAAAAGAAAAGAGTAAGTCATGACTGGTCAGAAGAATAAGCACCTTTAAATCCTCAGCTATAGTTTATCATGTCCAATAAATAAATAAATAAATAAGCAAATGCAAATAAATAGCAAATTCTTTTAGAGATTTTAAAAATCAGGAAAATTAGCAAAAGAAAAGATGATGCACTCACACTGCCATTACACCTTATTTTACAACATGATTAAAATAATAACACACACATTTTAATTTCTGTGTTGTTGAGTGTAGACTGCATAAATGATGACCCCAGCCACTGTGATATGATCCATTGTTTTTACAGATGCTTATATGAAGCCTCACATCACCCCTTTACGGTTTTCTGGAGAGTCTAAAAAACATATTCAGGTTGAGGTGAATCTGGTGATGAGTAAGGTGCCAAACATTCCAACATATCAGTCTACATCTGTGATCAATTCCAATGCTGGTATATTAGAGAGTTTCCTCTTATGTTCTCACTAGACTAAACAGTTCAAGAAGGAGTAAAATCAGAGTTATCACTCATCTGTGGCAGATGAACTCAACACGTTTCTCAAGTCTCCTCATCACTTCAGTCCACTGCAATCCCTTCAGGTTAAAGACAACTTGACAGTTTGTTCTTGCCTGCATGAATAGAGCGTTAGCTATTCTCTTTGAGATAATCGCTAAAACGAAGAAAATGAAAAATTCAAACCAAGAAGTAGAACTGATTCGCCAAAGTCTAGTTTGGGGGGCTTGTTCTATTTCATGAAAGTAGAGACAAAAAGAGACATGATGCCAGCCAAAACGGTGGTAGGGAACAGTAAGGGTCCTTCCAAGACAAAAACAAAAAAATGCAATGTTCAGTATTTTGAAATATAGGTATTAAAGGACAGAGGGGACATATTTATCTAATGGAGAGAAATATTTCAATGAACATGACTGTGGAAAAAAAGTTTTATTACTGACTAGGACTAACTGACAAGCTCCTACCAAGTACCCCCAACACAACATCATGATGCAAACTACTGACATCAACCATGTCATTATGGTCACTGTCTTAATATTATGTTTTTATGTATACCTGCCTGTTCTCAGGAACTAACTCTTTACTTTAATGGTTCCATTTTTATAACAATGCAGAGGCTTCTCTACATCTCACAAGTAAAACTTTCCTTTCCTTTCAGTACATTAATGTGGTAGCACAAGTAACTCTTTCAATCCAGGTTAACATTGTAGAAAATGTCACTTTCCCAAAGACATTAATGCCATTTAACCTTTATTTTATGTTTGTGTTGAATGCTGGACTTGCACAGTACTGTATGTTCTTACTACTTTGCAAAAATAATGTATTTGGGTCTTTTCCTCAATACATTTAAATATCCTGTAATAAATTGTAGTTTTCCTCTCAATAGAAATAGCCTTCTTTTGACATGAACCACAGGAAGAGACTTTCCTCTGAATCCTGACCTCAACATATTACAACGAATCTTATTTAAAGCTCCTGTAAGGTGATATTTTTCACCCCCTGAAGACAAAATGGTAACCCTTTGTAACTCAATTGTTGCTGATTATGTCTTGTCCTTATGAAAGTAGTGTTATTGGACAAAAATGTCCTCCTGTTGTCTTTTTGCAGTGAAAATAATCTAAAAATAAACTATAAATAAAATAAACATAAGACTGTTTTCCTTTAGCAAACCAACCTCCTCACAGCAGTTACAGGCTTTCAAATTTACTGTCCTGAAATTATCCATCTTGTTGTTCATATTCTTATTTGCTCTGTACATCATTGAGGATACATCACTGTTTATTTCAGACGGTTTTGTATCAAATCAAAAACACCTCACAGTAGCTTTAAAACTGCATCTCATCTGTTTCTGTGAGAAAAATGTGCTGATTCTGCACAATCAATTATGGAAACGATGTAGGATTCAAAAACAAGCATAATAACGATGGTCGTTTTCTCCCATTAAACTATTATAGCTCAAAGATAACATCAAGAGGAGGCGCAGGAGGACATCTTAAAACAAATGAACATAGTCTACCTGTCAGCATCAAAGATCACCACAACAAAGAGGGATAAAGATAGCCCACCTCTCTGGGCTGAAGGTAGCCCGATATAGAAGGCAGGAAAGGTTTAACCCACATGAAACCCTCTCTCCCTTATCTTCTCTTTCTCACATCAGCATGAAAGTCAACACAAATGCAGCTAAATTGTACCTCTAGTAAATTAATTGTTTCCCTTGCACTACAGGCTTTGAAAGACAGCAGCTTTTGCTCATACAACACTACCAAAGACAACAACTAAAAATCATTTTGTAACTTCATGAATATCAGGCATTTACCGACTGCGTACCAGACCCCAGTCATGCACAGCAGCGATGCCTGTAAGAAGGGTGATTAAAACAGCTTTTCAAGAAGAGTAAGACATCCCAGATTTATCAAAACATTTGCAAATTTAAAACATATTTCACAAAAAACCAATGACCATGTTCTTGGCATAAATACTTCTAAATATTCCACTTTAAGTTTGATGTCTTCTCCAATTTAATATGCTCTAAACAGAAAAAAAAAAGAAAAAAAACACAAACAGAAAAAAGTTTATGCAGCAACAGCGAACATGAGGGGATGTGTGTGCTGTACATCTGCGTGTGTTTTTTTGTGATGTGTGTATAAAGGTCTACACATATGCTCATGTATGAAGGGACACACAAACACCTCTTTCTCATACTGAGCCATGCGCTGCTCAGCCACTTAAGAAAGCATTTTTACAATACTGACGAAGACTTGATCAGTGGTCAACCGATATTAGTTTTCCTGATGCCGATACTGAGAGAGCAGGTTGACTGAAGGCTGATAGATATAATAAGGCTGATGTCACATTATAGTTTTATTTCAATGAAATATTGCCATCAAACAACTCATGTACACTTATGTGAATGTTTTATTAAATACAGACAGAAAAATATTGAGCTCAGCAAAATATTTCAACAAAGGACTTTTGGATCTCTGCTCAGATATCTAAATTATTAGGAAAAAAAACAAATAGACAAGGCTAATATAAATATTACTAAACTGCTTTATTTATAATAGAATATATATTAAACACTAGTCAGTTATAGATCAGAAAGGATGTCAAAAGCATTTTTCATTTGGAAAGATGAAAGTAATATCAGCCAAGGCTAAAGCCATTATGATGAGATAGATCGATTTATCAAAGGTCGATAAATTTTTAGTTACTGCCATCATACTGGCATTGGCCCTCTCAAGGCAGGTATAACATTATGTTATCTACATTCCTTAAAAATCTATTTAAAACATATTACAAGCCACAGTAACCATAAAAATTTCAGATTTATGCATGACTTTTCAAAAATTTTATGGCAACAGTTTCCTTTGATTTTTATTTCCTTTTTATAATTTAATATACGTGGACAAACAGCCAAAATTTCATTGTGGATGATTTAATCAAGAAACATTTTAATGTCTTGAATTATTCAAAACATTCAGCAACTTTGTTTCTCATTTGTCAGTATAAAGTAATGGATGTATTTAAACGTTAAATGCAAAAAGAGGACAGAAAAAAACGACAATGTGCTATCTGCATTTTATATTAGCATCCTGCTATATCCTGCTTAATGGTTATTGGTATCGGCACCAGTGACTGAAATAATGTAATCAGTTGACCACTAATGATTTATCAGTCACACATAATTAGAGGACATGGTCATGAGTAAAGCAGTCCTGTTTCTCTATGACAGACTTTGGTTTGAGTCTGGACAGCCCTGAAAACAGGTTACTCATACCTTGTACACATTTATTCTTTTATGTTGTTTATCATTGTAGCTGTTATAATTACAGCTACCTTACCATTATAATTTTTTTAGCATTGTACAGGGCTCTTACTTTAGGTATCAGAGATAAAACAGTGTGTAGACTCTATACTCAATACTAAAAGTATATGTCTGCCAAAAACCCAGAAACACATTCTTTTACATATTGCTCCATTTATGAATCACAATCCATCCGGGAATATGCACACGTGGACCAGTCTTGTATTCTGCCCTCTATACACCAACATTCATCCAAAGATAGTCAATGCAAAGCACCCCATGAATGAAATGCTCACAATTGAACAGGCAGGTCAAATATTCTCACAGTGAAGCTCAGCAACGCTAGAAAGGAAGGCAGGGAAAAAACTGAGGCGCTCGTGAATGAAATATATTCAACAGGAAGGTCACAAATACAATAAACACCAAGGAGTGACAGTGTATTACTGCATTGTTTACATAGTTCCTTCAGCCGTGCCAGAACATCCATCATTCATCACTTGGTATGAATGTCACTGTTGTGTTTTTGTGTTCACAGGATCCATTCTGGTTTTTCATGTTAGGACAGAGAAATCATGTTGACTAGAAGTCTTCTTTCTTCTGTAAAAAAAGTTTCATCCGTTAATATCAATTCTATTGGTTTTAGTTTTTTATGGTCATCTTGTTCTGCATCTTGACTAATTATAGGAGTATGTAATAACTGTGTGTGAATCACCTGTGGCTTAACTGCGTGAAGGAGCCATTATTCTGTCTTTGTACACTGTGTGTGCCGCACATTGATCCTTGTTTAAAACAAAATATTACACTTAGGCTAAGTGCCAGCCAATTATTATTATTATTCTTATTCTTATTAGTTTAAAATTTTAAGAGGGGGTGTAGATATTACAAAGCAAATTGATCATTTTCCTGTCTAGCAAAAGTTTTATTGACACCCTTAAGGTAGTTGCTAAATTTGTTTATTGTTGCTTGTCTGTGTCACATCAGTTTATCATGTTTCAATACTCGAACCAAAGCCAACTGGCTAAAACTTTTCTTAGTACTCTGACAAAATATCATCAAAGCTAACACTGATATGTTACATTGCAGCACTAATCATTATCTTGACATGGTCACTGAAATACTTTTTATGTTTACTTGCCTCCTCTACATCCTGACCTTCCTGATGAACATCATCATCGCTCCTGCCCTCACAGCTCTGAAATGATCATTTAAATATGAAATTATTCTTTCTTTCTTTTTATACCGGTAATGAAAGCAAAAGAGCACTTTAAAAAAGTATTCAAGAACAATGTGACAAACACTATTTGTACATAATTCAATTTTAGCTATTGGCCTCAGATTGAATCTGGAACTGGTTAAGAAATACTTTTTTATCCTGCATCTAAAAATAATCCAGTAAGTGAAAAGGAAACTTATTTTGGGGACATCTGGCAAGTTTCAGTTTTTCGTAGTTTGGCACTGACAAAGATTTCCACTGGGGGTCTACTCTGGCACATTCGCACATCACACAGACTTTATACGACACACGTTTTATAACACATACCGTTTATACATGAGGCCCCACATGCTCTTTTTCATCCTTCTTTCCTTGTAGGGCATTTCACATATCCTAAGTAAAATAAGTAAAAACTCCTCCTTCTGGGTCTACACTGATGAAGGGAGGAGCCAAAGTGTTACATTTGGAGTGACCCCACTAACAGGCAACATCAAGTCAAATGCATAAGTGATCGTTGGAGTAATAAGCTAGACATCGCAAGTTTACAAGGTCACTCCAGAAACTGTAGCGTCAGCACCCACCCATACATGACTAAAACACTGTATTGTTGCTGCATAGCAAAGATACAAAGATTAACTTTGGTGCTTTCAAAGATGTCATCCATTATAACCAAACTGTTACTGTGCAAACACTTTTGTTTTCCAACCATATCTGTGTTTTTGAAAGTAATTGTTAACTAAAAAGTGGCTAAATGCTAACTTTAGGTGTGTTCTGATGGTAGTAAACACACACACACACACACATATAACACAGTAGGCAGGCAGCAGAGGAGAAATCCTCATCTTCCTGTTATTTGGTGTGCATAATTTATAGCAGCCCCAGATCTCCCTGCTAATGACAGCACGCTGGGGCATCTGCAGCACAGCAGCAAGAGCAACAGAGCAAACTGGCATTGCTTGTGTGTGTGTGTGTGTGTGTGTGTGTGTGTGTGTGTGTGTGTGTGTGTGTGTGTTTGTTTGTGAGTGTGTCTCTGCCAGTACAATGTTCTGTTGAGACAGGAACAGTGAAACAAGACAAAGAGGCACACAGAGGATGTCTGAAATAGACATAGTAAATGCAACAAAGAGAAAAACTTTGAGTAGTGAGATTTCTCACTACACTGACACACACACACACACACACACACACACACAGACATTCCTATGTACTGATTCAGCTGATTCCTATGTACTGAAGCACTCAACTGTATGCTTTTTTTAATGCCATTTTGGACGTGCTTTAAAAAAAGCATAGGATCAGTAGGGTTTGATCCCCCCTTCGCTCTATTTTACATTAGCAGCCCGACCGATTAAGATAATTCATAAATATTGTCTCAACCACAAACAGCATGATCAGCTCACGTTGAGGAGCTGATGTGCAACTCTGCTCTGGACCTAAAGGTGTTTGCACCAAAGCCGCGACAAAATGTTAGAATTTGCTAAGACAGGTTTCACAGCTTGTTCAGGGTTGCAGCCTTGGATATGTTTCCTGTTGCAAGGATTGTTTTGACATGCTGCCCCAGAGCAAAAATCCCCTAATACTGGGATTTGGAGATCAATGCAACAGTGGTAATTCCCTCAAGCTGCTGAGCACACTGATGGGAGTGTAAGCTGGGAGACAGCAACGCAGGTTAGCCTGGAATAAAATGAACTGCTGATAAGGTCTTGAAGTTAGACATGCAAGCACGGCACAGGTCAGGCAGTGAGTATTGCTCATGTGGAGTAATGCCTCTGGGCTGATGGGTAAAAATGTAAATGGACTACACTTATGTAGCCCTCTTATGGGATAACCTGCAATCACACAACAGTAGCAGTCGATAACTCGAATCATGATACATATACAGACACAATACGTACTTAACTCATAATCATCTACACATTTTTTTCACGGTGATAGCATTACACTAAAGTAGTGATGGTGCTGTATCTAATTACTAAAGGAGGAGGGATATAAAAAGTTTCTGCAGTTGAGTTTATTCACCAATAGATCTCATAGTTATTCAGACTAACACCAGACTCCTGTCCTGTCCGAGCTTCACCTCTGTGCTTAACCTGCCATAACCTGCTTGACATTAACTACATCCCAGTCCTGTCAGTGGTGTTGACAAAAAGCATATGTTTACTTCAAGACTTTAAAACCTGTCTTGAAGTCATACAGGTATGGTGTATGACTTTAAGACAATACCTCTATTCTTTCACATTTTATCTTCCATGAAATGAGAGTGTTGCTTAAGAGAATGGCTGAACTTTTCAGGCACACATGAGCGTCATGAGACCAACATGTGCATGAGGACACTTGTACGGTGCTTTTTATATTTTTCGTGTCTCGGGTGTCTTCATTACAAGATGATAACTCACTGAAACTTTATAAAATAGACCTGCATTCAGTCATTAATTATTTTGCTGTTTCATTTCAGAGGATAGGACAGCAGTGGCTAGAGCAGGAAAAGGGGAGGAAGCAGAATCGAACCAGGACGTGACCTCCACGTACAGGGCATGCTGACAACAAGGCTGTCCACTTTCATCCTCCTCCTCTCTATCATGGTAGTGCATTTCCACAGTCCGTATAAATCTGGTTACGGTGCTTTCTCTGAGTCTTTCCCTTTCTTTCAAACATGTTAGTGTGTGCAAGTAGGCAGACAGGAGACAAAGGCTGTCACTCACTCTGCTTTTTTTAGATGGTAGTCACATTTTTTAACTACTTGCCTGACATGGTTCGCAGGGGTGTCATGGAAGGGGCCCTCGATGAACCTACCTTTTTTTTTCTTTGTTTTTTTTAGTCTCTATAATATGCTACTGTTGTAGTTCAACAAAAACTTTAACTGGACAACTGTTGTAGTCCCAGTTTACAAGCACTGTAGTAGAGTCGAATTACTGACAGAAGTATGTCTGCCTCTGTTACAGTAAGAGGTGACATGCCCCTCTTTCAGCTTGTTACTATCAGGTCATCTCCTGGTTGACATATTACTTATTAAGTGATTGATTAAACCCGTCAGCAAAAGGCTAACACATGTCAAACAGTGAAGACACTGTCACTTCAGCAGGGTTTTACTGTATGTTTGTACGATAGGAAACTTTTTTCGTGGTTCTTTAAAGTCCAGTTTCAGTTAGACTACTTTACATCAACCCAACAGGAAGTCAAATCAAGATTTCAAAAACAAACATTAAAGGAGTTAGACATGCAGCTACACGGACCTTACAGAGGAAATTTGTCATAATGAGAGTGGTTTAGACCTGCTCTTTTTTTGGAAAGTGATGTGGGATAACGACTGTTGTGATTAGGTGCCACATAAATAATATTTGATTGATTGATTGGTTGATTGATTGATTGACTGTTGTAGCCATTTCATTTTTAAAAAACACTGTTTATGATTTACATCCTTTTTTTAGTTGGATCTAAGCTGATTTAATTATTGGTTGGTATTTCTGACATCACCATTTTAGTCACATGATTATGGTCACGCGTCACGGCAGGTGGTGTCAGTCTGCCAGTGTGGGGCAGGTGAAGGCTGTGGTTTGATATAGTTTTTGACCGTACATGTTGGATTTGTTTAAGTTAAAACAGAAATGTCGTTATCTTTGAATCTAATTTTGATCCCAAGAAGCTTTAGTGGACATGTAAGTTTCTTTTTTGGAATAAATCTTTCAAATTTTATGTGACTGTTTTTTGGAGAGCGTGCGAACGCCACAAGCCACTCATTGCCACGACATTGACATTAACTCTTGTGATAGCTTCCTCCTGATTTCAGGGGATGTAAAGCAGAGTTATAGTTATTTTAGCATTGTTTGAATAACAGTGATGTGGTTTTAATAATTGTACGGGGTTGGCTGAGCTTGTAGTGATGGGGCTCAATCAGAAATCTACTTGGACAAACTATTGATGTAAATTTTCTCACTTTTGTTTATATTAATATTTACATAAACCCTGATTACACCTGTGATGACTCTGGGTTAGAAGAAGATAACTATAGAGAGATTTATAGAACAGTATTGAACCAGTTTTAAGACATAAATTTTGCTCTGGAGTGAATGTCTCAACGGCTCTGGCTATTATTAGCGGTTTTACAGTATGCGTGAATGTGGTATCTATTTGGAAACTCAAAGCATCAGATCCCTCCTCCCTCTCCGTACCTTCCCTCCTCTCCCTCTCTACCTCTGCTCCTCAGACTGACAGAAGAGCTGAACCTCACACTCTAGCTGGAGTCAGCTACAGCATGAGGAGAGAGACGGAAAAAGAGGCGAGAGAGTTAGAATGAGAGATCTGAGTTATGCAGCACTAGATACAGCATCAGTGACAGGAGGATGTTTGGGCATCAGATAAAGTTATTTTAGGAAGAAACTGTCAAAGTACCTCAAAAGAAATGCCAACAGCAATGATCAGAGAGGACCTACATCATGATTTAGCACAGGATGTGAGATAGGATTTGTTTTGTACTTTTACAGGGAGGTATGAGCTGTTCAAACACATTTACTATTTTTACTAATGATAGCAGTTTAAGTAGTGAGGGAGAGGCAGAAAGGCCTGTTGGGCTCAGTGGACACATATGTGGTTCCTGCAGTGACTTTACCACTGTATTCCTGAATGTGTATAAATAAAGTTTGTACACTTTTTTGTGGTCCGCACGGTGACACAGAATTAATCAGATCTGCAGTTTGCTTCATCAAGCTGGATTCTGTGTTGAGGTTGGTAGTTTGGCTCCCTCTTCTTCTCCCTGACTGTTCACGCAGTTTAACAACATTGGCGTTGCTTTTTCAGGGTTGGGCTTTTATTTTTTATCGTGCCAAAAGAGTTTATGGCTTCATAACTACTCACGCTGCGTAGGAGCTAAACTTAAAACTCTGCACAAATGTAGGCTGCTATAAAACTCAACAAACATGAATTATTCTCTGTATAAAAGTTTTAAAAAGCCGACATCATGTGATGTCTACATTCATAAAGCTTGTGCTAGTCAAAAAACAGAGCATGCAAGATAAACCATGTATCTTTAATGACTACTCTGTATTTTGCAAAAAGTCCCTAGCAAAAATAAATAACTAAATAAATGCAGTTATCAAAAGGAAGTTGAAGTTTTAAGTGCAGGCACGTCTGTATCTATGGTCCCTGTTTTTGTGTTCTACATGAGACTCTTTTATTCAGTCTCTTAATCTAGAAAAATGATTAAAGTTAACTCACCACAACATGCTGACCTGTATGGCTGCTGCACAGAGTAGTATGTTTATCTATTGCTTGCTGTTCCAGCTGCTGTTTATTTGACTTGCTTATAGTGTGCTTTTGCTTCAATAATAATAAAAAAACTATCAGGGAATCGCCCTCCACCACCTTCACCCAAGAGCGAATTCTTTCCCCAAACTTTACTGTAGCTGCATCTCCTGTACTTTGCTGTGGGTTCCTTATTATTCTGCTAAAAGGTGCATCTCTGTAGCTTGTGCTCTTGTTAAGCAACAGACTATAAATTATGGACACCCTCAGTGATATCCCCCATTGCTTTCTAATGCAGATTTTGAAGCCTATTGACAGAAATGCTGACTCAACCTTTCTTTTGGTTGACCTAGAAAGAGGCGAACAGACAAGAACAGGCTGTAAATGTGTTTATTCTTACTGTACAGATGGGCTGTTTTTTTATAGGCGTGTGTGCCTCTTCAGTCAGGCTCAAGTGGACACTCAAGGAACTGCAATCTCGAGCTCTTCCTCATTGGCGTAACTTTTAAAGCCTGGAGTTTGCTGCTTGGGTGCTACAAAAGCAACACGGACTTTGATTGACATCTGACATGAGTGATTGGGTTGTCCTTATCTTGCTTTCTGCTCAGCTTTTGGACAAAAGTTTTAGACAACGGGGAAATGGTCTCAGCTGCATCCTTAGCTTAAGCAGCATTTGATATGTCTGAACTAAAATAATAAGACCAGTACAGAAGTGAGTGCCTTCAGAGCCTGACTGTGATTGGCTATGTGGAGTGCTGTGCCATGAACACATCTATTCTGTTAGCTGGAGTTAACACTGTCTTAAATTTGCCTCCTCTAACTTATCGGCCAGGAGTCTTTCTCAGCTGGAGCTCATTTGCTTACATCCGGTTGAGTCAGTTTACTGCAATGACTGACAGTTCTGGGCAAAACTGTAAATGAAAAAGTGAGCACACTAAGTCGAATTTGTGCTGCGTGAGTTCTTCAAAACATCATCCCCACTGAACTGCAGCAGACTGAATCGAAGAGATTGAGCCGAGATATTTTCTACAAAGCATCCAGTGATACCAGGATCATCTGATGTTTGACAGCTTTACATTTGTGACCAAAGTGTTCCCTTAGCTTCACGGCTACTTTAAATTTTTGATGGTTTAGGTAAATACAAATACTCAGTGAGGAATCCCTCCACCACCCTCACCCCATGACTTCTACTTTACTGATAACTTACATAGCCAACGCTACACCCAAACAGCATTACCACCCTAAACAGAACCAGGCTCCTTTAATCGGTGCGGATTTACTACTTTCACTTTCCCCCTTAATGTCCACCCCATACATCCCCCCACCCTGACTGCAGATCTACATTATGTGAATCTAACAAACTATAAAAAGACACAGGTGTCAAAGCAACAGTAAACATCAGTGTTCTTATGAAGTCATGGAGGAAATGGATGCATCGCACTCTCTGCAGTGTCTAATTTTATTGAGTTTCTCCCTGTAAATCTGGCATTTAGTGTGTTTATGTGCACATTTATGTGTGTGTGTGTGTCCCAGCAACGGGTGAATCAGCTCAGAAGAGGGTATCTCCTTTCCTGAGCTTACCCCCGCCTGGAAAATGTGATTCAGACAGAAGCCATAATGCAACAGCACTGTCATAAATAAATGACTTGGTAATTTTAGCATGTCACAGAGGTAAAAATAGAAAGCAGTGTGGATGAAATGCAGAATGAACCCTTTGCTGAGACATTTGTGTGACTTGCTTCACCAAACAGACAGAAGTAGGCTGCACTGAAGTGATGTTGACTCTGGATTTGAAAACATTAAGATGAAAACTGTGTCTGTACAATGTTTTACCCTTTAAATCATCTAACAAAGATTATGATCACACTGAGCTTTTGTTTGGAAGGATCATATTATGCTTCAGTCAATACGACAACATTCCCCTCTCTGTTTCCCGCTCTTTTTTAACGTAGGAGTACAAAGGATGCTTTTATGATTTAGAAATTTGATTTTCAAGATTTACAAAAAAAAATTCTCCATTTATGCACAAGAATAAAGTTGTGATGAAATTAAAACCATAATGTCACTTTTTGAAGTCATGTTACAACAAGAATAAACTCATAGTAGAGTCATACTATTTCAAAAATAAGGCAGAAACTATTTCAAGATAAAGTCGGAGTGTTATTTTATGGTGAGCAGCCAGCTGTCTGTACCAAAATGAAGAATGTGCAGCATCTCTTTTAGGGTTAATTTTGGTGTCAAAACATTGAAGACAATGTACATAGGAACTTTGGTATTTCTTAATCTGGGCCCTCTTTTCCCATATGTTTGTGTGCTTGACTGATGGGGGCAACAGTTTCTAAAACTGGTCCAGTGTTGAGGGAGAGACAAGCAACCAGCCGCTGAGAAACAAGCTAAAATGTACTTTGACCGAGGAATTGCAACATCGTCAAACTTTGTCCACTATAGATGCTTTATTTCACCTCTGACAGGCTCAGATTCTTATTATAAATCTCAAGAATGGACTTGCAAGGATTTCTCTGACCTTTCACTTGTGCCGGTTTGTGTACAACTAAATCTCATTGGTGGAGATGTGTGGTTCTAAAGTCTCATGAGATCTCACTTGAAGACAACATAGGACATGTAAGTGAGTGACACCAGGACAGTCAGAGAGCTCAAGGACCAGAGCAGAGCTTGTCTGAGAGCAGTAATGGTCAGGTAAGGTAAGGATCTGAACCTGTTAGAGGTGAAATAAAGCACCTGTAGTGGACGCAGTTTGATGATGCACAATTCCTCTGTCAAACTACGTTTTAGCTCGTTTCTTGGCTGCCAAGAAACTGTTCCCCCCATCATTTAAACTCACAAACACATAGGAAAATAGGGCCCAGGATGAAAAATACCAAAGTTCCCATGTATATTGTCCTCAGTGTTTGGCACCTTAGCTCCGTGCTGTTACAAGTATGAGGACTCTAACAGGACTGAATCAAAAGCTGAGATTTTTTTATCCTGCTTTAAAACAGCAGTATATTGCTACTGTTGACTTAATTAATGATTCTAAATGTGATTTTATTACAACTTTAGTCTGGTGAGAAAATGAAGAAAACCTTGAAATCTCTAAAAATATAAATACCATTCTAAATCCCTGAATTTTTCCGCACATTTAGTTGAATGTTTACTGTCTACTTCCCTGTTAATGTTAACCACAGAAGCTTATCCAGCCGCTGATTGGTTAGAGTTACCATCTGGAGTGTCATCGAGTGAAAAGCAGAGATGAATTAAGCTGAATGCAGACCATCATGAAGACGTTTCCTAAACATTTGGGGTCATCTCTGAGAAAATGTTGCGAAAAGTAAGATACCTCAGAGCCCTTAAAGTGGCAAAGCAATAACTATACACATGAACCAAACTATCTTAAGCTTTGCTTCAGGTCAGCAACTTGACCTGACTCTGACATTCCCTGTACATGTGGTAAGAAAAGCGGGGTTAACTTCCAGTGTTGAGCCCCACCACGGCTTAAAAAAATAAACAATTAAAATAAACTAAAAGAGAGAGAGAGAGAGAGAGAGAGAGAGAGAGAGAGAGAGTAGGGCACAACTCCAACCTTTCAACTACAATCCTAGTTGATATTACTGCACCCAGCTCCAGCTCTCATAAATCAAAGTTAGTATAAAAGCACAAGTGCTTCAGTAATTTCTGTTCAGTTTTTAGGTGCACTGTAAGATCTCCACGGTTAAAAACTTGCAACAGGTTCAGGGACAGTGATTGTAACAGCTACCATCAGTCTGTCACTGCAGTGGACACTGGCACTGTCAGGGTTGTTTATCATATTTGATATAGAATAAAAGCTGGTTTGACATTTTACACTGGTGGATGGAGACAGAAAGTTAAGAAAGACGGTTACCTGGTTACCTTAAGAAAAGGTTGCTGTCCCTGATTCTCTCTCTCTCTTTCTCTCTCTGACACACACACACACACACACACACACACACACACACACACACACACACACACACACACATACACAGGCACTGCTGCCACTGGCTTTGCAGGCTACTTCACTGTAAGGATGTGGTGATGCAGATCTTCTTTGGTTTTTCATTACCTCTCCTGATCAGCACTTTTCTAATCATCACGAGGGACCTGCTGTTTGGGGCTAAACCTCAGAGATGTCTCAAACATGAACACTGTTTATCTCGTTATCAGTACCACACACACACACACACACACACACACACACACACACACACACACACACACACACACACACACACACACCATCACTCACTCCTTCTCTGCAAGGCTTCTTAATGCATTATGGGTGACCGGGTTATGGAGGAAGAAGTGTCAATCGGCTGGAGCGCATGCATGTGTTTACGTACGCTAAAACATTTGATGGACTACACACGCGCACGCGCACTCAGAGCGGTGACAGTCTCCTTACATCACCATGGCAGCTTCAGTGGCCCTTAGAGAGCAGTGTGAGTGTATAGCAGGTATAACGAAAAAGCCTTAAACTTACCGCAGTCCTCGCACAACACTCTTTCTACATCCTTCTTCAGCTCCGGCTCGCTGGTGTCAACAGGGGCGTAAGATGCCTTGAATACCAGGGGCTCGGCGGTCGGGTCCATGAAAAAGATATATCTATGGTCCTTCTCCACTGTGGTGCACGGGGCCTCGGAACCGAAGTCCCCGACGGTCACGAGCTGCTCCCTCTCGAGGCCGCCACTGTTGACGGGCCACACGTCCAGCACTTTGACATTCACACTGTAGGGCTCCCGGGAGGAGACGTTCTCCGGGGAGGAGCGCACCTCGCCCTCAATGACCACGGCGGATCGGTACGCCTGGTCCTGGAGGGAGTTGAGACTCGGGGCGTAACAGGCAAAGGAGACCCCGATGACCAGCATGGAGAAATGCACTGGATCAAGCCTCATGCCGTCAGCCTGTGCTGTGCTGCAGTGCTGCTGAGTGGCGGAGCGGGCTGGAAGAGAGAGACGGCGGCGAACGGGCTCCGGCAAAGCAGGCAGGGCAGAGCGGCAGACCTTGTAGAAGTGTCCATGCCATCTGTGTCTGCCGCTTCTTTCCCCATACGGCTGCTGGCCTCGGATGGGGAGACACACCAGCCTAAGAACCGGAAACGGCCCGCGTCTGCATGCTTAAAAATGTGATTGCTGCATTCTCCTTCACCAACCACCCTCCCCCTCTTATCTCCTCTTTTCCTGAAAGACAAAACAAGAGTCGTAAATTAGCCTCCCCTCGAATCCAGCTCTAAAACCTATCTCTCTCTCTCCCTCTCTTTCACTGCTTCCCCCCTCTCTCTTCAGCTAATAGGCTAGCATCGCATGGGTGGGCGCATTGCCTCTGTGGAAGGGAAAAAAGCAGTTTGCGCGTACAGGGGAATCACAAGAAACGATACGCACTCGACGCACACGCACACGCAAGGTCGGGTCTTTTATCTACTTATCCCAATCGTCGTAAGAGTCCCATCACCGAGAATCCGTTGGTGAGGAAGCGACATAAAAAAAGAGAACAGAAAAATCGGGGAGAAACAGACGGACAGGATGAGATAGCAGCGGTTATCCGGTGAGGCGATGCAACAGTAGCGCGCACCCTCCAGCCGCGTCCCCTGCGCCCCTCATCAAACGCGAGCGGCTTACGTGAGCAAACATCACCTGCCCGGTCACTGGCGTCGACTCGCCACGTCCTGCGCAAACACCCTAATGACCCGGGCACCCACCGGTGCACCGCCACAGACCCAACCAGCATGTGATCATGCCGGTCGACTGTGTAAAAGCTCTGCTGGTGGGTGTAAGAGTAGACACCCAATACGGAGTGCGTCTGTAGCCAAGCCCTGCACGGCACCCACTGTGGATCTCCAGTGCGCGAGGTGCAAGGGGGGCTATAGGCGACTACAACACACACTGCGGATAGTTGTTGCGATGACTAACGCTGCGATTTTCTCTCAATGGATTCCCAAGTATGTAGAGGAGAGCTGGAAGTTTCGACTTTTCAGCATTTTGCCCTTGGTACGCTGTCAGAAAGCACACTTAAACCCTGACATTCCCCACATTTTACTCGATGACACTTATTAAATTCTGCTTTGGGGTACAATAACAACACGTGGAAGATTAACCCAACCTGTGGGTAATGAGCTGAAAGGAATTGCACAAATATTTTGCCAATCTTGCTCAGCTACAGCTTGTAAAATCACTTTTCTCCTGAGCAGATCTCCACCAATGAAACGTAAGCTTTGTATATGCTCATACTTTTTTATGACCACAAGTAACCCCTCCTCCCACCAAGCAAACCAGTCACTGCCTCCATCTATGTATCCATCAATCAGGCCATTCATAAGATTTGCCTTTCCTCCTCTGTCAAGAGCTGTGCGCCCTTCGCTAGAGGTCAGATAAGCCTTTCATTGTCCGTGCTGAGAAAGGGATAAAACATAATGTCATGTAGGGGACAAGTGGAGCATTTTTTTAACAGTAGATGACTCAGATGATAAAGAAAAATGCATGAGGGGCTGTTTTATCACAGCATGCACCTAGATCACGGCCTCACTCACACATTTCCCCATCTACAGGGTCATGACAGGGACCAGTCCTCGTCCATGGTTCCAAAAGGTTTGACAGGTTTACTGCTATGTCCCAACAGGCCAATCACATGAAACCTCATATAGACCGAAGGCCACAGCCAGATGGCTTCAATGAAGGTCTGCCATTTCACTCCATGTATCCTTTATCTCTTTAATACATTACCTCAGGACTCAAAGAGTTATCATCTTTCACAGGTAAGTAAAGCCTCACTTTCACCCCTGTGTTTTAGCCATGGTATTTGCTGAGGTTTAGATTTTCTCCTCATTGTACCCTCAAATGTTGAGGCTCTACATGGCTGCGATTGTGTCATGAAATCACCTCAAAAACTCTCTTCTGTATTTTATCCAACCCCCAAAATCTCAGGTTGTCCCGTCATCGTAAGCCCTTGTGTTTATTAGATATCTTTCAAAGACCTTGCACAAGATTCAAGGATTCCTGATCAAGCCCCAAAGTAAATAATTAGTTGACAAAGCAAAGGGGGGTAGAACAGAATCCTGCTGACTGACACAGAGGACTGCCATAAAAGATCTGCATAAATCCCCTGATACTCATACTGAACCTGTAGGATTGATCAGAAATCCTGTTTTTTCATAATGCGCCAGCATTTCAAGAAGATTTTAATGAGGGCATTTTGATGACCTCTTAAATTACTCTCCATTGGTGATGCTACAAGGAAGTTATCTTGTTGAAAACTGTTTGTTACTGAATACCAGAACATGTCACTGCACACCCTCCACATTTCTACACCGATAAATATTACTCCTGTATAAACTGCATTTTATACCCCGACTCCATTATTGCACATGTATGTACAATAAAGAAAAATACAGGCTCACTGAAATTGTAAGCCCCACCTCATTCTGCCAGGTTGAGTCATATAAAGTAACGTTAAAAAATTAACAATGAGTGTCAAAACAGAAAAGACAGGTCTAATAATAATTCTGTTTTTAATTTCACTGCATGTGATGCTTGTGAGAATCAGAGGACTTGCTTTCTGGGACGTCAGCTACTATATGGCCTTAAGCAGGAACTTCAGACAGAAGAAACAAGAGTAGCGCAAGGAGTTTGCCGGTAAATGTTTTTATTTCAAAAATTTTACATTGAAAAAAAATAGATCCATTTTATCAATGAACTTATTTTATTCTGCCGATAGTGTGTTTGTGTTTATGTGTGTGTGTGTATATATATATATACTGTATATATATATAATATATATATATATACATACTGTATATATATATATATATATATATATACATATATACTGTATATATATATATATACTGTATATACAGTATATATATATATATATAAACACACACACACCTTCTCATTCAATGTCTTTTTAAAAAAAAATTATATGACTATTTACATTGTAGATTATCACTGAAGGCATCGAAACTATGAATGAACACTTGTAGAATTTTGTACTTATAAAAAAGTGTGAAATATTTTGTTATGTTACATTTTGTTATGTTACAGCCTTATTCCAAAATGGATCAAATTCCCCTTTTCCCTCAAAAATTCTACACAAAATGCCCCATAATGACATAACGAAAAACTTTTTTTAGAACATTTTGCAAATTTATTAAAAATAAGAACACTCAAATGTTGCATATACATAAGTATTCACACCCTTTACTCAGTACTTGGTTGAAGCACCTTTGGCAGCGATTACAGCCTCCAGTCTTCTTGTGTATGATGCAACAAGCTTGGCACACCTGGATTTGGGGAGTTTTTCCCCATTCTTCCTTGGACATCCTCTCAAGCTCAGTGAGGTTGGATGGGCAGCATCGGTGCACAGCTACTTTCAGGTCTTTCCAAAGATGTTCAATCAGGTTCAAGTCTGGGCTCTGGCTGGGCCACTCAAGGACATTCAGACACTAGTCCTGAAGCCACTCCTTTGTCTTCTTGGCTGTGTGCTTAGGGTCATTGTCATGCTGGAAGATGAAGCGTCGTCCCAGTAGAAGGTCTCAAGTGCTCTGGAGCAGGTTTTCATCTAGGATTTCGATGTACTTAGCTGCATTCATTTTTCCCTTGATCCTGACAAGTCTCCCAGTTCCTGCTGCTGAAAAACATCCCCACAGCATGATGCTGCCACCACCATGCTTCACTGTAGGGATGGTATTGGCGAGGTGGTGAGCGGTGCCTGGTTTCCTCCAGACATGACGCTTGGCATTCAGGCCAAAGAGTTCGTTCTTCATTTCATCAGACCAGAGAATTTCTCCTGGTCTGTGAGTCCTTCAGGTGCCTTCTAGCAAAGTCCAAGCGGGCGGTCATGTGCTTTTTACTGAGGAGTGGCTTCTGTCTGGCCACTCTATCATAAATGCCTGACTGGTGGAGTGCTGCAGAGATGGTGGTCCTTCTTTAGGGTTCTCCCATCTCCTAAGAAGAACGCTGTCAGAGTGACCATCGGGTTCTTGGTCACCTCCCTGACCAAGGCCCTTCTCCCCCCGCTTGCTCATTTTGGCTGGGCGGCCAGCTCTAGGAAGAGTCCTGGTGGTTCCAAACGTCTTCCATTTCTTAATGATGGAAATCACTGTGCTTTTTGGGATCTTCAATGCAGCAGATATTTTTCTGTAACTTTCCTCTGATCTGTGCGCCGATACAACCCTGTTTCGGAGGTCTACAGACAATTCTTTCAATTTCATGGCTTGGTTTGTGCTCTGACGTGCTCAGTCAGCTGTGGGATCGTATATAGACAGGTGTGGCTTTCCAAATCATGTCCAATCAGCTGAATTTGCCACAGGTGGACTGCAATCAAGTTGGAGGAACATTTCAAGGCTGATCAGTGGAAACAGGATGCACCTGAGCTCAATTTTGAGTTTTATAGCAAAGGGTGTGAATACTTATGTATACGCAACATTTGAGTGTCCTATTTTTAATGAATTTGCAAAATGTTCTGAAAAGGTTTTGGCTTTGTCATTATGGGGTATTTTGTGTAGAATTTTTGAGGGAAAAAATGACTTTGATCCATTTTGGAATAAGGCTGTAACATAACAAAATGTGGAAAAAGTGAAGTGGTATGAATACTTTACGGATGCACACACACACACTCTCTCTCTCTCTCTCTATCAAATAGATAGACAGATGGACAGACAGACAGATAGACAGATATGGTCATTTGCTTTGCTCTTTTCAATGAAGACCTCCTAAAAAACCATTGAGTAACAATGGCCTTAGTATGCCCTGAATAGTAATGAATCATGATTTTTCTCAGTGTATCAGCCCCCTCCCACACAGCCATCATGTACTATTCATTGAGAAACTCTTGTATTCCCCTGCGCTCTCTCACACCACTGGGACTGTCTAAGTTCGCTGTCCGTGGTGCTGAAAGTCGCATATAACTGTCCATGGTGCTGAAACACCCATCCCAATAACAGGCACACAGATTTTGGCTCCTCTTTAGCCTGTTCTCCCTCCTTAGTCAGTGTGCAGGAACATCTAAGTCACACGAGGATAAGCTTGTATGTTTATCATGTGACCATGGAGTACCACTACACATATTAGGCTCCTTTGTGCATTGATACAGTATGGTACAGTTTGACTTTGCCGGTCACTTGTATTTACCAGGAGTCATAAGAGTGTAGTTGTTATTTTGTAGAGAGGTGCTAAGGCTGTGTGAGTGCATCCTTTATTTGTTCTGAGCTGCAAAATGATAAAAGGAAAAAGCTTCCCTTTTTAATTCGTCTGACCAATCCTGACTTTTTATTCTTCTTCTTTGAGTTTATCTTTAAAAGTAGACTAAGTTTATGTGAAAAGGAGATAGACAGTCATCTCTGATGGTTGCCGTTTTTACCGCAGATCTTCATGCTGGATTAGGGTTTGAGACTTAACTTTCACGAACATTTTTAAACTACACCAAAGGTCGAAGTCAACTCCTGCCGAACACTGCAAAACGGCGTTTTTGTCTTGAACGCAGCCCGCTTGTAGTAGCATTACTTTACAGTTGCTTTCATTTTTTTCATCCTCTTCTTTCTCGTCTCGCGATAGAGCGGCGGAGCGGTTTGACGGGCAGTCGAGGTTGCAGCAGGCAGAGGGAGACGGTGGAAGGTAAAGCAGGGAGGCAGCATCATGGCGGACAGAGACAGTGGCAGTGACCACGGAGGGCCCACCGCAGGCCCCGGCTCGCTGCCCCCGGGTGCGATGGGTGCCATGTCCCGGCTGCAGCACGACACCGAGGAGCTCGCCTCCAAGCGCGTCGACATCCAGAACAAGCGCTTTTACCTTGATGTAAAACAGAATGTTAAAGGCCGCTTCCTAAAGATAGCCGAGGTCGGAGCTGGGGGAAACAAGAGCCGCCTCACTCTCTCCATGTCGGTTGCCGTGGAGTTCCGCGATTATCTCGGGGACTTTATCGAACATTACGCCCAGCTGGGCCCAACTAACCCGGACATGGTGCAGGATGAGCCCCGGCGAGCGCTCAAGAGCGAATTCCTAGTGCGGGAGAATCGGAAATATTATATGGATCTGAAAGAGAACCAGAGGGGGCGGTTCCTGAGGATCCGACAGACCGTTAACCGGGGGCCCGGATTGGGAAGCGCGCAAGGCCAGACTATTGCTCTGCCAGCGCAGGGTCTCATCGAGTTCCGCGACGCTTTGGCCAAACTCATTGACGACTACGGCGTGGACGAGGAGCCGGCGGAGCTCCCGGAGGGCACCTCGCTCACGGTCGACAACAAGCGCTTCTTCTTTGACGTGGGCTCCAATAAGTACGGGGTCTTCATGCGGGTCAGCGAGGTGAAGCCCACGTACCGGAACTCCATTACGGTTCCGTGCAAAGTATGGTCCAAATTCGGCAACACCTTCTGTAAATACGCGGAGGAGATGAGGAAGATCCAGGAGAGGAGTAGAGAGAAACGGGCCTCCGAACTGCTATCTGAGGGCCCACACGGTGGAGATGAGGCCGACGATGACTGACGCGGATTTTAAAAGAGCAGAAATGAAACAGCAAAGACAAAACTGAACTCTGAGTAAACGAGACTTTTAACTGTAAAATAGAAAGAGAGAGAATTTCCAAGGGAATCACCCCACACACAACCTCCACAGACATGGCAGCACCTCTGCTGTCTCCTCGCTCATTTTACTGGATGTCACCCCACTTACCACCCATGAAACAGTAAGCCGCTGCTATCAAGGATTGAATTGTAAGATATGAACTGTTTCCTACTTGATTTAAATGACAATGAAAAGAGTGTTTATATCTCTATCAAATGACAGATTTTGCACACATCAAAGCTATTTCAAAAAAAAATGTTGAAATGTTTTCAAACTGGTCATATGCTAAGTTTTAATCAAACATAAAAACAGAGGTCTATTATATAAATGACAGTCTTCATGTAGAACGAACATTTGACATCAGCACAAAGAGAATATATTGTAGACTTTATGAAACCAAAACCTGAAACCAGATATATAGTTTATTATAAGGTACGCAGAATTAATATGAAAGCACTCAAAAAGTGTATGAATTGCAAAAACGCAGCACCACAGGCCTGTAAACACCTGTCAGCATGCGTACAAAATCATGTTCGAAAGAAGTGGCAAAAGTGGGCTATCGTCTTTAATGTGACCTTAAACATAGTGGGCTGAAGAAAGCTCTCCTCTTGTGCTATAAAAGAAAGGTCGAGATTAAAAAAAAAAGAATAATCGCCTATTTTGTGCGCCTCAAACAAATGGGATAAATCTATTTCTGAGCTACTTTATTAAATATCAACCCTCTTGCACCATGTCCATATAAACTTTAATGAAAAAAGTGCTAACTTAGATGTAATAATTATGATTTTGTGAATCAGCTGTAAAAAATCCTTATTAAGATACCCACGTTTTCTGTGGGTTAAGTTTTTTTCTTTGTTACTTTGTTGTTTTTTTTCCTCTGGGGGGTGGGGGATGCAAAAGGATAAGGTCCACTTGTGGGAGCGCCAGGCGTGGAAACAAAAAAAAAAAAAGATGCGTCAGCGCAGAGCGCGGCAAGGCAATGCATCCTCTCTGACGTCATTACGACCCGTGCCTTATACACTCCACTCGTTTACGTGTTCTCACGTGGATGGTCTGTGACCTCGACCGCTGTACGTTTTCATTTACGAGTGCTGTTATGTAGGCCGAAATCTATTCACACCAGGGCTGCGGAATCACATCCCTGGGGTGCGAGGAACACGGGTGGAAAAGTAAGCTGAAGGCTGCTGTTGGAGCATGATGATAGTGGACAGAAACAGAGCTCCAAGCTGGATCAGGCCCTTCAGAAAGAGGAGGCGCTACTGTTCAAACAGAAACTTTGGAAACTAGAGGGGGGAAATCGGGGGGCTCTGTGTGAAAGCACCCTGTACCCCCGGTAACTCTAGCAGCAGCCTTGGCCTGGTTGCCTCTCACAGAGTCAGAATGTCTCTCTGGGACAGAAGAATGACCCAGGATGTACTGCCTGTGGCAGCACTGGGTGTGTGGAGGCCAAGTACACTATATGCACCATGATGTAAAAAAAATACAGCAACAACAAAAAAGCGTAATCAGGAGTGGCTGGATGAGGCTTTTCGTCAGAGTTGAGATGGATGCTGTTATAGGGCCAGGCAGTCAGCCAGCCTAGCGGGCCAGCCGGCCAGTTTCATGCCGTCAGTCTGAGTGCAATCCAGTGCATGTAGAGGTCTCTCAGTGCCGGACTAAGGCAGTTTCTATCTCTTTATGGTGCTACAGCCCCTTTATTGCTCCATGGGGGCCTCGCAGTTCAAAATATGTCACTTTTGCATTATTTTTTTCTAATCCTCTTTTTTTTTCTTCAAAGTTTTTTCTCCTCATTTTGTTGTCCACAAGGTGTCAGGTTTCTGCCCCCCAGGCTGAGAGGAAGCCGCAGACTTGTGTAGGACATTTCATATTAGTGTGCAATATTGTGTGCGTGCCAATAGTGGCATTGTATCACGTGTATAGACTATAAAAAAGACGAAAAATGTATAGGCTATGTGATCAGTAGACATTCGAAAGCATGATGATAAGGTTGATGCACCTGCATTTTATTTCCAAAATGTGAAGTCTTTCTTCTCATGCACTTTCTCAAAAATGAAAAAAATCAGACTAGTAGTGAGTTATTTCCTGTCATGTTCTGTAAACCAGTAGGCTGCCTCGTTTGTCTCTCAGTATGCTTAGACTAGGTTGGGTGTTTTACGTCCCCCTACAAGAAAAACCCTTTCCTCCATCATTCCTCCACAAACATCCACAAACAACACAAACAATAATGAATTCTTAACTATCCCCTAATCAGCCTCACTGCAGAGGCCCACACCGACATTACATAGTATCATAGAAGCTCCAGTCTAGTGGTGGCTTAAACACACATGCACACTGTCTTTCCCCGTTTAGGCCTCCTGTTGCTCTCTGTGCGTTTGGAGGCTGAATGGTTTTCTGGAGGTGCACAGGGTTCCCTGTCAGTGGAAGTCTATAAACAGTGAGGAAGCTGAGCTCTCTTGCCCACCGCAGAACAGGTGAACTGCATTAGACTTTGGCTTACCTGCAGTTCAGCATGAGTTAAGCAATCATGATTGAACCAAGGACACCTACAAAAAGACATTTGTCATATTGACATTGAGAATCACAATCCTGGTCTCTAATCCTGTCAGACGCACAGTCTTTTCCTTGTCTGTGACCCTCTCAACCTCTAGGCTCCCTCTGTTGTGAGTTTTAACAAATAATGCCCCCAAGTGGCTATTTCATCCATCAGCTATATTTAAAGCAGGTTGGCCTACACCACTTAATGCGACTGAGCTGGTCAAAGGCCATGTCAGAGTCGCATGCCATCAAGGTGGCATGATGAGGAAACACAGACTGCATGGACAGCAGCTTAAGAGACCTCAGCTGGATAAAAGCTGCTAATGTTGTTACAGCCTGGGCCTGCAAGACATACGAGATATCTGAGGCTAGGCTACAGTGGAATGCACTCTTGAGCAAAATCAGAATCAGAAGTCTTTTAAATCCTCGCCTGTAAATGTCGATCTGTGTTTGATTGGGCATGCCTGGAGTGGCAAGGCCAAGAAAAAAGGTCAATCTGTTCTACGCAGGACTTTTTGGCTCAGGTTTGTCTCGGTGTTTTGGTGAAAGGCCTTATGAAGCCTGGCACTGCACTGTGGGGGGGCTTACCAGCAGCAGCCAAGCACGACCTACTGACCCGTCAGTCAGACAGAGCCAGTTAATACTTTTTTTCTTGACGACAAGGAGGAGAAATTTCTCTCCCCTCTTGCAGAAATGACTATATCTCTTCAAACTGCCCTACAAACTATTTAAACACTATTTCCATCGAACCTACATTCAAGCCACCAATGACTATGTGCCCGACAAAGCACATCTGAGGTCGTTCTGAGTTCATCTAGAGTTCAACATGAATCTGGACTTTCTTTGTGATTCTGCACTTACTCTCCAAAGTGTCCTAGCTTTAGCTTGATTCAATTCAGGCCTCTCGGAGGCTCATGCTACATGAAGACTGGAAAAACAATTCTTCCTCTCTCTCTTTCTCTTACGGCCAAATATAAGGAGAGCCTAAACCTGCTCATAGTTCACTTTTTGAATGCCTCACTCGATGAAACGCACACATTTTCTTAACTATTAAAAGACGTGTCTTGTTTTGTTTAAGACTGTATTTGGCAGGTGCTACTGGGTCAGTTGTGTTTTTAGTGCAGAATGATTGTGTTGTGTATCATGACTTGTCAATTTAGGAAAGTAGCTTTATCTAAATTACAGAGGAGGGGTGGGTACTTGTAATTTTGCTGAAAACAATGTGATGGAATGTGATTTCTCGACTTTTGAGACCTCACCCAGTGTCACAGCCAAACCTGGAGTGACCTTGCAGCCATGTTATAACCACATTATATCATCATCCATTTGTGGGACTCAAATGCGAAATGGTTTGATGAAAAAAGAAGCTTTTTTCCCTGTATGAAGCGCTAGTGGTCAAGCTCGATATGGTTGAAGGTGCACTGAAGCATAGATGACAATTATGTCTTGATTTATTATACAGCAGTAGCCATCGTAGCAATCCCCAATCATGATCTCTGTGATCACCGCAGGGTCCATCATGTCCCATTTTATTTGAAAATGTTACTCTTTTGTTGGTGAAACCATACATAGTCAGACCATTTCTTGCATTTGATTGACAGGAATAATAATAATAAAAAATCAAATTGTAGGTGTAACTCTAAATGCAGCAGTAGTTACTTGTTGCATGCACTCATAGTCAGGTTGCTATGATGGCTGCGGTTGTAGGTGCTTTGTTTGCTTGTTCCCTGTGTCTTGAAGAGGGGGATTATACTTCCTTCTATGTTTCTGACTGCACTTTAACAGCCACAAGTACATGACTGATAACAGCAGATTTACGCTTATTAAATGTGGGTGTGCAAGTATTGTCTTGAAACAAGTTTAACTTCCATAAGGTGTTTAAGACAACAAAGTCTGCTCTGCTTTTGGTTACAGTGTTGTAGTCGTTCATTGGCCATTCAGAGTTCTTGGTTAATCACACAGCCAATTGCAGCCTCTGGTCAAAGCCAAGCACTTTGTGACTCACCACCTACCACCGACAGAGGAGCTCATTCAGCACGCTTTCTGTTTGCACACACACACACAGACACACACACAGACACACACACACACACACACACACACACACACACACACACACACACAGAGTTGTAGGGTCCATCATGTTTGCAGACTGTATAGGCTACTGTTGTGTTTAGCTGTGAGGAAGTTCTTTCAAATGATGTGTGGAGATGTTGGGAAATGGATCATGGATTTTAAGGGATGGGGTCAATGCACAATGAACATATCCCATGTCACCATTCGGTCTAAATCCCTTTACCATCCCCATATGAGATAATATGTTGTATCTTTCAAAAATATTTTATCTGTGGTGTGTGTGTATATATATAAATATATATATGGTTTGTTATATATGATGCTCCTCCTTTCAGAAAAAATATAACACGTAAACAGGAAAAACATATTGCTGTTTTTTTTCCTTTGTATTTTATACTTACAGAAAGCATTGAATAAAATGGATAAATACTTGCACTTTAGATATATTAAGAAAATAAAAATCTGCATATTATTTTTGATAGGGATCTCACATTCAAAGAGTATAAATTACAGGCTTTGTGACTATTGCTGGACAGAGATGTATTGAGTTCTACTTATTGAAGTATATTTTGTCTGTGTGTCAGAAGGTTTACTAAAGTAAATTGCATGATAAAGTAGTGCTACACCGGTATTGTTCTTTTTTTAGTTGGTAAAAATGTCTGAAAACTGTGATAACAACCCTCTTGTATCATGTTTAATCTCTCCTCACCCCTCCTAAAATATTTCTTACTGAAATATGGCCTTTCCTGACTACATGACGATGGTGCTTACTTTGGCTTCGACATCAAGCTCATTCTTTACATCTCAACATCATCATAACTCGCGTCCTTACACTTCATTACTTTCTGTTATGTACTCTCACTACCTTATTAAATTTCCGTTGATGGCAAAAAAGCTGTGCTGTTTTGTACATTGTTGTTTGTTTTAATGTTTGGGGAGCCTTGTTGTCTGAAAAATGACTAATCGCGCAATAAAAGGTCATTCCACATATTCCTGTCTTTGCACAACTGTCTCAACTCTCCAATCAAACAGTTTAATCAGGGAATGATTACACTGATCAATATAAGGAGCTTGTATCAGTGGATGTTAAAATTACCCATGTTTAATTAATCCAAAAGTAAAAATAATACACACAAAGGTGAAAGCATGTGAGTCGATCAGATTTTAAACAGTCTTCCAGCTAGGGTTAGGGTTAAGGTTGAAAGGTCAAGAGCCAGTTTGTTGCTTCTGTAGTTCAGAAAATTTTTTCACAGCAAACCATGACTTGTTGTCAGTCAGGGGAGGATTTTTAAGTGTAAAATTAAATTTGACCAGCTACTGTGGCTCAAATGTTGTACACGGGATATTTGCTTGGATGTGGGGTTTAAAGATGAGCAGATCAGGCAATTTTTAAAAATTTTTTTATTCATAACTCAAGAAACTTTTGACCGTACAGCATCGACACTGTGGTAAGTAAAGTGGATGAGGTTTGATCTGATAAATACAGCCTTGTTTTTTTTGTAGCCTTTTCATCTTTACCTGCTCAAACTAATGCATTAACTTAAAGGAGAACTAAATTTCCGATCATTTTTAGGTACATTTTGACTCAAGCTTCTGTGTAGCGTGATTACAGCCGGGGTCATTTTGGAAGCAGAAATAAATCAGGGTGCCACTTTGCAAAGAAAATGATGGCGGTAGAAAGACGACTGAAATACTCAACTCAGGTACAGTTTGATTTGAGTAGAAGTAAAAACGACCTCTTACTCTTTCTCTGCCCCCAAAGAGAGGACAAAGAACATTTTCACGCACTAGTTATTGTTATATATTCAGGGGTATTAATGTGACAACTTCATGTAGTTATTGAAGTTACTGAAGAGTGAAGTTACTGAATATTTCTGCATGTCTAACTCGAACTTGTTATAATGAACCAAAATGTGGACCTTCTGACCAAAACATCCTGTTGAGGTTTATATTGGTCCTGTCATATCATTGCAGTGTAATTTAAGCGTAATGAGATATTATGACTAGAACTACGACAAATCACAGGGTTTTAGTATTTTGTGTGGATGTCATTCAATCATCCAACAGTTGTTAATTTTTTAACTTCTTTTTTTTTTCTATAAATCAGTAAGTGATGCTTGTAAAATGTAAAGAAGTGCAACAGTCTCCATGGAAATACTGAAGTAACATCATGGGTTTTATGAACTACTCAAAATGAATACAACTACATGGAAGAACCTTCTTAAATAGAGACAGGAGTGAATATACGTATTCATCTCTAGGACGTAGCTATGCTAAAATTTTTCTGACCAGCTTTGTTTCTGACTCTAAAATATTATCAGATGATTCTTATTCAATTTTTCAACCTCTTTTTGGATTGCATTTGTATTTGGATAAAGACTTTTTTTAAATTAATTAATTAATTTTTTAATAAACACACTTTAAACAAATTTGAGGCATTAACCTGAAAAGTTAAAGCAAAGCTCACCTTCCTTTGTTAAACTCAATAGGAATAAATAACTTATGTTGATATTGGGAAGGAACTTCAAGTGACTCACGCAACAGGATAGCCCAGCCAGGCTAGCGTTGAACTGTCCCTCGTTGATAAAACAGTCCAAAGTGAAGTGGTGCGCACATACATAAAGATATTTTGGAAGTGCCGCGGGTACATTCCCATTATAAATAAAATCCACCCATTGAGTCCTCAAATCCTCCGACGAGGGAGTTTTCAAAAGAGTTTTGTGCTCGTTTGTGCAGCCAACAACAGAGCAAATGCTGCCTCTTTTTCAGATCGTACTTCCGCCATGGTTCTAACCGGAGCTATGCGAGCGAGCGGCCGGAAATAATGGCGCTGTTTTGATAATTTTGTGGGCAGGGCAGTGGGCGGCTCCATGGGCAGTACCATCAAGCCACCAGCACTGACATGACGTCATGTCAGTGGAGTTTTCAGAACGGCCGGTGTTATGCCGTAGAATGCACCCCCTGCATTCCATCCACTCGTTAGCTTCTTAAAGTGGAAGAAAATGATGTCATTTTTTAAAAACTACGTGTATTTGATCGTGACAACTTTCGTTCTGTTTTTATGTGTCTCAAAAATGCAAATACGGAGGTGTGCTTGGGTATATAAATTGTACAGTAAGCTGTCAAGCTAGCGAACATTATATTTTCGGGACAGCAAATATTTGAATCAGAGGGCTATTTTTTCAGCTTATCTGAATAGCCTGAATGAAATTATTAAAGGCACACGCTTTTGATTTCGTCCAATGGTAAGGAAAACTTGGATTATTTTCGCCTTCTTAAGTACTTTCAACCACGCTCCCATCGGGGGTGCATTCTACGGCACAACACCTGCTCTGAGCACACAGTTCCTAAATATGGAGATAACTTAAAAACGACTGGATGGAATTTTTTCGAACTTGGGGGGATTGTAGCGGTTTTCTATCCCTGATATGCACCCCCCTCCCGTTAACAAAGTCAGTTTTTCATGCCATGGCCCCTTCAATTAAATAATATCCTGTTTCTCGAGTTATTGCCCACATATGTCCCAGATTTTGTCCTCACATAGATTTGATCATTTTTTCTCTGCATAATGAAGAGGATCTGATGTTTACATCTACACTGCATGGAAAAAAGTGTTGTTTTGCTGTCATCCGTGAGGCATGGCCCCCAAAGACACTCTGCTATGGCAGTACCTATTGTTTGTTCAACCTAGTTCTTGTCCCATTTTCAGCCTGAAAAAGGCAAATTCAACAAAATCAGTGCCCCATTATGATATTTCCCCAGCAACTGTAATGGTTATATCTCAAGACCAGTGGTTCTCATGGAAACTGTAACTGCTTAGCCCTTTGCCATACTGAAGTGGGCAGGGTTGTTTGAAAGCCAAGAGACAGAGCTCAGCTTAGTGCATCCCACGAGACATGAGAACAATTCACAGCTCTTCATTAGCATGCATGACGTGAAGATGAACGGTCAGTGTTATCTGCAAACAAAAGTGTCTGTATGGGAAATCATTTTTAAGCAACCTGCCTGACTTATCCAGACTTGAAGTTTTGATCAGGTAACCACAGCTTATTATGTCACCATATCTACCTGTTGCAGTCCAAAAAGACTTAAATGTTTGGGGGTGTATAGAAAACATGGTCTTCAACAGTCACTACACAGTGCAAAGATGTGTGGGTATTTAATGTCCAGTGATTCAGTGTGATGTAAATGTCAGTGTCTTTGAATTACTTCTCAGTAATCAGCAATCCTCACTAAAAGTGTTTATTTACTCATGTTGGAAGCGCAGTATTTTGTCTGTACTGAATCAGAAAAAACTCTTCACACAAAGTAAGTTGATTGTGGCATCCCTGTTTACAAAGAACGATACAGAACCACCAGAGTTATCTGTATAAAAGTTTACTTTATGAAGCACGGACTAAATATTCAGTAAATATGTCCTTTACATAGTGTGAGCATCCTGTCAAAAAGTTCAGATATACAAAAAAAAGACAGATCCAATGCTGACATCAAAGTGCCAAAGTTGACTTTTTTTTTTAAATGGAACGTAACAATCAACAAGTTTGTTTTCCTATAATACAGCACAGGCCTACCCTAAAACATCGGGGAACAATGGTTATCACAACAGCCAAAGTGACTATAGGGGAAGTCTCCCTGTAAGAAAGCAGATATTTGTCCTAACAATACAGCTTTATAAAACGCTTCTTTCTCTTTGAAACTTCTGCCCTTCTTCAGCATTTTGGTATGTACAAGTTTTCAGTCGCAGGATTCCAGCTGTGAGTTCAGGTTTCCAGCTCAGCCCCAGGAAGATCCAGGTTCCTTCAGTAACTTTATATATGATACGGAAAGTAGCAGAAGTGCTGTAACCAGAGCTGTAGTTACTGTTCATACTGTCCATATCCACAGCTCCGGTTCACCTACCTCTGGGCCCCGCTGAGGCAGAGGGGCTACTATACTAATTGGTCTACAGTTGTGTCAAATTACAAAGAGAAAAGGTGTGTGTTTTGTGTGAGTTTGGGTGGGTTGGAATCAATTAAGGTGCTCACAAACCCCTCCCTTGACATCCACTCCCTCATATTATATCAGTCCTCCAGTTAACACAGGCTCATGATGATGTGTTCGTTCTCTGGCTCAGGTTGTTTCTCTGTCCTTATGGAAAATGTGTGTAGGGTTTTTGTTTTTCTTGCTCTTGGCTGACAAGGACAGTCCTCTTAAGAAAACCGAACCGATGCCCTCTTCTTAGAAAAACAAGAAGGCTTGTGTCCTCCTTCGCCTCACTCATGGAGGATGTTTTGATGGCTACCTTGCTGGTGCAGTTTTGCTGCTGTTTTCCTCTCTATCACAGTGTAGTGACAGGTGTCTCGACTTGCTCACATGAACCTGAAACTGTTCTGCTGTTGCACTCTCTGAAATCTGAAATCAAGGCCAGCTATGTCAGAAAGGCTGGCAGTATATAAGGAATATACCAGCATACTAGTTAATAATGCTCAATATAGGACCAAACAAGCTAGGCGAGCTACATCTAAGAGCTTTAAAACAGAGCGAGATCAAAACGGGTCTGTTCAAGAATTAAAGGTGCATTTTGACAGAGAAAGACAGCTGCTTATGACTGAGGATGTTTGTGATTAATCCAGGCCTGTTCAGTAATGTTCCCCAGCAACACTCAATAAACTCTTGTGACAAAATCACGATGCTGCTGTATTTACTTCATGTTTCCTACAGCTTCAACACATCTGTGCACACACACACACACACACACACACACTAACTGACCCACTCATACTGTGAACATCAAATCACTCACTCCTCCTGAATGTCACTCTTCAGACACCTCGCATCTAACCATGTGTTGTTATATTTCACCTCGGTCGGCTCAGCTGTTGTATTCATTAAAACACACAAAGATTTCATTCAGCCTTCCCTTCAGTTCTACCATGAGTTGGAAAATAAGCGACAATGTGACCAATTGAAGTGGTATCCTAAAAACACATGAACAGATTGGGGATATCTGTGAAACGTAAATGACTGACACACTCCAAAATCCCTCAAGGTGCCTCTAAATAAGGCACTCAACCTCCACTTCCTGTGGTGGGACGGCTTAACTCAACAGCTCAAACTGAAGATGTACCACATGGCAGCTCTTTCGCACTAACATACTGCACTGTATGAAACTTGAAGCTGTACAAACGCCTAAAGGAAAAGCTTGAAATAGCAAGCGTGCCCCTGGTAAACCTTCCCTGGAAATAAAGGTTAAAAAGATTAAATAAATAAATAAATATGCTATACATGACAGGTACTTGAACCTTCTGAGAAGTTCCTAACAGAGTTTCTGCAACTCTGTATCAGATATGTTGAATCTTCAGGCGTCATACTCCACCCGTACTTTAGGTCCTTAAATGTGCCTATGATTGGCAGGTGCGTAAACAACACAGAGAGAAAAAAAAAGGCCAAAATGCTACAGTAGTACCATCTTTCTGTGAGACACTGCCTGACCCCTGGACTGTAGGATGAAAACACGACAGGGAGCAGGAGGGTAAACAGTTTGTCTCTCTTTGTACTCTATCTGGCCTTCAAACAATAGGCTATAAATTACTCAAAGCTCTGCTCATGACTAATAACACATTTCAAATACAGACAACTGCACTGCTCTGAGTTTCATTTCAAAATAATACTGATGATATTTTCATAAATAGGGATCACAGTTATGAGTATTTTATGTGCAACAATAAAAGTTCATTAAATGAGGTTCGGCAGGGTCACGTAATGGGTAGCACTCAGTCTTCATCTTATCTATTGCTTAAGGGCAGCAACTCCTCTCAGCTGGGTTGTCAGAGTTCTAGGAAGGATAGTGACAGAGGTTTGATTTTTTTGTAGCCCATTTTCTGACTGGAACACAAGGTCAACAAAAACAAGCAATTAAACAAAACAACAAAAAACAAAACCCGGTAAGAAGTTAAAAAGATTAGTTATTTGGGTTTGGAGGGATGCTGTTTAGTGGGCTGTGGTCTCTGGTCCTCCTTTCCCCCCTCAGCTCCTCAGCCCTGAGGCAGCTGCCCTCCCATTCAGCCCACCGTGAGCCTGACTAATGGATGGAGAAGACTGTGTCTTGCGGAGGTGACACTCTCGGCCAGGTAAGCCACCTTCCATGATCAGGCCACCCATCACGCTAGCCTCGATCTTCTCAAGGTCGTCCGTCTCTGCACGGATTTTTGCCTGCAGGAGGCTGATGTATGTCTCATACCGAGTCTTCTGCTCAGACAGGGAGGGACCGGGGGGAAAATACACAAGAAAAACACAGATTATTACCTGAGATACAACTGATCAGTCACTCACAATTATCTATACTTGGTTGCATTTAATAATCTTTTTGATTTATTTTTGAATCAAACATTTTTTTTTAATCTTTTCACAGAATCAACTAAATAATAAATCATGCATAGAGATATATAACTTGAATGTAGGTAGAAACAGCATGTCATGCTTTCAGTTTCTCATCAGCATTACAACACCAAAAACCTATTAAAGTGACAGAGTAAGGCAACAGAAACACCCAGACAAATTAACCAAAGCTGTGGAAAGCCGGTACCTCATATGTGAGGTAGTGCTCTTTGAGCCGGAACTCCTCCCACTCACGGCTTTTGGGGTCAGCTGAGGGCGAGTTTTTCCGGTGCTCCTCCAGCTCCAGGCTCATCTGCTTCAGCTTGCTCTCATGACTCAGCAGCTGCTCCTCCTGCACCAATCACAGCAAGGAGAAAAACCGGGAGATACCCAAAACAGCCAATCAGAGGGCAGCAGACACAAATAGAAATTGTTAAAGTGCCCAACCCCGTATAGAGATTTTGATAGAGACGGATTTGCATACAGCTCTATAATAAAAAGAAAGACACACACACACACATATATACACACACATAAATAAATTTATGTATATGTGTATGCATATAAAAGACACATATATGCCAGATGCCATTTCTTCTGATTTCAGTCACTGTTTGCATGTGTGTGCATGTGCACCTGCTTCAGTCTGGTGGATGACGACGGCAGAATGGGCCGACAGAACTTTTTCATGGAGCCGATTGCAGCAGGGAAGGCTGGAGCAGAAAACAGTGCTGCCACCAGGTTTATCCTGAAGATCCACGACATCATCTCCTCCTCCCCACTGGAAGAAGGGAGCCAGGGAGGAGAATTACACTCATGGACAAAAAAAAAGGTGAGCAAATGAGAAACTATTGCTCGAGTGATGTGTGTTACAGAAAACACTTGACGTTTGCCAGACTGGCTTAATTTATTAACACTAAAGAATGCAAACAAAGGATTAAATCTTTCATTTCACCATCATCTGTCGCTGGCATCTGTAATAATTGTAATAGAGTGTGCTTTTGTCATTAATCTTACTTCACAGCTTACATTGCGTATTCTTAATCTTAATCCGCCTCCTTTACGGAGAATTTCTGGTGTTGAAACTGTTTCTTTTATTGTGTATTACAGCAGCACTTTCTCTCTGCAGGTTTTTAGCTCACCCTGACAATCACCTATGACTTGCACACTATGAAAACACTAGAGGAGGCTGATTTGCTTTGCCATTTTTGCAGCATATAAAAAAGCAGCTGATGGATAGATGGGTGGGTAACTGGACTTAGGTGACTAACGGGGCCTGCAGCAGGAAGACTCTCCAGTCTGAGGTCTTGAGCTTCAGTACATGTGCTCTTTTGCTGTAGTCAGTGGCTCGAGTTGCTAATGCATGGTGGATCCGCACTGCGTTCTTCAGGTCCACCTCTGAAATGTCAGCATCAGGCTTGTACTCGTCCTGGGTAAGAAAGAGAGACTGTGTTTTTAAGGTTTAGGAGACACAACAATATATACAACTTCACCCTGAGGCACAGTCCCAAAAACTCTTGGACATAAATCCAACAGAAAAAAATCTAATAAATCACCACAAAGGCAGAAATAAAAGCAGATCTGATTCATTCATGTTGACCATATCTAACCCTTATTTTGATGAGCGCAAACTTTGCAACAGTAGAGGGAGACAAACGCAGAGTAGTGCAGCATGCCTCATTTCCTCCCTTAATGCTCCCTCTATCTCAGTCCCTCGCCAATAACACACACACAAGCCCATACAGCAGTGCAGCTAACAGCATCTGCCACCGCAGTGACAGCAATAGTGGATACGTGTTTCTATGGTAACAGAGCAGAGGACAAGATAGGGTACCTTCTGGAGATACAAGATCATCCCTTTAAGAACTGCATAGAACTTCTTCCAACCCCGACGACCCCTTGGAGCTGCAAAAAGATAGAGGAGAGTAATAACATTCAAATCATACCCCGAGAAGCTAGACTAGAGTGAATTTGGTGACTTCAACATTTTTTTGTGTGTGTGTGTGTGTATATAAGAGGGTAATTATGCGTGCAAAAAAAACACTCACTGCGCTTGCCGTCCATGTCAGCATGACTCTTACGTGTCAGCACTCCGTGTTTGTAGGTGACGGCATTTAACAGAATAGGAATGGCAATGAAAGGGTTATTGCCATCGGTTACCCTGGCAACACGCTTACTTCCTCCCTCACACTGCTCCTCTACCAGCTCTGACAGACTCTTCCTTAGCTCCTCCTCCTCACTGCACACACAAAAATCCATTCATGTAAAGCTGAGAAGCACATGTTCAGGGTTACTTTAAAAAAAAACATGGAGGCACTAAAAGACACACTCACACTGCCCACTCCAGCTTCTCATTCTTGATGGAGTTATACAAGACCTGTATGTGAGGAAAGAAGAAATTGTTAACATCTATTAGTAAGACTTTCGGCTGGATTTCTAACCTCATTATTGAATAATTCAATCAAATGGCTAAGATTTAAAAAAGAAAATTAAACAAACAGAGTAGCTGATGGCTGGGCTCTTGCAGGAACAGCTCTGTACCTTTAATAGTTCCTTTGGAAAGTCTTTGCCATTGTTGAGGCCATCCAAATTACTGATAAACTGTTGACAAGACATCTTCTTCCCAATATTCTGAAGAGACAGAGAAACGATCAGTTCTAGTTGAAGAAGGTGATAAATATATCTTTATTATTTTGATACACATGACATGCAGCTTTGAATCAGTCCACTTGGTGTCAGTATGATGCTGCTGGTTGGCTGTCGGTGTCACCTCGATTATCATCTCTTAAATATCTGCCTTCCAGACAGGCCTCAGTGTTCTACCCACAATTATGATGCATCATTAGGGGTCCAATCAAAACAAAACAGCCATTATCACTGCCCCTCTCTGTCCTCATAAATCGGTAATTTACTTGGATTTTAAAAACTGAATCACAAAAAAAAATGATGATGTTTGCGGCTGTTTTTTCCGTCATAAATTTAAACAAACTGGAGGAGGTATGAGTCATAAAATTTGATCTACTAATTTATATTACTGGTAAATAGTTATTATCGTTTGATTTGCAGCCACAAAATATTTGCATAAAACTGCATGATTACTGTAAAGTCTTTAGATACGGGGTACTAATGGTCGTCATCAAAGCAATTTTTTCAGTATTACAGAAAAAAAAGAAAAACATTTCATTGGTCATTTGCAGCCTTTCTAAATCTGTATCAGCTGTTTCATTAAAAATCGTAAACTGAAATCACAAGTTGTAAAATCAGATTGTTATTTGAAATTGTTTGAAACGGACCATACAGAGAGGAGACAGATAAATCTCATTTTTGCTATTGACAGGGATGTATCTTAACTTGAATAATAGCTCCCCACTATTCCAATATTCAGGGTTTGTTTTGTTAGAAATACAAACATTACATCACAGAAACATACATCAAACTGCGTTTACCTTTTCGTGAGTGTCCCCTATAGGACTTGAGTTTAATCAAAGCTCAAATCTTACTATAATCTGACAAAAACAGAGATCAAATTCTTAAAGGACAGTTTTAGTAACATAATTATACATACCACCTGCAGGGACAGACAGAGACCAAGGGCCAGAATTGGTTAGCAGGGGCAGGGTTGAAAAGGAGGAACAGGAATTTGAAAAGAGAAAAAGGGAGGAGGTTAGTCAGAGGAGGTACGTCTGTTTGAAAGTACATTCAGCATGGTGAGAAGGAGGGTCAAGCACAAGCAAAGCACAGGACCTATGATACTGATAGTGATATGTTGCCCAGACCCCAGTGCTCCAGTTTAAAAGTGAACAGATGACACTTTTTGAGGAAAGACAGAAACAGGTCAGAAAGTAGGCCGCAGAGGAGGGGAAGGCAGAGAGGAGAGTAGAGAGACCGGAAACAAAAAGAAAGAAATGAAAGAAGACGTGTGAGGGAATGTTGGTACTTTGTTTTCTAGGTTAGAGACAGAAGATGCTGAAGAATATCATGGTACATACATGTCCGTGTAGATCAGTGTTGAGCAGCATAAGGGCACAGGTTAACGTGTGGGCTCCATCTGAAGCAGAAAAAAACACAAAGCCAAGGTCACCTTAATGCAGTGGTTCTCAATCCAGTCCTCGAGGCTCACTGTCCTGCATGTTTCTGATGTTTCCCTGCTCCAACACACCTGATTCAAATGATGAGCTCGTTATCAAGCTCTGTAATGGCTTAATAACGAGCTCATCATTTGAATCAGGTATGTTGGAGCAGGGAAACATCCAAAACATGCAGGAGAGTGGGCCTCGAGGACTGGACTTGAGAACCACTGCCTTAATGTCAAGGATGAATGTAGTGCCACACAGACACTAATCCACAACACCACAAACAGTAAAAACCTGATTATGCCTGTGCTGAGTTATAAGAGCTCATGCTTTGTAATCTGCTGTACACACTGTTACATTATGAAGTTTGTGCAATAGCCTCTACTTTAACGGAGGGTTTAGAAACACTTATATTTACAAACAGGAAATCCCACCTACACACAATTAGAGATGTACATCAACTGGTATTTGTCTGACAATTAAGTGCAGTGTAAATGTTGATTCCTTCTTGGTTCCTTTTAATGTCATTCTAATGCAAAAAAAAATACTGACTTCAGAATTTCTACGCCCCTGGGTTGCAAAACGGTGAAGTATAGGTCATGTGATGTGACTGAAATTATTAGTTTCATTTGTAACAGCACTAAAAGACAGGAAAAACACTAAAACTTTATCATAATTCAGACTGTGACTGATTCCTTTGAAACATGATATCAGGCAGCACAGTCACTGCTCTAGCACAGAGGAACATTGTGCTGCAACTGATTATGTCATTACAGAAAACAAGAAAACAAAATAAAAGCAAGTGACTGATCATCATTCATAACCACAATTTTTTTTAAATGGAGTTTTAAAGCTCTGGGTCTAAGGGATTATCAAGTAAAGGCCCTCTTCACAAAAACACACAGAAACAAACAAAGTGCAGACGAAACGAAAGTATCAGTCTATATCTGCTGTGCTGTTAGCTTGGGGCTAATGTCATATCACACCTGAAGTGTACCTGAGCCTGTAAATAAACCCTAACAGCTGATATGGTTTCAGCTTCTACAGAGAAAACAATTCACAGTTTAGCCTCTAGATGTCCTAAAATGTTCCCTGTTTGACTTTGCAGCCTATCACTGCCCTCCTCTAAAATGTTTTCAAGGACACTTGTGATTCATGTGGGTCACCTCTACAGGTAGTAAAATCTGAAATTCTGAATAAATCCAGAGGAATCACACCCACAACATGAATGATTGCATACACTGTGGTTTCTGTAACGCCTATGCGACTCTTCCCACTATGAATCATGTTCTTCAGAACTGTTAATGTCATCATTATCATTCATGGCTCTGAACCTTCAGAAGATGGCGTCTGAGGGTTGCAGTGGCAGAAGCGTCTGGAGAAATGTACAAGGACCCTCTCTCTCTCCTGCGTCTCTCCCATCAGTGGAAAGGCCCTCAAGAAATTTCTGTCACACATGAAACCATAAGGTCAGCAGAGAGTCAAAAGTCTTTCAGGAATGCATCACTGGAAAATGTCTGACATTTTTTAGGCAGTATATTTAATCCAAGAAAAAAAATAGAGCTGACAGCTGAAGGAAGTATTTTTCTTTAGTGAAGTGAAATTTTCAACCATAATGTTTAAATACATTTCATCTTTCATGCTAGAATAACCAAGTCTGACAATTTAACACTGTGCATTCTAAGATGAAACAGTATAATAGAGCTGTAAGGAATAGACGTTACCTCAAAAATTCAGATGACAAACTACATTTTTAAGCAAATGTTTCAACTTTTCAAATAGAGAATATTCCGATATTTGTATACAACTGAAAATGACCTCTTTTGATGGATTTAGACTTCAGGTTTGGCAAATCAAGACAAATTAGTTAACATCGAACAACGTGGAAAAAGGCAAGTGCTGCAGTGAGAGAGTTAGCAGGTGCTCTTCAAGCATAGAAGGACACAAGTCAAACTGCAGAATAAATAAATGATCCTTCTATGATTTTTTGGATTCAATTTAAATTGCGATTCTACAAAGTCTGCATTTTTAACACCAGTGAAACAGTTGAATGATTATAATTGTCTGCTGACTATTCTAGGAAAAACCCAAAAAGTACACATCACATGCAAGTCAGTTTTTAAGATTTGTCCTTAAATTTGAAAAAATATATATATTTTTGAACATAAAAATTGATTTAAAAATTGTAAAACAAATACTCGTGAATCATTTTCTTTCTCCCACCCATACAAATGACTGTGTTTAAGTGTGACCTCTGTTATGTGTCACAATCATATTCAATTTTTATATTAATTGCCTGTTATGCCCTCATGAAGACTCTGTAGAGTCCAAATGTGTGGACACAGACCTGTTACTTAAAGGATTTTTATTCCTGATCAGAGTGCCTCAAATTTTTACTTTGAACCTCAGACAGTCATTTATTTATTTAACAAGAATACACTGTGTTAGAGAAATCATTAACATTTACAGACCAAATCATTCATTTAATTCCCAAAAGACAAATCATTAAATATGATATAAGACAGATGAGCACAAATAAAGATGCACGCTCAGAGCATAAAGGAGAATAGTATGAGACAGCAACATGTCAGGTGAAAGACAGTGATCCACTCACTCTGCTGCAGTCGGCCACACTGTCCGACTGTATTCAACATGACAGCCTGATTAGCACGTAGCTAATGCCTGGTGAAGAGGTAAAGTGAAGAACACACATACACATGCATGTGTATCGATGTCTACATCAACTCAACACTCCCAAACACTGACTTTGCATTACCTCAGGGCTCGATCAAGCGACAGGCCGGAGAAATCAAAGAAGCTGAGGTACTCGGACGCCACCAACTGGCTGAACTCATTACTGCAGAGAGACAGAGACACAGAGAGCATCAGCTCATTGACGTGGCACTGGAGGCATGAGGATGCGTTATATAAACTTATTCCTGTTGTTTTAAAAAATGGTCTAAGAATGACGTAAGCCTGTGCATGTATTTTTGATACAAAGCTAATAAACAATAAGCCAATAAGATTACACTATGTCTGTGTTTTATCTACGCTTATGTACAAATACTGATCATCTAACTGTATAAACATGTTTGCTGCTGTTTGTGGGATTTGTTGGTTCATTAGTGATGTAAGTGTCTGTGGTACTGTGTCATTTTGTGTGTTATTGTGTGTGTGTTTCTGCTCACTTCTTCCCCAGGTGTCTGGCCACATCGCAGCGTTTGAAGCCCTCCAGGTGATAAAGGCGCTTGGCCAGCCTCTTGGCAGCCTCAGTGTCTGCTCGGCAGCCATTGGCCAGAGTGTCTGTGCTACCACGCTCCAAACGCTCCAGACTGCCCAAATCACACTCCTCTGAGTCAGACAGCACGTCTGCGAGGTTGGCATCACTAGAGGAGAGAAGAATGCGAGCACACACATAAACACACACGCAGGCAGGTGCCAGGGTTAATGAATGGAGCACATATCCTTTGTTACATGCCTACTAACTTAAAATTAAACAGAGGACACTGAGGATCGCAGGAAAACCCTAATTACATAAACCTGTGTTTACATACACCCGAAACAAAAAATGGATGATACTAAACTGGCAATTAAGACACTGACCCAGTTTTACTGTCATTTAATGTCCTACTTAAATTGACTGAGGCAGACCTCTAACAGAATTTGACTAAAAGTGCTGCAATAATAAGTGCAATAAGAAATCAAAAATATTACATTTACTTTTCTATGTGTCCATCTGAGGCAAATAGAGCCCAGAAGTTCAGAAAATGAGGGTTTTTTTGGGGCTCATATAGAGGAAAAAAGGATGCTTTGCCTTCAAGCAAAAAATCCAATCTCCAACCGAACAAGAAAATTGAAAAATTCATGGTGGTGGCTCAGCTGTCTATCTTTGCTGTGAGTATATCTGTGTGGCTATGAAGCAGGACATGTCTGCAAATGAGGAACTGTCCTCAATCACCCCTTCAGGAGTAATTCAAGTCCAGAGAATTTTAACGAGTTTCAGGAGAGCTATACACACCATATGTAACATTTGAATTATTTAGAGCATCCTTGCAAAGACCTCATTATTGACAGATGCTCTTGAACATTCGGCAGAAGTGCTCGTCATTGTAATATAGTTCTGTTTTAAACTGAGATGGGTTATAATTCTGTTACTACTACTTACTGTGTAACTGCTAAATGAAAATCACTTCTCTCTCTAACGAGAAATGAAACATGTTAAGGCATTTGTAATGTAAAACAGTACTTCAGGACTTCAGACAAGAGAAACAGCCCTCACTGCAGACTGCAATTCAATGTCTGGCAAGCCCCATTCACTCCCATTTAAAAATACACAATTTTGCTGCAAAATTAAACCTACTACAACACAAAATGTGCTTATTTCTGTATTTGTACACATGGTATAAGGGGATACATATTCTCTAACTCATCGCTGTCACGATATTAAGACTTGGCATCACACAGCCTGCATGCTGGCTGTGATTCAGCTTCATCTTTATTTCAGCACACATGTTAACAGATAACATCATTCACTGCCAGCGTCAAATCCAGGTCTCATGTGTGTCTCATGTGCCAAAAATATCCAAAACAAAAGGCTCACCTATGCTTGTGCAAATCTTAGCCAAAATGGAGACAAAAGTGATAAGCAGAGGGTTGTTTTGGCTCTGTATCAGCTATATTTAAGGACAATGTCACAATGCTTTTCAAAGTAAAAACCCAATCAGTTCATTTATTTATTCTCCCCTAACTTTCACGCAATGCTTTTTATCTGAAGTGTTGTGGAGGACAGATATGTCAGTCTATACAGAAACCTTAATGCAGAACTGTCTATACAGAACTGTCTGTCATGGACATACGGTCATGGGAAAAATGTCTTCATGGGAGATCTCATCTCCTCTTCTTCCTCTATTTGATTTAAGTTTATTAATTTGGATCCCCATTAGATACCGCCAAGGTGGCAACATAAAAAATCTTCCTTTATTGCTGTGCCCCTCTGACCACTCAGCTGTTTTGGTATTTTGTGTGTAAATTCAACATCTGGTTTTTAATGTAAACAAGGTCACTCCCTTATAACAACAACCCCTGACTCCTTTATAACATCCTAAAGCATCTCCTGGTAGGGGACGTAACCACACATGTAGGCTTTAAAGGTGCAGTGTGCAATAATTTGCAGCATTAAACCTTTATTTAACAGACTTGTTAGGGACTAAATTCTGTTTTTAAATGTGTGTTTTAATAAGTGTGTATTCAACTAAAATTTAAAGACCTTTTGATTTTGTTTACTTGAAATGAGTCTGTAAAAGCTACAGTGGAGCAGGTTTCCTCTCACCATCTTGCACTGCAACATTTCTAGTTTGGCATAGAATGAATAAACTAGTAGCGCACTCCTTTTCGCATTTGGTGTGTGGCAGTGCAAAATGCCCCAGCTGGAAGAAGATGAGGAAAAGAGAGGCTGGTGCGTGCAGAAGAACTTTAAATGAATAGACGTTTCTGATGGTCAAACTTTTGGGCAGGGCTACATGGTTAATGGAATTTGAATTTCAGTTGCGATTATGGTCTCCTACAATCATCAAGACTGAATGATTACTGTGCCACCTGCCATGCTGCACTCACTTTCATCTGGAAATATGAATGGAGCGCATCCTCCTTCTCTGCTTTCACAGTGTCTGCTCTGCCCTCCCCTTATTCAGGAGCACAAGGAAATGAAAGATCTGGATTCCTTGATCTTAAAAACATTGAAGGTATGGGTGTGCAATATATCGGGTACACTTGATACATTCCAGCTTGCCTAATGTGAGATACATAAAATGACTATGGTGAGTATCCTACAGAATGTCACACTGACATTAAAGGCACCTGCACAACAAGACAACTTCAGGGTTTTGTTCTCCGGCCCTCTACTGATGTCCTCCTTGCTTCAAACACACTCCCCACAGGAAAGGAGGGAGGAGGGCACAGAGAGAGGGACAGGAGGAAGCAAAAGGAGATCCCTGGCAACTTTAAAGTTGGCATCAACTGTGAGTCTCAAGTGATCATTGATGATCAGATTCACTTCCATTTTTAATGATTATGAAGCCCCAAGCACCTTCATTTGACTTTACAGAACATTAAATGATCATGAAAAACTGTATTTGCCAACACTGATAAGGCGGCGTCTCTCATGCCCGTGCACACGCTACATAAGCAGCACAGTGGAGAAACTTTGGTTTGATGTGAAGCCTGTTGTACCTGGAGTCACTGATAAGAGTGAAAAAAGGGGGGGGGGGGGGGGGAAGAGATGCTAACAACAAGATCCCTGACGTCTTACAAGTGAACTGCGTTAATAAACCAACAGATGGAGGTGGAGGTGTTGCTCATGCTTAGATCAGGGTGTGCAGTAAAACAGAGGACAGATCACACCAGACAGTATGACAGAGCAGGACAGACAGACCAGAGTCAAACAATATCAAAATTGGTTGATCTAATCTGTGACATCTTCTTTAGCTCTCCCACCTCTCAGTGCAGAATAATTCCATATTACAAAAAGACAAAGCTGTCTTCTTTACTCTTCCTCACTAAATGAATCAGCCTAATTCATTTTCCCTCTTCTTGTAAAGACAGCTCGAATGCAAATACTACGTAGGAGAAATATTAAATCAGCAGTTTTTAAAAAGCTCTCCAGTTACAAACATGACCAAGAAGAAAAAGTGCACTTTGATTTATGTGGTTTGTGAATGTCTTTCTCATTCATAAAGTGATTCAGAAGAGACTTTGAAATATCGAGATATATACCCCTGTATCACAATTTAGCATAAAAACATTGACGTATTTGTAATTTCTCATATCGCCCAGCACATAATGGAGGTGCCTATTTGTGTATGTGTCTGTGTCAAAGAGACAGATTATGGACAACAAGAGTCTGTAACAATCACAAGCATAAAGGTGCGTCAACAGGCTGACAACTGCCAGCTAAACATACAGAAATATGAGCCTCACTCGGTCTGGACGTAATAAAGGTGAAGGCCTGAAAAGATGATATGTTGGCTCTGCAGCCAAATGTAGGTGGTGTTTGACCCTTGACTTTTTAATAACACTGTAAACTCTGCTACAAGTGAAGGTCTGGCATTTGGTTGATTGAGTGGGTGCCATAAAAACCGACTCTAGACTCTTGAAGTGAACTGAAGATGTGGTGCATGGTCCCTTTGGGTACTATTATGATTTTTGTTGATTAATAATATTCATTTAGACGGACAGCTATGCTTTGGTCAACAAAAACAACAGATTGTTTTTCAGTGTATATACATGCTTTACAACGTGCTAAAAATGTTAAAGTCCTAAATATTTTAAGTCCTCTAAGCGCATGTGGTACAGATGTGAACTCATGAGTAAGTGCATTTAATAATTGTGATACCAATATTGGTCAAAGTCCTTATAGTTTTGCCAAAATCAGCATCATGTTTGAAGGAATCAGGCAGCAAGAGCAGCAATCTTCCTAACATCTTATTACATTAGAGGTAGCATTAAATTGGTAATTTGACAAAATCTAAGTCACAAATGAACTTTGCTTTTTTTTTTTTTTTTTTTTTACACACTAAACTTGTTCACCTCGATCAGCCTAAATGGCACTTCCTCATTTCCTGTGTTTGTGTGCATCTGTGTGGCACTGTCAGCATTCTGGACGGATGATTCAGATGTTTCGTCCATAATCGGATTGGCTCAATTGCATTATCCTAACAAATTCAATACATTATGTCCTGTCGTGGATGGGGAATTGCTGGTTACCATAGATGCCAAGTGTCCTATGAGGGAGGGAAGAAGAAAGAAAGGGACAGCAGGCAGTCTCAAGGCGGTCTCATGAATTTGTGTTGTGAGGCTAAAGCAGGCTTTAGATGAAAGACAGTTTAAAGACAAATATTAAAAATTACGATCAAAATTTCTTACAACCAAGAGTCCCGTGTTTTCACATGCTGTGTGGCTGACTACACTTTAAAACCTTACAGCAAAATGAACCCCTTTGCTTTAGGCAAGGTTATACTCCTCTGTTATGTTAAACTAAATCACTGAGCTCATGAGCTCACTTTTCATCTAGCCCCTGACCTTGGACTAATTTGCCCCGGGTGATTCAATGAGGATCTAGCGCCTCAACATCACAGCTGAAAGGGTCAGAGTGTCATATAAGCCCTCCAATATGTGAAGGTAGGTCTGGTAAACCCCCTTCAAAAAGAGCATCAGTGAGATATGTGGTGCAGTCAGCTCCAGCAGTCTAATTTGAAGGGTGTCTGGGTTCATCCTGAGGGACAGGGTGGGGAGTTTGTATATCTGGAAAAAGCAAAATCACAGCTCTTTCTTGTGGATAAGCAGCCAGTCAGTGTGGTTTGGGGGTCTGATTAAAAAGCTTCCTGTCTGGTCCCTCTGGAGGTGCTCTGGACATGTCCACTTGGCAGTAGACCTCCAGGCAGACTTACAGCTCTTTACACCAACCTTTTAAAACTGCTGGCACCCACTTTTAAACCAAAACATGCATTTTAAAATGCAACATGAAGATGCGTACCCCAGACCTTTAAACACACAAGAAAACTATTTAACCTGGTGCTCTCAGTCAAATTGTTTATACTTGTCAGATTGTATCAATCCACTAGACCTAGCAAGAAACGTATTCAATCACAGCCTATATCAGACATAGGGCCAAAAAGCTGCCAGCCCCCCTCTATTCACCGCCGCCAAGCAATAACAGACTCACCATACACACAAAAACATAAAGTAACAGCATGAGACATAACATGAAGTGACATATGCTAGCCCAGGGCTTTTGTGCCAAGATATTTGGCATTACAGGAGGCCAAGTGGCACACAGTAAACCTATTTGTCTTTCTAAAGGCACAATTCACTATCCCGCGGCCACACATAGTCACTCACTGTAACCGCCACTCAGTCTGTGTTTATGAGTGTGTCAGAGATATGGAGCATGATGGTGCATGTTAGTGACTCAAATGCTAATCTTTTGGATGTGCACCACCCACAACCACACCTTCAAGATGTGGATGACTGCTAGGTGTGTATGGGTTTGTGTGTGTGTGTGCGCGAAGTGTTTAGGGGAGGAACTGTCTGATCTAATCTGGGGGATTAACTGGATTATGAAATTCTGATATTTCAGATTTTTATACAGGGGTGTTCATTAGTAGGTGTGTGTGTGTGTGTGTGTGTGTGTGTGTGTGTGTGTGTGTGTTTGGGTATGTGTGTCTAAAGTGTTGTCTAATGGGAATAATAACACAAAGCATGGTCTAGAAATCATGACAGAGGCTGTTCTTTTGTTAAGTGTCTTGAGAAAACATTTTTTAATGAATGGCAGCTACATAAATAGAATATTAATTGATAAACGACCCTTTATTGTTGACACTATCAGGCTTATGACAGTGTGGGTAAAAACTCAGATGCTGACTTTGCTGGTCAAAGTTTGTGCCAATAATAAAAATTACAGCTCAAAGAAATGATGAAGCTGTTACAAAGGCTTTAGTTAAAATTTCAGAAATCCCATAAAGGAGGTTGAAGCAATTATTAAAATGGCTGCTTGGAATATCACTGGTTTCTTTAGATATGTCAATATTAGAAACCATCATCTTGGGCTGTGGGTGCTGGAGATGCTCACTATGTTGTGTTAACCAAACAATGAAAATGTTTACAATCAAACCAATTCTTATGGTAATTTCAATTTCATGTTACGCCTTGTTTGACTTGAGAAAATGTATAGATCTCTTCGCTCACAGTGCGCTTTAAATGAATATGGTAGAACCCTGCACAATTCACTCTAAAGACAGATATGATGATGCATTGTATGTTTTATTATATATGTAACATAGGAGACATACTGCAACATATCTCTATATGTTTCAAGTCCCATTCGTCAAGAGTAATAGATAATTATAGATGATAGATAAGCCCCTGGAGTTACTCTGTGAAGGTTGCTATTTAGTTTCTTTACGTCAACGCAAAACAAAAGCACAGCAACCATCGCTCCACAGCAAACTTTTTGATTTGCCACGCAGCATAATGTACGTGTTCCCACCCATTTGGACGCCAAAGTCGCAGGATCTGATGTCAATCAAAATGTTAAACTTACAGCAGTTGCAGCAAAAAGTCGAAGTGAACATCATATTCCTCTTTCCACATCGTCCCTCGGATCTTGGAAATCAGCGGTTAAAGGCGCGCGGCGGTCCGACCCCCTCATCATCCAGTGGTCGGTAAAATCTGCATCGCCCCGGTTTATCAGACTTCCGTGAGCTAACTCTGGTTTCTCTGTGGCGGAAGTCGGCTCAAGTTTAATTACAGCTCACTGGTCGCTGATAAACTCGACTGTAGAGTAATTTCACTGCGGTGTCATAACACAGGGAGTGTGTTTTGGGCTTTTCCTTAAACTTTCCTGACTGCCTGAACGCTCCTCAGAGGAGAGGATGTTGGGGGCGGAGCTAAAGCCTGCAGAGAGTTTTCTGATGAACGCTGTATGCTGTTCCTAGTGGCTGCTTTACAATGGCCCTTGTGTCCCAGCTAGCACAACTTCCTCTGACAGAGGGCTCTGAGCCAGCAGGTTGGATCATTTTCAGCTGGAAGTCCTGCAGTATAGCTCTTGAGGCTGCATTGCCTCAGCATTGACTCATTTGATGAGTTCATTTCCATGCACTCCTAAAATGTGTTGTTTCATGAGAAATTGAAGGAAATACTCTGACTGTATTCTATTTACATGAATCTCCACAACTTTTGATGGGGTTCCTGCTGTAGTGTAAGAGTATATGGGACAGTGGGGTAAGTTGAGCCAAGGGGTAAGTTGAGCCACCCCCTGTTGCTTGGAAATGGTAAAAGAAATTGATCATGTGACCAAATATTTAGGAGATGGGCATCAACTCATGGAGTCTAAGAAGCACATGGGTGAAGGGGTTAGACATTTATTTACAAAAAACATTTTTCACTCTTGAAAGTGAATTTAGTCTGTCCTAAGTTTTATTAGAATTGTGTTCAGACCCAAAAAGATCATTTTAAATTTGTTTTATACATCAATTGTGGTATCTATAAGCTACAACATGAGGTCAAAAACCTAGCATAAAAGTCCACCATTTTAGCTTAGAGGACTATAATGTTGTGTTCACACCTAAAGGTCCGTTTCCTGATTCGAATCCAAGGCAAGACAATACATTTGTTTTGATTGTTTAACTGGTCAGGTTTGCGTTCACAAAGGACAAACTCAATCATTACAGGAAACAGAACCGGAAGTCATGTGACCGCGAATATCGTTCAATTATTAGTCTTTAGTTTATGCGGGCATACAAACCCCGCTCTGCTGTCTTCGCCTGCTTTTGCTACTCATCTGGAGTGCATATCAAAAGACGCTAGTTGATTGCGTGTATGAACGGCTCGTCCGGAGTCGACGTGCTGCAAACAACAGATGGATAGAGACGAGATGGCGACAGGCATTAATGAGAGTGTGTGATGCGTTTCCTGTGATTGGTGTGGATGATGTTCACACCAGAAATGAACTGCTCCAGAGTTCACTTGATAGCGGTCCGAGACCACCTCTTCAGGCAGACCAGAGTTCGTTCATTTGGTCCTCACCAGAGTTCGAGGTCAGCGTTTACACCGACCCAAACGAACCGTATCAAGGGCATAAACGCTCCAGGGTTCGGTTCAACTGGACTAAACGAGGGTGGTGTGAACGCGCCCTTAAAGTCGTAATAGTAGTTCTGGAGTAAGTTGAGCCATTTGGCCAGGGGTAAGTTCAGATTGTAGAAATGTGTTACTTTTTCTCTTCAAAAATACAGCTGTGAGTGTTCTGAATCACTGAAAGTCATTCTCATGTCAAAATGGCGTATAATAGATCGAAATAAAGAAGTGACTGTCATAGGGAGAGAGAAGGTGAGGGAGGGCTGGGGTGGAGAGTGGGGGGGGTAGTAGGGATATGTCTAAACTTACCCTGCTCCTATGGTCAACTTACCCCATACACAGGGTAAGTTGACCATAGGAGACCACTTTTTTTAGGCATGCTATATTATTAAGACGGTTATGTTTACACTCATTCTGTTGGTTTGGAGGGATTCACAACATCTTGTAATACATGCAGATACATTAGTTAGAGACAAAACTATGATTGCCTTGATGAAAAATGGCTCATCTTACCCCACTCTCCCCTATAGACAAAGCATAACTATGTTCAATACACACAAAAAAAAAAAAAATAGCCAAGACAGGGTGATACATGTACAAGCTTCACTGTCTCATTTCCTCCTTCCTCCTGGTGGAAAGAAGAAGGACGAAAAAAGCACGGGGGCAGCTCAGCTGTAGAGTCGAGAGAATACAATTCTGATGAGTCAAGAGATCAGAATGGCAACAAAACACTAGAAGAAGCTAAAAACTGGTTTACAAGCAATTCTCTGAAGCCTTGTTCTGCAAATAATTAGGTCCAGACTACAACAGAGGACAAACTTCATAAACAAAACAACAGCACATCCTGCACTAAAAACACATGTAGTCTAGCGAGCAGGCACAAACGAACACTGATCGTACACTATAATGACTCATGGTCCACTTTTTCCATTGACACAGCATGTTTATTCCAGAGACAGCAGAATTTTAAAATCTATTCTAGCACAGCTGTGGTGCTCTTATGGCACACATGGTCAGCATGGGAAGGCTGTTACCATTTTAGCCACAGCAAGCTGAGAGGTCTTTACCATAGTCAATCGAGACAGTGAGAGTGACTTGATTATGAAGTGTCAAAGAGCTGGTGTATCATTCCACAAAACCAAGAAACTGAACACAAACAATCACATTTTACATCAACGCCTCTCTCTCTCTCTTGTGGAAAGATAAAAAAAGGGGCTCCAACTAGCAATCTAGATTTCTGGTTAATTGTGATAGACCATCCACCTAGGGCCATCATCAGACATCATCTAAAAGAAAGTGTGTGAAAAAGGTAACTTTTTCTTTTGAACAGCCTATCAGAACTTGAAAACTATCATTAGGATTACAGTATAAGACAGGTGCCGACCTGATCTATGTAAGTTAGAGGTCAAAGGGACATAATCATGTAAGATGAAGACAGCAAGAGCGTGGTCAAATAAACAGAAAATAACTGAGAGAAAAAGGAAGCAGGGGAGGATCTTAAAGAAAAGTGAATACAGACTGTGCACAAACTCTTACAAGGAAGTGAAATTATATCAATATTGGAACGATATTTTCCCCTTTTCTGTTTTGTGCAACATTTTATGTATGTATCATTTATTTGTTTGCAGTCAAGTGAACAGTTGTTATGACTGCTGCTGGCTTTTGCTCTTGAAAGATTAATCTAACGACCGTTTCTTTGCATCGTAAAAAACAGAAAAGTCTGTCTTCTGCATGGAAACATTAGAAGCAACATTAGGAAAATGACCTTCATGCATACAGATCCCAAGAAAAAAACCCACCTGATAATTCAGTAGCTGGCAGTATTTTGTAATGAAACACCACAGAAGGACACAAAGTGCCTGCGAGTGAGCATACAGCTATGATAGTATGTGAGTACACACAAACAAGTAGCTAACAGCAAAATCACTACACTTTGCTGGAGAAGCATTAATAAACTGTGTTAGGGTCGGTAAGCTGCCATTACTATTATTGTCCTACTTCCTGTTTCCAAGTAAAGGAAAGGCTAATACACCAACAATAGTTCACCAACCTCTGTACAACTCAGAACAGTGTATACAGCCTCTAACTAAGTGCCATTTACCTGCTGTTCTCCCACAAATGAAGTCTTACAATGCTATACCAGGCAAGACACTGAATGCTGTGCCTTGGATGGATAACTCAGTGTGTGAGATTGATATTCATAATAATCATACTGAATGGTATCGTGTGTAAAAGCTGACACCTGTAAGAAAGACTGAGATGACAGAGATAATGTGTGAATTAAAAGCAGCTTAAGTCATTTTTGCAAAAGCAGGAAAAAGAAAACATTATTTTGCCGAATGTGGCATCATGTCCTCCACAATAGGAAGTGCTGAAAGACGTTTTAGAGGGAAAAGCCTGAGGTAAAAAGATCCTCATTCAGACAGCACAGTCACTGCTACAGTAAGAATGTGGGATGTGTCATTGAACATAGAGTCGGGCTATAAATAGACAGGGATAAATCTATTGGTGCTGAAATGATGTGGTTAGTGTGTGTGTCTGTGCTGAGATGAAGAGAGAATTTGTATGAATTACTGCTTCTGTTACCAAAGTGTGTCAGCATACATTAATGTCTATGTGTAACTGTGTGCGTGTGCGTGTGTGTGGGTTTGCATGTCTGCCTCGCTGGCAAACTGGAAGCCAGAAAAGGATAATCTGCAGGATGTTGCAGCAGTGCTATAGGACCACGCTAAAGGTTTTATTCCCATGGTGACTTTCTGATAGAACTGTGTGATTTTGTGTGTGTGTGTGTGTTTGTGTGTGTGTATTTGAGAGGAGGAATAATTCAGTGTGTGCAAGAAAATTCGACAGCTTTCAAATCTGTGTCACTAAGCGAGCATTAGAAAGCATGAGCATCATGCAGATTTTTATTTATGCATGCATGTTGTTGGCTAGTGTGTCTTCTTTGTGTGTACATTCATGCACTTGAATGTGTATAAAACAGATTAGTCCACACTGCAGAGCTGCTTCTCTGATATGGGAACAACTGAGCCTTGCTTTGATGTGCCCTGTTTGTGGACGGGTTTAGATCTAAGCCCTCCTATATGGATAATACAGGAAACATGCAAATGTGCAGCAGATACTGCACATGTCAACGTGATCAAAGGACACTTCTCTTGCCATGACTTTACTGAATGTCACCTAGAGCTTTTATGTATTTGTCTGTCTCTTTTTTCTTGTATGTTTGTTTGTGTCCATTGATGCACAACAGGTCGTATCATCACATAAGTAGCACTTAACTACTTGGCTACCCAGAACAAATCTAAGTAGTTTGACACAGATTATAATGCTGCCAAACAGCATGCTCTGCTGAAGAGAAGAGATCTTGTTTTTGGCACAGAGGAACACAACAGAGTGAGTATCACATGGACTAAACTACTTTACCAAATGAGAAATCATGACTGAATATCATGGCTGATGGGCCAACACACCATGGCCCATCACTAATCAAAAATCAGGTTTCTTTAAGTCAAGGGCTGGCTGAAAGAAACCATGTGTGACCAAACCGTGTTAGCATTACTGCTACAATTATGTTTGTGCATGCTGATGTTGGCATTCTCCTTAAAGCCCCATCATGCATCACTGCAGCCTCACTACAAGTGTGGCTATAAGTCTTACTTTCTCACTTCCCATCAGGCTATACCTATTATACTGCCACACATGTCAACAGGTAAGTCAGTACAGCTTACTTAACCCTTAGGCTGTCCTGGGTACATTTTGGGTTCTTCTGTCATTTTGAAGAGGAGAGCCTGAGGGCTACAAATTTATAGGTCTTTTCTTTAAAAAGTATTGATGACAGACTCAACACTGAATGACTGTTCTGTAAAACATCTAAAGGTCAGCCAAGCTGAATGACAAGGTGATCAACCAGTTTATCTAATGTGCTGTCCTGCAGTGAAAAAGACTGCTTGTCCATGACACCCCCGAGTATCTCGAAGTGGAACTGTGCCAATTCTGTGGCTACCCACAGAGAAGAATGGATGTAGGGAGGGATGAAAGACAAGAAACAGCAAGAGAGCACAGGAGGAGAAATAAAAGCCGAGGTGATGCAGAGACAAAGGAAGAGCCGCACTGGAGGGAGACAGATAAAGAAAGGATGAGATGAACAAACCAAAGAAATGAACACAGAGACAGGTGGTGAGAGGGAGCAAACATATAGAGAAGCAAGGTGAGGAAAGGAGAAGAAACAGAAAATGAAAGTTTGAATTACAGTTCCTGTGGAGATCTTTCAGTTTTGGGATGACTCTGGTGTCCCTGTTACACTTTTGATGATTTTCTCCTGTACATGTGCAGGTGGGGTTTCTGACAAAAATCTTATCCTGTTGTCTTTGATGGTGAAATATATCGTTGGCTGTGAACACTTGGAAAATAATTGAAAGCTGTTTCTTGAATGTGCTGTAAATCCTCTCATCTGACACCCCCTCGCAGCAGTAAAGGCATTAAAACAATATAAGATGTCACTGTTGCTGTCTGCTTTTGTAGGTCATAAAAAAGCATCACCGCTTTCATATAAATACTATTACATAGGTCATTTATATGTTCTGTTCATGTTTATTTCACTCTGACAAACATGTTGGAAACTGCAGCAGTTTATCTATTAATTCACTCTCGGCTCTAGATTACTGAGTCATCTTAATGAAAAGTGCAATAAATGATGTTTTTACTTTCTGCACTTTTTACCTTACTACATCCAGATAATTCAATTCAACTTCTCTGAAAAGCAGACAAATGTAGTGCGTGCTCTCTCCAGAGATGATAATAAAAAATCTCCTGCTGTCCTCCAATTTTCATTTGTTATAGAAATGGCATTCCTTCCTTCTGAGTTGCACTAGAATTGCCAATGCTAATAGCTTCTCCTCCAAATATCCCCAAAAATTCAGATGAAAAAAACATCACAGACGTTTAATTCACGATAAGCTGGATACTGTGAGTGTCTTTTAAACTCAAAGCACCCCTTTAAGTCTGACTAGCAGATGTATCCACTCTAGATTTAAGTGCTCAAATGTCTGGCAAGCTGGCTACCATAGAGCAATAATCGCTCACTTATACTCTCTCTCTCTCTCTCTCTCTCTCTCTCTCTCTCTCTCTCTCTCTCTCACACAAGCAAACACACACACATACACACACACTCACTCCAAGACCCTGCTGAGCAGAGGAAAGCTGAAGACGGTGATGTCATGACATAAACAATAGCTCATTCAGCTTGGCGCTGGTCAGGAAGTAAGACCGTGCTTAAAGGACAACATCTGTAGATGGGGGTCGAGAAAGAGAAGGGAAAGGCAAGGAAAGTCAACTCTACATCCGATGTTCATCCTCTATTTTTTTCACTCTTATTAGGTTGTGGAAGCACCAGGATATTCAGTAAAAACAATCCCTGCAGTTTGCAAAGAGATTTGTTACAAGTAGGCATGGGGCCATGGCAGGAGAACATGCTACTGAGAAACTGAAGAGGGAGTCCATCAGACTTCCAGCCATGGCTCAGGTTACATGGCTTTCCCCATATGGTTCAAATTACCGCATCCCCCCTGGTTCTGCACTTTCCTTTTCAACTCCTTTGGTTAATAAGATCATTCAAGGAAGAAACAGAATCAGGGGTCAGTGCAAATCAAAGACTAATCCAGTGTCTTACTTACACAAATTTAAAGGTACAGTGGGTGCTAATAATCAAATTTTTACTTGGAATGAGCAGTTTATACAATTTACTTAATCAAATTATATAATTTATAAATAGGAGCAGGTTCTCTTGCAAAAAGGCTGCCATCTTGCTTTGTTTTTGTCGTAACACAGAGCAAACAAACTAGTGCCTTATACCAGTTTGCATTTAGTGAGTGGCTGCACATAAGGCACCGTTTAGTAGATACAGAAGAAGAGAGTGGCCTTTGTGGGCAGAAGAATTTGCATTGATCGACATTTTTGACAGAAAAAACCTGACAAATGGAAATTCATACTGATCATGCATCACAGAGGGCTCGTGTCCCTGAATGACACTGTTGCCTGACTGAGGGTTTCACTACAGAATCTAATTGCTAAATCTTGACAAATATTCTCATTCAGGGTCTTAAGTAAAAAAAAAAAAACTCCTCAGTCTGGAGTGTTGTTTTTCAGAGGAGCAGAAGAGGATTGACAGACTGCACAGATTCACTTCTCTCTAACAGCACCATAAGAATAGGCCTATAGTGGAGTGCACACACAGCAGGTTTGTGACCTGAATCCAGTTCATGACAAGAAAGCCTTTCCCTAGCATTGGTGTCATTCAGAATCAGAAGTCCTTTGAGAACACTATCAGGGTTTTTGCAACTCAAAATGAAGCTGAGGTGACACCCTCCTTAGTAAGTGCACGCACTGGGATACTGTTTCACCCAAACATTCTGGGGAGCAACATAATTCAGGAGTTATAATACCTGTATAATTAAGCAAAGGTCAATCTTACATTAAAATCTGATTCATTTGATAATAAAATGTTAAAAAGTTTTTAAACAACATAATATGTTAATTTACACCATCAACAGCAAAAGCACTTAGACACACTCAACTTCTTGTATTAATATTTATGTGTATAAGGTTGCAGTAACTTGTCATAAAATTGTTCACATCATTTTTTCAAGGATAAATGTACTTCCTGCATGGATGCCATATTTCACATGCTGATAAGTGGAATAAAGCACATGTTTGTCTGATGATGCTCATAGCAGACAGAGAGGTTGACTTCTTGTCTCCTGACTTGTACTTTCTCATCTTACAGAACTGTGAATTATTGATTTACTCATAATAGAAGGGTTGATGCACCATACATTGATCAATTTTCCATATCACCCCAGGTCTGGAATATAGTTATTGGTACATAAAGCTGTAACCATGAGCTGACTGTGGCCTATGAGCCTTTCAATATTATTACATTTACGACTTCATGAGAAAACACAAGAATACAGGAATCTGCAAACATGTTGGTCTGCTTACCTGACAGAGTTGGTCATGGCTCCACAGCTGTCTATGGTTCCATCAGAGTCTGTATGATATCCATTTGGAATGGCCCAGCGTCCCGGTTGGCTCAGCACATACTCAGACCTGCTCCCTGGTATGGTGGTTCTCAGTGGGCTTCCTCCCACTCCAGCTCCAGCTCCATGGACGATGCTTTCTTCAGCTGTAAACTCACCCCCTGGGGCATCAGGTCCAACTTCAGCAGCATCATGCTCCTGAACAGTTGCCAGCTCAAGCTCCAGGGGTTCAGGACCTTGTAACAGCGCCCTCTGTTGGATCAGAGGCGTTAGTGGTGCCTCAAAGCTGACACAGCTGTCTGTCTCATCTGTGAGTGACAGCACATCCAGGGAGTCCAAGCTGCTGTAGCAGGTCCCACCCCTCAGCAAGGCGGACTCTACAATGCGCTCAAAAGTAGAGCTGAAGCCATCTTTGTTGTCAACCCTACCTTTTTCCCTCTCCTCCTCTACCTCCTGTTCATCTTCCTCTTCTTCCTCTTCCTGAACATCAACCTGTTCAACAATCTGCTCAAAGACAGAGCTGAAACTGTCCTGGTTTCCTCTACCATCGCCCTCTTTTTGGACATCTTCCTCCTCTTCCTCCACTTCTGTGTCGGCTTGCTCTACTGTTGTCTCAAAATTCGAGCTGAAAGTGTCCAAGTGTGTCAGAGTTTCCCTCTCGTCTCTCTCCTCATCCTCCTCACCTGCATCCTCGTCATTCTCGTTCCCACAGACGCCATTAGCTAATCTGTTTTGACATAAAGAGGAAAAATGTGAAATCATCTTGGTCATCCAACACAAATATATAACAGCTTCATGATTGAGATTATCACAATGATCATTAATACTCATTCATACTAGAATAACCCCTCATTTAGGATGATTGAAGCGAGATTAAAGAGGACAAAGCTCTTTCTAATGTGCTCCCTCTGAATAACTGAAAGAGTAGCAGCCAAACCTTCATGATTTCAAGCCTTTTGTTTGTAGAGATCCCAAATCTGTTATGGTGCTTTCAGTGATAGTGGACAGAAGTAACCAATGAATTTATTCAAATCTCTGTTTAAATATATTTTCAAATTCGTGTCATAATATCTTCATTTGTCCACATTTTCCTCACAAAGATAAACCACTTCATATTAAAAATGTTTTTCTGGCAAATATTTAACTTTACCTTCTACTTTATATATTTACTTTTTTATTTGTTGTACTAGATCCTCAGCTCTAAAAAAATTTCCCTCTGTTTTTATTCCTATTAGCCATTAAGTTTTTTTTTACTCATTTTGTTCGATGCTAATAAGGCCAATAATGAACAGGAAAAAAACACAGAGAAGACAATTTCCCACTAAAACACTTAGAAGGGAAAACGGTATAAACACTTGTCTACCAAACTGTGAAAGCACAACCTTCGACAGAGTTAGTCTGCAGGAAGTTTATTGTGTGTTAGAGTGTCTGTTTATCAGTCTAATTGACAAGTTGAAATCTTTTAAATACCTCCAATGAAACAGCTCATGTGATATCTTGTTTTTTTGAAAGCCTGGTTAAATGATTTACTTTGATGGTCGTCATGCTTATCACACTTTTGTCTTGTTTTTCCCACAGTGTCACTTTGAGGTCATTTAAACTTATTACTCTTAAAGCGACGATGGACAGAACAAAAACAGTAAAGTAAATTGACAAACCCTCCAGTGTGTTGAGGATGACTTGCTTCCTCCTCAGTAGACGGTTGTTTCTCTTCGTCATTCTTCTCCTCCTCATCGTCTTTCATCTCCTCATGTCCAGCCTCTTCCCCGGATGAGGTAACCTCCAACTCCATACATCCTTCCTCTCTCATCCTTTCCCCGTCCGCCTCTCCAGCCGTCTTTGGATCCTCATCACCAGTGCCATCACACCTCCCCTCTTCCAACTCACCCTCTCCAGCCGTAACTTCCCCCTCTTCCCTCCCCTCTCCTTCCCCACTTGTCTCCTCCTCCGCCTTATTCTCCCCCTCTCCAGTTTCGACATGTTGCTTTTCTTCCTCAGTCTCGTTCAACGCCTCAGTCCCCTGCTTCTCCGGCTTTTCCTGGTCGTCTGTTTCTGTGAGAGGGTCAGTGGAGATGTCGGTGGCTGTACAGACCTCCTCTGGGTTCTCTAGTTGAGTGGGAGAGGGCAGAGCCTGCCCCTCCTGGGTCATGGTGCTCCTCACTGAAGGTGAGGTTGCTTCAGCACAGCAACCAGGAGGAAAACTTCACAGAGAAGAAACACGGGGACAGAAGAAAGAGAAAAATTAGCGGACAATTTGAAAATATGGAGGAGGCAAGAGCGGTGTTTTATGATGTGCATTAACAGAAGCGAATGTGTGTGTAAGTGTGTTGCTGGTTGTGTGTATGTGTTAAAATGAGAAATGTATATGCCTGGAACTTTCCATCCTCTGCACCGAATGATCCCCTATCAGCTCCAAAAGGAGGCAGGAGAAAGCAGATAAAGCAGAAAGCAGAGGAGGAAAGACAGACAGGCGGGCAGACACACAGATAGATGTGTTTTCTGCTTCTCAACACATCCCTGTCAAAACGATTCTGCTGGCTCATTCACTCTCTGTCCGAGGGTAGATTTTACCGCAGAATAACTACACTGGCTTCAATCCTGTTGCATGATGATGATAAAAACATCTGACTGATGTTGTTGCTTTGTTCAGTTTTTGTATCATCCTTTCAGATACTTCCTGACAGTTTGATTGCCTCGCCTATTGTATGTCTAACTCTCCCACCTGTATTTGATCACCTGGTGTGTATTCAGCCTCTGTGATTCCCTCCTTCTGGGTTTCATCATTTCATCTTTTCTCTGAGTCTTGTGCAAAATATCTTTTGTTATCCAGTGTAACATCCGTGTTTTGGCATTTGGATCTTTTAGGAGTTTTGATTTTTAATACAAATTAAGTTTTAAGTTTCTGCACTTGTTTGTCCTTTATCTAAATCATTGATTGCCTTCTCCTCTGCCCCCCTCTGACACTGTTCCTCTCTTGCACCTGATTGGGCAGCCGAGACCTCTGTAGGTCTTTCTTGATCCTTCTGAAGGCTCCAGGGTAAGGGCTAAAGCAAAGCTCCTAATGTAGCCAGATATATCTGTATAAATTGTTGTCTCATTTCATTCTAATTCAAGTTTCTTTGTAGATAAGACTTATCAAATTTAGAGAACAATCTAATGAGTTTTGTGTAGAAGTTCTTAAAGGATTACCAACAACGCAGAACTTGGATCATTGCTAAATCTTTTGTGTGGTCATCGTGCAAAACCTTCACATTTTGGGTTTTTAGTCATGTTCTCTGAGTCTGAATCTTGAAATATTCTTCATATAGAGAGATGTTTATTTAATCTGTATTTCCAAACCCAACAAAAACAGGTTTACACTACAATTCAGGTCTATACTTAAGTCCTTCCTTTTTCATGATTACACCTTGTGTCAGCACCTGCACAGCATTATTTTACAATGTCTGGTTTATAGTAAAAAAATTACAAGGATTCATCAAAAATCCAACATGAAGGTAGACTTTTGGATTCAGACAGCACTGTGCAGCGGGGATCAGGTCTGTCGCCCAAACTGAGTCTTCAGCAACATTACCTCTGTGCCCTGCTGAATCATCAGAGGACTTAGAGCACAACTGCAGTGAAATATTAACTGTGATTCAAGCTTTTCTGATGGCATTGGCACTCTTATAATATAGGAATGGACACAAATGAACTGAGTCCATTCAATAGACTGTGGTTTTCTAAGGGACTGTACTTACTTTGAAATCAGATGTTTAGAAAAAATAGGGTCCTGATGGAAAGGAAAGATCAGTGGCAGGATAAAACATGAGCCGAGCTCTAAAGCTTTGTGCTTTAACTTGACCCTTAAGCATGAGGACACGTCAGGCAGTTTAAATGTTTCATCAGAGCTGGAAAAGATGATGCAAATTATGCAGCACCAAGAACTTCAGGAGATTTTCTTCTTTAATTCAAACCCTTCTCTAAATAAGTGCAGAGCTTCCTTCTTTGATTAGGACTCATCAGCATGGATATTTTTCATTAGCGGTCTCAATCTCAATCCCTGTGGTTAGTGTCATTATGGGCAGGAAAAGCATGAAGTACACACAGTATTGAGCTTTAAAAAACACTTTCAAATCAGTAACTTTTTATTATGACCAAGTGGTGTGTCTCTGCTTGTGTCTTCAAATCTTTTTTGCTCTGGTGAGTGTAATAAAAGTATTATGAACTCTGAAGATGGTCTTGCTGATTCACTCATGAAATTCTCTTTGAAATCAAAATCACAGATTGACCTATATCTCTTCTTTTTAGAACAGCTTGCACTATTAATCACTGTTCTATTTGCTTCAGTTTGTTTTATTTACAAGGACTTTTGTTACCATATAAAGTGGGTAAATTAGGATTTAATAACCACATTATGGCGTCCCAAGAAAGGATTTCCACGGCAACATAACAGGGATCAGTGTCAGCTCACCATCCTCACAAATATCCATTGGTTTTGACTTCAAAGAATCTTTAATTGAGAGCAAATATCTGAGACATTTCCCCTCAGAGTCTATTTTAGTCCATATTCACACAAAAGCAAACAACCATCGTTTGAGACTGTTTATGCAATTACACACATATGCAAATGCAATTACACACACACACACACACACTCACTCACAAACACAGACTAAACAGTGACACATCTCCATAAATGGAAGTAGTGAACAGTTACGAAACCAGACATGGAAAGTGGGAATTCTCTCTCTCGCTGTCTCCAGTGTCCTGTTTCCTCCCACTCTCTCTTCTTCATCTGTTCCACATTATGTTTTTCTGCTATTTCACAGTCTAGCCTAGCTCTCGACTTTTTCTGTATTAGCCTATCATTTTGCAGTAATTGAGGTAAATGGGTCTCAGCCAGGAGAAAAGAACTGAGCAATGCTGCAGTCAGCTGCTCAGGAGAGAGCTGATGTACTGAGACAACCCACATGGGTGGATGGAGAGACAGCCAATGAGAAGTTAAATGTGTAGTAATGGTCACCAGGAAGACGAGTTCAGCTCCTGAGCCTGAATGACCAGATCTTCTGCTATTTATCAACACATACATGAAAACGCCTGGCCCATCAAGGCATATAAAACTGATCCTGAGTAGATCCGGAGAACCAGTGGTTCTCAATCCAGTCCTTGAGCCCCCCCCCCCTGTCCTGCATGTTTTGGATGTTTCCCTGCTCCAACACACCTGATTCAAATGATCAGCTCGTTATCAAGCTCTGTATTGGCTTAATAACGAGCTGATCATTTGAATCAGGTGTGTTGGAGCAGGGAAACATCCGAAACATGCAGGACATGGGGGGCTCGAGGACTGGACTTGAGAACCACTGCCTTAAACTCAGACACACTGTGATACAGGAACACACAAATAGTAACTTGAACAGGCAGTGATACTTTCTGATCGCTGAGGTTCATTAAGAGTCTCCTCAATAAGCAAGACTGCTCTCTACAGGCAGAAAGATGCCAAATGAACACAACTGTCTGATAAACTGATTAACAGACATTTAATCAGACACACTTATTAAGAATGAACCACTTTAACTGAGAGAGAAAGTGCATTTAGCTCCTTCACTATAAAGTTCACTACTATCCAACCTCTAATTGTTTGTAGTTAGTTTTTACAAAGTCATAAAGTTTAAAAGAATGGGAATTATTTTAGATGCGTTTTCCATGATGCACACACTACTGCAGTGCATTTAGATATATGGTACAAGGCCAAGATGGAAAAAGCCAAAACCATGCAAAGCAGCAATGGACATTGTTATAACTTTCCTGCTGACGTTTTCAGCTTCTGGTTAGGAAACAGGGACTTACTGTTAAGGTTCTGTGGTCACCAAACAATGTGCTGTTCGAACTTTACAATATCTCAGACTGTGCAATGTCAGTCACATGAGCTGAGCTCCATGTCTGGGATTATTCTTCAGTGAAGGTTTATTGAAATCTGTTTATTGCAGCTCATCACTTGAACACATACGTAAACTGACCACAGCTTTTAAGACAGTGTTAGAGACTGCAGAACAGAGTGTTTGCTTTTAGCATCTATACTGCAGTGCACAACCATTAATGGTAAATGGACTTCATACCGCGCTTCCGCTTGACACTCTGACTGCTTACATTACGTGTCACATTCACCCATTAACACCACATTCACACACTGATGGTAGAGGCCACTCACTTTTAACTAATCCCATTCACACATAGCTGGGCACAACCAGCAGGGGTGGGTGGGGTGAAGTGTCTTGCTCAAGGACACCATAGTATGTGGACAGCAGAACCTGGGATTGAACCCCTGACCTTCCAACTGAAAGAGGACCAACTCTACGACTTGGCCACAGCTCCCCTTGTGGAATCATATTCAGAAGAAGTTGGTGAGTCTTTGCTTACAATAGAAGGTACTTTCATGCATGGAGCTTGTTACAGAGGTTAACCAACACTTCATATTGACAGGAATGAGTGATTTCATGAAAGTTAGTCATTTACTTTTATCATAACAGTTAATGTTGGAACATATGCTACACCTATACTCACTCCTCCTTCCCTTTAGGAGGTCAGAGCTGCTAAACATTGTGACAAGAAGGAGAGAGATTGAAGATAGTGTACTCTGAGATCTCAATCATAACTCCTATAATTGTATTGTACTGTACATTTCATACTGCATGTATACAGAAGGAGATAAACTACAATACAAATTGTTGTTTGTTTGTTTGTTTTTTCTTGATAATACGGCGCCCTATCACTAAACTCGAATGACACATTCAGAGTCATACTAAAATCCCTACACAGTTGTGTCAGAGTCATGGGGGACACATGATTGTCTTAACAACCATGGCAGTTGTCGTTCCTGTGCATTTGATGTGAAATACTGAACCGTTTTCTTTGTGCCTTCAGACAGATCACCGGATGGTTTTCCTCCTACTGTAAACTTTAGACATGGGCAGACTGGCAGAGACCAAGAATAGCGTGGTGAAGTGAAAGACGTTTCCCAGAACTTCTTGAGACAACAAAGCCAGAAATGAGGTAATACGACAAGTTCGTCAGACGCAGTGTGGTGACGCAATACTGGAATTTGCTACGTAATATGATAGAAACACACAATCTGCATGAAGCCTTAGCTCTTAACATCAATCCATCCATCCATCCATCTTCCTACCTACCTATCTATCCATGAACCAGTTTTACTCTCAGTCTTCTTGTAGGCACTATTTGCTTATAGACAGTCATATTGGGCATCACTGTCTGCCTCTTACCCGGCTGAATTAGTATTTTGCAGGCAGCCAACTGACCACTCTTAACTTGTCTGACCTCAGAACATTGGTATTTCCGCATTCATTGAAAAAGGGAAGCTCTTTGGTTGATCTGTGTCCCCGTGCTTTGCTTACTGGCACCACCACAGCATTTACAAGTAGTACGAAAGACAGTGATGCTGATGCTTCTTTCCAGTCATCGACATCCAGCTTACCTTCACTACTAAATAAACTACCATGTAAAGTACATTATTTAGTAACTTAAATGTATAAAGAGGGACTTTAAAACATATTGAATCATTTTACACTGATTCATTCAAATTACAGAAACCATAAGAAACTATAAATAGCTATGCAAAGATCAGAAAACTATATACAGCCAAGTATCTCGTAACAGACACCTTGAGCTGCACGATTTTGTCCCCCCAAAAAATCCCTATTTTTTACTCTGAAAACTCAATTTTCGATTTTGATTTTTCATTCAGGAACAACTTCACCAGACTTCACTTTAATGATAAGGTTTTCTATCATCTCTCAAAACCCCTGAAAACAATGTAGTGCATATGCCAAGCCAGTAAGTGGCGCTGTAACACTGCCAAGGAAATGCACAAAAGATAGAAGAAGAGTAGTATGCGTGTAAAGGTTGTTTTGGCCAGACATGCACAAGCACCATAAAAGAGTAACACTGTGTGTCACATCATCGTTTTGAGAGATGGAGGAGGTGCGAGACACGATAGAGAAGATTTTAGTTTTTTAACATTGTCATAATCAAATAAACTGATTATGACTTTAAATCAATTAGTCGTGCAGCCCTATTCTCAATACTAAACGTGTCCGACTAACTGGCCAGTGCTGACATGGAGTGTTAGAGGCTCAAGTGTTTTCTATTTTCTGTCACCATGAAAGCTACAAATCATTCAGTACTTATACATGTTGATAAGAGAAATTGATTTATTGCCTTAATCTGACTGAAACTGGACTTTAAAAAACATGTCAACATATTAGTCTGACTGAAATCAATGTTGTCATGTGTACAGCTCAATCGCAGAGAGACCAGCCCAAGCATTCTGTGAATGTGCCAGAGTTTACATACAGGGCTTTGAGCGAAGAAGCTAAACAGCCTAGATGTGATTTTAGGAAGCTGGGAAGTAAACAAAACCTTGACAGATGAAGAAAGGATGTAAAAAAGACAACATTGTCCTATTATATAAACAGTATACAGCTACAAGAGTGACTGTGTTTTCATCTTTGGACCAACACCCTGGTTGCCTCTTAATAGCATGTTTGCCAACTGTTTTGATATGTAAAACCAGAGACATCCTGATTGTAATAAACTGAAAGGGGGCATGTCGCCACCAACTACACACTCCTGTCAATAACTTGATATTTGCCCAGTGTATGTAAACTGGTACGAGGGCAGCAGTCCAGTTAAATCGACTAATCAAGCTATAAATGTAGCTTGACTGAGCTGTGCATGTAAATCTACTGAGTCGATGTCCTGAGTCCTTTTTAATCTGAATACCATCATCATCATCATCATCATCATTTGTGCCTTTGCCATCAACATCAACTGGTAATTTTTTAAAAAAGAGCGAAGTCTAAGACCTCTGTGCTGTAGATTGGGATGAAAGTATGACTGAAGTGTGCAAGTGTTCCCTGAAAGTCTTTGAGCTATAGCTTTTTCTGAAAGGTAGAGTTGGACTCTGCAGATTGAGTCAAGCTTGGTAATTCATTCAACCACCAGGGGACAACAGAGGAGAAGAGTCTGGTGAGTGACTTAGGGCCCTGTTTTGATAGGAGTTCCAGGCGCCTCTCGTTCGCAGGACTTAGTGGTTTAGAGGGAGTATAGTAGACTTGGATGTGGGATTCCAGGTAGGCAGAAATCCTTTTTGTAACTGTTGAGTATAAAACTAGTTGGATGTTGGATTTGATCCAAGCAACAACTGGAAGCAAGTTAGGATTACAGACAGTACAGAGCAATATATGCTGTTCAGGTTGATGGAAGACCAGTCTAGCTGCTGCATTCTTGAGCATCTGCAGAGGTTTGAACGTGCATGCAGGACAGCCTGCCAGAAAGAAATACAAAAGGATGGATGACCACCCCCTTCTCCTCCTCTATCTATCATAGTGACATGCTAAGAAAAAAAAACACTGCAGTCTCTTACTATAAATGACCTACTGACCCTTTTTATAATATGCGGACTGGGTGCTGTGCCAGTGCTGCAGCCCACACACACACGAGTCACCTTTCAGAAATGCTGTTGTTTCACAAATACAGATGTAGACAAGGAGAAGAAAAAAAACATATCCTAGACTGGGGCAAGAAAACAGAAAAATAGGAAGTTAAAGTGGTAAAACCTGCCGACAAGTCCCCCCTGCTTGACAACAGGGCCTCCAACTATAGCCACACCAGCCTACTGGAGCATAACAGTCATCCAATTCCCTCAAATCACCCAAATATGTCACTTCAATGCTGTCAAGGTCAGAAATCCACTCACATCCTGTGACTCTGAAAGCCTTTATCAAAAACACGCTTTTCAGTTTTGCGGTTCTATCTTTACTTGGTCATTTCTCACCATTTTTTCATGTGGCTGCATGCTTTATTTCAAAAGCATGAGCTCACACAACAAGCCATTTCTGGCACCTGAATGATGGCATAAAATCAATGAAAATTACGCACCAATGTGGTTCACATGCAATCCTAACAAGATATTTTCTTATTGTAGGTAAATTATTGCATCTTTTGGGAGTCTTGGGAGCTGCTGTATCTGGGTGTCTGATAGCTTGAGTTGAAGATGATTGCATTGAATAAATCTGCCCCATACACCAAGGAGACCAAACCAGTTTTGATTGGGGAATAAATAACAGTGGATTTATTTCTATCATTCCAATATACATAATTAGTGTCATATTGGCTTTGTTTTTGGAATGATGAATAAAATGCTGTTGAACACCTGTTTTAAAAAGCCATCCACATCCTGTCTAGGGGCAAGGATAATTCTGGGCAAGAAGTTGTTCCTTTAGCAGCCAAAAATTAGGCTACAGTTTTCCCTCGATATTCTGGTAATTAGGACTGGGAGATTATATGATCGTGATCAATGATCGTGATAAATTTCAGTTCGATCACGGTGATCAACTGTGAGCTTATTTACTTGATCAAACATGACCGAACGTGGAGCTAAACGTGGAGCTGAGGGCAGCAAAATAGACGTCAGCCATAACTTTGAGTTATTTTCCGAAGATATTCTTATTGAGAAGTTATTCAACGTCGGTTGTGTGGCGTTGGTTCGGTTTCTCCTAAGTAATGTCAAGCAATGAAGCCAATGTGTAAGATATGTCGGCGGTCGGTGCCCTCAAAAACCGGCAACACAACAAATCTGTTTAATCATTTGAAGAAGTACTTGCCGAGTAATTATGCTGAAAGCATGAAAATGTGGGCGGAGTCTGTACAGCCTGTCACTGCTGACGGTATGAGTGTCATTAGCAGTTTAGCTACAACTAGCGGTGCAGCCACTATATGTTTATTTTGGGTCTTGAATTCCTGCAAAAACACTCAGGACTGTAAACTAATTCACTGTATTATTTAGTATTTATCTACATTTGTTGTACTGTTGAGTTAAATTTTTTTAATGTTTTTCTCAGTGTATCTTATTCAATTTGCTTTATTTACTTTGTATGTTAATAAAATGTTGAACTAATCTCTAGTTTCTTTAGTTTTTAGTACAGATGCTTGAAAACAGGCAGTCTAAAAATATATCGGACGATGTGACAAAATATATCATGATCATTTTTTTTTTTCAGATTGCCCAGGCCTGCTGGTAATGGCTATGAAGTGCATGTGTGGTGTATCTCTTTTGATGTACTTGACTATGGTTCATTTTAAGGGCTTGCATCCAGCCCGGATCAACTTCTGTTGCAGCTTAATGTACAGTCTAACCTTGCATTCAAATGAGGGGTGATGTTTTCCAAAGTGTATAATGAAAAAAAGGTTCCTGGTTCTTTCTCTCCAAACTGTCTCCCAGCACTCTTGAGAAGACATAAACAAACACCAGAAAGACCAGGCTTATTGTCTCTGTCCCTCACTCTTCGTGTGTGTGTGTGTGTGTGTGTGTGTGTGTGTGTGTGTGTGTGTGTGTGTGTGTGTGTGTGTGTGTGTGTGTGTGTGTGTGCGTGTGAAGAGAGAGTGCACTGCGCGAGACAGCCATGTTCTCCTAGCCTCTTCGAGCCAGTAACCATGACAACAGGATGGCTGGGAGACACGGTTCAAGCTCAATTGAGGCCGGTGTCTTTCTTTTCCTCCAAAATAGACCTTGGTCTCGTTTCAAGATCGACTTGTCCTCTTAAAAGCGAAAAGGAAACGCTTTTCTCATTCTCTTCTTGGGTGATAGAGTAAGGAGAAAAAAACACACACCTCCGTAAAATCCCACGGCCCCCACGGTGCATTTCCATCAGCCTATATTAGCTCCACAAACGCAGCTGTCCTAAAGCCTGTCGGTGTGAGCAGGCTGCAGACTGTGTGTGTGTAGAAATACAGGACATGAAACAGTCCCTGAAAAACAAATGTGCTTATTTCCTTGATAAATTGAAACCACGACACTCAAACGCGAGCTCTATCATTTGCAGGCTCAAAATATTTTTATGCTAACACAATCCCACCAGCTTTAACACTACAACAATTTAAACCGTGGCCACTATTGTAAAACATCGTTTCTTGACTCACCGGTGAAAAGCGGTCCGTCACAGGCTGAAAAGGGGAGTTTTCCGGCGCTGCTCCTCACACTCCCACTGTCTCACATCCACACCGGGGAATAACACTGACAGACGGGCGCTTTTTTTTTCCTTTCCCCGCTGAGCGTCCTTCCCAGCTGCCCCCCTCTCGCCGGTTTTGCGCGTGCGACCGTTGTTCGCGGCCGCCGCTGCAGACCAGCCGAAGCTCGTGGTGTAGTCTCGCGCCCTCCGCGTAAGCTAGTAGGGCAGGCACAGGAGGTCCAGGAGGCAGAGAGGGATAGCTGTGCGAAATGATGAATGGATGGATGAGCGGAGGCGTCCCATCCGTCTCCTCCTCTCTATGGATCCTAATTCTGCTCGTAGGACTGCTCGGGAGCACCACCACTCTCCTGTGGTTATCGCGGTGTGAACGGGACGTGTCTCGAGGGCCTGTTGATATCAGACACTGTAGCCTGCAGAGAAGATTAGCACTGACAGTTGTGTTGACACAAGCCGGTCTCATCCATAACCACAGTGATTTAACTGCACCTCAAATTAAGTCAAATATTATTCAAGTCTGTCTGATTCTGACTCAAGAGGTTCCCACACTCAGGTCCAGAAACGCCTGGAGACCATGGAAGAGTCCCAGGATGTCCTCAGATAGAAGGGGTGTAGCCAACGGCTTCTTTCTTTATTTGACCAGATATCTAATGTTGGGTTTTGTTTGGCTGAAAAGTTTGGGGATTGACCAGAAAAACAACTCGTGCAGATGATTTACAGACAGTCAAATAGTGCAGGCCAAGGTCTAAAGTCCTGCAGCTGTCATATCCTGGATGTTGCATTGGTCATGCTCTGGTCTGGTTTAGATCGGAATTTGATGGTTGCAGGAAAATTGTGACCTGAAACATCCAGTAATCTGTTACATGTTGAGAAAGATTATTTCAAATGCAAAAATGCAAGAGCAAATGAGCGTCATTCATACTGAAATACATGCAACAGACTGTTTTTCACCAAGCAAATGATGAATAACTCAAGTTTACTTTGCACGACATAGAGACTTTCATCAGTTTCAACCAGGTCTGATTTTATTCTGATTTTACATGGAACCCACTTTTTGGCCTGCAGACTGGGATGTGATGTGATGGTATAAAAATGTAACTGTTTTAGACATTATAGTTTATGATTCTGTATGGCTGCCAATTCAATGCAGAGTTACAGCTTGTACAAAAGAGGAATACCATAGAGAGAAAAGTTATGTGGGCTGGAGAGCAATGGTAAATAGTTTTCCTTAGATTATCTGAAAAAGGAATTAAATTAGAATATTTTTTTGTTTTAAATTGGTTTGAGTATCTTTATTACAGCTCTCAGGAAGATGTGTTTACTTTAAACTTTCTCATATGTTTTTACTTTCATGTGAATTGATCTGATTTTTGCTTTATCAGACTTTCTAACATGGCAGGATTAGAAACATGCCTGATTGTGTTGCTCTATGCTGGCTGATTCAGTTCATACTTTTCTGTAGCAAGGCTTTAACTCCAAAGGCTAAGATTTTTGGCCTTACTCATCGATGAGCAGTTCATACAATAAGCCTGCACCTTCTTCAACTCAGCCTCAGTGTAATCTGCCCTTGACAAGGACGTTTCTCTCCCTGTACCAGCATATGCTCACCTCTCACTTTCACTGCCTTTCAACTTGCTCTTTTACTCTCACTCTAATACCATATGTAAAACCATTTGTAATGTCTTTGAATCATGCCGTGCAGAGGGTACTTTCTTACAGGATCACCCCAAGGTCATGGACGGCAGTAAAGCACACAATGCCACGCACGGGTCTCTTTGTTTGCTCCCAAATATTTATTCCTGTTTTCTTATGGGTACTTCAACACATCCCTTTCTAATGAACAGTAGCATAAGGGAAATACCTGCATGTCTGAGAACCTAAACCTCCAAACCAATGATCTCAGTGATCAATACCACACAAAGGAGATATAGGAAGGAGGGGGATTGGCTGAGAAGCAATCAGTAAAAGACAGAGAAAAGAACAGGGTACAGAGAAGAAAAGAAAAATGCGCGTGTAGGGTGAAAGTGTAGACTGAAGACAAGAGGAGGTGAAGGTTATAGAGGCATGGCCCAGAGCGAGACAGGTAGAAAGGGAGAGTGGGGGGTGGGTGGACAGCAGAGGGTTGGAGATGACAAAGAGGGTTCAAGAGAAGCACGGATGACCGCAGAGAGGGTGGTGGAAATAGTTTGGGGGAAACCCACTGCAGACGCAACGTCAATCTTAATTACTAATTTATTAACATGCCCAGCTCCCTTCCCCCTCTGTGGCCACACAAACACACACATGCATACACACACACATGCACTCACTGCTCTCTGTTCTGTCCCTCAACTGTGTCCCATGAGAGGCAGAGGGATTGATGGAGAAATGAAGAGGTGTGTCTGTAGCTAAGTGACATCTGCAGGGCCGTGATGGCAGCAATGTGTTGGGAACACTGGAAGTCCCTGATGTGACAAAGGGAGGGAGGGAGGGGGAGGGTGGGGAGTAACAGCTTGTGTTATGGTTTGTTGGGGTAGGTGGTCTTTTGTGATGGTGCATAAGTGTAATAATGAGCATGGCAAAGTCAGAGCATTTGAATGGTTGCCATGCATTTACCTGTGTATGTGTGAACAAGATGTGCTGCCATGAAATTTGTGAAACTCTGTTGATGTGTGTGAATGCATGTGTGTTGATATATTAATGAAGCAGGTGATAAATCAATATGCTGCTGTAGGTTCTCATGCTCAAGTAATGACTTTGTAAGAATAATCAAAGCATTGGGGAACTGCTACATACTGATGGCATGGCAATACTCTGACTGTGTGTGTGTGTGTGTGTGTGGGGGGGGGGGGGGGTTACACACATTGATGTTTAGATTCACACACACAACACAAATCCTCCTGCCACATCCCAATGCATTTGTTCACACAGATGCACGCACAAGCAAGCAGAAGAGGGTGCAGTACATCCCGACTAAGATGGAATAAAATAGAGAAATCTGCCAAACAACCATTGATCCACATAGTTCACAGCACTGGCTCTGTCTGCCATAGCAGGCTAAACAACAGGGAGCTCCATGAGACATCTGGGATACACACATATTTGCACACAAGCATCTTTCACACACAGGCACGCACACACATTCACACGAACACAAGCAGGAGGCATAGCTGGCTGCAGTGTGTGCGCACATCATGAGGGTCTTTGATTCTGATCAGAGGACTTCATAGCAGGATGTGGGTTTAAAGCAAGTGTAGATCTCTGTTATTTGATGTCAAATTAATTGTTTGGGTGTGTGTGTGTGCGCGCGCGTGTGTGAGTGTCACTGTTTAATAAGAACAAATGACATGCATTTCTACAGTACACACACACGTTTCAATCATTGGAGTATCATTGTTGTGTTTCAAAAAGTAATCAGAGTCCCAAAAAAGGCTTTTTTGCTTCTACTTCATATCAGTCCTGGATAATGTGATGGAGTTAAGGTAAACAGTTTCTCCAAGGTTATTGAGATGTAAAGCTGATTTCTTTAGACCGACATAAACAACACGATTACTTGTTCTTAAAAGCTACTTTGTATCTGTTGACTGTAGAGATGAAGACCCGAGTTAAGACTTGAGTTAAGACTTGGACCTGAGTCACACTCCAGTCACACACCAAGGTGACTTCAGACCTGACTTGGACTCAGCTCTCAGAGACTTGGATGGGACTTGCCACTGCACTCAGAGACTTGAGACTTGACTTGGACTCATGGCCAAAGACTTAAGGCTTGAGTTGGACTTAAGGAGACATGTCTCTGATGCCAGTGCCTTATTTTACGTGGTATTATAAGTGATGGCCTTCACACAGCATAACAAGTTGAAGTAGTAAGCAAAGCAAGCGCCTTGTTCACGTTGTAAAAGCATATCCAACTCAGCTCTACAAACTTGCTTGTTAACTTTCAGCATTTTGTTTGGTTGATTACTTACTTAAAGATTCCAAAATTATATAAAAAATTCAAGTGGTCATGCTATTTTTAGACACAACACTTCATTCACCAAGCTATTTTTTTTGCAGAGAAAGGTGAAAATTTTGTGCATGCCCTATTTTTTTCCTTACTATCAAAAGACAGACGATAAATACAAGCCAATGAACCAGCCTGTGAAGTGTTAATAATGAGCGGGATCTGCTGCTTGCCTCTTCTTTGCAAAGCTTAGCTGAGGTCTCAGTCAGGGTGCATGATATTAATCTTTTTTACAACAAAATAGAAACACAAGAAGTTCATTCTTTGTTAATCTGCCTTTATTTTGGGCAAACGTGTCATGAAACCAGAGCCCTGTCCATGTAAATGAAAAATAAGGCTCATAAGTAACAGCCTTCAGTGTGGACATCATTATTAAACTGCATGGTGAGGCCTGTGTGTTGGATTCTGGTGATTCCCTTGACTACCTCATCAGCATTCATTACAAGTGATGAGGAGGGGGACAGGGTATGTCAGCGTTTGTCTTTGTGTGAATGTGAGCGAGAAATTGTGTGTATGACCCGCCAGTGTGTGTGTGTGTGTGTGTGTGTGTGTGTGTGTGGCTCTCATCTGGGTCATTATATCCACAGGCATCAAAAACAGGCTTTAATGGCACACATCCCTTCATGTGTCAGGGGGAAACAGAGAGGGGGAGGGTCTTTATTTAAGCATCAGTCATTTCCACCTGTGACCACTCGTTCACAACAATGAGCTGGGATAAAAACACAAAGACAGACACACAATATGTCATTTCTTTCTGTGAGCATGATCTGCCTCTTGATGCTTTGTGTCATTTTCTCTGAAGAAAGTACAAATGAAGAGTTGATCACCAGCAGACGCCTTTAACTTTTCAAAATAAAGAGAAATTAAGACAATCAATGAGGAGCTGCATGTTTGTTTTTTCGAAGGGAACCCTATTATCTGTTTATTAGTGTGTGTGTGTGTGTGCGTAATAGACCATGTGAGAGAAAGAGGCGTCACTGCTGACCTTGCCAACATGGTGACAGAATGTGTGTGCGTGTGCATGTGTGTGCGTGTGTGTGTGTGCCAACTTTTTGTCTGCTGGACAGCCAGGTCAACAGACAGACTGGTCACCATAGCAACAGTGCCACGCTTGCCGCATGTGCCAAACTGTAATTATGGAAGTTGTATAACAAATATGCAAGTGTGTCTGTGTCTGGGATCAAAGAACATGGAAATTCAGGATGGTGGGATGCTGATAGTCAGGAGGAGCTGCTTTCTGGCATCACAGAGCAGCATCTAAGTCCTTCAGTGTGCTAGCACATGCCATTTGGAGGATGCCGTTTTAGTATTTGAAGCAACTCAAGCAGAATTGTTTACATTTCTGTGTTTGAGGTGAGTGCCAAAGTGACTTTGAGTGACTGCATGGCCGACTTTGCAGGTAACCAAGAGCTACAAAGAACCACATTTACTTCAGACTTATTTTGCCGCCTGAATTCATGACCCATTATTAGTTTTTCAACCAC